GTAAGTATAACTTAATTTTAATTTTCTTAAGTTATTATTTAATTATAAAAGTAAGTAAATATTTATTATAAGTCTATAAAGTATTAATTATAAAGCTATTTTAAGTAAACTATTTTTAATTTCTATTTATTATCTTTATTTATATATTTATTTAATACTTATATATATATTAAATTAGGGAATTGATAGGGACGCATCACGAATTGATAGGGATGTATCATCCTTAGGGACGCATCATATTCTAAGGTTGTGATTGGCTAGAAATTTTGGTGACCCACAGGTACAAGTCGGCAAAGGCGGTGAGGCTAGCGTTGCTAACGCCCCACCTTTTCACAGCCATAAGAGGCCTGCCTCCGTTTCATAGACATAAAGCCGGCCCGCCCTACTAGCCTACGTTTCTTGGCTATTCCTCCCATTTGAGATTTGCAAAACCATCTAAACGACCGCTTTTGCAAATCTCAAATGGTAGGTCTTTTTCTTCCCTTCTAAGGAGGAATTGGGTTTTATCAAACTAAACTGAAACGGCTTTTATAAATCTCAATTGATTTCTACTTCTATTTCCTCTTATATAATAATAAAGAATGCCCCCCCTACCCTCAACGTTTAAGACTCTCATCACTACTACTAAGTAGTTCCCATTGACTCCTCGTCCTACGGATGCTTGCCTGTAATCTTCTTCCATTCGAACGAAGGCCAGTTGATCGGCCAGTACTAAGAGTAGTTACTTGGCTTCGTGTCTGCCGCTGGGAAGAGGTTGGCGCCTGGCTACTGGCTGTCTCTTGTATAAGCCTTGCTAAGGTGATCCTATTACGGCTTCCTAGTAGTCTGCTACGCTTGCGCCCTGCTGCTAATTAGCTAGGTTGTTAACTTTATAGTTAGCTATATGATTGTCTAGCTAGCTGGCTGCTTGATTAGATGCTATCCCTTAATGATAGGGATGATGGGACTGGCTGTATTGAGTTCTTAGGTCTGCTACGGAGGTTTCCTACAATCTTCGGATCAAGGATCCGTCGATATAGATCCTAGGAAGAAGACTCCCGCAGCCGCCATCGTAGGTAAACCTTATCCTTTATAAACTATACCCTATCTATAAGTTTAGAGTAGATCTTATAGCAGTATAGGATACTATACTCTATAGAGACAGTATAGTCCTCTATACAGTCTCTAAGAGGCGCTGGAAATAGATTTCTACCTGTTAGTAGAGCCTTCTTTGCTAGACGGTATTGCTTCGTAATCAAACCAAGACACTGCGATGAGAGTATTGTTCGAAGCTCCCCAAGGTACTCAGATCTATTCCCTATAAACTTACGGCTTGTAAGGATCTTATCCTGTATACAAGCTTGCTTAAAGCGAACCTCTTGATCCTTAAGCATATCCTATATTATATTAACTAAGTAATATAGGTAGCTAAGTTTATTAAGAAGATAGCCTTTGATGTTGTTGTTGCTTGATTCCGTCCCTAAGGTTATACGGATGCCGAAGTTTCGGTACTAGCGAATAGAATAACGTGCCTACTACTCCCTTAGTAGTAGATATATTCTATATAGGTAGTTTAGAATAAGCCGTTAGTCTTTAAACTCTTTGCAAAGGTTTGCCTATGCTTTCCTAAAGGCATCCTCTATCTCGGTAAATAAAACTAACTTTTATATTATAAAAACCCCCCGGTAGCTATATAGCATAGCCCTATCTACTAAAGTATAAATATAGGCATAGTCTTTATTACTAAGTTTAGTATCTAGTTATAAAGCTAGATCGTCTTCTTTAAACCTACTACTATTAGAATAGCTCTAAAGCTACTTCTACTTAGCTTTAAGTATAACGTTTAAGTTGATATAGTAAATATAAAGCTGTTATTATATATTCGGAAAGTATTTGTTAAGAGCTGCCTTCATCTGTCTGTCGTAGTCGGTGATAATAACATCTGGTTAGCGAATAGAGTTCTGATTAATGTTGGAACGGTAGGTAGGAATCTCGTAGATAGTACGATATCCTTATAACAGGGTATTAGAGTAAGGGAACTTGTACTTATGAAGTAGGGCTTTAATAGTAAAGAATGTATAGGCTTATATTGAAGCTGAGTTGGTTGAGGAACTAATAGCTAGCTAAGGAAGAGAATTAGGCTAGTTATATAATAGTATAACGTCGCCTATAATAGCTAATATAGGAAGCTATAAGCTAGGTTTAGTATACGTAAGTATATACGTCAACTAGCTTATAAAGCAGCTTATAAATCAGACCAGAATCTTCTTTAACTAAATAGACTTTTAGATAAGGTTAAAGAGAGTATTCCATAGGGATCTGAATATCATATGTTTAAACTAGCAAGCAGCCATTCTTAGCTAGTTACTTTTGTAAGTCCTACTAAGTCTTAGATAAGACTAAATAGGATAAATAAGTAAAATAGAAGTATAATATACTTATACTTCTAACAATTAATAAGTTGTAAGATACTCTGCGATAAGAACTAAACCCTTCTAGTCTCTTATTATCAATAAGACTAAATGCTATATTAAATACCGATCTAAGACATATTTGCCTTATAGCTTAGAAGAGTAGAAGCTTGAAGCGATTAGTATTATAGGTATTATCAAAGCTGATAACCTCGGAGAACCGCTTCTATATCCGGAGAGAGTATGGAAACGTCCAGACAAGCCCAACAAGCCGATTCGGCTCATCATCCGCCTACTTCACAATATAAAGGATCTCCCGCTTATTAAAAAGCTTGATTAAAGCTATAGTTAGTATATACCTATTAAGCTTTTCGCGATTAATTCAGGCTCTAGCGTTATAGATATCCCGCTAAGTAAAAACAGATTCAGGAAACTACTCCTAAATAATAGCACCTATGTCGCATACCCGAATACTAACCCGCCGACTAGTAGTCTTAACTATATCCTTAATAGGCTTAGTCAACCTCCTATAGGATAAGTATATAGATAATGCTAAGCTAGGGATATGATTATGCTGGCTGTGTATTAGGTTGGAATGCTGACGTAAAAGCCATTTCCCCTCCTCTATTGCTTTAGTAATAATTTGCTATTAGCAATTATACTTCCGAGATACGTAGGCTCGGATGCTAGCACCTCTACCTTGCTTTAGTAGCCTAAATCGATCGTAACGAAGTATATAGCGAATTATATATCCTTTACGATAGCATCTATTATACTTTGCAATCCTAAATCCATGCTCTTTTGCAAATTTATTAACTCGGTCGAGGAAGGTTGTAATTATTGCTTCTAGTTTGCTAGGGATCGGTAGGTTTAGAATAGTTTCGGGGGTAGGTGATTTCGACCTTTCGCTTATAGTAAGGAATAAAGTACTTGGAGAAGATAGTATCGCTATTACTTCTAGGCTTTGTCGGGGAGGTGAATAAGGTGGAGGAGGAGGAGACTCGCCGATTGAGGATATGTCTGAAGGGTGTGGTGAGTAGCCCCAAGCCTTACGATATCGACGAACGCGTTTACATTGTTGGAGGAGAGCACGCGTAAGACGTCGGTTTATCCTAACAACCTCTTAAATAAGGCTTAGAACAGTAGAGAACTGATCTAAAGTAGGTTATAAGGGTTAATTTTCAGGTTATAATACTAATTAGCTTTTTTTTAGTTGACGTTTAAGTAAAATTATACGCTATATACGTATTATCCCCTTTAGAAAGGAATATAGAAGATATAATTTATCTCCCTAGGGGTTGTAGCTTATGTCGGAATCTTGCTATAATTGTTTAGGTAGAATCTCAGAGATTAGGTCAGGTTAACCCTCATGATCGCCAGCCTTATAGAATTGACTGATAGTAGCATCGCTACTAACTAAGATAGCATGGCGTTAGCGCTTAGGAGAAGGCAATTGATTATATATACTAGAGCTGCTAGGTTGGCGACGCGATTAGGGCCTTAATTGACTTGTAAAGGTAGACATCTTAACGTTGTAAAGGAGAATAAATTGAATATGTCTAATACGCTTTCGTAGTTATGAAGGGATGGGCTAAGAAGATAAGAAAGATACTTCATTAGATGATGGCAGAATTCGGATGCACTAACAATAAAATTTTGAGCCAATCACAACCTTAGAATGTAATGCGTCCCTAAGGATGATACGTCCCTATCAATTCGTGATACGTCCCTATCAATTCCCTTAAATTAATAATCTTACTTTTTAATTATAGCTTATAAAATTAGTTCTTAATATATAGTATTTTCTATTTAATTAGTTTATTTAAAATATTTTCTATATATAACTAGTTTATACCTCGTATATTTATAAGTACTAACTATTAGCTTAAACTAATATATATATATAAATATATTAACTAAAAGATATAGTAAATAATTACTTTAAAAATCAAAGCATTAATTATACTTAAGTTAACTTATCTTATTTCTTGTTTCTAATTATATTTATATACTTTTATTAACTAAGACTTCTAATAATAAAATATAGTTACTTAATTAATACTATAATAGAAATAATTATATTAATATTATATTTATAATATATTAAATAATATTAATATATAAGAGCTATTACTATAGGTTTTGAAAATTTATTATTTTAAGCTTATTTAATTTAATCTATTATTATTATAAAGTACTATCTATTTATAAGCTATAAATAAATCTAAGACTAGTAAAAGATTTTAATATTTTTTCTAAGTAAAATACTTACTAATATAATCTTCTAAAGGTAGTATATAAAACTATATACTATAATATATATTATTAGATTTTCTTAATAACCTCCACGGTAATAATACTCTTTATAAGTATAACCTATACTTATATTATAAGTCGTCATGTGTAGACATCTATCCGCTACCCAATGAGAAATAAAGTACATACGTTATCTGCCCATCCTTACCGCAACATACTGAACCCATCCGCCGTACGGCATTCTATATTACTCTCTTTAACCTTACATGTGGATTGGCTTTGAGTAGGTGGCCATAGCAGCCTCCTTGAATGCTTCAGCAAGGGTAGGGTGAGCATGGCATGTGCGAGCAATGTCTTCACTTGACGCGCCGTACTCGAGGGCCAATGTTGCCTCCGCAATCATCTCACCTGCATTGGGTCCAATAATGTGGACACCCAAGAGCCTGTCAGTCTCTGGATCGGCAAGCATTTTGACCATACCCTCTGTGTCCATGTTGGTCTTAGCGCGTGAGTTGGCGCTAAAGGGAAAGGAACCGGTTCGGTAAGGGATGTTCTGGGACTTGAGGTCCTGCTCGCTCTGGCCGACCCAAGCGACTTCTGGATAGGTGTACATGACAGAAGGGATGACTCCGTAGTTGACGTGGCCGTACCCTTTCTTTATGTACTCGACAACGGCCACAGCCTCCTCTTCAGCCTTGTGTGCCAACATGGGCCCGAAGGTAGCATCACCCACGCAGCGGATGTGGGGTATTTTGGTACGGTATTCAGAGTCGATAATGACCCGTCCTCGTTCGTCCAGTTCAAGACCAATATTTTCAAGACCAAGACCTCCGGTGTACGGCCTGCGCCCAATTGCAACCAAAACAACCTCGGCGTCAATCTGCCGGTGGAACTAAAGTTAGCCTGTCCGCAAGGTAGCGAGAAACGTGAATGCTTACAGTTTCAGGCTTGCCGCCTTTGGCAGCGTCGATCTCTAGCTTCACCTTGTCGCCGCTCTTGTCGCCGCTCAAGACCTTAGTGCTAGTCTTGAAGTTGATTCCCTGCTTCTTCAGAATCTTCTGGGCGTTCTTGGAAATCTCGGCGTCCATTCCCGGACCACCAATCTGGTTCAGAAACTCAACGACGGTCACCTTAGTCCCAAGGCGAGACCACACAGAAGCCATCTCCAGGCCAATGATACCGCCGCCAATGACGACCAGGGACTCAGGAATCTTGTCGAGGGCCAAGGCTCCAGTGCTGGTCACAACGCGCTTCTCATCGATCTCCAATCCAGGAAAGGGGGTTGCCTCGCTACCAGTGGCGATCAGGATATTCTTGCCACGAACGGATGCTTCACCACCATCATTCAACGCGACCTTGATCTCGTTCTCACTAACAAAAGACCCGGCACCCTTGATGTACTCGACGCCATTTTTCTTGAAGAGGAACTCGACACCCTTAGTCAGACCTCCGACAGCAGTGTCCTTGGCCTTCATGAACTGCTCCAGGTTCAACTTGACGTCCGCGACGTCAATACCGCGGTTCTTGGTATCGTGCTTGATGGTGTGGTAGAGGTGAGAGTTGTTAAGAAGGGCCTTGGAGGGAATGCAACCGACATTAAGGCATGTACCGCCTAAGGTACCTCGCTTTTCAATACAGGTAACCTGGAATACAGTCAGTAGGGCCCCGTTCCATTACCGTCCATCGACATATACTGGCGGACGACGAGCTTTACCTTCATGCCTTCCTGGCCAGCCTTAATAGCGGCGACATACCCAGCTACACCGCCACCAATGATGACCAAGTCCTTTTCCTCTGCAAACACAAGGTGATTAGCTTAGGTTAGCTAGGGGCCAAACTGAGTATTTTTGCAAGGGTGAATTGACAATGGAAAGCTCGACGCACCAGAGGCGGAAGCATAGGTACGACTCCATCTCGAAAGCTGAGTGGGCGCAATGATGGCCGGCAATCTAAGAGGGATGATGTTAGCTCCAATGAGACTCTTTGCAACTGCTAGAGCGCGCAACCTGAGCGCAAGGATTGCCCTACGAGGTATGCTTCCTAAAAGCCGATTTGGCAAAGGAACGAGGTATCAATCGACTGGAAAGCATGATTGCGGCTGACACCGGAGGATGATTCGATAATCAATGAAAACGAAGCACGAAAGCAAGCTTACGAAAAAAGGGGAGGGGGAGAAGAGTAACAGAAAGAAAATGCGACGATGCTTCGCACAAGAGTGGATAGGTGGATGAATGAGGTAGATGAATGGTTGAATTGACTGGATGGTGTTGGGCAAGCTTCGGCTCGAACTGGAGCTTTGTCGGTCATGGGATGGGGGCTTGAATTTTTCGAAGGTAACTTCCGGCGAGCGGGCAGACAATTAGCTGCAGGGGGGAAGAAGCAACCACCGCGTTGGGTACCTGTAGGAGACCCATACTCCCATAACTGTCGCACTGTGCGCCACCCGAGAGGCCAATAAGCGCCAAGGGAGTGACATCGACTGCCGCGGTAGAGAAGCCTTCCCTTGACAACACATTTATAGTGCTCCATACACAGGCGCCTTGCCCCTAAATTCCCTGCTTATGCAATCCACTAGCGGGAGGTGGTCCTCAACGTTCTCCCTGCTCTCTTCCGTCATCTCCCGCGTTGAGGCAAGGTAGCCGCTGCCCGCCCGACGTCCCGGGATGAACGTTCAAAAGTCGCTGCTACCACCATGCCGAAACTGGCCGATACCAACCAAGTTGAGGCTTGACAAACTGGCTTATCGCTCATTCTCCCAATAGCATGATGGCCACATGCAATTTGGCAAGGAATCTTCAGATGCCTTGCAGCCAACCGGTGCCTGAGTCGGTTGTGTGGGTGCAAAATCTGCTAAATATTCTTGATAGGTACATTTTGGATATTGTGGTGATATCGTTGCGGTCACAGGAAAGGTTATGAGTGTGCTTTTGTGGGCTCGCAGATATGTCTCCAGGACATTGTCACAGAATATTTACTAGTCTTATCACCTATCTCTTCCTTACTCCCTTGACCGCCAATATATTCCTTCATCAATGACTTGCCTGCTTACACGATATCATGTGCTGGCTTTGCAAGGAGGGCCTCAGCTATCTTGCAAGCTTGTCTAACCTTCTTGGCGTCTTTTTTACCATCAACAAGGTCGGTATCTCGCACCCTTCTCCTGACGAAATACCCGATGCTCCGCGACAGCTCGGGGGCTAGCCTACTGCCAAATGGCACGCTCAGAGCCTGCTCCAAAGTCTTGTTCTTGGCCCGACTGCATTCCTGAAGAACGCTAATAAGCATCACTTCCACAAACAAACTTGTAGTCTCCTTGATATAAGCAAGGTTAAGTGCCCTAAGGATTCCAAGGCTTACTGAGCCATCGGCAACAAGGCTTCCTACCATTTTGGCGGTGTTAATGAGGCGACGGTCATCTGCTGCCTCGTCGTCCTCTTCTTCTGGTTCTTCTCCGAACAAGGGCTCGCCTAGTCTCCGGAACAGTGTCCAGATGGTGTCCTGAAAGGCATACTTGATTCGCGAGTCTCCGCAAAACTTCTTTGCCACAAGTGTGTAGTAAGGGTTATAGTGTTGCTGTGCTCCAGAGCACTGCATAAGTACGTTAGGTACCTCGCGCCGATTGTACTTGTTCAGCCGCAGCTTCAAGATCCGCATGTATGCGTCCTGGTAATCAGCTGCTGCAACAAGTGCGATAAAGATGGCGCGTCGAACGTCTGTGTTCATGCCTTGCTCTCTTGCAAGCTGGGCATAGTCAGGAGCAACCAGATCATCAACATCGGCGATCATAGCAACATTTTCGTCGATATTGATGCTGCCGTCCTGATCCGACTCGAGAGACGTTGTGAGCACTTGTGAACCACTTTGCTTAGCTCCTGAGCCGGCCCAGCTGGCCCCGACCAGCCACCACTTGCCAGTCTTGTCAGCGTTTTCGATATCCCTCAATCCTATTCGCAAAGGTTCCGTTGCCTTAAGCTTTTGCGTGTCAAGCGAACCCAACAGTTTCCTCATGCGTGTTACATGCTCGTTCAGAATGACTAGGTCCTGTGCACCTGCCTTCAACTTGTTGTTTTTGAGGTCACTAATAGTTTCAATCATGAATTTTGTCCGGATTGTCAGGTTGCCCTCGCCGATCTTGGCGACCGCAGGACGAATAAGGCTGACAATGTCCTTGAGTGCTAGTGGATCGTCCTTGCGTAACTGGGGGCCAGCCACACGCACGATCCGCAGCAGAAGCTCTGCATTCAGTTCCGAGAGGTCGTCTAGTAGGAGTCGTACAAGATCGAACATGAGATTGCTGCTGATGACGCGGAATATGTACATCTCCGCCAGAACTGTGATTAAGTTGGATGTCTCTTTGGTGGGGATTCGTTGTGCTTTGGCGGCCCCTATCGCTATGATTCTCTCCTCCTGAAACCGCTCCACAGACGTTGTCAGGAAGTGTGCTGCAAAGTCTATGCCGATGACTTTATATATAGCCGCAACGAAGCCAGCAGACAGAACCAGTAGGGTGTCGGGTTTGCTTGTAGAATCGCAGATCTGCGCCATTAACAGGCCTGTTAAGATGTTGTTTGTATAACCCCTCGGATGGTCACGATACACCTTCTCGATTTCGCCTACTATAGAAATCATGTTTGCCTCGGCAACTCTGTTGACGGGACCCTGTAGCCTTTTGCGAATCTTTGCCTCCAAGTCGGCATCATCACCAGACCTGGCGCGCATTGATGGCGGGATGTACTTGGAGGATTGGCTACCAACAATTACTGGTGGTAGGTATGGATTTTCCCGGGCCCGTATCGGGGTTGTTGTTGCCCCCTCTACAACCGACTTGAAACTTTGCAAAGAATCGCTGTCGCTCAGACAACTGATAAGTTCATCGCCATCTTCATCATTGTTGTAGTGATTGCTTTGGCCCCCCACCCTAACCTTCTTGTCCTCATCTTCCAAGTCACTGAAGCCGTCGTCCGAACCCAGTAGGTCGTCACCCACATCGTTGATTGCGTCAACGTCTTCGCTGTCAGGCTGGCCTGTGACCTCAATTTGGCCACCTGTCGCTTTGCCTCGCTTTCTGGCAAGCCACTCTTTGACCTCGTTTTTTTGCTGGCTGGTTCCTTCATCCGAGTCATTATTGTCACCTAGGCCGCCTAGCAAGTTGTCTAGCCCATCATCCTTAAAAGCCTTTGGAAGTGATCTTCGACCCTTTTTAAGCCCAAGCTTTCTCTCTAGTTTCTCGATTTCGGCATCATCCTTGGCCAGCTTCTCACGAATGGCACGAGATAGTTGTTTAGGCGCAGGCTTTTGGTTTGATGTATCGGTGCGCTCGCTCTCTTCGGAAGCTTCTCGCTTGCGCTTTTTCAGGGCCGGATTTGCGGTATTACGCTTAGAAGACAACTCATGGACGTTGACAATAGCACTATCAATGTCGCCCTCGTCAGATTCCTTCCCTGGTCCGTTGTAGTTCCTGCGTACGTCTGTCTGCGCTGGGTTATGGTGTTGTTTCTTTGATAGTCTTTCAGCTTTGCGACGGTCCTTTCTATTTTGTTCTTGGGATTTCCATCTTCCACGAGACCTAGAGGCACCAGATTGATCTGGGGCACCAATTTCTTGGAGAAGCCTCGTGGGCAAGGCGAGTGGTTTGGGAGGCATTTCGGCTGGTGATGACGGACTTGATGCGAGTTATGTCTAAATCGATCTATTTTGGGATAGCTTCAAATTCCCAAGCCAAATATTGGAGGGGGCTGAATAACAGATCGTAGTGGCAGAAATTGAGAAAGAGACGAACAAGTGGCACGCCAGCCCCAAGTTCAGAAGTTTCGTTCTGTTTGTTGAAGGCGGGAAACTTTTTAATGGGCCTAGGCATCGATAAGCCGATAACAGATACATACTCCAGCGAGCTTTGGGGCTATATTGTTGGCTGAGCTTGTGCTGGCGCTGGCAGTAGTTCAAAGTACTTTTGCACGGAAGACACTGCAGCGTATACCTCAAGGAACCTGCCAAAGAAAATCAAGCCAGAATGGTGGATAACCAACTTAGCGGGGTGCTAATTGTCCAACTCTCGTCTCCCTTGTACATCCACGGTCCCCCAGCTGCCGTCATGGGAACATTGACAAACAATACAGGAGTATCTCGTTAAATTTGGCTCCAACCAGTCAGCGTAAAACCAACTCAGACCATGACAGGTCATTTGAGCCACGACGAGGCAAGTCGCTCCCTTTGACAAGCTCACCTGAACGCCTATCTCAAGAAACAGTGCTGACCTAAGCTCAAATAGTTCTTCGGCGAGCTAGCCAAACTCTTCGAGCAGCGTAGGGGCAAGGGAAAGGGCTCTGTCTTCCTTGTCCAGAAGAGATGTATGCCGACCTGCATCTACCGGCCAAGACTAATCATAAGGCTGACCGCTACGTTCTCAGTATCCTACAACCAAGATGTTACTTCCCCAACAGCTACAGACCCGTTCCCTGACCTCCATCCTGCGAAGCCGCTACCCATTCTCGTTCGTGCTACCAACGGAAAGTCGAAGAAGAACAGGGCTTCTAAGACGAAGCTTTCCACTGTTGTCGAGGTAGATGTTCTGGACGGCTTCTTCACACGCTACGCCGATATCTGCAAAGCTGGCATGTCGGCTTTGAAGCCCAGAGATAGGAGCAAGAAGAAGGCCAAAGCCCGGAAGAAGAAGGGGACAGCCACAGCAACCACTTCAACCTGATAAGTGACGGTCATGGTGTTGAAAATAACATAGTGTAAGGATCTTGTGGTGCAGACGAGCCGTCGTCCATTGAGCACTTTCGTTGCGAGTGTACGCTGCCAACGCAGTCACAATTCAGCCGGTCAAGGAACTAGGCGTGGAAGCGCCGCAGATGGATGGGTGCAAGTCATTTTACTTTGAAAGCGTCCAGCTGTAAATAAAGGCTCATCTATCCTCGACCGATGCATGGCTGCCGATGGCTAAAAAGCTGTTGCCGAGAACCATTCGTTTATGACGAGCATACTTTCTATATTAGCCAATGCATCAGTTGCGCTTGCGTTCTAGGCGTGATATCCAGGCTCAAACCTTCACCGTCTTTAATCGCAGCCGGTATAGTCCCCACTCTTGATCCATTGCCCATCGGAAGTATCCCCTGCCCCGACTTGCCTGGCTGCAATTCGACTTCTCATCAAGAAAATTGGCTGAGAGGTATTCGAAGCAGCACATTGCCCCCCATCGCCCGTGAGAATAGACGCATCATCGTACCCAAACTCGTCTAGTGCTTCTCTGACGAATGCGCATACTTGGCATTCACTGCTTCTCGGATTTTCAGGGATCCCAACGTACATGCATAGACGCTTCGGACATCTGAGGGTCGGGTCACTGGTTTCGCAGCTCGGCAGTTTTCTGTGGCTCTGCCATCTCGCCCCGCAGCTTGTACATTTGTGAAGATGAAGTTCGCACATCAGCTTTGGGTGGTTAATTGGCAACAATAAAGCTAGGAGTTGTTCTTGGTCAGGCAAAAGCAAAGCTGAACTGATACCCATATATACGCTCACACAGGGTTCGCGTTTCTGATTTCGCAGCAAACAGGACCACAGTTTCAATGACACATAGGTTGTAAGTTGCAAGTTTGCCATAATGACAGCAATGTCCAATGCCATACTTCTGTCCAATGCCATACTTCTCACCCTAAAACTTGTCAGCCAGATCGGACGACGTTGTATTGCAGTAGAGATGACCGCAGGTGATGATATGTTAAAATGACCAATCTCACACTTGCCCAGGAGGCTACACAAGAGTCGCAGCAATCAGTAGAAACATTGTACCAACACTCTGTTCATAAATAAGATTGGTAGATCAACACTTTGAGTCAAATGCCTTGTTCATGCAATAATGTATTGGTGCAAAATCGTGTTTGACCCTGATACTTGCATTACCAGACGGGACTTTAACCATTAAACATCGCTTCGACATTTGAGTCATGAACCTCGACAATTCGTGAAATGACAAAGCACGGCACGGTGCTTGGAGAGTTGTCAATAACTTGACAACCTGTTGCCTGTCACCTCTACGATATACTGTCACACGCAATCACCAAGTTGCCGTCGCCCGTTCTGATTCAGGATCTTCTGCTACTACCACCGCATGAGAAGTTCAGCAGATGATGATCAAAATACACTCTAGGTAGAGCCCTCTACCTACGTCCTCACGAAAGTCAACATCTCGAGACAAGTCAATGTAGAGTACTGGGATGGATGCCAAGCTGGGCGATCTAGTCTGTGGCGACCAGACCAAGTAGCAAATGGCTCTGAGAACACCACCTGAAGCAATCATCGTATGACAGTGGAAGTGGTGTTAATTTTGCCCCCAAAGCAAAGGGTATGACCAATATCAACCAACTCATGCCGCCTAGAAGTTCTGGATTGCATTGATGAAGAGAAAACTTGCCGCAGCAAAACCGGAAAAAAAAAAAACATGTTATAAGGAGAGTGCAGACTGCTGCATGGAGTGAGTACAAGAATGATTTGTTGGTTGTTCCTTAACCGAAGTTGTCCTCGGGACCCATCCCAGCTTGAACCAAATTGCAGATGGGAATGCCAATCCACGTCGTGCCATGCCCATTGAGCCAATAGTGACAAGTGTCAAGTAAAGCTCACCACTTGCCAGATCTGGGTCGACACTACATGATTTGGTCTTGCGTCAGGCCACCGTGGGCATCCGTCTCCATAACAGTATCACCACCGGTTGCCGCATTCAGGTATCGGACGAAGCTAAGACCAAGAGGACGGCCGCCGTACTGGTAGCCTTGGAATTTGGCAATCGCTGTTTCCGCGGTATCTGCTGAGTCAAAGCGAACCACGCCGGTACCACGCGAGCGACCGCTAGGCTCGTATTGAATTTCGGCCTGTTCAACCTTTCCGATAGTGGTAAAGAGTTCAACAAGATCCTCGTTGCTGGTGGACCACGGCAGCTTTACTGTTGTCAGCAATTCGGTTATCAACAGCATTTCCTCAACGGACCCGACTTACATTACGAACATAGATGGTCTCACTCCTATCAGTTCCAGCCGTGGCGAAATCAGTAAATGGGTTTGGGGGGACGGAAGGTGCGTTGCCAGCGTCAAAGCCGCCGCCGCCGCCGCCTCCTCCTCCGAAGCCGCCGCGGCCATAGCCGCCGCCGCCGAAACCACCGCGACCACCGCCGAAACCGCCACGGCCATAGCCGCCGCCACCGCCAAAGCCACCTCGCATTCCACCGAAACCGCCACGGCCACCGAAGCCCATGGGGCCTCCAGCACCGGCAAATCTATCTTCGCGAACTTCAAGCAATCGACCCTGCCAGTCGTAACCATTGAATTGCTGAATAGCGTTGCGAGCATCGTCAGGGTTTTCGAAAACTACTATTCCGGATCCCTTCGGGCGACCATCGGGGCCCAGATGAACATCGGCACGGATAACAACTCCATTGCGAGCTAAATTCACCATGTGAGTTACCAAAAATAACGGGGAAATGAAAGGCAGCTTATAAGATTGCGGAACTGTTTCTCAACTTACCAGCTTGCCTGAAAAGATCCTTGAGATCTTGCCAGCCCACAGTATAGGGAAGCTAGATACCACGTTAGCCATAACATTATCACATACACGGCCGTGATAAGGTTGGGATAGGACAAACGTTGGCCACATAGATCTGACGACTGCCGCCAGCGTTATAGCCGCCGCCGCCGCCGCCACCACCGCCGCCACCAAAGCCACCGGGATTCATTCCGCCACCGCCAAAGCCGCCGCGGTTGGCCGTGGCGCCGATGAAGCGAGGTTCAGCCTCACGATCCTAAGCAAGAGTAGAGATCAGCCCACGTCCTTCACCGTCAATGAATACTGTTGTGTTACTAACCTCTCGAACGTAGACAAGTCGGCCCATAAGATTCTGGTTGCTGAGCGTTGCCACAGCGTTCTGGGCTTGCTCCCGTGTCGCATATTCCACAATTCTGGATCTTCTGTTAGCGCCATTGATCTGTACCTCTGCCAACAAGGGCTGACGACTTACCCGCATCCCTACATAGACCCGTGGACACGCGTCCCAACCCGTCAATCCAACGATTCCATCAATAGCCAGAGGGAAGAGACCACAAAAGAAAGCCAGCCATAGACTACGTGTAGACGCCCACCTTCGACATTCCGTTTGGAAGTAATAGCACGTCGGCAAAGAGAACCTCTCCCGCTGCATGAACTAGTCAGCTCGTTCGATCACGAAAGCCGACAGTGCACTTGTTGTTGATGACGACGGCCATCTTTTTAGTAAGTTAGGTTGAGGCGAAGAACTCACCCTGTCGCATAAAATCCTTGAGATGATGCCATTTGACGTCGTACGATAGATTACCGACGTAAACACGACGGTCCTGTTGCGACGTCTCGCGAATGTTGCTCATCATTTGTTCTCTAGCGGCTGCGCGCTCCTCGTACGACCTATGTTGAGGCGCCCCAGCGTAGCCAGTACTAGATCCTCCAGATGGAGCTCCGGTTCCAGTCATGGGGGAACGGTCTCTTCTTCCACGGTACTCGTCTCTACTGCGGGATCGGCTCCGAGGGGAGAATGAGCGACGTCTTGAGGCACGATTGGGGCTGCGTGAACGGCCGCGTCGAGGGGATCGAGATCTCTCCCGCTGATAAAGATTAGCGACGAGCGCCGCCATGGACAGCCAGTGAATTGGGAAGGAATTCACTCAGGGCTTTTTTGGAAAAAAGACAAGTGTCGCTTTGAAGCAGACGGGCTGGATTGAGAAAAGTGAAGGGGTCCAATAATGAGGTGTGGAATTTAACATGAAGAAAGGTTTGGGTAGGGAGTGACATATGGATGATAATCCGGAGGAATAGGAATAAGCGGCGTTATAATGCGTCGCGTTCAGTATGCTCGCTGCATTTGAAGAGGACAGGAATCACAAGGCTTGCCTAAGGACATACCGCCTTAGTGGTTCGAGAAAGGACAGTGGAGAGACCGGTGCCAGGCACTACCTCCCACGTCCGAGCTGTCGCGTCCTTTCCAGCCAGACGAGGAATGAAAGCTCAACAAACAGGAATGCTGCTACTGGAGGTGCCAGAGAACAGGACAGCGACTTCGCCAGGGTAAGATAGACAGGCAGGTAGGCAGTTGAAGGTAATGGTAGGGGGCCTTGGGAGCACAGACAAGCGCCGCCAGTATGCAACTATGTTGCGAGGCTCGAGGGCGAGCCCCAAAAGGTTGCCCTTGATGATGTTGGGAAAAGGGAAAGATGAAAACTTACAGGTCGATAAGTGTCGACAGAGTCAGCTACGAAAAATCAGGTCAGTTAGAAGCCGAAGCTTGGAAGTCTGGAAGTGTGTGCAAGAGAAAAGTAGGAAAACGCAAAAAGTGAACAGGAAAGGATGGATAAAAGGGTACCAGCGGTCGATATTTGGATAACTGGAAGGGTGGGCAGGCGCAAAAGAACGGCGAAGGGGGGTAGTAGAGGCACGGTACGGGTCTGGATACGGGAACGTGTGCATAGTGGAGAAGGTCTGGAAGGACATGCAGCTACTTAAGGCACAGCGCTGCGGTACCTTCCTTGTTCACCTGGCTAGAGGTTTGCAGGCAAGGACCAGTAAATGATGGATGGATGGATGGATGTAGGAGAGGGATGAAGACAGGAAGGTACGGGGGTACGGAGGTACCTCTTCGGGGATGGAAGTAAACGACAAGTTGAGAGAGGGGTGGGAAAGGCAGAGGGTAGGCGGGGGAGAGGGGAAAGGCAAGGGAAGGGAGGGATGAGGGGTGGACGGATAGAGATAAACGGAGGGAAGAACGGAGAGAGCAGATGGGTGGTCATCGAGCTCCTGTACGAGGGTACATATGTACGCAACCATGTATCTCAACCATGAATGTACGCATGTGTGATAACGACGGATTGATGGATGTAAGTGAATGGACACTGAATGTCAGACTGGGTGGATGGGGATGGGGGGCATGGGTAGTGGTTTGTGGTTTGGTTGGGCGTAGGGGGGAGTATGCCCGCCATGCCCAGGGCCATACTGGGACGCAAGGTCAATATGGTAAGACGGGGAACGCAGCATGGAGTGGGAAATGTACAAGTGGCTGGAAAAAAAAATAGGTAGGCATGTGCAGTAGCGCTACGCTGGATGTAAGGACGGGAAAACTGATTGAATGAGGGAGAAAACTAGGATGACGATGATGATGACCCGGAGATGGGGAAAGAGTTGAGCTAAGGAAATAAGATGAACCAGGAAAATTGCTTGTCAAATCCAACGACACCATGTACGCGCCAGGTTCGAGCGTGAAGAGTGAGGCAACAGGACGTTGTGCTCGTGCTTGACCAGAGCCAAGTAAGGCGAGGCTGGAGGACAAGGAAGACGAGGCAGCGGTACTGTGGAGGAGAACGAGGAGACTGGGTAAAGGAACGAAGGAAAGGGCAAGGACAAGACGGGCATTGCAATCCAAGGTAAGGTAAGGTAACCAGTCCACGAGGACGTACTGCGGCGCAGGAGAAAATGAAAAAGAGATTGACTTACCCATGGCTACCTACGACTCGTGTGCGATTGGGGCAAGAGAAAAGAAGTCGAGTAGCTCGAGGAATTGATTGCTTGCCGCTGTGATGTGATGCGATACGAAGTGATGTGACGCGCGTGTGCGCGTTGGGTTGGTGTGTGGACAAATAAGGCAGAAGGGGGAAAAGAGGAGGAACGGGATGAGCAGGCGCAAACGCAGGCGCAGATGCAGACGCAGACGGCAAGAAGGCGTATGCGGAAGGGTCAGACAGGCAGGGAATAAGGTACCTTAGGTAAGGCAATAACAGATGAGATGAGGTAAGGCCGAAGGTCAGGTACGTGAGCGCAAAAGCAGGCACGACGACAGGCCTTTGAAAGGGGGAGCGTTGTGTGTGTGTGTGTGTGTGTGTTTTGTGTGTGAGAGAGAGAGGGAGCGGGCGGGCATGTCTAGGACGGGTCGAGTGAGGTGGGCGGGGGGCGGAGAAACGAAACGGAAGCTCCTGGAGCTTGGACCGGACCCAGTGAAGCGGGATGATAACAACCAGCAGAGCCTCTATGCAAAAGGTGACGTGCTCGACGAGACTGCACCAGATGGATGCTATGGGGCGGGCAGGGAGAGCCCAATTCGATCCCAAAACCAGGTTCAGTGGATGATGCCGGTGCTAATCAGTCAACCACACTATACTTCTGGACCTAGCTCAGCGGCGGGAGTGTAACTACTGAGAGAGGGTGGAAATGAAGTCATCGGAATATCGAAGCGGCTGCCACATGTCACTTCCCCCCTGGTTACGGAGACGAACAAAAGGACCAAACCCTATGCCAGCGGCAAGTATTGCACTGCCAGACCAGGCAGACAAAGCCAAAAGGAAAAATCAAAAATCACGATATCAGCCTGCCAGCCGGCTGGGGCATAATGAAGCCAGACATTCGGGCACCCGAAACAAACAAACGAGCCTAGGCACCAAGGAGCGCATCAAATGGCCGCATCAGTAGCGTATGACGATTGGCCAATGACAAGCCGCAAGTGTGGGGGACAAGCTGCAGGAAATGTGAATAGTCACAGCAGAGGCGGAACTCGACCTTTGCATGAGATGACGAATGAGCAATCATCTGCACTGCCGCCATGTACGGAACGCCTTTTACGGAACTGCTCAACCTTGTACATCCAACCTCCAGTCTAGTCTAGATGTGCTGCATACTTAGAGTAAGACCAAATAGGGGTGGAGCGTGCGATGGTACACCTGATGACTAGACATTAAGTTACCCCCATCCTTCACCCAAACCCAAGCCCACCTTGATGCCTGGGTTCAGAACTCGTAACCCTGAGGACCTTGGTGGCTAATGTCGTATCCATAAAGTTACCACAATACATTGGAAACTTTTGACTAACAAATAAGGCGTCTTGACAGACGTACACGTCTCGCGGCTGTTGGGAGGACCTTGAGGTCCCTCATTTTCCTTGTCCATGGAGAGAGCTGGCATGAACCCTTCTAACCTGGACCCCGGACAATTCCCGATGTCATACCGAGTGTGCGAAACCAAGGCACCTTTGCCTTACGGCACGGGCTGTGCTGAGTGCTTCGGGAAGGCACAGTGGGAAAGCATACAGACAGGCGCCTGCGGTGTGACATTGTTGTGTTGTGCTGTGTCTGGCATTGTCTCACTCACCGGAGAGCGCAAGGGATACTACACAGGCATTCCCTATGTATGCCAATGCACCAAACACCCTCCCACCATCCTATACGTGCGCGTATTGCCAGCCAAGGGATGACGGGGGTACAGTACTGAAGACCAACGATTCCCAGGTCAAATTGCTCCCACCATAGCTGATGTATTTCAAAGCTCAACTGCGGACCATTGCCCCACTGCAAGGATGCAGTGACTAGGCCCAATCACACAGTGAGAAGCCCAATCACCTGACGATGTAGCATGTTTTGATTGGTATCCAAGCCCCCTATCATTGCCCTGATAAGTTCTAAGCATCGGTACGCAGGACTTCTTCGCCATCCTATTAAGCCGCTGCATCCCTCATATGCCTCATAGTTCCTGCACATTCAAGCCAGGCGTGCCGACCAAAAGATAAATTCAGCCTAGCGATCCCTCTTGCTTTCTTGACCACAACCGTGGTTGCCATTGGACTCGTAGGTCAAGGGACCACAGCCTAAGTTCTGTGAGTAGTTACCTACAAAAGCGGCCTCTCAGTCAGCTTGAGCCTGGGTCTGGCAGAGAAATCGCCGGTTCTGGCCATAGCTCGACAGACAATACACGAATTATTTGACCTGGCTTTGCCGTCCAGGATAGAAACAGCAATCTGCACGGCACATTATTTCCTTGATGGCGGCCTTGACAGCACACATTGAAGATAAATTAAAGAAAATGGCAGGACCGTGATGCTCTATAAGGCAGCGCTCGGCAAAAACGAAAGAACCTTGCCATATCTAGCGTTGCAGAGCTAACCTTGGCCTCACAGCTACTGGGCGAGCCATTGACAGCACTAGCTCCCAGTATTCAGCGTAATGACTTACCCAGATCTTTCACGGTCCTTTCCACATGTACCCAGAGAACCGCCGAAGCGAGAGAGCAAGAGAGAGAGAGCGCGGGTGTATATGTGTGCGTATATGAGTATCTGTTAGCGAGGAGGGAGGAGATGGGGAGGGTAAAAAAAAAAAAAAAAAGGGCCACGGGATCATCCGTACTGGGACTGGCACCACATTCCCAACGAGGCTACCGTTGGTCGTCCTTTTGACGCATCCTTTTTGAAGCATTGGTCAGGGACTGATCAGCGTGGGAAAAGTCGTCACCATTGGTAGCTGAATATTTATATTTTGTCTACCTGAGATTAAGGCTGTAGTCACAGAACTGCTTTACACTGTCCTCTGCCATGTCTATTACTTGCCGTCCGGCAGCCGGATCGATTTTTCGCTCCTTGCGCCGTTGCCACAGAGCTTCCCTAATCAACAGCCGAGAAACCCGGTCCTACCATTCCTACGACAACCCAGATCCGTCTACAACTTTCAACCCTAACGAGGAGATACTCTTATCTGCCGCTTATAAGCATGTTCCCGATCATGGGTTTTCCCACAAGGCTTTAGCCCTCGGTGCCAAGGATACCGGATACCTTGACATCAGCACCAGCATTCTGCCAGATGGCCCATTCAGCCTAATCCGTTACCATCTCGTAACAAGGCGCGAAAGTCTAGCCGCCAGGAGCAAGGAAATATTCGACAAGGAGTCAGAAAGTGGTGTTCTCGAGAGGGTACAGCGTCTTACGTGGGACCGGCTTCTGGGCAATGAAGCTGTTATAGACCGATGGCAAGAGGTACCGTACAAATTTCTTCCCATATCCTTCCCGTTATTTAGGGAAGCTGACAATGCTGGCTACAGGCGTTGGCTGTCATGGCGCAGCCAAGCTATGCATCCGCCTCGTTCAAGGAATTGGCCAAACTAGCCGATGAAATATGGTTTCTTGCTGGCGATACCTCTGTCGATCCCTCGTGGTACACCAAACGCGCGAGCTTATCGATGATTTACGCATCTAGCGAGCTGTTCATGACCAATGATAAGTCAGCTGGCTTCACAGACACGAGAGACTTCCTTAGGCGAAGGCTGATTGAAATCAACGAGGTCAGCGGTATACTTGGCTCCATGGGACAGTGGGTTGGGTTCACGGCCAGCGCTGGTGTGAATGTTCTGAGAAGCAAAGGTCTTCCAATCTAGCAGAGGCTTGAGGATGCCGCTGCGGCTGCATCACTAAGACCTATGCGGTTGATGATGTTGTATAATAATGTCTTTATATGTACAGCTTCGTTGTAAACTTTCTTCGTACATCAACTTGTTCGCTTTTTCCACAATGTTACAGAATAAAACACATTAAACAAGCCAATCGAAAAGACTGCCATACTCCTAGCTTAGGATATAATACAACAGCTATCGCTTACTCTTCACCGGGTAAGCGTTGCCTCCAACGCCAACAGCAACAAAACAATCTCAATTCGTTGGAAGGCCATAAATATACATTAGACCAAGGTTCGCTGGCGAGGATCGGTCAAGCTGAATGGTGAGTCAGCACATTTGAAAGGCAATGAAAGCAAAATCAGTCGTCTACAGCCTGTCGGGGAGATGAACTGAACTCACCGAATGATTTTCACGTCCTTGTCGAGCGCAGCCCGTCCTTCTATCGCATTTGGCGTAATCATGACGTACTGACGTGATACCGAGCGCCGTGCGGCATTGATCTAGGAAGAGAAAAAGCCCATCGATTAGAAGAGAACGAGCAGGTAGATGTCATGGAATGACTTACCAACATATTTGTACTGATAGTGCGGTTAACGTTGTCCATGAAAACGTCGAATTCGTCCAGGCACCTCAGAGGCGACCCCATAGCTTCCCAGATGGCTAATAGCATACAAATAGACGAGAATGACTTCTCGCCTCCCGATAATGTCTTCGTACTTCTGCCGCCAGTACCTTTTCGTGTCTCGTCGGGTTCCACAAATAGTGATAGTCTTCGTTGTGGATGATCGATCGCGAGTTTACCCCTGAAGCCGCGCTCACTTAGCAGATATTGGAAGCAAATACGGGCTCGTGCAGATATGTGACGTTGAAAGAGCCGCCATCTGCTGAGACGATCTTCCAAATTAAGCTTCCCTGCTGCCTGTTCCTCTAGTTGGCCTTGATATAGTAGCTTGGCAGCTTCATAGGCGGCTTCAGCCTTCGCTGCCCGCTCCTTGATTTCATCGTCCGATGCCCCAAGTCTTTCAGCCCTTTTCTCCAGTTGCTGGTGAATGGTAGCGTACTTAGATTCAATACTCTTATGAGTCTCGCCCTCCTCAATATACACCCGGTTCGGGGCTTTCTCCATTGCTTGCTGGGTAAAGCTGGCCACAGTTTCAGCCTGTTGGTCACGCTTAGATTCTGCGCGTCGTTTATCTTCCATCGCATTATCACGGTCCTCAAACGCACGGTTCTTTTCCATGACCGCAAGCTTTCGTAAATCCTCCGCCCTTTGAACGCCAACACGCAGCTTGTTCAACTGTGCATCGAAGTCTCGCAGTCTTCTCTTCTTATCGTCCCACTTTTCCTTGCATTCTTCGGCCTTTTTGTTAAGCTCTTGCTGTCGCAAGCGCATTTCGCCATACTGGTTGCCTTGATGGTTTTTCTCGGCTTTGCACTTGTCAAGTTCCTCCCTAAGAGTAATAAGTCTGCCATCAACTCCTTCATACTGATCAAGTTCTGTGGCAACACTTTCACTCTTCGCTTGAGCTCTAAGCAGCTGCCGTTCCAATGACATATTTTCGGTTTCCTGGGCGGCCAAGTTGGACTGACACTTTATGGACGCCTGTTCTAGTCGCCGCTGATTTGCCTCTAACGACCGCAAGTCGCCACGCAGATGAGCTAAAACTTCACCTTGCAGTTTGACCTGAGTCTCGCTGTCTGATTTCATTCTGGGATGTCTGTTAAAGGCATTGATAGGTGCTGTGTTTGCTCCCGTCTCTTTGGCCTGAATTCGAAGGCCATGACCGCGTTTGTTTGCACCATCATGGAATGTGAGACAGACTTGAACATTCGGTGGCGGCGAGTTCCCCAACATTACCTCTTGGGCTCTTTGCCTCTCTCTTATAAGAATGATTCTGTCAATTGAATGGGCCACGATAAGTTGACTCCGCACCCAGTCATTGTCGCACTTGAGCACGCGAAGGACAGTATCAAAACCTTCATCTGGCTCCCTGAGGTTCACATTAGGTGGCAATCGCTTGCCAATGATGATTGGGGGGCTACGGTTAAGGTTAACCCGCTGCATTAGCCTTGCAAGACGTTGCTGATCGCTTTTGTTCGCGACTAAGAAGCTGTCCAATGTGGCACCCAAGACGGTCTCTAGGATAGACGACCAGGCGGGCTGTAAGAGCTGGAGATAAGCCCCGATCGGCCCAACAGGTTTCTCTTCAAAACCGTTGTCTTGTTCGATAGCTTGAAGAAGGTGGGGGAGGTTTTTGTCATAAGCAGCCCATGCGGATCCTCCGTTCCTTTCGAGGCCCCGTAAACGTGATTCAGCCAACGAAATCTCTTCCCTCTTCTTGTTGATGTCGACTTTGCCGGCAGCTTCGAATTCTCGAGCTATTTTAACCTCTTCACGTAGCTTAGGGAGCCTTTTCTCCCCTTGTTCAATTTGCTCTTTAACATTGGCTTCTTCAGATTTCGCTTCGTTTAACAATTTCTCCTGTTCTTGGCGAGCACTGCCAGCGGAAGCGCCGAGCCGTTGTTCCTCGACTTGAATTCTATTTTCGAAGTCCTTGACTTGTTGTTTTGCGTTGTTGTGACGCTGCTGCACGTCTCGTAGCTGATGGTGTAATTCCATGACCGCAATTTTTGCGTCGTCGTAATCTGTTTTGGCAGCATCAGCTTCCTCGTGAACTGTAGCCGCCTCCAGGGTCTTGGTCTCGACTGATGCCTGAGCACACGCTAGCTGCTCATCACGCTGAAGCAGGGTCTGAGATTTTTTTTCAATAGCTGCTTCAGTCTCGGCCACCATCTCATTTAACGACACGACACGATGATCACATTGTTGGAGGAGGTCTTCTTGCTCAGTCACTTGAGACCAGTAAAGCTGGTTCCGAAGACGACGGTACGTCTTTCTCATCTCTTCGTTTTTTTGAGCAATGTCCCTGAGCTTCTGAGCCTCGGAGTATTCGCGTTCTACACGTCGAACATGCTCCTCGAGGCTTGGCAGTTTCGCTTCGTGGCTGTCTAAAATTTCCGTTAGAAGCTTATAGTCGTTATCGAGCTGTTCAAGTTGCACGCCTCGTACGAAGAATTTGTACTTCATCGAAGCTGATGACGAGTTCAAGAACTGGCGCGCATTGTCTTGAGATAGAACGTTGAGAGGGTTGTCGACCTGGAGGGCCCAGTACTCCGAAATTTCGTCGACATCGGCTTTCTTCGTCGAAATGGTCTTACCCGTCACGCTTTTAAGCTTGAAACCACTTGCACCAGACCTGGAAAAATGTCTTTCAACCCTAATAGTGTTGCCGTAGACGTCAGGTTGATACGCGTCAACGCCCTGGTTCTTTATCCTCACAACAATGACAGAATTTTCGCGGCCTTCTTTGATGAAACTCTTCAAGCTCCCGCCTCTGTTAGTAGAGCTGGCTTTGCCACCAAGGCACAAGGTGAGGGCAGTAAGGACGGCACTTTTGCCGCTTCCGTTCTCGCCAACAACGAAGTTGATTAGAGGACCCAGCTCCACGAAGAGGCGTTCGTGACACATGAAGTTTATGCATTCGATACTCTCTATGATACCATTCTCGGCTGCGTGATTCTCCCCTATGCGTTGAGGGCGGCTCTTGATCTTCTGTGTGGCGCGCTGGTCGTCCTGATCCTCGTATTGTAGGTGCTTAAAACCATCATCGCGAGCGATTTCGTACTGCGTGCGAGGAGGGCTATCACGAGTTTCTTTTTCAATTTCGTCCTCGTGTTCGCTGTGGTTGCCATCAGGAGCAGCCTCACTGTCCGAGCTGGGACCCTGATCTCTTTCTGGGCTGGCCTGCTTCGTCTGGGTGGAGTGTGATAATCGAATCCGTTTGGGCTAGTATCTACCATATCAGCCAGCTTTCAGCAGATTGAAAATAACAGTTCATGCATCACATACAAAGGTATTCTGGCTGAGGCGTGATTTTGCTTGCTGTACGTCTAATATGTCTTCAGTTGTCTCAGTTCCAAGTGCGGAACGCGACCGTTTCGTAGGGGCCATATCGAATATATGAGCAAAAGGCGAGTGACAACACTTGCCTTTTCGTTGTTATATGATATGATGAAGTAGGCTTTCAGAGAAATACAGACATCTCGCGTGAAGAAGGTTTCTCGATGATTGAGCAGAGTAGTGGAAGCCGTTGGCGTAGCGCGTGCGACGCGAGTAGACAAGACAGGGATTCGCGCCTGTGTTTAATGCTAGTGGGGGTGGCGTAGGTAAACTCTTAAGTGCCGTCCGGAGCACTTCTGCCTTCCATTCCATCACGTGCTTCAGTACATAAGTGGCACACCTCAAACTGAAGACCGGCCTTTCTTACAGTAGATGATTCCGCCCCCTATGCTATTCAATACACTTCTTCACCGAAGAAGAAAACAAAAACAAAAATCCACCAAGCGTTCTACATTTGGCTTAACACTTAGCTGATTGTGAACGCCAGTGTTCCTCAAACCGGGTGGGGGGAGCAATCGAGACTAGCCCTCCTTACACAATACCAATTAAGAAAAAGGAGGGTAAAGCTTCAGCTTCCACCTCCATCAAAATATACAATCATCCGGCAACTACGAAAGAAATATCATAAAATCATGACAGAGTTTTTCCAAGACAAACAATACATACCTGGGGGCATCGAGAAGACTCTCCCAGAGAATTTCGTGGAGTATTGTATATTTCTTGTGGATTCTGAGACCCAATTTGATTCAAGGAGACAACTGTCGCGGCTCGAAGAGCTGCGCAAGACGGTCCTGCAACTTACGGCCCAGTTGACTAAGGATTATATATGGCAAAGAAGTTCCCTCGAACTTGAGGTAATAACCGATCAAGGTCAGTTGTCAAGTTAAATGCTTCTCTGGTTTCTAGTAATTGATTCATACCAGGCCTTGCTTACCTGCGGGGAATTTCTGATTATGGGGATGCAATTGAGGACGAGTGGTTGATAGTATTCATCCTCAGGGAATTTTCCAAATCTCATCCGGCGGCTTGGATACGTATTGCTGATAGCGACGGGGAGTTCCTCTTGGTTGAGGCAGCCAATGTGCTACCAAAATGGTTGAGCCCAGAAATTGACCAATACCGGGTATGGATTAACAACGGCCGCCTTCGCGTCATTCCCGTTAATCATAGTTCACTTGCCCCCAACTTGAGGCTCCTTACATTGACAGATGCCGTAAGCGCCATTAGAAAGGGCGCCGACTCCCTCATTCATTCCGAGTTCATCGAGGCTGAGGCTTTCTATCGACTGGAAAAATACCCTGGCCAGATACAAAAGTCTTTGCACCATTCTCTGGTAACAATCCCACGAAGACTGGCCCATGTTCTCCATCAATCTCCAAAGGCAGTTGCTCCAGCTGTGGAGTGTTTTTATCTGCGCGACAGGGCGGATGTAAAACCGCTCTTTAGCAAGCCTGGCGCCCTCCGGTTTCCCCCAAGGGATCTTGTCACTCTTAGTGTAAGGTTCACTAGAGTTTTATTTGCTCAACTCCGATCACAACAATTTGAACCGCCGGCCCCGTGGGTGGATCTTGTCCAGCATGCAAAGGATAAGGAGAAAATCCGCTTGGAGATGGGAATGAAGCTCGCCTGTGGGTTCGAAATGATGCTGAATGCCATCGACAAGACCGATAGTCGCCAAGCTCGAGAGGCAGCCATTATTGTCGAAGATTTACATGAAGACGGGGACTCGGTGCTGCCAAGTGATATTGAGATCAACGCCTGGAAGGATGCGCGACGGGATGACGACGAGTCATGGATGGACATCCGCTACGAAGACTTCGAGCAGGAACTACTTGGAAATCGTACAGGCAGGCATGAAGAGTCCAGTACCGGCTTCGGAGACGCTACAACGCAAGCGGACCTGCGAAAAATTGTTTCTCGGTTCGAAGCATTCTTGAACGATGAAAAAGCGGGCCTTGATGGGGCTGAGGTAGACGAAATGGACGTCGACAACGACGATGACAGTGACAATGGTAGTATCGAAGAAGACGATGACGAAGATAAAGAGGTCAGCTTTGATGAGGTGGAATTTTCTCGCATGATGAGAGAAATGATGGGACTTGCCCCGGCCGGGCTTGGATCGACCCGAGATACTGTCAAGACGCCGCCCATCTTGGGTCAGGCTGGGAGTTTAAGAAGAGCAGATGATGTGGAAGATGAGCCATGTCTTAGCGAAGTCCAAAACCTGGCCGCGCAGTTGGAATCCGAGCTTAAAGAACATGGTGCCCTGAGGCTCGATGCGCCAGGGAGCAAGACCGCCCCCGGTACGGGCAACACCAGGACTGCAGAAGGCAGCAGTCCCGGCAACCCAACAAACCATGATGACGACGACTACGACGAAAACGATGAAGGGGATTGGGAGGACAAAGATGTCGATATTGATTATAATTTGGCCAAGAACTTACTAGAGAGTTTCAAAGGTCAGGCAGGCTTGCCAGGCCCAGCAGGCAATATTTTGGGCATGATGGGGCTACAACTTCCGCGTGATGAGGACAATGGCCACACCGCGAGAGGTGAGAGCATATGATGAGGGCAATATGCTGAAGGTTCGGCATTCCAGGAATAAGCGCTACATTCCGTCTGCATTGCGTTCAATGACGCTCCATAAACATGCCGTGTTTTATGCTGAGTGTAACTTTGTGTACCCCAAGTAATATGCCCAATTCATCAGATCGTTACAGACAACCAAATGTCCGGTTCATTTGTCCTTGTCGCCGCTTCTTGAGCGTTTCGCAGGGCTTGTCTCGCCGCTGGGTCTTCTTCCTCTCTGGTCATCAACACTATCCATCGCATCTAACTGCGCTAGTATCTTGTTCAATGTCTTCCGAGCCTCTAGCTCTCGGCCAGTACCGTCCTTTCGCGGCCGGAAGAACTCCCTGGCAATGTAAGTGACGGTGTGATAGCATTCGTACAGAAGCAGGCGAACGTGAGCGTTTTCTTTGTCCTCAATGATATCCGATGAAAATATCGCCGAGCTTTCCTGATTTGGCGAGGTGCCGTTGAAGCCCAACAGAAACTCACTGCTAGGACCACTACAGAAGTTGACGGCAAAAAGGGGGTCTCCAAAGACAAAGTTGCTCCAGTCCTTCATACCGCTCATTATCGTGTTGCTTTGGTTGTAGGGTGCAATATGTTCGTCTTGGTGAAGTTCAGATTCGCTGTCGTGAAGTTCAGATTCGCTGTCGTCGCTGTCCCGCTTAACATGGGTTCGGCACTGGTCTTCCTCAGCGGTCTGTCGCCTGCTGCTGACTGGTGACCCAGTGCTCTTTCGGCGCACTTTTCTTACCACGAGGGTATTGAGATCCTTTCCAGCGTCCACGGCTACTAGGCGAGGCGTCGTCACATCGTCCAAGGTGTATCGAAATCGCTTAAAGTGCCGGCGAATGGAACTGTATCCTAGCATGACTTGCATGTCTTCGCCGTCACGTAGAACTGCCTCCAGCATTGAATGAAAGGCCATCGACCACGACTGAACACCTCGTGACTCCACCAGGCTTGTGTTCACATCTCGCCTGGCAGGCCGAGTCGCATCAGGTGTAGGACACGTCGCGAGTGGCAGGACAGCATACGCTGGACCGAACCGACCTGTTGGCGAAACGAGTTTACACAGTTTTCTGTACAGCTGCCCTGTTTGAAAATCGATTGTCTTACGCTCGGACAGTGAGAGGGGTGGATTGAGCTCGGGAATTGGAACTCCTAGTGTAGGCCGCATGAGGTTGAATTCGCGGCCTGCTTCGTTGGAAGCGACAGTGTGTGCTATGAGCTTGGGGAGGAAAGGTTGCAAGTCCTCAGCTGCACCGCCAATAGACTTATCCAAGTCTGCCCCCTCACTGCCCAAAGCTGCATCAACACCCAGGGCGACTTCTGGTTTCCGGGCCCAATCCTGAAGGAGAGGCTGATCGATGGTAATTTTTGCTAGCCATCTTAAGATTGCCGCCTCCGAAACAACAGAGGCCCGTTCCGATCGGAGGAGCTTAACCATCGGCGGTGGAGGTGCAACGAGAACAAGACTCGTACCATCAGAGATTTGGACTCCATAGGCACGTTGGCAATGGACAGAAGACATGGCCTGGACATGTTGGATTGTGGCCTGGGGTACCAGATGACTTATAACGGCCTGCATGGGCTTTGCTGGTGGCGGTATGCGTGTAGGATTCGCTGATGTAGGAGTATGAAACGTGTTCTGCTCGATGGCAGGTCTATGAGTGACGGACGGGAGAATGCAGATCTGAGAAACGTCCTGGTGTGCGAGTCGTATGCAAGGTGACATTGGGCCGTGAAGCTGGTCATACAGATGAGAAGCCATGTGGAAGGGTGGGTGGAAAGCGCTAGATATAGCAATGCCTTGAACCCCGGCACACGGAGGGATTGAGATGACGGCAAGCTATCCAAGTCAGTAATGCTTAAGGTCGTGTGAAGAGTTGGGCTGTGGGTCCAACGAGAAATGTCATCAGCATGCCAGGATTCTGAAGGACTGCCAATAACAGCTGCTTCCTGGCGAGGAGAGTTTGAGAGAGTGAGCAAAGTGGCATACGGACCGGAAGTCGGGGATTATAGGCCAGCAAGAAGAGGACGGACGCTTTAACGGGAAACTAGTGAAGGAATGCGAAGCGCATGACGGTGCAGGGAATATAAGCGGTCAGCACATTCGGCAGGCTAAGGCCGAGCAATATGGGAGTTGATTAATGGGAGCTGTAAGTGGATGTAGTTGAAGGAACCTTGTCCAACGGCAAGAGCGTGGTGATGATACTTCCTTGACTTAGTAGAGTGGATGCGGCGGTGACGGCAGCTCGGTACGGAATGGGCGTGTCTCTACAACTTTAAACGAGCAACGCAAGGTACAGTGTGCCCATTGCATTCTACCTAGGCTCTCTAGGACTATGAGGATGCATGTGGCGTGGGCAAGGAATTAAGTGGTGCCCTTGAGAAAGGGCAGGTCATCATCTAGGAGCAGTCAGATCAGCTAATAAGAAGCCGCAACAGGCGAGAAGGAGCACCAGCCAGCCGGCTTGGGAAAGTAGACTGCCTGTTGGTGACGGGCGAGGCGTTGTGCAAGGAGAGACATTGGGGTGAGGAGGCGTTCAATGAGTGCCCAGAAACTGCGGCCAAGCGAGAAACAGAACGCTAAGGGATGTCCGAGGCCAGATAAGCTGAGCGAACGGGCATAACCTAACCCGAAGCCAATGAAGGCCTTTGCTTAAAAGGAGGGACAGTGTAGGTCAAATAGAAGTGGGTTGACATCCCTGATCATCCCAAGTTGCCAGTCAGAGACAGCGACGTGTGCTACTTGAGGTCAACTCAAGCGAAAAAGCTTGGGATAGGGTGAATCAGAATGCCAGGCTTACGATCATTCCGTACAATCTCCATAAGAGCAGGAGAGCAATGCGATGCAGCCATGTGCGGGTATGTGAAGTAATGCATTCTGAAGAGTAATTCTAGTGAGCTCTCCTTGTCAGTTCTGTACGGATATGCTCCGGTCTCCAGTGCGCTAAAAGCTGAGCAAGCAAGGGACCTTTGGAGAACAGGGGACCCCAACAGGGCCCACTACTTCTTCTAGCCGTGGTTAGTACGCGCATCGAGAAGCGAGCCGGGGATTTGGTGATTGGATGTCATTAAGCGAGTCTAGTGGAGCTCAGATTCCGCCCACGAACTTGGGGCGGTCATCGACTGTTCCAGGCGCATGGCCCTCACCCCATGCCTCGAGGCGCAATTCGTTTCGACCTGAATCTGCAATTGAAAGTTCAGTGGTGATGGATGATATTCAGTCATCGAAATGGCGTCTCCTCTTACGCCTTGCGTCCAGTGCCGAATTTTGTTGACAGGCCTGCTTCTCACAAGCCTGAGCCTTCAGCATGAAGTTGCAGCGCAATGCAAAAGGCTCAATTTGCATGCGTGTGCAGGACTCTGATCAACCATCCAATCCCAGTCTTCCCATCCCAATTCCTACCCTTCCTTGGCATGACTGCCTCGTGGAAGCTCCCTAGAACATTTCGACCTGCTGTCGGCTCTGGAGACTCGTCAAATTTAACGCAATAGGGCTTAGCGTCACCAACGGGGCTGCCCCACCACACCGCATGTAATCTTGCCTTTGGGGTTTGTTTGCCGATGAGATGGTTATTTCTCTCCAATGGGCACCCCCATAAATCTTGTCGCGATAATTCAAGGGCTTCAGTCACGGAGGTCTAATGCATTTACAAATTCCGCTGCGATCCCTCTGGAACACATCAGCCGGTGCAAGGTATGGAGTAATGAGTTTGATCTGGTCCATGTATTCCAATCTGAATGGTGCCGGCAGTCAACAACTCATGACGTTTGTTGGCTCAACACCTTGCCTGCCTCCTGATCACCCGGCCAAGTTATCATGTCTTCTACTTTTTATTTCCCACTCCTCGGACAAACGAACAACAAACAAAGCTTCGCATCTCAGTGATTGCCAACGATTTCCAGCGACGCATCGCTTTACGAAGTAAGCTCACGCTGTTTGTACTTCCGCTGCTTTGGCATCTGGTTTGGTAGACCTCGCACCAGGTGATGCTTTATACAACTCGTTGATGTTGAGCTTTTTCAGGCCATCCCAATCACTACCTTCGATGACACCTATGCTGCAGTAGCTCTATAATACCACATCAGTCACCTTTTATTTTGCTTGCCAAAGACATTCCCTACCTGAAATACATCCACAAGGATCACTTTATCAGGGCTGTTGAGATTAACCTTGTGCCGTGTGTTGACGACAGAGGCTACCTGCTTGATAAGACTGTCGCGCTCAATAGAGCTGTTGCTGCGGATGGAAGGCCTGATGGCGTACTGACGGGCAGTCAGTAAAGCTAAACTTGGGGGGCCATGCTCTCAAACTGACCGTATATTCTGGCTTGCTTTCCTGTTCCGCATCGTTTTGGGGAACCGTTGGTCCCCCGTCTCCGACAGGCACCTCCCCAACCCCAGTATCGCCATCGGCTACAAGACTGAACCACGGCGCAAGCGCCTTTCTGGCCACCCTCACCACACCGTTCTCCGAGGCCTTATCCAAAGCACTCACAGGTGTCAACCTGTTGATATACTTAGTCTTGCGCTCCTTCATGTCCGAGCAGGTGCTAGCATCTTGACAGATACGACGACAAAGCTCCACTGGGTTAATAGGATCCCTCGTCTTCATGAAGAAGACACACTCGATACCGGCTCGAATGACCTTGAAACTCCGCTTTGCCTTGGTTTTACTTGCTGAGTTCATACCGTCAAGCTCTTTCTTGATAGACTCTTCAATGTCCTCGACATCATCGTCCGACTCGACGTTCTCCCCAGGCGGCACAAGCCCATAGAGTATTTTGCCATACTAGATAATGAGTTGGCGTGTGAAAAGATTGGCAGGTGGAGTGGCAACAACGATCACGAACCTCTTCGCACAACAAGTTAAACTCGCTGATGGCTTTCCCATCCATGCCCCTGGCAAAAGTGACCCAAATACCCTTGTCCCCAATCTCCAGTGATGCATCTCTGTCTTGAAGATTGGCAACTTTGGCCTTCTGATGAGGGGTCTGCCATGAGCCGGTCCCCCGGGCACCCTACGGATCTCTCATCAGCGATGTGCTCATCTTGTAGACTCTCGTGAAGTACGATATGCGACCCGAGGAAATAGAAATAATACATGGGGACATTCGACACTCACTTTGCTTCGCTTAGCCGGGTGAGACCTATCGCCTCCAGAGCTCGAAACTTTCCTCTTGGTTGGGTCGGACATGTCAATGGCTGTTGGGATCAATTGGTAATGAGGTGCTTGAAATGAGCCGCAATCGACTAAATGTGATATTGGTAGCGGCTGAACCACTTAAGTCTGTACGTACCAATAGTGTTGATTGGGCAATGTCGGAATACGATGCACAGAGGGTAAAAAGACACACACCGCCTTCTTCGGATGAGAATTTTGGGCTGCGCTGGGAAGAAAGCAAGTTACCCCACCCTTCATTTTTTTTCTTCTCGATCCGACCCTGCCCCAGATCATACCAGCGAGCAGTGACGAAAAAACGGACAGACTTCTTTTACCGTCTTCCTGCAAGTTTGTGCTGTAATCGGCACCAAACGTTGCTTGAAGTATAGCTTGCGATATTGTTTCCCGTATTCACCTGGGGTTTAACTATACTGCCTTGCCTCCTGCAATTCTTTCCATCGCACACCAGGCAAACCCATAATTACACTAATCAACCACCCAATGACGAACAGAACCCATCACCAAGTTACACAGGGCCCGTCCCCTAATTAAGCCGTACCCATCTACAGGATAATGTTACAGTTTATACGTTCAATCTGCTCTTAACAACTCATATCTCCAAAAGCTTGCAGTGACAACCATTTGCCAATATACCGCTTCCCCGTAAGCAATGACATACCGCCCTTGTTAGCCTCATTCAATCTTCGCGTTATTCTTCGCACTGGCCTCAGCCGTCATGACCAATGCCCTCGGCGCATCCTCCTTGGGGACATAGAGTTCAACAAACTGCAGTGCTGTGGGGTTATTGAATTCCTCATCCGTCAAGAGCTTCTCCAGCTCATCCTTCGTTTTGACAACGAACTTCTTGGCCGTCTCTTCAGACCCGCCAAAAACTGTGACAACCTCCTTGTACTGCCACTGCACAATGTCGTTGTATTCAGCCTCCATGCCGTGAATAAACCGCTCGATGGTGAAACCATCGTTACATATGACGAAGCTAGGTTCAAGCTGTCAGTGTGATTGACTAGACACGCAAAAGTAAAACTCACATTGTTGGCTTCAAATTGTGACGCAACATGGTGGTCACCTCCTGTGCTGTGAGCTGGAACGAACCATCACCGACAAATAGAATAGTTCTTCGATTTTCACCAGCATCTTTGACGGCGAGAGCTGCGCCTTGGCAGGCGCCAACTGACCAGCCAATGCTTCCCCAGAGGACCTGGCTTAACGCCACCACGCCAGCGGGGAACTTGGTATCCCAAATTCCGAAATTGGCCGTGCCAGTCTCTGTGACCACGATATCGTTGTCACGAAGATAGCTGCCAACTCTCGGCCATAGATACTGCTGGGTTATAGTCTGGCCCGAGTTTTGCTCATCGCTGGGCAGCTTGTTTGACACTGTAGGAGGCGGGATAATGCTCAGCCTTTCCACCTCGAGACCCTCAATGACCTTGCGCAAGACACCTCTCATGGTAACGCCGGGATATTCTGAGTACCGGACAGTAGTGTGTGTGCTGTGGAAGTCTATAGTATTGAGTTGCGAAGTTCGGTATGAGAATCCAGCGGTATTGAAATCGCTCTGAAGCTAGGTCAGCAATGAGAGTAAAGGGGCCAGCTTATCTCACTTACCTTCAGTGCACCGACAGAGAGTATTAGATCTGAAGACTCAACGCTTTCCTTGACGTCGGGATGTGAAGCACTTCCGGCGTACACGCCCCCGTAGTTGGGATGCGATTCATTAATGGCACCCTTTCCCATCGGAGTGACAAAAACAGGAAGCTTAGCCTTCTCTAGAAAGTCATGAACTTCAGACAGAACTCGATGGCGGATGGCGCAGGCATCTACCAACATGATAGGCTTCTTTGCCGCATGTAGGTACTTGAGAACAACTTCGACAACGTAATCCTCCTTGTCGGGGTCATTGGGAAATTCCTCCAAGTCAATAGGGGTACTTAGTCTATCGCCCTCTATCTTCTTCTGAACCATGTCGGTTGGCAGCATGATGTAAACTGGGCGGCTGCGGACCCAACATTCTCTGATAGCATGATCGATTTGGTTGGCAACATCGGCTGGATTATTGAGACGAGCAACATCGCATGAGATCTGAGCATTCATGTTGGCAAAGACGTTGAAGTCTCCGTTGCCAAGCGTGTGGTGTAAGAGCATTCCGTTCTTCTGGGAGACAGTAGAGGGACAGCCGACAATGTGAACGACGGGTATATGCTCCGAATAAGCGCCAGCGAGGGCGTTGATGGCTGAGAGTTCGCCGACCCCGAAAGTAGTGATAATGGCAGAGATGCCTTTGACGCGGGCGTAACCATCAGCCGCATAGCCTTCGACAATTAGCATTCTGTCTAAAAAAAGGATACAGTGAGTTTTCTGCCTACCGGCATTGAGTTCGTTGACACTACCAACCCAGTTCAGGCCACATTTGGGAAGGTAGTCGAGGGCCACGAGATTGTAATCTCCGGGAAGGCCATGAACCGAGCGGACACCGACCTGGCGAAGTCTCTTGAAGAGGTACTCGGCGACGTCGACAGGCTCTTTCAGGCTCTGTGTTCTGATATCAGTCATGATTGGGAATTGTGAAGTAACCACTGAGCAAAGAGGAGAGGCTGCGTAAGGAATAACAACCGAGTCAGGCTTCAACTCTGACGCGTCTTCAGATTACTTCGATGCTTGAGCTCTGAGCTACGATGAGGAAGGAACAAGAACATCTAAGTTGTCGAGGCAGAGCGGTTTATATGAATGCGAAAGAAAGTGCTAGGAATAGCGTAACAAAGCCGCCCACGACCAGGCTCACTCGACCACGCTCATCGGATGGAGCGGTCAGGGCATAGTCAGACCACTAGCAGTTAGGTTTTGAACCCAGAGGATCATCGCCGATGTGCGGCAGCATAGGAAGCGGCAGATCCGCGTAGGCCCTGGAAAAGCAAGGTAGGGGGGCGGAAACGATGAGCAAGTGATGTGGCCGAGTACGGGGGGTCAACTGGTCTCGCCATCTTGGTTGGTATCCTAAGGATATGAAAAGGGGAATAGGACGGGTAATAGTGTTGTTACTCAGTAAGACCCAGCATATTACCCAGAGCTTCAGGGAACAAGCAGCAGACACTGTCCGTCGAATCTATCAGATATTGAAGAAAGTGATGTAATCGAACACGCCACACCAGGATGTGGTCACCATTACACCAGACTGATGCCGGACTGGGGCACAGGGGCGTAGGCTTAGGGAAGCCTACGTTTTGGCCCACCAGGCCTCTGGGCCACGTTGGCTCCGGGCTGAAATTTGTCACCTGGGCCAACTGGCTCGCGCTGTGCCCGTTGCCATGGAGGGTTCAGATGCAACAAATATGGCTGATGGAGCCTGTAATGGCCTTAGTCAGTGACAAGCAAAAGCGCACTGTTCTTGAGTTATCGAGTCAGGATAACTACAGCTCAACGGCATCTACGGCCTAACTGGCGAGCCACAGTGGACGCTCATATGTTGTTCGGCGTGTTCCGTATTTCACCTCAGTTCTGGAATAGTTCACTTGACGTGCCACCGGAACGACCAACACCTCACCAATTTGTCACCTGACAATGTGTGAGACATGCGCCTTTCCTTGTATGTGCTGCCGGACCACACCGCTGGCTCTCACTTATCTCAACCGAGCGACAGACGGCAAGCTTATCGCCTTGTTTTAGATGGCATTCGCCTGAAGCGAGCTTTTACTTAGGGATCAACTCTTATTTGATGTACATGTGCTGCTTGTACCAGTAACGGCCCAAAGCAGACCCATCCCATCACCCGTCTCTACTGATCGCGACGCTGCAGACTTATCCCTCCAACCTGCAGGGTTCGACATGATCTGATTTTGGAAGTAGCTTCGGCCTTTCTACGGCCCAAACGCGTTTGGACGGCTTTACTACCTTATCTTTCCAGGTTTGATGCGCAAATTTCATTCTCACTTTGTTGTGTCTCCTTAGGCGCAAAAAGGTGGATCAGATGGAGGCTGTCGGTCGTTACGGACGGCAACAGGAAGAGCGAAGGACTTCGCTTGATGTCTCGGACTCTCGGACGGTTCGCTTATTCTCCCGAATTGCCGTAGCAAACTTGAATCACATCCTCCCGAGTTGGAATTTCTACGACGTCGCATGAAAGTAAAAATTTACTACTTTGAAAAATGGCAAGCTGCTCTTTTACGTGCTATATAAACAGAAGCAAAAGCTGATTTACATGCATATTCTAGCATATATCCAAGAGCCGAAAGAGGCAAATTGTACTGAGAGCGTCATATCAACCACAGCCCGCTCAAGCAGCTGTTCTCATCGCTAATGCCGTCTATATGTGAGTGGTAATGTACACGTAGTTTACAGGAGGTGTCTGAGGAGGCAGACACTAGGTAAATGAGAGCACCAAAGCCCAAGCGGTCCAGAACCTTTGCCCGAATCCGCCGTATGAAACTTTGACATGCACAGTGCATGCCTTTCGTCCACCGTATGTTAATGCCCAGTTCTCAATCGCAACGACCGTCCTTCCAACCGGTGAGCCAGCGCTCTTCCCACCTACTACAGTCGAATTCTTTTTTCCCTAGCTTGCGGTTGACCTCGTTGTGTGCCTCGCACAGCCAGTTGCCAAACTCCTTGCGGCCTGCAACCTGCACTTGCTGCTTCTGCATATAGGACTGGAAGTCCTCGGCACACACCCAGCAAGGGTATAACTTCGAAAATAGCCTCATGAAGCCCCGCAAGTCCTCCTTTTGGGTCGGTGAGGGCTTCTCGGGGTACGTTGCCGCGATGGAGTGCAGCAGAGTCCAAGTACTGCGGCCAAGGGCTTCGACATCGGGAGGGCAGTTGTCGGGGGTATTCGATATGTTGGATGTTCCTTTCTTCAAGGAAGCATTTGTCTGAGCTGCCCAGTTGGAGAATGCACTCTTGGAAGAGCAAGATCGACACCTGAACCAGTTTCTTCATCAGCAAAACAGCTTGAAAAATGTACGCTGATGAAGCGCAATATCATATAAACTACTGGTACATGATTAAACTCACGGCTTCCCGTCTTTGCCTAAGACAACCCCCTTGGGCAAGGGCTTGGGCGGCTCGGTGGTTGCATTGACAGGAGCAGCGCCGCCAGTGCCCAGATCTCGCTCTGCGTCGGCCATGGTTGATTACTTCTGGATATCACCTTTGCGGGACGAACAGCGAAAAATAGAAGACAATGGATCAACGGGAAATTTTTGGGGTAGAAACGAGGCTCAAATGGGGTGACACGAACAGCCCGAGATCGGAGACTTAGCAATACTACCAAAATAGGATTTGTAAATCTTGAGATTGGGAATGCGCCAGCAAGGCACAATCAGCTTACCAAAAGGTATGTCGTGGAATATTCCTAGCTTCCATCCCTATCGATAGGCAGTGGGGTTTTGCGCTAACGCGGGTGACGCTGGTTTTCCTTGGCTCCTGACGTAAGGCAATGCCTGAAGGTGCACTGACTGGCGTCCGTCTCAGTGAGGAGGAGTCGTTCGTTCCAGCGAAGATACGAGACGACAATCCCTATAGTTAGGGCATTAGTACCACAAGCCGCAACCCGAGTGCTGTAATGGAGGCAATGGATCTTGACGTCTTTCAAACCCAAATTAGAGACTCGCCGTTGAATTGAACAACGGAAAGCTAAGCTGAACCGATCTGCTCCTGTCTCTAGGCCACAACAGAAATCAAAGGAAATCATCGGACAAAGTGCTTTTTTAGGACCCTGAACCAAACTTCTCCGGACAATTCTTAAGGTCGCATGCCGGCGTCTCCCTTCAATCGCCTCTAATATGGGTTACTACAATGGCTCTGGTTCCGTATGGAGCCTGACTGGAGTACCAGGCCGTAATGATGTTTGTTAGTCAGAAAGCATTGCGAGAGGAGATGGTAGAGCGGTTTGAAGTGTTGTGACCATGTGGGTTGGTTTCGAGCCACAGAATAAAGATAGATGATGTTCAGTAACAGTCCATCGCATATGACATTGCGAAATGGGATCGAAGGGCTTTAAACAAACATGTACCATCATCCTTCAGGCTAGTGAGTCGAAGCATCAGTTCCCACAGGCGTAGCTGAAATAGGGTTGTTTCTTACAGATAAGGTCTTGATTCGTTGGGGTAGCATTTATCGCAGCCACCCAGTTACCTAAGACAGTACGTAACTTTAATCACAGCATCTCTGCGCAGGCGGGGGTATCGGGTAGCATTAGAAACATTAACATGCGGTTGTGTGTAGCCGTCAAGTTGGGAAGGGATTCTCAAGCTGCATAACGAGACGTTGGGTATCATTGAAAATACACACCTTCTTTCACTACATTATCATTATTTCCGTGGCTCGGCAATTGCAAGCGTTCCTTTGACCATGGCTCAGTCATCGTCAGCTCCTGATTCGGCCAAGGTGCCAGTCCTGTTGCTCAAGACCAAATCTGCACCTGGCGATGCGTACGAGGAGCTGTTCTCTCAAGAACACAATGGGGTTTCCTTTGAGCCTGTCTTCGTCCCGGTACTGCACCACAGCTACCAGGAGCCAGGCATGTCAGCAATCAGAGATATCCTGCACCGCCGCGGCATCAGTGCCGGCACTGACGCCTTGTACGGAGGCTTTATCTTCACATCCCAGCGGGCTGTTGAAGCTTTCGCTAAATTGGTAGACGAAAAGAAAGGTGAGCCGTCGTCAAATAAAACGATTAACCTCAGTCGCTGAAACCAGCTATAGATGAGCGGGGATGGCCGCATCTGCAGGATGTCCCGGTATATAGCGTTGGGCCGGCTACAACGCGAGCGCTCAAGGCTGTCTCTCAGGATCCGCCGCTGCAGATTTTTGGGGAGCACACCGGCAACGGTGATGCGCTGGCCAAGTTTATCCTTGAGCACTATAGCCAGTGGTATCACGACAGACCGATCAAGCCGCCCATTCTCTTCCTCGTTGGTGAGCAACGACGAGACATTGTTCCCAAAACACTCATGGACACCAACCTTGCCAATGACCGGAGAATACAAGTTGACGAGGTCGTGGTCTATGGAACGGGTGTCATGCAGTCGTTCCCGCAAGATTTTGAAGATATTTTAAAGGCCACGGAGACACAACCATCACGGTGGGTGGTTGTTTTTTCTCCCACCGGCTGCGACGGCCTGTTACGTGGTTTAGGAATACTGGATGAAGCAACGGGCAAAGCGAAAAAAAGTAACCTGGGGGAACGTAAAACATTCGTCGTCACTATTGGACCGACAACGCGAAACTACCTGAGAAACACGTTCAACTTCGAGGCTGATGTCTGTGCCAAGGAACCGAGCCCAGAGGGCGTTATGCAAGGAATCGTCCGGTTTATAGAAAACCGAAGTGATACCTCATAAAATATCAAATATTACTATTACTCAAAAAGGAACAATATAACAACATGCCTTTGCTGTAAGTGACTTTAACGAATCGGCTACTTAGGGATGGTAAGACGGAAATAAGTCCAACGAGTATGAATCGAGGCGGGTTTGAGGTTGCCAACCTAGAGTTACCTACGGTACGGTACCTACCTAGTCTAAGCAAGTTACCACGGTGAAATGAGCCTTCAGGAAGTACTGGGATACGTGGACGACAGTGGGGATTCTGATTGGCTATGAACAGTTAATGGAGATCCAACGCCAACGCGAAAAAATCGCGGTCGCGTTCAGCCTCCGAAACATGACGCGACGCAGCACAAAGCGCGTAAATTACCACACAAGCGCGACTTGATTGCCAAAGCCCATGCACAGCACATGGCAGTGATCCAAGACCACGATGGAAAAGTAAAATAGAAAAGTTGAATAAGAATCCCTAATTGTATCAGCTGCTCATTCTCACCTGATATTTGCGCCCACATCATAATAAAAACTCCCCGTGGTGCTGCATAAAATCTTGCGCCTAGAGTACAGACATCTGCAGGCTATGGTAGTTCCCGTCCGATCCCTACCCACCTGCCCAAAAAAGAACAAAACGGTTTCGTGACAGTGCCTATTGTAGACATATTTCGTGCGCTCAGCAGGTAACTTAGACTGCCTGTATTGCTAACTCAAGTCTCCCCAGGAGGCAAAGGCAGGTCTTAGAAAGCTTTCAGGGAGCCGTTCTGGTATCATGTGTAGATTAGAAGAAAAGAAAGTATCCGAGACTCTAAAATTAAACAAGAGGCTCATCGAACGTCAGTCGCCTTCGTGTCAAGCTGACGGGAGTCCTTGTCGATGATAGTGCGACGGGAGTCTTCCATGCCTTTTGGGCAGGGCTTGGCGTTATATTAACAAACTCGGCAAAGTCGAAACCCTGGCCTGGTGTATTGGGGAAGAGATTGCCTCCACCAGGAGTCGTCATATGAGATGAAGGAAGTGTCATGTCGCGGCCAACTTTGGAAGGCGGCGTCGAGGGTGGTTCCATTCTAGTTTTTGTAGACGGCACAGCTGGTGATGGTGAAGCGGCAAGGTATAGTAGAAGATCGGCGCCCTCCTCTCCAGTCTTGGGCTGATCAATGCCTGAAGGCCTGTCTTTGCTGCGACGATTGGGAATTGGGCGGTTACGCATCGGCGGGGTTGTTGGAGGTGATGAGCGAAGGTTGGTGGACCTAAAGGACTGTGAGGGTAGAAGGTCGTCTTCATCATCCGAGTTAGCAGCAAAGTTAGGCGACACAAGATCGTCGGTCAGCCTTCGCGCCCCTTGGAAGAAGGAAACATCGGGACCCGTCGATGTGGTAAAATGCTGTTGCCGCCTGGGCTTGATGGGGGATGACTGCGCCAGCTGGTGGCTTTCCTTCCATGATGCGTTGTGGCCATGGGCATGCTTTTGAGGTGTAGGAGAGGACCGGAAACGTTTGCTAGGGCTGGACGAGGGATATTCGAAGGAAGCCAGATATGTTCGCTTACGATGGCCAGAACTCCCATTACTCGAACCAATGGCGTCAGAAAACAGGGGTGCTTTCAAAGGCGAGCTCATTAGTGTTCTTGTGGGATATGGTAGATCGGAGGCACTGGAGGAAGTATCGGACAACACATCGGTTTCGCACAGACGCTTCCGGCGTATCTCCTCTTCATACTTGGGCTCGATGGTATCGAGGGTAAGATCTTCCCAGCCATGCTTGGTTTTGAATTGCGCAAGGGCGAGTCGATTTTGAAGCCTTCTAGCAATCTGAATGAGAAATTGCAGTCAGCAAGAGAAGCACCCTCGGAAGCCATTATGTACCAACTTACCTTGCTGACTTCTGCTCTCTTCAATACCTTGTCTGCTACCTCCTCAGGTTGCTGCTTCCATGGAGAAGACATGGCGTGAAAGCCAAGCATGGACGGCGATAAACGGTTGTGGTATAATTGTCGAAATGGCCGATGTAATGGAGCGCAAGAGCCGGACGGTAAGGAGCTGGAGCGGGGGTCGCCGAGATTGCTGAGAAACTGAAAGTAGACTGCAAGAGTGTCAGAACTTGTCGGCTGGAGGTGGATTCTGTAGCAACGGTTCGAGAAATGAGGGGAAGTTGTTGTCCAGGAATGTCCCAGAGAGGAGGTGTGTAGTTTGTAGGCGAGAGAATGCTTGTGTGCATCTCTGATGATGGCAAGTGGATGTGCTTTGTATGAAAAAAGAAAATCTTGCTGGCCTACAGGAAAGGCACTCACTTAATGGCGTGGCAGCCCGGTAGTTGTCATAGCACGGGGAGCGTTTCTAATGGAGATAGCCAGAGAAGGATGGGAAAAGTTGGAGATGGGTGAAGTCGTCTCCTGGCAAGACAGTGCTCGGTCTCAGCGGAGAGCAAAGGGACAGTGGCAGGGCAGTGGAGGACGGAGCGCAGAATTCGTAGCCCATTCCCCTGGAAACCAAGCGTCAGTGCCACTATCAACCCACAGCAAATGCCGCCCGCCCCCTGTCGCCAGGCAGTCCGATGCTCCTTCCACAGCAGTCACAGATGGTAGGGAACGGGGCAACCTCACTAACCAACCTGGAGCAGCCCTTGGGCAATCAACTTTTCCCAACTCTGGATTTTCAGCTCCCTTTCTCATTTTGCATGCCCGGCAACCCAGGCGAGGCCAGGGGTTCAAATTTCCATCCCCCGTCACCGAGGCGGCCCATTTGCTTTGGACGTTGTCGATGCTTTGTCTCATTTTGCTATTCTGAAAGTAGTATAGTATTGTCATTGACCTCACTAGATAAGGTAGGCGAACAAATGTCGAGATGCCTCAATGATTCCACACTCATACGGCGTACTTGAATTGTCACATCAGCTGACTTTCTGAGACTGGGAGCCAAGCCCCCCTGCGAACGGTCAGCATGTGGAAGAGTAGTGTCTGCAAGATGCAGCGTATCCGTAACTTGGGTAAGGCAGATGGATCAATTTAAATCCCTGCCAGCCCACCATTCAGAAGCAGATGCTGCGTTGGCGCGGAGGCGACGCTTTTGCTTCTACGAAGTGTCCATTAATCGCACTCTGCTAGCCAATCACGAAGAGGAAGCCGCCGCCAATTCTTACCCATTCAAACTGGTGATACTACTGGTAGACCTTTGTTAGGCTGTTCTCCCTCTGGAAACCGTCCACGGCGCACTCTGTGCTCTATTGTGATTCACTTTGAACAATTATGTATGGTGTGGCCTCACTTTAACTGTCAGGCAATCAGGAGTCATTGGAAATACTTGCTCGGAATATATTTTAAACAGCCTTCAGATGGCTCAGTCATGCCATCCTACCATAAGCCGAGATCTAAAAGTGGTGACACCGGCCAAATGATGGGAAACAGCCACATCGCCAACAGTAGAATATATAGCCAGTCCCGACCAGCGACGCGAGTCGTCCTTCAAGTCGGCCTGGGGAGCAAGATTTACCTGGAGAAGCACAACAGCCAGTTCTGCATGCCGAGGAACTAGCGCATCCACCTCGGTGCTCGACATGCACGCCATCTATGGCAAGATGTGAAATGAAAAAAACTAAAAAAAAACTTACTTGACACATTACAAAGTCGCTGATTGGCTAAGGGGGCGGTCGATGTTGGGGAGAGAAGCAATCGATAGACCACTTTTCTCCTAATTTCTTCAACCTTTCTTCATAACTGTCCTACGTACTTCCAGCTTTTAGTTTTCGCTCTCTCGGTCTCCATAGAAGAGGGAATGATGATAACAATCATAATACTCAACCGAAGTCGTGTCTCGCCGCATTATGACCAGAGTTTCTTGCCAGACTCTCATTCTCGCAGTGTCATGCTACCATCATCATGACGGCTGTGTTGGTAGTGATGTCTGCAGCATGTACGCATTTCTTGGCCACGAAGCTGTTAGCGGTCCAACTTGCGAGTGGATTGAACTGATGTCGGCAAACCTAAGCGTTTCACACAATGCAACAACATCGAGAGACTTGCAGTGCATGCACCCGATACTGGAGTATATCACAATCACTGATCTCGATCGCAGCTGGGACGCCAATGTAGTTTCCACAAATTGGCGCCGCCAATCCGTGTCTACCGGTCACCCTTCACAACGGCCTGTAAGTAACAATCTTGGCCGACACCCCACTTGAAAATCTGGAAGTGTAATTGCCTCAGGAACACCCACCATTCAACCAGTATTCTGCCCTTGACATTCTATTTCAAAATTTCCTTGATCTCACTCCGTGGTCTCCATCAACCCAACAGCTCTCCCCTGAGCGCCTTAGTTCTTAACCAGCCTAGCCTGATCTGTGTCGTCCTTGCCGATTACCTTGAACGGGTCATTCTTCTACAGGCTGCCAACCTCATTTACACATACACAGTAGTTGCTGACGTCTTGGCTCCTTATATAAGCCATCTCGGTTATCTATTCCTTATCTTGTCTATCAAGTGGCTGGCGATTGTTTCTGTTTGCTTTTCTTGCTTATGCCTGCATCTCCTGTGCCTTGTTGCCTGGATATTTCTCCATGGTTGCGCATTCATATGCGCGATCCAGCTGCATTCCTTCTCCACGTTGAGCCTCTCTATTGACAACGAAACCTAGTCGCTCGCTAATATACGTGTCTGCCGTCGTTCCTTGCCCGTTCTTGTTGGGCTGCGTGTCCTATCAATGGCAAAATCCGTACGCATACGTGGTCTGGTGTCATGGTCTCGACGACGACAACGATGCCATCCCAAATACACACACACACACACAATTTATTACGCCCGGCGGCGGAGCCGAAAGGGCCACTAAAGCTGACTACACACACATTGCTGAGCTTATGCCTTTGTCTCCTTAAAGCCCATAAGTGATGTCTTCGTTTCCTGTTTGCACCTCCATATCTGCCTTCTCAATCCCAAATACAGTGACAATGAGAAAGGGGTTGGAGGAGAGCCCCACTCTTGTTGGTCAACCGGGTTTCCACGCCGTAGCTGGACATGAATTTATTGGGCTGTACGGATAAGCTACGCAATAGTTATTTGATCCAGTGCGCAGCAAAGGACAGTGTGAAGCACCGAAGGTGCGAAGCTACTACCCTATTTCAAGCTGCAATTTCTCTCTCCTACCAGCCAGCTCCACTTTACGTAGCATGGCAGATTGAGCGAGGTATTATTTCTGTTTGCGCCTGCAGACATGTTCCCTGCCCTCCTGCCTCCACTCGTTTCTCCTCAGTGTCGACTCTCATCTCGTTGGCCAATATTTGTTCGGTCGTAATTCTAGTCTGGGTGTTTCCAACCTTCGAAACACTACGACGTCATAAGTCAATTGCAGCCTACCATCTGCCGATAAGGTGCTCCTCTTTTTTTTTTTCTTCGAACTGCCCTGCTTTGCTTGCGATACTTTGTACGCTACGAAGTATGGATACTGCGTATGCAAGGAAGTGAGACGTGGATTGGACCCAGACTTGCCAAACCGGGGACGTGGAGCTACTCTGGCACCGGCGCTGCCACCCGCGCCTTTGTGTGTCTGGATGTGCTCGTTTCGTTCAATGATGTGGATTGCTCGAAATGACTGACTTCACCTTGCTTGCTTCGTCGTCCGTCTCCATCATCCATCCCACCACCGTCCCCCCTAAGGTATCCACGGTTCGTACTTTATGCCACTTCAATCAAACCCTGTACTTACCCTTTCTCTCCCAAATGCGCATGTCGCCTTGCGCGTCAATCCTGTTCGACTCCCATCCTCCGTATCGATTCAATAGGTCTTCCTTCAGCTCGACCCGCCCATTTTACTCTACCTGCATCTCACTCTACTTTGCTTTGCTTTACTTTACTTTACCTACGACTATTGATGCTCATGTCGCTCGCTGAGCAGTGACTAGGTCCGATCTCCAAACCCTTCCCCCGTCTCCGCCCATTCCTCGACTCCATTTCATCAGGCGTCCCCCCCTTCCCCCTTATCAGATGCCCGTCCTCCGTGGAAGCAGCTCTTGATTCAACACCCTCTCTCCTAGAAATCACGCCTACCAGACCTTTACCAGACACCCGGCGCCAGTCGCCCAGCGTCTTCTCTGTTGCTGCTATTGCACATGTCGAACATTTCATTCTAAAACTGCTCTTCCGCGGTAGAAATACCGCGTGTCTGACTGAGCGTCCACTTCCTCACCATGGCCCCGTCCATTCTGAATTTCAGAGCCTTGCGTCGCCGGTCGAAGGCCAGCTTCCGGACGGATCGTTCCAACACCGACATCTCAAGCGACGCCAGCCAAGGAACCACTCCGACACCAACGAGCGGCGCATCGACACCACCATCCATCTGTCATACCTCAGATCCTGCTCTTGATATCTCAGAGAAAGACCTCAGTCAACCTCCTGCTCGTCCTCAACTGCAGCCAGTAAACAATGCTCATCGACACAGCGTTTCCGGCATGACCGGGCTTGGTTCTCCAGTTGTTAATGGTAAATCCAACTTGCCAATCTCTCAATATGCGCCACGTATAGCCAACGTTGCCGAGAATGCCTGGGTAAGTTGTTACATATCTCGGTGTAGGATGTGCCTTGGCCTCGTGCTATGACTCCCGAGACGCATCTTCCAGCCTCGTTCAGTTCGTACTAGCCTTGGCGTAGACGGCCGCAACCGCTGCCAAACAGCTAGCTGCAGCTTCCGAGCGTTTTGCTGACTTTTGACAAGGTCTATCAAAAAGTGCTTCTTGTCTATGGCACTATTGGTGAACCTTCGCAGCACCATCTCGATGGCACCCTTTCAGTAACCCGACTCGACGACAGCTTTCCGCCCACTTACTGGCCAGTGAATGATTCTCATTTCAAAGCCCTCGTTTACCTACAACCGGGACCGAACAAGATTCGATTCGACTTCTCCAGCCCCAAGCTACCCAATAGCACCTCCTCGAACCCTATTCACGCATCTTATCTAGTAGTTCATATGCTGCCAGCCATTAATGCGCCGCCGCTGCAGCTTGCCATTCTTGTGGCCAAGGATTCGCCCGAAACGTTTGATGCCGTTCCGGCTCGAATCGAGCGGGAAGGTAATGATCTAGCCACGGCAGTATGCAAATTTCGTATGGCCGCATATATCTGGCAAGCCTTCACGGCAGAACAGATGTTACGGAACAAATTTGGTCGTCGTGTTTTCAGATTTGAGGAGGAATGGGTTACTGGAACCTCCAACCACCGCGACCGGGAAAGTGGAACGCTGCGTTCAGAGGCTAGAATACACATTATCAGGTCAGACAAAACTCTTGCGGAGCTCCGTGACCTTGAGTTGGCACAAGGCAATGAGAGGTCAACCGAGGGAAGAAGTCTATTTGATAGTGCCGCCGAAGCTGTCAAGCAGTATTTCAAACCAGTGGGCGGCCAGAAGCAGTACGTTTCAGTCCTGATACTGGACACAAAGTGGGATAAAGAGGCGCAGCTGGTGAGAGGACATGTAGCGCAGAGTGGAAACGTGGGCGATTTGCAACTGGCGATCTTTGGCTCTCACTGCTTGCAGAGTTATCCCACGACCTTCGAGGAGGTTGTCCCCGCATTTACGGACTGTACTCCGACTGATCTCGAATTTGTCGCTAATGACTGCAACCAAGCTGGAAGCTCTTGGGAGGCCGCCACTTTTGGCATTGGCGCCCATTTACACGAGACAGGACACCTGTTCGGTTGCCCTCATCAGGAGAATGGGGTTATGCTTCGCGACTACCTAACACTAAACCGCAGCTTCATTACTCGTGAGGCCTTCTGCACAAGGACAAAGTCTAAAGGCGGGCTAGTCCTTCAAAACGACGAGTGTGGCTGGCATCGATTGGATTGCCTGCGCTTTCGCAGCCATCCCTGCTTCAGGTTACCAAACGATCCTCCGATTAGCCACGACGATAGCGTCCACGCTTTCCCTATTGAAAATGGGAAAGTGGTCTTCATGGCGGCGACCGGTATCGCCTTCATTGAATTGTTCGCAGATGATGACGATGTGTGCCAGACATGGATCGAATATCTCACAGAAACAGGATCGGTACAACGCCAAATGACGCTGACCGATCAAGACTTGCGCGATCGACTTCCGGAAATTAAGCGAAAGGGGCGGTTAAGGGTGTCTATCAAATCTTATGGTGGCGGCAGCTTAGAAATTGACGACTTCAAAAAGCTGTGTTCCAAGGAATCCTCCTTCAAGTTGACCCCTGGCCCGCTTGGCAAGACGGCTTACCGAGGGAAGGCACTCGGCCTCTCAGCCCTTGAGGGCAGTGTTGGGCATGAGGTTGTGTTTGAGAGTGCCGTCAAACAAAACAGGGTTTTGTCTCGTATAATTTTCTACCATGCAAAGGTGGTAAATGGGATAGAATTCGTCTACGATGATGACTCTGTCCAACTGTTTGGCAAACGAGGAGACGGGGAAGGCGGCGATGCCTTCGATTTTGGTAAGCAAGGAATCATGAATCTTTGCCTTTGTGTGCCGGCTGCTAACAAATTGATGTACCAGACATACGGCGAGGCGAATACATTTCGGGCTTCTTTGTCCGTTCGGGATACTGGATTGATGCCATCCAGGTTCTTACCAGCTTGGGCAGGAGATCACCCATCTTTGGTAATGCTCATGGGGGTTCCGCGTAAGTTGTAGTTCCTGCAAATGACCGGGATGACGTCGTCACTAACAAGCTGCCAGACACACTTTGATACCTCCAAGAGGATACACTATTTGTGGTGTGGCCGGTTCATGCGGTGCATGGGTCGATGGGTTCTCCCTCCTCATTGTCCGGTAGAGGACAATAGCATGCCCTTTGCATCGCGTACTAAGCGAAGGAAATGGCTTAATAGTAATGGGCTTAAGAAAGCCGAGGAATAGGAGGCATGGCCATGATTCAATAGACATTGATTGGTCGTCACGAGTTACTCATGGCATTCACACACCTCTGACACCAGTTTATAGCAACGTGTCTTCATCTGGAGTAACACGCGTCATAAGAGGTAGCATTCTTTTATGTATCCGGAGGAAATAAGGACTGGGCAAATGCTTAGCAAACGAGGCGTATTGGAAATGATTAGAAGTGCAGTACGACGACGGCACCAGTAATTACACGCTGCAGCATGTGGCTCTGTCGCAGAGAACTAGAGCTGCTCCGCCCTCTCCATGTAGATATATATTATCGTAGATATGTCGGCGTACGTTGGTCAAAAACGTTAACGCTACGTGACGCCACCGTCCAGTGTGCGATTTCTTGCCAATGGCTGGTCCTTCCAAGTACAAGACTGAAGACTGGACTAAGGATACGTCCATGGACAGTCGTTTTAGTTTCATAAGCCGGAAAATGAGGTACTGCTTAGTCAGAAATATTGCAGTGGCTTTGAACCCAGCAGTAGAGCATCAGTACGGTTGGCGACCTGGTCTTCAGACTGGTGGGCGACGTAGCGGATACGTACCTCAGCTGGCTCATTTCTACCATGTAGTGTCTGGATGAGTCACGTGCAACTCACCAGGGTCTGCTAGTCGCGTTTAGGTCTAGAACAACAAGGCTATGACGGCATGTGCTTTCCCTGGCTATCCTTGTTGGGTCTGTGAAGCGGAAGACCACAACCTACGAACACCGCATGCCTACTTGCACCTGCATCTGCGCCTACAACCTGTGACCGCTTTGCACTCCCACGGGCACCACCCAAGAGCTCGACAGACCTTTACGTACATAAAGTACGTGTCTCTTGTCTCTTAGTCCTTGCCTTCAACCTTGCCCTTACCATCCGCTCACCGCTCAAGGTATGTATTTTCGCTATCAATAATTCAAGGCCAAAAGCTACTACAAACAATAGGCTGTCTACGTCTCCATCATCTCACACCCTCAAAACTGATAATTGGGAACATCTATCGCCATGTCCAAACGAACGAGCAGCTCTGTAACCAACGGAAGCGCGGCAAAGGATGCTGCCGGCAGCTTCGATGAACCTGGTATGCCAGTACAAATTCCATTTCATACTTGGTCACCTCGCAGCTAACTTAATCGCTTGCTTGCAGCCTACGACAAGCAGAAGCTTCTCCTGTCAGCCGATACAGGCCATTTCTCTTTGATACGTGCCCTTCATCTTGCCGATGTCATCACTCTATGCAACGGTGCGAACACCTCAGAATCACAGCACAACCTCACGAGGGCCTAACTAACTTTACGGGTCTAGGTGCCTGCGGAGTAATGTCTATTTTCACTTCTCTGCGCTACTGCCTAGGTGATCCCGAATCTGTTAGCACTCTATACCTTGCTCTTTTTTTCTTGCCCTTTGGTCTCTTTTTCGACTTTATGGATGGCAAGGTCGCGCGGTGGCGGAAAAAGAGCAGCATGATGGGCCAAGAGCTTGATTCATTAGCAGACCTGGTACGTTTTCTGAGGCTCTCTCCCTCTCACCCCACTTTCTTTTTTTTCTTTCTTTTCTCTTTCTTCTTCTCCTTTGTTAACTTGACTATCTCGAGTTTTGAGTCTATTGACTCGAGATTGTTGCCAACGACCAGAATGATCGAAAGAAGCAAAGCTGACCTTTTGCAAGATCTCTTTTGGCGTGGCTCCCGCCTCTGTGGCCTTCGCTCTTGGCTTACGCACGGCTGTTGACCACGCCTGCCTCACCTTCTTCGTTCTCTGCGGTCTAACACGTCTTGCTCGCTTCAATGTCACTGTTTCAGTACTCCCCAAGGATGCAACTGGCAAGAGCAAATATTTTGAGGGCACCCCGATCCCGACGAGTCTTGGCCTAGACGCTGTCATGGCCTACTGGATTTCTCAGCGCTGGATTCTGCAGGACCTGCCCTTGGGAACGTGGCTTACTGGTTCTGTCCTTGAGTTTCACCCTGTTGCCCTTGTTTTTATCATTCACGGATGTTTAATGACGAGCAAGAGCATCCACATACCCAAGCCCTGAACAATCATGTCTATGACAATGGCGTTGGTAGGCAACTAGACTATAGGACAGAGATGTCCAAGGGTTTGTCAAGGACTGGTTGGGTTGATACGGGCAGAACTTCAATCGTTCAGTCACAGTCAAATGGAGGAAGTGATTGTAAATGAAGCGAGGCCCGCTGGTGGCATGCGACAGTCCGATTATTGGTCTTTAACGGGTTCTCGAAATTGCTAGGACTTAGAAATCAGGAATGGCCAAATGTAAAGATGAATGGCGAGCTGTTACGACATAAACAGATATATCTAAGCGAACACGCACACGCAAACTAGCATAATACCCGTCGTTGTTTTATCTCATCTCCGCAGCCTTACAACCTGTGCATGTGTACGTCACCAAATTTATATTCTTTTCTGTAATTGCAGGTATGAGCCGTGCTTTTAGTCTAGGCTCCACACGTACCGCCGTAGCAAACCCCCCTTTTGACGCCTCTGACGGGTGAAACTTCTAACATCATCCTGTCATCCAATCATGCCTTGTCTTCCTTAACCGCGAGCTTAGCACTGGCCGGGAAAGGGTTGTAGGTGCCGCGCTCCTCGCGAAGCTTCTTGAGCTTCTCAATGGCCTCGTCTAATGGCACCGGCTTGCCACGATCCTGGCTGGAGGTGTCATCACGGTAACGGACGTTGACTTGTCGACCCTTCATCTCTTCATCGCCCACAACGAAGATAAAATTGTATTGGCTGTCGACATTAGCAAGATTAAATTGAACAAAACACACAGAGCTCACATACCTCAGCTGAGCGCTACGAATCTTCTTAGGCAGGGTGTTTCCTGACAAGTCGACATCACTGTTCAATTTGTTAGCCCAATGTCCCTCATAGCCAGGCAAAATAAAGCATACCACCACATGCCATGCTTCTTGAAGATGGACTGAACCTCTTCAGCATACTCGACGAATCCCTTGCCAACTGGAATGACCATAATCTGCCTCGGGCTAAGCCAGAAAGGCCACTTGCCACCGAAGTGTTCAATGAGAATGCCTGTTCAAGAGTTTTAGAAAGATTACAATCAATATAAAGGCGGTGCATGTTTACCGGTAAATCTTTCAATTGATCCTGCCATAGCACGGTGAATGATCACAGGGCGCTGGCATCCAGTGGTCAAAGGCTTAACCACTCGCTTCTTTTTGTCATCCTCGCCAGTGCCGGTCGCGGAATCGATAATAGCTTGAGGATCCTTTGCCTTGAACTCAGGAACCTTGGGGACGGGAGCAGCTTCGTCTTCCTTAGCCTTGGTCGGGGTATCGGCCGAGACGTATTCAAGCCCAAAGTCTGCATTTGGTTAGCTGTACTGATCTATTACCAGTCTCCAGACAGATTTCACTTACTCTGGGGAAGCTGAAAGTCGAGCTGGATGGTAGCACATTGCCATTCCTGGCACTGTGATTAGCCGACATGCCGTAATAAGCCAAGGGGGAACTTACTCGGTTCAAGACATCCATGATTTTGATGTCAATTTTGGGACCATAGAAGGCGCCGTCGCCTTCGTTCAAAGTCCATGGCACACCTTGTCACAGTAAGTATCCTGTTGTCGAAGATTGAGGGCGTGGGCAAAAGGTCTTACCGCCATCCGTGGTTGCAAACTCGTCTAACGCCTGCTTGAGCATGCCTTCTGCTCGGTCCCAGGTCTCAAGTTCGCCCATGTACTTCTCCGGACGAGTGGAGAGCCTGAGCTTGAAAGTGAATCCTAAAAGACCATACATCTCACGGAGGAAATCAAACAAGCCACTGATCTCCTGCTTGATTTGATCTTCTCTGCAGAAGATGTGTGCGTCATCCTGCTGGAATCTGCGAACACGGGTTAGGCCAGACAAGGCACCACTCGCCTCATTACGATGAAGTACTGCACGTATTAGGATTAGCTCAAAGTGCCTTCAGTATTGATACCAAAGCTGAGGGCTCACCTCCAAAATCAGCAACTCGCCAGGGCAGCTGGTGATAGGCCTTGGGTGTGTGTGCGAACATGAGACAGTGGCCAGGGCAGTTCATCGGCTTGAGACCGAATTTCTCTTTGTCGACATCGAGAACAAACATGTCATCCTTGTAATGGTCCCAGTGTCCGCTTATCTTCCAGAGGTCTGCGTTGTACATATTGGGCGAGATTACTTCGTGGTAGTCACGCTTGAAGTATTGCTCCTTGATGTACGCCAGCAGAGTGTTGTAGATACGGGCGCCATGAGGCAGCCACATCGCACTGCCAGGAGAGAGCTCGTGGAAGAAGAAAAGCTGCTGATCCTGGCCGATCTTGCGATGGTCACGAGCTGCTGCCTCTTCAAGCCACTTCTTGTGTGCGGCCAACTCCTTTTTGCTAGGAAAACTAACGCCGTAAACGCGCTGAAGAGAATCATTCTCCTGCGAGCCAAGGAAATAAGAGGCGCTATTCTTCATAATGCTGAAAGCCTCGATGCGGTCGGTGCTGGGGACATGAGGCCCACGGCAAAGATCGATGAGCGGACCGTTTCGGTAGACAGTGGTCTTTGTGCCATCAGGGATCTTATCATTGATGATGTGCTGCTTGTACTTGTTGTAGCTGAACATCTCCAAGAGCTGGTCTTTGGTCATCTCAAGACGCTCGAACTTCTGCTTCTCTTTGACGATCGATCCCACAAGAGACTCCAGAGGCTTCCAGTCACTAGCCTGCACAGCAGCGCCTCCAGGAAGAGCCATCTCATAGTAGAAGCCATTGTCGACAGGAGGTCCGATGCAGAGAGAACATCCGAATCGCCTCTCGCACGCCTCGCCGAGAATGTGAGCTGAACTATGCCAGAAAACTTGCTTGCCCTGCTCATCCTCGAAAGACAACAGTTCCAGCTTGCAACTCTTCTCCAAGGGTCGGTCCAAATCCCAAAGTTGGCTCTCGTCCCCATTTAGTCTTGCCACAACGGTTCGCTTGTATAGGCTGTTGGAGATGCTCTTAGCGATCTCACCGGGAGTGGTCTCGTAGCTCGTGCCTTCACGGACGGAGCCGTCTGGCATAGTGATAGTAATAGGCTCACGCGGTCTCTTGGCAATCTCTTCATCATACTCCTTCTTCAACTTGTCGAACAGATCCAGGCGCTTCTGCAGGAACTCGGGAGGGGGGTTGAGCTCGAGAGGCCCCGCCGAAGCATCGCCGGTGTCCTTGACCTTCTTCTCCTTCTTGGGGGCTTTGTCTTTGTTAGAACCGCCGAGGGCGACCTTCTTGACGCCTTCGGTGACGGAATCGACGGCCTGCTTCGCGGAATCCATGATTTCGTCCAATTGAGGGGGGTATTGTGGTGCGAAAAGGTGGATTTGGAGAGACACAAGTCAAAGACTTGCGACAATATTTTTTGGGCGAAACAGCAGACTCACCCCGCCAAAGCTACACTACGGTGAGTCAAGCAAGGGTTCGGGCGACTCACAGGTGTTGGCGTCCCGCCGCAGCGCGTTAATGACCCATTTCCCTGCCCTGGGCGGGACACTTAGATTTGGCGGGGTTGGCCGGGACTTCTAATATTCCGCTCCGACAGCCTGGCCAATAGGAAAGCTCGATTGGTATGCACCACAATTGGGTCACTGGAAATTTTCTGTCGATTTGCCAATGGCTTCGCTTTTTCAATAGCAGCAGCAAGTAGCAGCAGCAGCAGGAGCAGCTCCCAAGTCACAACCAATCCACCAAGAACATGTCGTTTGGACGAGGAGCTCCGCGCGGTCGCGGCGGTGGTGGCTTTGGCGGCCGTGGAGGCGGAGGTATGTTTTATTATTTTTCTTTACTTCATTCTTTTCCATTGCACACCCTGCAACCTCGAGGCTACAAATACCGAGTTTGCATCGACAACTGACATACATGACTGCAACCTAGGCCGAGGTGGATTCCAGCAAAGGGATATGGGCCCGCCCGCCACGATTCTTGGTATGTCACCCATTTACAACTCAGCCTAGAAAGCTGCCCATCTAACCTATTACGGTGTGCAGAAATGGGCAAATTCATGCATGCGTGCGAGGGCGAGATGGTCTGCGAGAGCATCAACCCTAAGGTTCCTCACTTCAACGCCCAGATCTTCCTCGAAAACAAGGTGCGGCTGGCTCATGGAGCAAATTCTCTCATCGAAACGAGCTGCCTTCTCTAATTGTGCTACAGACTGCCGTCGGCAAAGTTGACGAGGTGCTTGGCCCTATCAACCAGGTTTACTTCACCATTAAACCCTCGGAGGGAATTCAGGCCACATCGTTCAAAGAGGGCGACAAGTTTTACATTGGGTCCGAAAAGCTTCTTCCGCTGGACAAGTTCCTTCCCAAGCCCAAGCCACCCCCGGGTGCACCAAAGGTGAAGCGAGCAGGCCGTGGCGGTGGACCGGGTGGCAGAGGTGGCCGCGGCGGTGCTGGTTTTGGTGGCCGTGGAGGCGGCAGAGGACGTGGAGGCCCGGCAAGAGGTGGCCGCGGTGGTAGTGGCTTTGGCGGTCGTGGAGGCGGCGGCGGCTTTGGCGGCAGAGGCGGAACGCCGAGAGGAGGTGGTGGGTTCAGCGGCGGACGTGGACGCGGAGGCTTCAGCAGAGGATGGTAATCCAGCATACATACCGTCAGTTCTTGGGGGTGAGGTTTTCTTCTGTTTGACTACGACTCAGGCGTTCGGGTTTGCTTTGCTTTGACATCAGTCCTGGCGAAAGGGGCTCAAGGCTGCATGTACATCATACACAATGGTCACCCAAGATATAGAGGTCCTGATCGCGGGCTCCGGGAATGGTTAGTCATCAAGGCCTTGGTTCTTACATGTGTGATACAAGAACACATGTAGCCGCTTACAACTGCCAAATGGTTGGCTTTTGAGTTGAGTGTGTGATGTACGTCCCTCGTGACTGAATTTGAAGGAGTTGAACATGATTTAAGTTCCGTCCTCTAGGCAGCAAAATCGACTAAATCTTGTGGGCAAATGGAATAAAAATTATCGTCTGTGAGGGAGGCTGAGTAAAGTACAAAAATAAAAATGAGGATCAGGAAGCCATGGCGCGGTTGAGCGTGCGGGTTTGGTTCAAGAACAAGGGTAATTTTTGGACGCCAATGGATGCCTGTTTCCACATTTACCGCATCACCGACATCTGCCTTGGGAGCGCACGTTATAATTCAACCTTCTCTCAGCTTTTAGACAAGTCTTGGCTCATGCCGTAAATCTGTTAAATCCGTCCTGTTGAGTGATGTAGATAATAGTTAGCATTGTCTCTCACGGTCCGCCGTGCTTGCGCTTCTACGGAAGGAGAGGTATCCCTATTAATAATGAGACAAGAATACTGGTAAGAGGCTATGGATGTGGTGAAGGATGTACTGCTGGTGGCGCGGTTCATCTCGGTGGGGCATAATTAGCAACGCTCCCTCATCCTCTCTGCTTCGACGCCTCAACCGGTTGCTGGGATTGAACTCCAATCAAGTACCTGTCTAATTTTGGTGCCAAAGGGTCCAGTCGCTGTGCTTATTGCTTGGTATCTTGCCTGGGGGTAGCACTTTCAAACTGTCATCCGCAACCTTCATCGTATGAGCATTTGAAATAATTCATTAGAATGTTATGCAAGTAGCCATCTGAACGAACACCAATACGAAGAAATAATAATCCCGTCCTGATGAAACTGGGTGTTTCCTATGTCAAATCCAATGCCAGCTAGCAGATTTTGGATAGGAAGACTTGCTATTACGTGACTGCAACCGTTAGACAAAGGATCTTGAAGGTCCTGATCCACTCATAATCACAACCTAGAATACGAGATGCTTGCATCACACATCTCACCACACCCCTGCAACTAACTGACGGAATCCATTTAGAGCAAGTAACTCGAGCCTTTCAATGGACATCTATTCCTCAGCCAGTCCACGGGCAGTATAGTAAGTCTAAGGCACTGTTGCTAAGTCAGTTCAGCTGCGCAGCTTTATCCTTTTTCTATGAAGCTCATCCCCCTGAACTCCTGGCCACTTTGCCTCCCTTTTCATTAAGAGAATCTCACCCAACTGAATGAATGCATTCCTCCTTCTCGTCATGCCGATTCCCATGAACGTCTCGATCACTTATCTCTCACTCAGCCCTTTCCTTCATATTGTTCCTCATTGATCTCTCTATGCTCGTTTTCGATGTCCCACTTCCACGTCTTGGCGATATTTCTATACGTTTGATTTTCGTCACTGACGGCTTGTATTCTACTTGTACTACATGTAAATGAGCCCTATCGACGAATATAAACAACGGGGTAAACATGACAAGCTCCTCTACTTCAAGGTCCATTGACGTCCCCAAAACAGCATGGGAAACGCGGAGTGCTACAGAAGCCATGCAGAGTGTGGCCGATATTATGATATCAGTAACCGAGTCCTTCAGAAAACAATTTCGGGAACCTCAAGACGTCAGCAATATGCACTTGAAACTCAACGGACGTGAAAACACAGGATGGAGAGCGCCGGCCCCGGTGCTTGTCTCCCACGTCGCCAACGGCGATAACGAGCTGCACCGTACTCAAACGTCACCTCCCAGGCCTGGCACAGCTTCCTCAGTATTGAACCCCCCGAGCTGCGATCTGACGATCTCTTCTGTACTGTTTGAGAATTCAGGCCCCTTTCTCATCGACCAAAATCCAACAGCAAAAATCCAACGCTGTTTTGGCAGCCTAGAATCGCATTCGTCTTCGTTTGAACATGTCAACTCATGTTCAAACATCGCATGCTGCAGTGGTTCTTGTGGGATTTTACCTCCTGAGCCACGTGCAACTTCTTCTCAATACCCTTATGTGTTCGAAGCTGCACAAAAGATCGTCATCAGCCAGCGGGGCAGAGGCCTGGTCGATACATCACCAATGCTCAACCGCGAGCACCTGAGTCCAGCAACAACAGCACAGACTACCACTCTGGAAGAACAAACCCGGTGGACACGACAGACACCTTCGTGTCAAGCGCAATTTCCGTTTAGACAAATCCCTACGAATACCCTCTCTTCTACCAAAGAGGTTTCATTGGTGGCCGTTATCAGTCTTCATCAGATCCTCATGTTTGCCGGCCTTTCCCAGGCCATGGCCCCGGCTCTTGTAATTGCACGTTCATTCATCAACTTGCCGGCGGGCCAACACTCTTGGTTCACCGCGGCCTATGCCCTTAATCTAGGAGTCTTCACATTACCTTCGGCCCGTATTGGGGATGTCTTTGGTCACAGACACGTCATTGTATTTGGTTGTTTTTGGTTTGGGCTCTGGTGCCTCCTTGCTGGATTTTCTCTTAAGGTGCAAGACGGTGGGTGCAACGGTGCCATATACTTCTGTATCTGCCGCGCGATGCAGGGCATAGGATCAGCACTTTGCGTACCCAACGGTTTGTCTATTCTCGAATCAGCTCTCCCTCCGGGAGAGAGGAAGGATGTAGCACTGTCGTTATTCAGCGCCGCCGCGCCCTTCGGTTTCGTCATTGGCGCCGTTATGGCATCCTTCTTTGCCATCCACAAAGTCTGGTACTGGTCATTCTTTGCCCTCTCCGCCGTTTGTATTGCAGCCGCAGCACTGAGCGCCCTCGTCCTCCCACGCCAGCAGTGTCGTAGGTTGTATTCCAACAACACGCCTTGGGTAAATCTCGACGTATCGGGTATCGGCCTCAGTGCTACAGGACTTGCTCTGTTCTGTTTTGCATGGAACCAGGCACCTGCAGTTGGCTGGCGAACCCCTTACATATACTTTCTTCTAATAATTGGGCTTCTATTCTTACTAGCTTTTCTACACAACGAGACCCTAGTAGACAATCCTCTGCTACCTATACGAGCAATGAACTCAGCAACGGCTCTCATTCTGGCCTGCACGGCGGCGGGTTGGGGGTCTTTCGTCATATGGGTCTTCTACAGCTTCCAATTCGCCGAAGTGTTGCGCGACTGGGACCCTCTTTTTACCAGCGCAAGTTTTGTGCCGCTTGCCATCGAGGGTTTCGTGGTGGTCTTGTTGCTAGCGTACTTGATGCCCGACATGGAGATATACTGGGCCTTTCTCGGGTCTCTAGTGGCTTTGCTTTTGGCGTCTATTCTGACGTCCACAGCTCCTGCGGACCAGGTATATTGGGCGAATAAGTTTGTGAGTACTTTGCTCGCACCACTTGGGATGGTCATGTTGAGCCCCCTTGCGACCACACTTCTGAGCAACAATCTTGCAGAAGGTTATCAAGCCGTCTCAGGAAAGCTGGTACTTGCCGTCACGGGATTCACTCTTTCACTGAATCTGGGAATGGCGAGGTCCATCGAGGTCCAAGTAAACAATGATGGACAGAACATACTATCTGGGTATCGCGGAGCGCAATATTACGGTTTGGGTCTTGGAGGCTTAGGTGTAATTTTAGCACTGGCGTTGTCGATTCGGCGCTCAGCTCACAGGAGAGAGCGACTAGCCTGTTGAGTAGAGAAGATCGTCACTTCATATCAATTCGTTTATGGATACCAATTTATTGGCGCTCGACTGGTGAGGACGTTAGAAACATCAATGAAAATCCACTGGAGTGAGGGAGTTATCGCCGTCCATTCATCATCGCTACAGCGCTCCATGCTGTCCTCCAAATCTCTTTTACCCAAACTACTACCAGAGGGAGAAGAGGTGAAACATGTGAAAGAAAACATCAGGCTCGGAGCCATTTGCGAACAGTAAGCGTCCCTTCTCACCCCTAAACCGAGTTATATCCTATCACAAACCTTGCCTCTTAATGCTTTGGTGCCCATATCTCGGTACCCATACCAAGTAGATGGGACTAGCGTCTCACATCAATGGCGGATGAGCCGCCCTTAGGGTATTCACCTGGAATGTGTAGGTTGGAGATCGTCGGAACACTGTCGGTCCTGATAGTGCCAGCTGTGGGTCGGGTAGCCCGCAACGATTGACGAGAAAGGTCCGAGTTTCTTGGGACTGGCGTTCCTGTTGCAGCGTCGGGAGAGCCAGGGTTCTGAGCATAACCATCGGAGAATTCATCTACGCCTTGCTGTGAGAAGTCGTTATACGAAGCTCCCGACGACTGCTTTCCACCGCCCTTCAACAAATAGCCATATTGGTTGTTGCTATCTGGTGTTCCTTGGTCGAGGCTGTGTTCTGCCGATGATTCTGGTCGAAAGTCATCATCAGTCTTGGCTTGTGGAGCCTTCTGGCTAACTGCCCTCTGTATGCCAGTCGCAGGCATGTAGGCTGCTTGAGACCTTCGATTGAACGACTGTGAACGGCGGGCCGGCTCGTTTGTATATGGATTAATGCCGTCTTCTCTGGCCTGCTGGCTGACGATAGCTGCGTTGGAGGGTGCATCTTCCATAGGTGTCCGTGCTGTGCCGCCGTAACCATTTGATTGGTCCTTCGGCAGAAAAAAAGTGTTCTGAATGCCGCCTGGCAAAGATGGTGCCTGCGAACCAGCTTCCCGATCTAATTTGTCGAACCCCGAGCTTACGCTAGATGGCGAAAGAGGAGCCTGTAAGCCTCGCTGCGCGTTGACCTGGATGTCAGATGGGAATCGCCCACCTGCTTCGGGACGGCGGAGGTCTTGCCTCGAGCTCGTACTAGCTGCAACTGCTGTATCTGCCGAGAAGGGTTCGTCATCATCTTCGTCGACAACACCGTCACTGCTGGTTGATCTATGTGATGATTGGCTCAAACTGCGAACATGGCCTCGCACAAATTCGCTTCTTTCTTGTGGTGTCCTCTCGGTAAGCGCCTTGATATCTTCGTACCAAGCCATCATGGTATCGTGGCTTTCGGCCCGGAATACCCATGTGTGACCGCGATGCATTGATCCTGTCTGACGACCCTTAAGGATGAACTTGTTGGATGACCCTCCCTCGCTAGAATGTGAACCTAATTTTTGCTCTGGAAGATATAACGACATGACAGGGGCTTGCCCCTTATCCGCCGATTTAAATTCATGGAGATGGGTCGGAGAAAGTACATACCTAACCGTCAGCAACTGTTGTTAGCTTACTAGGACATCTATCGAGTCTGGGGAAAACAACTTACCAGCCGGCTGTGTAGCTTTTTAGATACTTGCTCTTACGCTCGAGGAGTCCAGCCCGTATTTCCTGGCAGACGACATGGTCTCGACCCGGATAATGAATATGTTCAGCTGAACGGATCGGGATGTCAGGGTCCACGAACTGGTCATCTTTTTGAACGAAATATGTCCATTCGTGATCCTTGGGCATGGAAATGGGCCCAATACGGAGCTCCTCAATCACACCGTAAGCGGCATCAGACTCGCGCTTGAGAATGCCTGCGTAGGCATTGTACGCCTTCTGAATCTCACCAACCACAATGGACTCCAGTTCACGACCTGAGTTTTCCAGGTTAAGGTAAGCCTGATGGAGGTAGTTCTCCTCATCGATTTGTCGTTCGACCTGTCTGTCGACAGCTAGCCGTAGGAGATACGGATCTTGCTTTCCGGTGGTTAAGGAGGGATCTAAATCACTTTGACCCAGAGTGTCCTGTAGTGCCTTGACGGCCCTCCGAGTGCTATCCATTTCTTTGTCGACGGAATTCTTAAAATCTCCTGAGAGGTTCTTTATCTCTTTAACTTTCTGATGAAGGTCGCTTCTCAGACCAGTGAGCGCCATAATGACATCCTCTTCGATCTCCTTGGCCTTGTTCGATTCTAAAATGGCACTCTTGTGGTATGCGCGGAGAATGTGTAAGGCATCGTCGATGCCTCCCGAGTCTAGAAAGCCTGGCGGGGTTGAAATGTTGTTGGCTACGTTAGCCAATTTCAAAAGCGACTTGGATTTGTGCTCATAGTGTGTTTGGATTTCACGATAGTATGCGATTAGATCTTTGAGAATCTTGCGCCAAGCTGTCGCAACAGTTAGTCACTGCTGTTGACACGAGTGTTTATGAACTTGTCAGGATGCGCACGACTTACATTGAAATCTGTTAGCCAAAGCCTCAGTTGGGTTGCCAGATGTTGGCACAGGGCAGTGAAAGGCGCTGTGAGCTTCGTCGGGGTCCGAAGAAGACTGCAGGGCCAAGCTGCGGACGCTGCCAGCCTTCATACTCCTGCGACTACTACTCCGCTTCAGGCTACCATTTCTGCGTAATGAGTTCTTCTTCTTGAGGGTATTGTGTCGCGATGGGAGGTTTAAATGATCCTCTCCGGCATTGGAAACGAATGAGTTCGATCGTAACATATTGGAAGTTAGTCCGTCGATAATGCTGCTTCCTCTTTGACTCGCATCCCATTCCTCTATAAACCTGCCGCGAGCGTTCGCTGATGGGACGGTCAGATCGTTGCTGTTCGTAGAAAGGTTTTGACTATCGTAAGCAGGGTCACCGGTTTGTGGGAAGTGGTGTGGTTGATGGCCGGTATGTGAATTGGCAAGCGTATTTAACTGTGTCTTTTGATCTTCAGTGTGCTCCAAGGGGGCGGGGGCGGAAGGAGAACTGAGAGAGGCAGTGGCAGCAGGGGGCGGTTGTTGCGGGAAATAAGATGAAGTACGATTTAAGTTCATGGTGGGCGCGGCGGCGTCAGCTTCTCGATCTTGTATACTCCTTTCCTGGTAGGAATCAGCATCGGGAAGGTGCGACACATGGTTCGATCTCAAAGCGGGAGAAGAAGCCTGAGGATATCTGGCAGCCATGGTCGAGGAGGTGTCGAGCACACCAAAGCCCCTCCTTCAGGTGTCGTGGCGGACTTGGAAGCACAAAAATTCCTAGACCAGGGTTTAGCGTAGCAGAATTAAGATGGCCGGATGGCTTTTAGAGACAGCTTAGCGCAACAAAGAGAGGGCCGGGGGACAAGCAATGGCTGGCTAGCTGGCTAGTGTATCGCGTCGCCGTACTTTTGACGCAATCGCAGCCGGAAGAGCTCTATGTCGCTCAGACCAATGTCGTCATCAGGGAGTGGTGGCTCCCGATTCGGTTCAAGAGAATGCTGATGTTTCAGTTGTTGGCGGGACAGTGATTCCACATTTGAGCAGCTGTATCGTAGGGGACGAATAAGCTATTGTTCGGTAGAGTGGCTCGGATAGATCACACGTGATATCACGGATGAAATTCGAATGTCACGGTTCGTTGCATTTGTGTCGTACGGAAGAAATGAGGGCAAGCTAACAGATCAGAAAGGAGAGCCAGGCAAGGCCTTGGAGGCATTAGATTGGAGGCTTATACCGAAGCCGAGGCCTGTCAAACAGGGTGAGGCAAAGGGTATGGACTTACCCAAATCAGGGTATTCCATCACAAATTGGGCACCCGCAGTCAGTGACCCTGGCGGTTATCTACCATTGCACTAGGTACTAGGGGTGCCACCTTGACTTGTGTACTAGGTCAGGTTAATTTACTCAGCGACATCCTTGTCATACCACCCACGCCTGTTCAGTTATCCCCCAGAGCACGCAGTTGTCGTCTACGCTGTACGAAGTGCTGTTGAGGAAAGTAACTTGGGACGACGAGTCATCGTCCCATCGTCCCACCATCCCATCATCTTCCCGACCCGTCAGTGTCCGTCGCTCTTCACCATGCATCCCTTCTGTGGAGGGTTCCAGTCCGTTCCTACACTCTGAGCCGCCCCGAGGACCCATGGCAAGGAGAGCTGAGGGGACGAGGTCCTGGATTGCCTGTCAAGGAGATGTAGCCTATTGCAATCGCCTTCTTGCCTGAACAAAATAATGGGCTGTGTGAGTTAGTATTCACAATGAAAACGCCAGTGGATGGCTAGCATTCAGACTTTGTTGTCTTACTCGTGATCAAATAATCTGGGGTCGGTCATTTTGGACCAAATGATTGGCTGTGCCTCCTTCAGCGCCGTAAAAACACGGTATTAATGGCTAAATTCTGAGCTCACATCTGGGGCTTCTGGATAGTGCGCGTGGCATCTTGGATGGTATGTGGTCTGTTCGCAATACCTTTTTTGGACTGGTTGCACACAAGAAGGTCAAGAGGCACCTGCACATCAACTCAACGATGACGTATGCGTCACCTCCTAAGCCTCCCCACGACGTAATGTCGACCACAGACAGGTCATGTTGGTTGCTGCATCCTCACCACCCCCTTTACTAACTAGTGGAAACTTGACTCTTTCACACTCCAGTCGCCAAGTTTAAGTAACAACTCACAAGCTGGACATTTATTAGAGGCGGGTTTTTCACAAAGTCTTGGTTATGCTAGGTTGCCACGAAAATCATCCTCTCGTCACCATAGCTAGGACTTGCGCAACAAAGTCACACAAGATGTTTTCCAGCTAATCCGTATGACCCCACCAGCTTAATCAGGAATGCAGCCAACCAACATCCGACTTTTAAGTCTAGACACATGGCGATCATCATCACTTTCCATCTGTCGTTGTACTTCAATGGAGTAGTTTGCCCAACGTTTCGGGCACACGGCGTCATATTTGCGACGTTGTTTGTCCGCTCCCTTTGACTGTCCACTTTCAGCTATGTTTTAGTTCATAAGATTCCTTAATGCTAAGGGCATCATTCGTTCAGTTACGGGGGAACCCATTTATCATAAACTGGTAGGTGTCGGTGAGGAGCTGGGAATAGTCTGTCACAAGCCTCGAGGCAGTCGACAGCAGCTGCTCCTAGCAGCCTTCCGGAGTTAAGTCTGTCAAAATCTTGGCAAGGCACGTTAGGCCAGTTTCTGCTGGGTGTTCAAGCGTGCATTCGGAGATGATCCTGTTATGCGGATCTCTCAATGGCCACGAATTCATTGACTTGCATATTCCATGGAATTGGACCATAGCTTTCAAGAGCTGTCGTGCGGATTATACCTTATTTGAAAGATAACCACAACATGCGCTCTTCCACTTCGCCAAATCAAGAAAACATCTCCGCGGAAGTGCGATCTGATTAACCACTTTCCTGTATATTTGTGACTGCCTGGCTTTCTTCTTGGGAGAAAAATTGTGGGATGAATGCGGTTCATCCCATCTTCGAGAATCTTTCCCCACTAAACACAACTCTAGCCAGTGACTTATCGACAATGCGCGCCTTCAAAAATCTGGATGACTGCGAACAAAGTTTCATTCACACATGTGACGATCAATCGTAGATGGCAAAAATTGTGCATTCACCTTGCGCTGGATAAGACAAGCCGATGGGCGCCTCTGATCCTTGTATTATTTGACGCTGACTCTTGGAACCCAAACGCCTTGCTATGCCATAACCCTGTCCCGAACGCTGTTTGCTAACAAGTTGTTTGTGGTCGCGATGCTCCTCCCATGTGAATCTAGCCCTTTTTTCACCAAAACAAGCAAACGCCAAATCTTATCATAATCTCATTTTATCGGCCACCAGGGCCTGATGCTGCCTCCAGCGCAAATCACGATGCTGGCTTAGGAGCACCATCCGCGGCTGGTTCGACAGGCTTGAGTTTCGTTCTCCGGCGGGGTGGCGGTGCTTTGGGTGGTGTCTTCTTGTGCCCATTCAGATGCAGTGTCGCAGTTTGCCCAACAGGAGTGCCATGTCGATGTTTAGGCACCTCAGGCAAAGGCTTCTTAGGCCGCGTCGTACCTGTCCCCATGTTTGACTGTTCTCCCTTAGCTTCTGCCTCAGCCTCAGCCTTGCGACTTGGAGTGATGACGCCAGGTTTCTCCATGACTGCTGCCACGTCTACAACGCTAATGCTGCTGGCCGTCTCTGATCGGGATAGGCTGATGCCTAAAAACTTTCGAGCCACCTCTGCCTCGCCGGAACCCTCATGATCGCCTAGCCACTTGACTTTGGAGACACGGTCAACTAGTCTTACCGTCGTTTCGTCAGCGGGCGCGAAATGAGAATTCCCCAACCCGCCTAATATTCTCAAGACTTTAATGATCTCGTCCCGTTTGTAGTGTGGAGGGTGACAGAGCTGTGTATGTGCTAAAAGAGGATACAAAACCCGAAGATATGTATGCCGCAAAGATATCTTTTCGTCTGGAAGATCCATGAGGTTCCTGATGATAACATCGAGCAACACTTTCAAGTCGTTTGTGTAAAAATATTCATAAGTGGCTTTCGTAGTAAAGAGAAGATATAGCAGCTTAAGGATTAGGAGCTGCAGTGACGTTTCGGTTTCACGGTTTAATAGTAGAATAATGTTCTCTCCAAATGTTCGAAACAGCGATCCGTGAAGGCTAAGACACTTGATAACTCTGTTCGTGAGCGGTGCGGTAGGAGATGTCGGATCGGCAGCAACGTCGGTGGAAGCTAGCATGTATTGTTCGTTCAGAACCAACTGCTCGAGGTTAGATTGGCATATGGGTGGAGAGTGAAGGAAAAGTAGAACATACCAATACACGTATAATGGGATAATGATACGGATCGTGGGCATCGTTGGATAGCTCCTCGATAATCTGGAACAAATACGCAATGAAGCCATCATCGACTAGCAGTAAGTCTGCTGTGCGGAGCCGTTCAATGCGGGACATTTCGTACATTAGCTCTAGCAGCAAACGGTGTAGCCTCGGATCCCGGTCTTTGCGCCCGTTAATGAGTTCGAGTAGCCGGGGGAAGCAAGCTTCTTCGACCATACGAGAGAAGGTGGCCTCATCGGCTTGGCCGTCTAGCAGAAGGAAAAGAACGATAACGTGTAGCGATGCGGGGTCATCTTCTTGGAGGAGACTGTATACGATTTGCGTACGGATATATTCTTTGTTATCGCGGAACAGCTGGCTGGATAGAAGCTTCTCGCAGCAAACTGCGACATCGTCCTCAGAATCAAAGAACTTATCCCTGAATCTTGAGGAAAGATGCAGCCAAGCCCTCAGCGTCTCGTCAATTAAATCGTGCGACTGGTACTGGGTAGTGACAACGTCGTCCAGCTCTGTTATATAACCGAAGACTGATAGTTAGCTACTAAAGCTCATGGGCCATATTGAGACAGAAGGAGGAAAGACCCTAGAATGGGAACACCCAAGAAGAAAATCTGGGTAGGACACGATAACCATGCGTAGCGGATGCAGAGTCACTAACCTTCCCAGAACTGCTGCTGGGTCTCGAGAGACTCATAAACATCGAAATCCGCCATGATGCTAAAATCGCCAAGGGTTGACACCTAAAATGTTCTGCATTACGAGCTCGGCAGGTGTAGTGCTGTGTCTGCGGCGAAGTATTTCGCGGGATGAGGATGAGGCCGGCTGCAGTTTCGACTCTGGAAGGTTGATACACACATGGCATGGTCAGGCTTACAACTAGGTCCCACCCCTCCCCTCTCCACAGCATGAGGGCACCTGGTCAGCACCTTGAGGAGGCAAGGTAAGGTAAGGTAAGGTGGTAATGCCTTGGGCTCGGGGTAGAGGAGAGGGGGAGCAGTGAGGGGTCGTCGTTACGGTGGGGATTAGGAAAAAAAACAACACCCAGTCACTGGACTTGGCACCTCAGCCTTCCCCACTCCTCCTGCTGGAACACTTTCGCCCGACAATCGGTGGCACTTACGTCAAAGCAGAAGTAAAACCAGCTCCGAGTCCGGTTCGGTAGAGGATGCCCGAGCTGACAGTGCGATACCACTGAAGGCCCTCGGAAGCATTTTTTATATTAATTATCATGGCATACGCGAGGTCCGTATGTTGATGCCGTGGGCTCTATATGTTTCCTTCAAATAATACATGTTTCCCAGAATGCAAGTGACCGAACAAGAGGATACTTGTCATATCGTCACGCCCGCCGAATCTTCTAATCCACCCTTACTTATTCGCCTAAACGCCTTTAAAGGAAACCGTTTGAGGAAGTCATGCTGTCATACAGCGCCGATGCTGCCTACACCTTCGTTGCTACCATCACCTACATATCTTTTCCTTCAACAGGGCGCTTGCCGTCATCGTAAATTTTGACTCTGTCCGCATACTCCTGGATGTTGCTTACGACATAGTCAGATATCGTATTTCCCTTACCCGCTGCAATCCTTAAGATTAGCTCATTGAGATGCTGCCGTCCAAGGATATCCACATGATCTGCCGTTTTGGGCCCGCCTCTAGGATTGAATCGTTCGGGTTCGTGCTCCATCTCGACAACAGTAACCTTGGAGCCCGCCGGATTGTATCGCTTGTATTGCCATCCACGATTGCACATATACCCTGTGCTTATGAGGTTTACTGTTCCGTCACCCTCTCCCATCACAACTCCATGGTCCACCTCTCCTTGAGTAAAAGCCGTATCAATCGTAATATTTAGGTTTGTGAGGGATGGCATTTCTGGAGATCGATAATAATATCCTCTCTCAGTGGGTTTGCCGACGCCGTAGAAGCAGTAAATTTTTAAGCTCGGCGCAAGAGGTAGTCTCGTTTCCAATGGGTTGATCCATTTTCGAGGGTCTTTCTCATTGGCTTCAACCTCCGCTTCAGTATGGGCGATCCCATGCGAGTAACTTCTCTTGACGTGGTTTTGGTACCAACCCTCTGTTGTGTTAAAGAGATACTCCATGGCTGACTCAACTGTCAAATTGCGGTCTGGAGTGGTCCAGTTCATGCCGCTGCGGAAGTTGAGAAGTGATCCGAAAGAGAAATCTTGCCCGGGCTGGTCATCAGGTGCCCAAGTAAGATTACCCCATACAGCTTCGCCTCCGATAGGAAGCATAGAAGAGATCCCCGGCATAGCACGGAACAATTGCGCTCGTTCATCTTTGCTCAGAAACTTTTCGAGACCGTAGACGGCAAAAGCGTTCAGTTGCGCTGTATCACGCATCTCACCCGACAATACAGCTGTCAAGTCCTTAACCGCTCCAAGCATACACCCGCTCACATTGATCCACGCCTCAACGTGCTGCTCTACCCAGTCATCGCCGCCACGACCGCCACTCTCTGAGGCTACCCAGTGGAAGAAATAAAAGAGAACCTGTCCGCCCATACTGTGAGATACGAGCACTGCCTTCTTTCCCGAAAACTCGTGTGCCGTTTCGATGTAGGATTTGAGCCTCGTAAAGTACTGGTCGCGGGTTTCAAGGTTTGGATAGGCCAGCCGCCAGTCATATGCAGCAGTGAAAGAATTGGTCGGGTCGTAACCTATGGACGCCAGATTCTCAAAGATTTTGTTCCAGATCCAGTAGCCAGTAATGAAAAAGTCGGTAGCGTCAAAGCCTTGGGCTGCGCGCAGCTTAATATGGGGAGGGTCAAGGCCCGTGTCTTGGTCGAGCATGAGGTGTCTCTTCCAGTTCTCCTTATCCAAGACCAAAGCCCTCATCATGCTCCAACTACCCCATAGACGCTTGCGGAAGTACGGGCGGGATACGTTGGTGGTTCCCCACGACTCTAATCCCGTTGAGATGACACCAGGAACCATGATCATAGGATGATGGGCATGAAGGCCCTCGGCACGCGCCTGAAGCCCTACTGAAAAGGCGTCATAGCTGTCAACGAACTCACGCTCGCCTTGCTTTACAAGTATTCGGGTTAGCTCAGCCCAGCTAGATTCTGGATGCCCCTCAAAATTAGGAAAGAGATGTTACTAACTACGAGGTCGCGCATATCCTTCACTAAGCCAGCAGGCAAAACATCGAACAGACTGTCCATGCTGAGCTCACCGAGCTCAGGAAGGTCGATGAGGTCATTGCTTTTGGCGAAAAAGCCAGCAGCTATAATACCGAACAAGCTTCCTAGTAGAAAAATTGCCGTATTGCGACGCTTTCTCGTCTTGGGCTTGATATGTTGGACAGCCTGGACGTGCTTTTCGGGCTTCTCGGGACTTTCATCTCGGGACGTGGATGGCTCGCTCTCAGTCTGGGGATCGGTATGTAGGACTCGGCGCCGAAGAGTAGAAGCGGACATGGTTACGATCGCTACCGTCTGCGATCAGCCGGAGTGGTCTGACAAACCAAGGTTAGCTTTTGACAGTAAATCAGGTTGGTCAAGTGAGGGCCGCAGCGAGCATAGGAGGGAGGTCGTTTAGGTACCTTTGGTCAAGCGTAGCAAATACGCGGCCACGGTGCCTTTGGGGAGTGGCTCGGTATTTATCGGATGCGCTCCAATGTCCAAGCTTAGCCAAAGACAAGGGATAAAAATAATAAGGGCGCTTGCTGCCGTGCCATGCACACTGCTAGTGGGCTTGATGTAAGAAGGCACAGGATTTAAATGTGCGGAAAGCTTATTTGGAAAGCGCAGCTACGAGTGAAATAAGTGGTAGTAGTGCCAACGCCAAGACTCTCTGAAGGGGTACAGCTCGCAAGGCGTCCAATACTTGGGGACGTCGCAAAGCTAAGACTCTTAAGCAGCGTTAATCGGAGGGAAGGAAGGGATGGGTACTCTGGCAACACTATGGTGCGCGCAACCAGAGTGACGTCAATTTCACAAGTGGACGGGACGTTTTCATACGGAATAAAATGAATACGTAGGATGCGGGACTTTCAGGTCAGAGAAGTACCTTTCCAAAAGCTCTTCCAAGAGGCCCCACCAAAGAGACAACTCAACTGCCAGTGCTTAAAATTTAGGGATATAATACTAGTACTACTTACGTAGTAGTAAGTTGTATTGCATAAGCACATCCAGAACCGAAGGCTGAACCCTCCTGAAATGGTCAAGCACCGACCACTGTCCGAAGATTCTTGGTGTGATTTTTGTCTGGCTTTAAAGAGCACTCCCTTGTAATGAGAACATCAAGTATGATTACTGTCTCTATAGAAGCGAGATCACGCAATTTTACAAGTCTTCAAGACTACGATAACCATCATGTGATCCCAGTTTTTGAGTCTTGCAAATGCCCTCCCTATCAAGAGCCTTACAGGGGTGACTAACTGATAGTGAAGACACCAATCATTGCTAGTCACACAGAATTCTAATTCAGATACAACCGGATCAACCTACGCATCAATCAGACTGACGGCAGCGGTACGTTTCCTGTTTCGCCATCCGCCCGACAAAACCAAGCGAACGGTGTAATGAAGCACAGTCACTATGACGGGCAGCACAAGGTACACAGGCTTCTACCCGTTTGACATGTGATGGCAGCCCAAACCAACTGAGGGGATGTGGACGGAACAGTTGTGTGGACCTGCTACAAAACAGCCACAGCTAGCGCATTGGGCACGGCGCAGCATGAGGTGGCACAAGTACAAATTAACAGCATGTCCGGATAGTGCAAAGAACTACTATCCAGTATTTCGTACCCACTAACGCAATGGTCTGGATACTGGGCACAGCATTGCGATGGTGGGCCTCCGTGTTCGATTGGACCACGACGGGATTCCCTTGACCTGACAGGGCGCCACCAGACACAGCTTACTCGTCTTCATACAACAAAAACGTCTTTACCAAATCAACCACAGAAATCGACTCAAAAACACCGTCTCACTCTGGTTACGCCGCCGCACAGCTCAATCTGCAAACGTGCAACTCGCTGCCTGTATCAAGCCTCTGGATTCGTTCCCTTTTCCTCTACACTCTCGGCGGCGCCCTATCTTCATTCGTGTTTGCAGCGTTGTCTCGAGTCTCGTCGTCCGGCTTTCCCCTTTTCCCACCAAATCTCTCTCTCTCTCTCTCTCTCTCTCTCTCATTGCTGTTTCAGTCTCTGCTCCACTGCACTGTCTGTATTGTCATGAGTTGAGCATTTCACAAGTATCCGCCGGTCCAAGGCTTGAGCCTTGTGTGCTTTCTTTCATCATCCTTTTTCTCCACTCGCTCAAGACCGACCGCTTTGTCCTTAGGTAACTCCATCAACATCATGGACTCACCCAAGGTCGCCGGCCTCCCGGATAATTTGCATTATATCCAATATGAGCACGGACTTGAAGCAAAATATCTCCCTGCTATACGTTCTCTTATTGCCAAGGACCTGAGCGAGCCATATAGCATTTACGTGTACCGGTACTTCCTCTATCAATGGGGGCATTTATGCTTCATGGTGCGTATGCACCTCTGCTCAGCGAGGCACGGTACTAACTCTTATCCAGGCCCTGAACCCCACCGACTCGTCTCTCATTGGCGTCATCATTTGCAAGCTAGAACTTCATTCTTCTCACTCTCCGCCGACAAGGCGTGGTTACATCGCAATGCTCGCTGTTGCCTCCCCATTTCGTGGAAAAGGTATTGCGACTGCCCTTGTGAAACGTGCCATCGACGCTATGGCTCGGCGGAACGCTGATGAGGTAGTCTTGGAGACAGAGGAAACCAATACTCAGGCCATGCGTTTGTACGAACGCCTGGGCTTTTTGCGCTCTAAGAAGCTACACAGGTATTATCTCAACGGTAACAGTGCCTATAGATTGGTTCTCCTTCTCAAATCCATCGATCCAGATGCTGTCATTGAAGATTACGATGGTCTATGATCCGAGGAGAAGAGTTACGATGGATTGCGGTGCGAATTGAAGTGATTTTTCCGAAGACATTTTGTGGTCTCGTCATAAGCCTACACTCCAGTCAACGGCTTGCATACCTCACGTCATCATCAAGGGCTAGAATGAGGATTCTCTTTTCTCAGATGGAGTACCTGTTCCAAGTCGTACATGCGTAGCGGGGAACAACGTCATGGACGCACATGGCTTTAAATTTCGGATTTGAGTATAACAGAGAGTAGTGGAGGTCGTGTGTGCAATTATGAAAGCGAAGGCACACTTGCTTTTGGAATGTCGGCAACTATTACTTGTAGCATAGCGATGGCCTGGCCGTGTTCAATATTTCTCCATGTCTTAAGCTAGGCGTACAGTACGATATACATATTGCCGAGAGCAACAACTTTCGAGGCGAGTCAGGTTGGGTTGAAGAAGGAAAATAGCGAACATATAATAGATCGCACAACTAAGCCAAATAGGCAGATATCCTACTGAGAAAGTGGCGTAGAGTGATAGCCAGCAGATTCCTTTTCCCCCCCCGAGACTCGAGGTGGTTGCTCGAGGTTGCAACATCATCTGGAGATTTCCCTTGATGGCGTCACTGTCTTTCCTGACTTTCTCCTGGTATTCCTCCTTAGGATTTTTTGTCTTTTGAGCAGGAATATCCCAAGTTCTCGTGAAAGGTTTGTAATCCTGTTAGCGACTCATCTTGGGCGCCCAAAAACCTGCTTCACATGCTACCATTCTTGACCCCGAGATGCTGGTGTTTTGGAAGTAACGTCCAGAGAACTGTAGATCGATGCTTTAATGTCCCAAGTATTTCCATAAGCAATACCAATATATGTGAAGGCATCTGAGGCATGTTAGTATGAACGCATATAATTCATTGACTGACAGCGACACACCTGGTTTGTAGTAGATGGGGCGCCCCATTGCCTCAACTACTTTCAGCTCTCGAAGACGACGCAATACTCTTGAGACGTCTGCTATGTCACTGAAGTCGGCCGTGTAGATTGCAATAACACGATCCTTGCGGCCTGTCGCATCTTGTCGCGGAGCAACTTTTGCTGCGATGCCAAGCTCATTGTTGGCCGTAGCTCTTGCGATGGTCCCCCAAACCTCGTTGACGTCACAAGGCTGACAAAACAACATCCACTATACGTAAAATCATGTCAAAAAAATTGCAAAAAATCAGGATGATAGGCACGTAATACTTGCCTTGCCAGCCCTGACTCTGCAGGCGTGTGCAAGAGCCAAGACATCCTGAACTGCCCTTCTCTTCTCTAGGTCAATTTCCCTAGACCGCAATGCCATGGACTTAGATGTCTTCTGAATTCCATTCATGAATTTACTCAATATCTCTAGCCTCTCCGTGCCTCCGTCAATCAAGGTGGTGAGCTGAGAGCCTTCCTCTTCAGGAGCTTCGTCTTCGTTGCCCCTGCTAAGCTGGTTCTGAGCAAAAAGCTTTCCCTTCCGTCGAATATATGGGTTACAAATGAAGATCCAGGGAAGCTCATTACTGCCTTCTGTCGTCTCAGGAGGCAACCGAGCGAGAAAATCCTCGACCGTCTCGGTCAACTGCCACGCGAAGGGAATGCCTGCGTACGGGTTGTGCAACGTTCGGCTGTCATATGGCTCACTTTTAACTATTCGGTCAAGCTGGGCCGCTTGCATCTCCTTCATCCATTGGGCGACGTTGAATGAGGTCACCCGAGACTCTAGTCCAGCAATCATTTCTTCATCCCCTGGATTTTGATTAGCTTAACTAGAGATGGGCGTTGGTAAAGTCTGATACGAACCATAAAAGTCTGACTCGTCAGAGTCCATCGTACAAGAGTTTGTCTTCTGAGGGATGCTAAAAATGCTAGCTGAATGATAAGGTCGCTTAAAAGGAGTAGACACGTAATTAACTCGGTCAGAACAAATGAGGCAGCCGTCCTCTTACAGCAAATATTAGCGAAGTGGGAAACTAAAGAGGAAAATGAGGACGAAAGGCCATCGTTTGTTACGAAGTAGGAGTCTGGCAGCCTTTCAATGTCTGAACTGTGGTCAAATGACGGGAGGTCAAAGACGCCACAAAAAGAATAAAAGGAAACCAGGTGGACTCAGCAAGTTAGAGGATAGGCTGTGAAGGATCCTAATCATGAGAAATGGAGGCTGCTAAGGGACACCCCAAAGACTGCAAGAGCCGACCCGATTTCGTGGCGCCAATTCCGGCAAGCGATCTTTGGGCGATCTGTGGGCGATCTGTGGAATCCTCCCGAGTACCCCGAAAAGTAGCCCCCGGTTCCTGGCGGAGCCTCCCTAGAAATCCCATTCCATATTTTTGGCAAGCGCACATCAAGTGTCAACCTGCCTTTTATTTCCGTTTTAGCCCCTTGTGCAACCCAACTAGAATTAACCACAAATCAGAACGATCCTTCACATCCTCAGAAACAAGCTCGAGTTATCGACCTAAACGTTCTCTCTGCCTTCCCTGCCAACTCATCAACAAGAAAAGAAAGGGAAAAGGCGGTTTAAGTCATGGCCGTGACATCGGTAGAGTCTCTTATTTTGGATCTGCCTCCAAGTTGCATAGAATTTTGTGTTTCACATCCGAAATACTTTGTAGTTGGCACTTATAACTTGGTCAAAGAAGAGCAAACGGCAACAGCACCGGACGAGACAAGTTCGTCAACAGGCAAAAGGCCGCAAAATCGCAATGGTAGCCTTCTTGTCTTCCGAGTAGACAACATGACGCTGTGAGTTTTCAAGGCCCATATCTACAGCTTTGCCTAATCCGGCACAGACTCCATGTCCAAACGATATTTCATCCTTCGGCGATTCTAGACCTTCATTTCTGCCCCCTGCCAGGCAGACATGACATCCTGGCTGTGGTGTCCAGTACGGGGACGCTGTCCATCTTTCGGTTGGACCCAGACGTGGATATGTTAGAGCCGCTAAAACATCTAGCAACCAGCAGAATCGCCAACGTTCCCGAAGGTGTCCTTTTCCTTTCCGGTGTCTGGAGCTTCCATGACCCGGCTTTGATTGCCCTCACAACATCAACAGGCGAAGTGCGTTTCGTGAAGCTTGATGATGCTTGGAAGATGATTGATGACGATGCTGAAGCTGCCATCGCGCATTCTCTGGAGGCTTGGACAGTCGCCTTCTCCCCGTGCGAGGGAAATGGGGCTCAAGTAACCAGCTCGAGCGACGGTACGCAGCTTACCCCCTTCGTCATCTACTCAGGTGGGGATGACTCTGCACTGCGGTATGTATCGTATGCAGACAACAGCAAAGTCGAGACAGATGGCTCGGGTCCATCCATGTGCATACAGTTTCCTCCTCTTAAGATTGATGGCCATGGTGCTGGGGTGACAGCCATTCTCACGGTCCCGGTTCGACTCGCAGACGGCTCATGGATCCTTGTGACCGGTAGCTACGACGACAATATACGAGTTTTCGCTGTCCAGCCTCCACATGAGGTTTACGGACTTCGCAAATTCAAGCGGCTAGCAGAGGAGAACTTAGGAGGCGGGGTTTGGAGACTCAAGCTGATCGACATCCGCCAGAAAGACAACCACTGCCACCTGAGAGTTCTAGCCTCGTGTATGCATGCTGGCGCAAGAGTCATCGAGCTTAAGGGACCACTGGGTGAGGGGGAATGGGAGATTACGGTTCTAGCACGGTTTGAAGAACATAAGAGCATGAACTATGGCAGCGACTATGCACCGAATATTGGTGACGGTCGCCTTATTGTTGTATCTACAAGTTTCTACGACAAGCTACTCTGTCTATGGGAAACCACACTACCTTGAGCAATTCCAGTCTAGAGGCAGAGAAGTTGCTCTGGCATTTGGATGGGCTACCCATGTCAAGAGTCTCAACTTCAGCGACGCCCGAATTACTAGCTAGTAGTCCTGGGTCGCAGAAGGCTGAAACACTATTCCACGCATCTGCAAATGCGGCTTTGGTAGACGATGGTGTCGTACTAACAAGCGAACCTTTAAGGGAAAAAAGAAAGAAAAAAAAGAAGAAGTGTCTAGTTAGCAGCGCGACAAACTACTTAGCTGAATTGCACTATCCTGGAGGGCATCAGCACTTCATCGAACTGTCAAGCCCCGCAGTTTGGGAAGCTACCAAACAGTCTCAGAGGTTCCACTCCATGTTTTCTCAGTCAGGCGGGCGGTAAGGTCTCCCGTACCTGTACCTATCGAATCAGGCACCCAACGATGCCTGCACTTGGTACCCATGGTACCTAACGCAATCTAGATTTGGCACTGTCCCGCCCAGGTACACGGTTCGCAGTGGTGCCCCGGCCCGACAACGCGACTAGTTATTCCCATTATTTGCTTTCTTCCCATCTGCCTTTCGATGATGCAGATGCTTGCTACAGGTGCCGTTGCTACCTCCCATTCTGTCCCTGTCACTTCTTCGACCAACCTGCAACGCTGCCTCTATCATTTTCTACGCTTGCTCAGACCGAACTTATCATTGTTACACTTCTCTCGCACTCACGTATTTGACCAGAGCCCCTCTCCTCAAAATATCAATAGCAAACGGTCAAGCAGAGGCAAAGTGCGTCTGTTCACAGGAACACACCTCTGCTAGAACTCCCAAGGTACCTTTAATAAGGTAAGGCATAGTCACTCGCCCCGTAAATTTCCTGTGTCTGCAACTGCGAATGCGTCTCATCTGTGTCGTCTAGCTCTTCTACATCACTTCTGGCTTTTGCTAACTTTTGGACTTGGCATTTTGGGCAGCATTCTCACAGACACCTCTCTTCTTACGGCTCCCCCCAGCCCCTTAGCCCCCATCTTATGATACCGACCTCGACGGCGTTCGACGTATGAACCACTCTTGAGTTTACTGCTGGCGAAGCAGCTTCCAAGGGTGGCCTCCCTGGTGTACTGCGATCGACCTCATCTATCATGGACGGACAGGCCGCCAATGGCGCAGCCAATATGGCCCAAAACGCTACCCCAATCAATGGCGGGAACTCCGACGTAATTTCCCAAATTCATCAAGCGCTCGAGGCGGTACACAATCCCTACTCGTCAAACGATGCGCGTCGAGACGCTCAGTCCTTTCTTGAAAACATTAAGGGCGTAGACGAAGCTCCATTTCACGGCTTTACCCTTGCCTCCGATAAATCCCAATCACCAGTCGTACGGCACTACGCCTTATCTCTCCTAGAGTATGCGATCAAGCAGAGATGGGCAGAATACAACGAAGAGCAGTCGACGACCCTTCGTGGATGGGTGCTGGAGCTCTGTCGAAATCTCTCCAAAGACGATCCGCTATATATCAGAAACAAAACGGCCCAGTTGTGGGTTGAGATCGCAAAAAGATGTTGGGGCTCTGAGTGGATGGACATGGACGAGCTTTTGCTCCGCCTCTGGCAAATACCTGATTCTGCCGTTCACAAGGAGCTCGTTCTCTTCGTTCTTGAGACATTATCTGACGAAGTTTTCAACGGTGACGATGCTGTGGTCGCGATGCGCGAGGGCGTGCTCAGCAGAAGTTGCGTCGAAATTTTCACGCCTGCTGCCGTTCTGAGAGAGGCATTCCCCAACAGAACTGCTGGTCCCGAAGTGCGCTATGGAGATGAAGGCTGGCTGAGCCGGGTTGCCGAATTCCTAAATCAATGTCTCCAAGGCGACGCTCAAAACGATGATCAGATTCGGTCCTGTGCTGTAAAGTCTCTGTCCGTTTTTCACTCTCTTATGCCATGGGCAATTCCCAAAGCTGTTGCCATCGCCAACTGCGTCCCGGTCATGTGCAGAGCGCTTGCAACGCCTGAAGTTTCTATTCAGAAGGTTTTTCAATTCCCTATCAGCCAAAGAAATACACTTAACCAGAAGCTGACTCATTCTAGGCATCCTTGGAGGCTTTGCATGCACTCTACTCCCGTTCAAATTTCACAGAGCAAGAGTTTAAGGACCTCGTTGCACCAATGTATGACTCTAGCTCGGTTGACCTACTAAAGAGACTCTTTGAATGGTCTGCCGTTGACGTAGAAGACATTGATGAAGACAAGTACCAGTTTGGAAAGAAATTCTCTGAAGTAAGTGGGCGACCAAGGTCTGAATCAAGTACATGTGCTAAGGTGTGCAGATGTTGTCTCTCCTTGGCAACTATCTAGATCGAAGGTTCTCTGCCATTCCAACAAGCTCAGATGTGCATGGGTTTCTCAATCTGCTGCTTCTCACTGTACAAAGCCAAAGTCTCATCATTGCAATCCCAGTCTTGGCTACATGGACGCGCCTTCTTAACAATAGGTTGATTGGGCAGAGTCCAGCCAACGCTCATCTGGTTGGGCCACTCCTCGAAGTCTGCGGTTCTCGCCTTATTCGCTATGAGAATTTACCGGAGGACACTCAGGATCCAACCTTCCTATTCCTGATGGAGGATACTGACACTGTCCCTGAGCGACATGCTTTCCTTGGGAATTACAGGAGATTCAGCACGCAGATCATTGAAACAATTGTGCAGCTAAAATTGTCTGATGCTGTTTATCATATTCTCGGCCAGGCGGAGCAAGTCCTGCAACATTTATATGACGGCCACCCGCCAATGGACAGTAAGTCTACGTGTTTCTTGCTCAATCTTCACTGCAGGAAGGCTGATTTCCATAGTCATGAAATACGTCAAACACTCGATGCCTGTTTTACGTGTCGACGCACAATTTACCGTCATTGAAGCTGCGCTCAAAGGTTATTTGAAGTGGAGAGCAAGCACGACACAGCAGAGCCTGCCAGACTATGTGGGTAATCATCCCCAAGCGAAGCCCAGCATCACTCACAGCCACTAGGAACAGCAGCGCGCTGCCATTGAGAGAGACCTCGAATCGTGGTGCAACAAGCTCCTGGAAATGAAGTTTGAGGACCCCTTGATTCGAAAGAGAGTTCTGCAGCTGCTGGTCGCTTTTTCCACCACTGCTCTGGATAAGAATCCAGGCTTCATGCTCAAAGTGCTTGAACACATCCTCCTGACCTGGCCTGCACCCCAACCAGAGCATCGCGCCTTCAACGAGTCGATTAAGGATTTCCAATCCGAGAGCATGGTCGAGTTGCAAAGGCTTGCATCAAAGGTACCAGATCATTTGCTTGCCGTGTACGACCAAATAGAAGCAAAGGTCAACGACATGATCTCATCTGGCAGCTTGGACGAAAAGCGCCAAATTGCATATCAGAGTTTCCTCTTCATCATCATCCACCGTGCTACCAACATTGACCCAGCCAAGCAACTCAAGCGGCTTCAGGACTTTATTAAGCCTGTTACAGCTTTGTGGCAGAACCAAGAAATGAAGAGCGCGTTGGCGTCATACTCTGGTTTCTGCGAACTAATGGCCTTGGACAAGGCCAAGCGATACCTGATAAGCCACCGGGTGAGCGAAGTGAAGGACTGGGGCTCTTGCGAATTGGATGCGGAAGGCCTGGCTCTTCAGAACGAGCTGGAAGAGAGACAAAAGGTAAATCTTAGCGGCCTCCATGAACTTTCGAGTGCTTATTTGCCTGGTTACAGTTGCTACCACTTCGTCCCACCAAGTCGTTCTTATCTTTCTCTGTAGAAAAGCTTGAGAAATCATCGACACCCTTCCAAATCTCATATCGCCTCTGGAACGATACATTCCCTATAATTCTTCCGGACCTGTTGCAGTTCCTCAGGTGAGCATCCTAGCTGTCAAAATCCACAGATTTCGGTGACTAACTGTGCAGCCATGCTCATGCCTCGCATAATCCAGATAATTGGACTGAGCTGTCTTCAGAAATGCGCTCGGTTGTTGGCAGCGTCCTGAGCGACCGCTTTTGGCAGGCAGGTATCTCCGAGGGCAGCAAAGACGAGTTCTACGCACGGGTCATGGACAAAAAAAACACGCTCGAAGGCCTTGCATCTACAATCCGTGGAACAGTTAGGTTCGTCCGAGAAACTTGCTATGCCATCATTTACTGCATGAGTCGATTGGAGATGCAGTTTTACGGCTTCAATGAATTGCCCGGACCTCTTGCGCAAGCTCTTTTCCAGAACTCTTTCTATTTATCGGCTCATCAGCAGATCAACCTACTTAATTTAGTGCGATATCTTGTGGATGACTGCCCGCTCGAGCAGCGGGAACACTTCCTTCCTCCGCTGCTGGCTGCCTGTTTTCAGCAGATGGACGCCAAGATCAACTCGGAATGGGAGAAGCTGGAGCGTCAGCAAGCTATCCAGGCTGCCGCTGATGCGCTGACCGAGGAGATGAAGTCAGAAAGTATTTTGCGGCAAGTGACATACACTGCTGTGATCATGGTAGCAGATTTTCTTGACCCAACTAAGAGAAGTGAGTCTCCTTTCATCTCCTCTTCTTGATCTGCTTGCTGTTTCTTTGGTTGTGCGTCCCGGTTCTCTCGCAGTTTCCCTTCTTCTTTGCTTCCGAGTCACCTGGCAACTTCCAGCGACTTCCACCTATTACCGGGTCCCTTGTTTATCCTGTGGTTCAATACCTCTGGCCTGCAGAAGTCTTCTAATGGCCACCGCCCTTTACCTCCCCGCTATCCTGACCATGATACGAGAGTGGAGGCATGATACTAATGTAACCTCAAGATCCTCCGCCTTTGAGGCCGCAAAATGGTCATGAGCAGCCTCGTAAATTCCCGTCACTCAGAAAATTTTGCTTGATGCAGTCTATCATTGTGGAGCCGCTGCTCCTTTTCTGTACCCACGCAATCCGAATGAGAGACACGCGGTGCTGCAGCATAATTTTGCGAGTGTTCCGATCCATTATTCCGGAGTTTCACTTGACGGAACCTCTCTCACCAAAATCTGTACCAACACAAGATGGCAACGATTCGGTCATTACCGGCAGGGACCCATACCTTGATACAGCCCCAATATCTTCTGATGCGGCTTCGGCGATCAGGGAGTACATTGCCTCGGACGTCCTCCGTGCTTGCATCACGTCTTTTCATGAGCCCTACTTTGTAGACCTCCAGAAAGACCTAGCCTCCCTGATTGCCTCTATTGTGGTGTATTATAGCCCATTAACGAATACACCGAGAGATGTGCTTCTGTCGCTGCCCAACGTCAGAGCAGCCGACCTCGACAAGTTGAATGACTTCGTCTCTAAACCATCTTCTCATACACGCCAGCAGCGTGCGCTCGTCCTCGATCTTCTAAAAGATCTCAAAGGAGTAAGCGTTGCTGAGATGGGCAAGCTACCCAAAAACAGCAGTTTCGGGCGAATCAAGAGGTCAGCTCGTAGCAAAATGGCACAGGAGTTTATGACACCAGCGAATGACGCAACAACACGTAGCGGGGCTGTTCCTGGAGCTCGTCGAGGCACGCCTGACGGCTTGGAGGGAGTAGCCAATCTATTTGATACTTAGGGAACATTTTGCGACGTCCTTCTTGGACGCTAAAGATAGACTAGCTTCCGCATGTGACGCGGGTGTACGTGTTTGCAAACTCATGCTTAGGCCCCTAAGCTTTGTGCTTGGAAAACGCAGCGCCTTTGCATGACTGCTACTACTCGATAGAAAGATTAGTAGATAGTACAGACGTTATCGATAGACATGCCAGGGGCTGAACGGAAGAGGGCTGCGATCTAAGTACTGGTTCGGGAGGAGGCAACGAGAGAGAGAAAAAAAAAAAAGATACCAACACTTTGCAGTTCGAACTGAATGGCGCTACCGGCCACATGGACTGTACCCATGACTTCATTCAAGACAAACGATATATACTTGAGATATGTGCAGCCAGTGCAACACTCAACCTTCTGGCATTGAAACGACATACAATGAGGAGGCTCCATATCCCACGTGCAGTGAGGTACCACCCTTAACTATGGCGTATGCCCCATATCGACACGACCAACCAGCATGCGGAACAGAAACCAGGGTAGTTCAGTGCGAACACAAATACGCCTGTGTCTGGCCTATTGCGCAGTAAGAGACATGCAGTCTATACATACATTGCAGGTAAGACAGGCATGCAAATGCGGAACCGCAAGCATTGCCAGACTGAGATAGCTACATCAGGGCCAACACACAAGCCAGCATGATGGGGATGATATGACTGGTCAGTTGGAAAGACTGGAGCCCCTCTATGCTTACTTGGGCGATCCGCGCATTCGGGTAATTACCAAATGCCAGGGCAGAAGGCAGGGGAGAAACCAAGTAGATAGGAACAGGCACACAGGGAAACGAGAAGACACAGGCATAGACCCCCTCACTAGGGAGAAGAAATGTCAGCCTCGGCGATCATATCACATCACATCACACGTACAGGCGACCATCTACCCCTGTGCTGAATTGCCAGATCTGCATGGCTTACATGATTCATCGGCGGTTGCAAGGGTTTTGATGTAAGTCGAAAAGGGGGCAGGGCGTTTTATTGGTAGATTCGCCTTTCCTTGTCCCCAATCGACAATCGTTTTCAACTAGGTGAGAGTTATTAAGAAGGTTCATTCTATTCTTTTGGTTTCTTCAACCCCGCCAGAAACCGCAAGTGTGGCTTTGCCATCCGCCCACCTAAATCAGTCCATCGTCACCAAAGGATAGACCCCAAATACGCCGGCGATATATTCGAAGTGATTGCGTGCGGTCTATTCCGATGATCCTGTCTAGAGAAGTATATCATTTTCGCAGAGAGTCAAAGCAGTGTTGGCAGAGCATGAAGCAGCGACGTAGAGATTTACTACACATGCTATTTATCAACAGACTACTTGGTATGTATGCTTTGTCATCAAAGTCCAATCCTGACTATGGGGAGGCCAAACGCTTAACTTCCAATGCTAGTATGCTTGCAATCGTTACCTTCGGGCAATGATCAGAGATGGTGAGGCTGGTATAACACACACACGCGCGCCACAAAAAAAAAAAAAAATACATGGCAATTTGAGGGGATGTCCAAGGTGGACACGGCTTAGTAGATGCTGTGTGATTGTGACTTGAGATGAGGCATGCATGCAGCAGCAGCAGTAGCAGCAGCAGCAGCATCAACCCCGAAAAGAAAAGAGCAGCGAACATTATCACAGCGACTTGCAGTCCCAAGAGAATTCGAAAGGGCACATAGGTCACCTGCTATACATCGATTGAAACTGGATCACTAACTATGGCTAAGGTACGCTGGCCGTCTGTGGAACCAAAGAATGACCGTACAGTAAGTTGGCTTCACCCCGCTTATCATACAAGTAGGGAAGTTGTCCCAAGCAGAAGGGACGAGTACGGCAGCTCACTGTCAGGCTACAGTCGTGGGAAGAAACATTGGGGAAGAAATGACTTGGACTTTGCCGTTGACAAGGATGGACGAGCACGAGACACCTGATTTGAGACGAGCCGAGGCATGCTGAAAACGTGCTCCGTGCAGAAGCAAACACCAAGACGGGCTTTTATGCCCGTCCCAAGAGGCTGTTGAAGGGTATTCTGATTAGTGTGATTGCCTTACTTCGGAATGCTTGAGCCATAAAATTTACCATGATGTGGGGTGGGCTTTCAATTCACAAGGAGCCCAGCTACACAAGAGAGCGACGTGGTGCCTGATGCTTTTTGTAGAGATGTCGCGCCAACTCGCGAGTATGATGTTTAAATGCTTGGCCTCTCTTCGGAATGAGTAAGAGACCCAAGTATTCACTTTCTGTATGGCAATGTGCGAAAGTACCAGGAGATAATGGATTGGCTTCTGGACCAATCTGCACCAGGTTAAACCTGATAATATCCTGTAGATACACTAAGCGTAGCGAGGGAAGGAAGGAGAGATCACTCAAACGTAACTTATGATTTTCTGCCAGTCAATCTTTAATGCCCTATCTCTTGTTGTTCAGGCAACAGACGAAGACAAAGCTCTCCAGGCTGACATTGTCCAAGAAAACTATCGCGCATTGTGCCCTTTTTTTTATTAGGGGGCGGGGGCGGAGGCGGGACAGTTAGTATCCTTATGTCTTTTCCATTGAGTTCTCTTGGAACTTTCTATCACTCAGTGCACTTCTGTAACTGCTTAGTCCATTCCTTTAGATCTGGCCTTCATAGCATTGGTCACCGCTCAGAGCTCTGCCACCAAGGATTTCGACTGGGAGAAAAGCACCATTGCCAAATACTTCCCTTGTTTTGTTTCAGCAACGAAAGTTCTCCAGCATACACAATGACATGCCGACGCCCGGAAGCGGTGACAGCGGCTTTTTGATCCCGATGACCCGGGTAGAACAAACACGCCAGGACAAATGGTGGTCTGGTCGGAGCCTCAGCAATCGGCCATCTTTAATACCAAACCAAGAGGCCTTGTTCTTCTGCCCGGCTCAGTTTTGACGCACTGGGCACCAGAAAAAGGGTCATCTCAGTAAACCAAGTGAAACAGCTGCCATCGTTTTTTTGAAGATCGGGTTAGCGAAGTTGAATCATGACTCTCCTAGCAGCGATGTGCTCGGATGACCAACCAAGTCACAGTCATACATCACTGTCGTTGTTGACGAACAAGGAAAGGGATCAAGAAAGTCCAGCCCAACTTCGGCAAGAACATTTCAGTATAGGACTTTTTCATTGAAGCTATTCCTGCTCAGATTTCATGGCCCGTCATTTTACTTTGCGCGGATGTCAAATTCCTTGCGCTTATTTAAAAAATAAAATGAAAAAAGTCTACCCTCTGGAAAATGCGGCGAACGTCAGACCGGTCTTTCCGCGATTTGTATTCCAAGTATTTGTAGCGTAAGCCAAGGTTAAGCAAGAGGCGTGGTTCTTTGCTGGGAAATTTCGCACCGTCTGACCTGCTTCGCAGTGAATACTAGTAAAGTGTGCCAACTGCTAGTTTGAGCAAGCTAGACTGAAGTGTCTTCTTCTGTCATGTATATCAACCATTGCTTTTTGGTCTCTTGAGACAGTAAGCAGCATAGAGCCCAGGCAGGTCAAGTTGATCCAAGATCTGCTATGCCTCGTTTTGTTTAGTCTTGCACCAACGTTGCATTCCCTGATACCCGCATGATAGTCGACACTTAACGCGCCCACGCCATCTGAACGAACTTGCAACTGCATGTCTCGGTCTGTTAGCCCTGGCCTTCTTTGTCTTTTTCCCCTTTTCTTTTTGGGTAGAGCAGCAGAGCGAGGGTTCTACAGTCAGTCTAACCTGTTATGCCTTAGGGTGTAGTTGTCTACTACCACTAAGGGCCGAGATATCCCTGTCCAGGCTGTCGGGCAACGGCAGTACTTTGTGAGCCTTGTACCTCAACCCTGTTCCACGTCTCAGGCCGCGGAATTACCCGTGGTCGATATTGTCAACCTGTGTCTACTTGCTGAGCTGGAGCCAGAGTGGCACCAGAGGCTAGAGGAAGGGAAGAAGGGCCCAGGTGAAACCGTCCAAAGGCCTCTGCGCTAGTCAACGCCGCTGGGGTAGCTTGCTGAGTCGTCCACGCCATCAAACCAGAGCATTGGAGACTGGCAGGATCCGAACACGACGAACGCGGCCAGAATCTGTATCATCGCCCGGATTAGACATTTTGCTCCTCTTAATGGAGAATTTACCAGCTCCTCCAGCAGACAACGCCCGTCAGCAGCCACAGTCCTGGTCAGTCTAGGTTTTCGTCGTCCCTTCTTCTTGTTCTCCCCCCTACTCCCTATCCATACCCATTAAATCACATCATGTATTTTCAAGACCCACTAAGATAAACCTATCGATCCAGAGCATGCATAGAAATACCACCAGAAGTTAACTAGCTCACCCGCTCACTGTGCCATTACACAGCACCGAACTTCATTCAGTCAGCCAACCAGCAGCCTCTCATCATCAGCTGTCCTAGTACGCATTGTTCCTGGAGCCTCCAAGTATAGTAGAGATGTCCCGAATCTAAGGATCCACAATGTTTTGCAAGGTGAGGGAGGTACCCAAGTCAAGCCAAGATGAGGGGCGAGAGCAATACTATGTAGATATGTGAAATGGTGCGCCAGTCATGCTACTCCATCATACCACGGCCCCTCCCCGAGTTCCCGGTGGCTTCAATAATGCCGGGCATATCCTGGTCGACCAGCGGACTTGGAGGAGTTCTGTTTTCCTCATTGTCACGGGTTCTGTGACAACGATCACTGGAGCCTGTTGCCTATCTACATTATACTATGGTATACGACGAGGAGGAGCATCCACTGTCGACGCAGGGTGAATTATTGACAAGAGTGTCAAGAAATCATACAAAACAAAAATGGTGGCCTTTGTTGCCTCATGCAATTTCCATATGCAATAAGTATACTGTCAGAGGGGGTTGCATATGTCCTCGGTCTTTGATCTTTGTCACCAAGTGTCAGATCTGCACACCTGCAACCTATTGTCAAAGCGGCTTCCCTGTTTCTATGACTTGCCCCTTCGTCCTATCTTCTTTCTCCTTCACTTACTTGGCCTTCTATGCGCCATGCTTTTTGCTCTGCTCATCAGTCACGCAGCCTCTCTTGGGTCTCGCCCTTCCCTTCTCTTGTCCCCTATTTCGTACCCATCTCCACTCACTGTTGCTCCTCCTCGGGCTCCTCTCCCCCCACCCAGAAGTAAAGCCCATGATTGCCATCATTTCCCCTACCCCTCCCCTTGTAACGCATCGCCGGCTACAGGCTAGCTACTTACGCTAGCCCCAGCCAATGTACGTCTAAACTGATGAGGAGAGCTGGCTAGGTCCGCTCTCTGCTTCTCACACTGTTTCTTGCCGCCAGACGTTAGATGAATACTCACCTAAGTACGTAGCACTTGTTTATGCCTCCGCCAGGCCTGCACCAAAGAGGAGCCCATTTCAGCCGGTCCATGATCTTCCAACACTGTCACGCCAAAAGGGAAACAAAAAGAAACCATAATAAAAACGCATCTACTTGTCCGAATTTTTAACTAAGGCCTACAGGCTTATTCTTTCCCAACGTGAGAGAGCTTGGCCATACATCTCGTACATGCAACATCCATACCTCGGCTTACTGTAACCACCTTTTTTTTTTTTTTTTTTTTTTTTTTTTGGTGGTTGGTGAAAGCAATACTGTCGCCATAGCCAATCTTCAACCAGCTTTGTCTTTCCCGCCCGCCCCTCTCTCCCTCTTCCCCTCCCCTCCCCTCCCTACTTAAGTCAAACGCACAACGACGGCACCCTGTAATCTCAGTACCCTCTTCTCTACTTGCTGTGGCCGTACCAGGACTATCCTGGAACACCCAGACCGCGGCCACCCCCGGATGCAACAGGGAAACAGGCCCAGTGTTGCAACACCGCCGGTTTCTCAAACACCACCCGCGTGGCTTGGAAGTCTTGCATCTATGCATTTGTTTGGCATAATTCTGTCGCTCCCCCAGCTTTTGTCCCTCAATCAACCATCCTTCGTCCATACTCGAAGTACCGAACAGAAACGGTCCTCTCGTTCTACCGCACCTCGGCCTCTTGCGACAACTAGACCAACACCAGCCTGTCTTGCCGCCCGCCATTTACCGTGAATTAAACTCGAATTCGTTACCAAGACCTCGGCGTCACTTACCGCATATACCATCCCATCGTCTCAACGCAATCACGCGCTCTCGGGCCCGGCTTCTCCCCGATTCAAAGTTCCCACCATATGGCTACCGGCTTCCCTTACATTTCAGACTGAGCTATCGCTGCCTTCTGCTTCAACATTTGTAGCCTCACCTCTTGAGTTTCATCTCACGACTCTGTTAGCTCGGACATCATTGTCAATCTTTCACACTCACCCTGGCCTGCCATCAGTGTGATAACGTATACACCCAAGCACGATTGTACCATCCTGCTATCTCGCCCACTAAAGGGACTTGGTGACCCTCGAAGGCTTCTCATTCCTACCGACATAGGATACGCAACCATTTCTCTTGTTGCAACCTCGCCATATAAAATTTCGTCCGCTACTACTCGGTTCCGACCAAAATCCCTATTTCACGCATAAGACGACGCCACCATGGTCTACTGTGGAAAGCCCTCAAGGGGCTGCCAGATGTGCAGGACTCGAAGGATAAAGGTAAGCTTTGGATCATCAGTCACTCGTTCCCGGACGAAGTTGTCGTGGTCTCCTCCATGCTGACGCAAATGGCTTCTTCTTTACAGTGTGATGAGACGAAGCCTACGTGTAATCAATGTGCCAAGTCACGCCGACAATGCCCGGGCTACAAGGACGAGTTCGACCTCGTCTTCCGGAACGAAACCAAAGCAACAGAACGAAGGGCTCAAAAGGCGAACCGCAAAGCCCTCGCCCAGAAAGGAAAAGATTTGGACTCTCCTACTTCCGACAAAAGTATCTCACCTACCTTCAAGAAGGAAGTCGACTCGCCTGTAGCCGTCAGCCCAGGACTCAATGTACCTGTTGAGCAGATGGCTTCTTGTCACTTCGTAGCGAACTACGTCCTCCTACCCCGACAAGGCAGCACTCGCGGATTTATGGAGTACCTCTTACCCTTACTCAAACACGACCAAGGGAATCATCACCTGCAACACGCTTTTAATGCGTGTGCTCTTGCCTCGTTAGGCAATCGACCGAATGCGGCTGGAACTGGGCTCAGCGACAAGGCATTGGGCCATTATACTAAAGCCCTAGCTGCAACCCATATTGCTCTCCAGGATCCCGACCAATCCAAGTCTGATGCCACGTTGGCTTCCGTCCTAATGCTTGGCCTCTTCGAAAACATGACGGCCCGCCAGATGGGCATGTTTGCCTGGGGTTCACACATCGAGGGCGCTATCCAACTCGTCAAGGCTCGAGGGCGCAAGCAGCTGCGGACGAAGACTGGCCTGCTTCTTTTCATCGCTGTTCGAACTCAAATGATTATTCACACCCTCAGCACAGGAACCGCACCCATTATGGGAGTCGAATGGTGGCTCAGTGACGCCGTAAAGGACGAGTCAGCCGCCCAGTGCCAGAGACTTAACATCAAGACCGCCGAGCTGCGAGCCGAGGTAACTCGGCTCATGTCGACCGTGGCCCGAAGCCCCGAGAACATCGACATCATGCTTGATATGATTCGTAGAGCGCAAACTGTTGACCAAGAGTTTGTGAACTGGATGAGAAACACCCCTGACTATTTCCAATACACGACTGTCGCATGGGAAGACAATGTCCCTAATGGAGACTATACTAAAGCGGAGGTGTTCCCGGGTCGGGTAGATGTGTATCAAGATTTTTGGATCGCCAGTGTATGGAATATGGCAAGAGTGTCTCGTCTCATTCTTGCATCGGTCATCGTCCGTTGTGCTGCTTGGGTCTGCTCACCCGTGGACTATCGCACAACCCCCGAATATGCAACAGCAGCACGGACGTGCGTGGACACTATTAGCGATATCATCGCTTCTGTGCCGTATCATCTCGGATGGCATTTGAAGCGACCCGAGCTTCTTGAGAGGGCGAACATTTCTGGCTTTGCCTGTGGTCTTGAAGAGGCACAAAAAGGCCTCCCTGGTTATTTCCTTACTTGGCCATTGGCATGTCTGCATGGCCAGGATTATACAACAGATGCACAAAGAGCTTGGGTGGTTGGACGCTTGAAGTTCATCGGTGATGAGCTTGGCGTTAAATATGCCCACATTCTGTCACAGGTAAATCCATGTTGATACTTTCTCGTCGTGCATCACCAGCTAATCGTTCACTTAGTTGCAAGTCCGTATTCCATCGATGCTTATTAGAAGGGACGGCTTGATGGCACAGCCGTATCCCCAAGCCCACAACTTCGAGAAGCTGCTGTCGGCGAGGTATGCTCCTCCTACAGCAGGCTATTCGATGAACCCTCTTCAGCAACGTGAGGCTATGCAAAAGGAGTTCGTGGAGAAGCACAAGGCAGAGTTGCTTGCGAAGGCTACCGGAACTGCTGGTCAGGCAGGACAGTGGGTGGCACAGAACTGGCTGACGGTACGATCTGGACCACAGTGATCGTTTGACGGCAGGGCTGGTCACACCGCTGGATGTCATCCAATATTTGATGAGAATCATGCAAGCTGGCCTGCCATGGGACATCTATCCACAAGGGTTAGATATATCCTACCTCAAGGACCGGGCATTCTTGGTGATATTGAAGCACTCTGTTTTATGAGGTAATGAATGGGTGGGCAAATAAAGGAGATGAACAGATAAGGTGCGGCGAACGTTGACGTTACGCAACTATTGGCGAAGGCGAAGAAACACGGAAACTTGGGAAACAGCACACCGGTGGATAAGGACTTGAGAAGCCAGAAAGCTTTGGAAGGAAGAGTTGATACCACGGCGTTGGAATTTTGTAACTATGGGCTTCGAGGGTGATATTGCATACATTAAAGAGCTCAATCCTCGCCACTCGGTTGACTTTACTTGGACATATTCACTGTGGTTGGGAATGATCGCCATATTGCAGCCAATAATCTGCGAGAGTGTCTCAGTTAAGTTCAACCTGTGCCATGCGAGGCAGCGCTGAGCCAGAGTTTATGTGCGCCGCCTTCACATAAGGCGTGGGCAATCAAGGTATTCATGACGGCCTCACAACCTGTAAGTGGTACCAGTACCTGCTGGTACCCAAACAGATTCTGTATGGAAGACGACACCGCTGCCATCTCAACCCATAGCCGTTCGCGGTTTTCCTGGATACCACACCACTAAGACAGAAAGCTTTCGGACAATCTAGGTCATATCAGGGTATCTCAATATACGCTCACCTACCCGTTCAGTTTTCCCATCTGCCAACAAAGTCGTATTTGACGACTAAACAATCCCTGGCTTTTCTCCTTCATCGACACTTCCTCCTAGAGAACTAAGTCAACCGCCGGCGTCTCTTCAGTCTTCCGATCAGTTTCGTCTGTTCAACCGTTCGCCGCGTCTGCCCGTTCACCGGCCCATGGAGCCGTTGCTGAGACAGTTTGTTCCGAGAAGAATCGAACAAACCCCAGGTAACACGTCATAGTTGTTGAGTAAGTAGATAAGTGGCTGAAGGCCACTATTTAGTCTTCTTGATCTGGCCGACGGTGTTCCCGCTGAGGTTCCAGGCTTTAACGACCCAGCTCTGGGTCTGGTCGACATATCTTTCGTTGCTGGTGTGCTTGACGCCTACGCGAACGCCATCTTTGGTGAAGACAACATTTTTCTTGCCCATCTTCTCCGATGCCGACTCCTGCATTTTGGCGACAGAAATATAGACCTGCCAGAGTACCCAAGCAACGCAGGCTATGAAACTAATGGTGATGATGAGGGGGAGAATCTGACTGTATGTGCGCCCAAGCAAGGCCTTGTGTCAGCGCATTGAGCCGTCACGAGCAAAATGAAAACCCAAAGGCGCCCTGGTCATCGAAGAGACGAGAACGGCTTGAGAAATGCGCGCTTACGCACATGCCAAACTCCTTGTATCTTTCTCATGCGCGCTCTTTGCTGCCTTTGTTTCCATCACTTACCTGATTGTAGAAGGTTGCGCTTGCGGTTTTTTACCCCACGCCATGATTGATTGACGGCGCGGTCGAATTCTCGGGTGGGCGGGCTTGTGAAAGGTGTAGAAATTGTCTAGCTCCAAGAGCCGAAACGAGAGACGAGGAAAATGAGGAGAATCTGCTGCGAGTCAACGGTCGAGGGACAGATACGGAGGGCGCCAATGGAAGTGGATGAAAAAAGGTCGATCGCGAAGGCAATGTATGGTGGTTCCCAGAAAATGAAGACTACGGTATACGTAGGCTAGGCTAGGGGGAAAAGAGTAGTGTAGTGGGAAATGAAGGTAGATCCAGGAAGAAAACGAGGAAGGAGGTTAAGTTGTTGGTCGGGAGGGGGAAGCCAAGTTAATCAAGAGAGCGCGAGATTGGACGAGACATCAAGACCAAACAAAAGAGGGAGGGCAAAAGCCAGGAAACTAACTGATTAAGCCAAGTCAAGGAGGCTAACAGCATGGCTAGTTAGGCAGTGCAGCCCTTCCGAGGCAAGACCAGATGAGTACAAGTCCGGGTTTCCCATTTGACGTGAAGTAGATGTCACTGAATGGTACATGGAGTGTATTAGAGGATGTAGCGCCCTCTCAGTGTTTCACAATAGCTTATGTCTCCAAACCACATAATATAAAAATTGGCCACAAAGCAGCTGTCGATGCTGCTGATTCCATCACAAGGTGAAGCTGAGTCGCGCTGATCGGCGACACGCAATAGAGGAGACAGACCAGTGCGGGCGCACGAGATGTGAGTGGCTGTCAGAGACCAGAGGTGGGGTACTCGGCGATGGGCGGGGGTCACCAATCCTTCTTAGTGTATACGGATGCCCTTTAGGGGATGCTATGCACCGCGGCGGCCCCGCCGAGGCCGGGATAATGCACTAGATGTTACTCCTAAAATGACAAGCAGGCAGCTGGCAGCTGCGCTTTTGGAGGTTGTCGGGGGCCACAGTGGTCCTCCAGCGGAGGCCGAGGACAGGCACCCTGTCGTGAGACCGGAACTTATTTGCCGTCTGGCGTACCTGTGTAGCTCTGAACCCAAAGCATGGACCTGAGCACCCACGCCTAGTGGGCTGTGACGGGATGATAGTTGTCAATTCTTCTCTACGTTTAGAGCTTCGACTGAATAGAGTGCGGGAGTTATTCATGGGCAGATGGACAACGCGTGGGTTGCAATGCAAACTAGTCACCGAACTGATCCTTGAAGCTAATATTGCTGTAACTTGCCCTACGGCGTTAATCGGTTCGTGTGTGCCGTTGTTGGCTGGGCATACGTCCCCACTCTGACCCTAAAGCTCACTTAGGTATTGTCTACGTATTCAATACGTATAGCATCTAGCTCGCAAATGAGCAAGGAGGCTCAACCTAGAAATAAGTAAGCTGATTCTGGCGCGCGGGTAATGTCGCAAACAACTGAAGGCTGCGATAGTCCTGTGCAAGAAGGAACTGATATTAGATTGTTGCATAAATGGGACACAATCATTGGCGTTGTTCATCTTTCCGCTCCAGCGCAACGCTTGCCCTTGTCTGCTTTACAGCTTAGGTAGTTGACTGGGATTCTAACTGCATCACTTGATTTTTTACCTACGATTATTTTGAATGTTGGGCCAACTCTGAATCATGCTTGATAGAGGGAGTCACGGGCGTTGTTCCATATTACATAACACAGCACATGGTCCTCGGTTCAAATGATATTCCTTCCTCCGACTTCAACAGCCTCACATGGGCCGTGCGCGCTGGTGTCGACCGCCACCATTGGCCGCCAGCAGTACGGCACGCTAAACTATTGAGCCCTGGGGTGCCTGGTAGACGACAGGTCAACACCTAAAGCTGGAAGGAGTGGGTTAAACCACCTGTCCATTCAACAGTTCTCAAGGCTTGCTGCTGCTGCTGCTGCTGCCACTCCATCATTGCCTTCATCCTTCTCTTACAACCCTGCCCGGATATCTAAGATCTAGGTCAGCTGAATCTGGCCTTGATCTCTAAATCCGTCTCCTTGGTGCCAGCGCTGTGGACACATTTCTACGCTGAGCTCTGCTCTCCTCCTTAAATCAACCCCTCGCTACGCCACGCCGCTTGTCGTGTACTCCCCAAACCGGCACCGCCAGTGCAGCAAGTCGAATTCCTTGCACCAATTTACCCTTTCATCTTCACCGAAGCTATTTCTTCGACTCAGGAAACAAGTAGCAGAAGCTATTTCCTACGACCGCCCATCATGTCGGCGTCGAACGATGGCTACGGCCAAAACCCCCCGCAGCAACAGCCTTTTGTCGATCAGCCTCAGGATGGCTACGACCCCCAGACTGGTCAAGCCACTCAGCCTGCTGCCGCCGACCATGGCAAAAAGAAGAAGAGAGGCTACGCGACCCAGGCGTACGAGTTCGGAGCTGGTGCCAACTCCAATGTTGCTGGCGCACCTGCGCAAGCGCCAGGCGGTCTGTATGGCATGCCTCAGCCGCAAGCTTCAGCATATGGAGGTTATCCCCAACAGGATGCCCAGCCCGCGGCTGCAGCTTATGGCTCTCCGCAGTCGCAACAGTATGGTATACAACAGCCCGCTGCCGCCCCGGCCGGAGGTTATGGTGGATATCAACCCCCGGATGCCAGTTACCCTGCACCCGGTGGCGCTCCTGCCGCCGGCGGAGTTGCTGGCCTCAATCAACAGATGGCCGGCATGAATCTCGGTGGCCAGCCGCAACAGCCTGCTTCTGGTCAGGGCGCTCGTCCTATGGCCCTGAACCAGCTGTATCCTACTGATTTGATGAATCAGCCGTTCAACGTCTCCGAATTGGATCTGCCTCCTCCTCCCATCATACTGCCTCCCAACGTATGTCACCTTTTGCTCCTCCTCAAGCTTATCACTGATGATGGTACTAGACTAGCGTAACCCCTTCCCCCGACGCGAACTGTTCCCCCAAATACGTGCGCTCTACCCTCAATGCCGTTCCGACGACACACTCCCTCCTTAAGAAGTCGCGGTTACCTTTTGCGCTTGTCATCCAGCCATACGGGGCTCTCCATGACAGCGAAGACCCGATTCCCATCGTGCAGGATCAAGTCATTGCACGCTGCCGAAGGTGCAGGACATATATCAACCCCTTTGTCACCTTCTTGGACCACGGCCACCGATGGCGCTGCAACATGTGTAACCTGACAAATGACGTACCTCAAGCCTTCGACTGGGATGCCGCGTCGCAGAGAAGCACTGATCGATGGGGCCGTTACGAGCTGAACTACTCTGTCGTCGAATTTGTCGCACCCCAAGAGTACATGGTCCGCCCTCCCCAGCCTCTTGTTTACCTTTTCCTCTTTGATGTGAGCTACGCCGCTGTCTCAACCGGCCTGCTTGCCACTAGCGCCCGGACCATTCTCGACAGCCTTGACAGGATACCCAATGCCGATCGTCGCACTCGACTTGGCTTTATTGCCGTAGATTCCAGCTTACACTACTTTTCGGTTCCCAAGGATGGTGAAGAAAACGCCGAAACCAACATGTTGGTGGTCAGCGACTTGGATGAGCCTTTCCTCCCCGTGCCCCAGGACCTGCTAGTGCCTTTGACGGAAAGCCGCCAGAGCATTGAAAGCTTTCTAACGAAGTTGCCAGAAATGTTCCAGAGCAACCAAAACAACGGTTCTGCGATGGGCTCGGCCCTCAGAGCAGGCCACAAGCTCATTTCAGCCCTGGGAGGAAAAATCGTGGTGCTTAGCGCCTCGTTGCCTAACGTAGGTGTCGGCAAACTGGAAATGCGTGAAGACAAGAAGCTTCTCGGTACAAGCAAGGAAAGCAGCTTATTGCAGACTTCAAACAGCTTTTATAAGAGCTTTGCCGTGGAATGCTCCAAGAACCAAGTCTCCATCGACATGTTCCTGTTCTCGTCGCAATACCAGGATGTCGCCTCCCTTAGCAACTTGCCGAGATATACCGGAGGTCAAACCTGGTTTTATCCCGGTTGGAACGCCGGCCGTCCAGAGGATGCCATCAAGTTCGCCTCTGAATTCAGTGATTACTTGTCCTCAGAAATTGGGTTGGAGGCCGTCCTTCGCGTTCGCGCCACCACTGGCTTACGCATGAATGCTTTCTACGGTAACTTCTTCAACCGAAGTTCGGACTTGTGCGCATTCCCGGCTTTCCCTCGAGACCAGTGCTATGTGGTTGAAGTGGCCATCGACGAGAACTTGACCAAGAATGTTGTTTGCCTGCAGGCGGCAGTCCTCCACACAACCTGCAACGGAGAACGACGTATCCGTGTCATGACTTTAGCTCTGCCAACGACCACCAACCTCGCCGATATTTACGCCTCGGCGGATCAGCAAGCGATTACAACGTATTTTAGCCACAAGGCGGTTGAGCGTGCTTTGAGTGGAGGTTTGGAGGCTGCCCGTGATTCCCTTCAGAACAAATTGATCGAGCTTCTCCAGACTTTCAGAAAGGAATTGGCAGGTGGCAGCATGGGCGGTGGATTACAGTTCCCCTCCAACCTCCGCGGCCTCCCCATTCTGTTCCTTGGTCTCATGAAGAACGTTGGTCTCCGAAAATCTGCGCAGATCCCATCAGACTTGCGGTCTGCCGCCCTCTGCTTGCTGTCGACGCTGCCTGTTCCTCTTCTCATGCAGTATATTTACCCCCGCCTCTACTCTCTCCACGACATGCCCGACAACGCGGGTGTGCCTGATCAAGAGACAAGTCAAATTGTGCTCCCGCCGCCTCTGAATCTCTCATCTGAGCGGTTGGTTCCATACGGACTGTACCTTATTGATGACGGCCAGACACAGTTTTTGTGGGCAGGCAGGGACGCAGTGCCACAGTTGCTGATGGACGTGTTCGGCGTTGAAGACAGGACTCAGCTGCGTGTGGGCAAGGGAGCGGTGCCGGAATTGGAAAATGACTTCAATGAGCGGGTACGGGCAGTAATTCACAAGAGTCGGGATCACAAGTCCAAGGGAGTTGGCAGCATCATTTTACCCCATCTCTATGTCGTCCGAGAAGACGGCGAGCCGAGTCTCAAACTGTGGGCGCAGACCCTACTAGTGGAGGATAGAGCAGACCAGGGCATGAGTGCAGCGCAATGGCTCGGAATTCTGAGAGAAAAGGTAAGCAACGTCAGTGCTTTGTGAGACACATCATGACTAATAATTGGGACAGGTTGTGACTTGATAGAGCTACTCGACGGAAGAGTATGCACAGGAGCTTCTGGCGGGTTGAGGGCTTATATTTAGAATAAAGTCTCTGTCAAGGTAGAAATCAATACGCATAAATGTTGGCCGAGTACTTTTAACTTTGTCATCATCTGGCAGGACGCAATTTAATCTTTGTGAATGCTTCCACTGTGCGGTTCCGTTGGCTACTTGTTGCTCTGTATTCTAATTTGGGGGGATGCACCAAACGAGGTTCAGGTACGTTAAAGATTTTGGGGAGGCAATGGCCCGCCATCGTCGTCAGTTCGAATTGTTGATAAATTTGTCGGTTGTTGAGTGTTTCTTGTCAAGGCCACTCTGACTTGCCACACGTTAGGATAAGAGTAGCGGCGTACATGATGAATAGACACGGCGCGATCTAGCTTTTGACTGCAACCACAGGTGGATGACATGCCTGCATATTTGGGCTTTCTGTACTCTATTAGGGTTAGATTGGACGACCCATCACATTGGTGGTGGTAGTCCCTGGCTTTGGATGGTGAAACTAGTACCAGTAAGAGGTGAAACACACGCGCCGAGGTGGGAGGAGACGCGCCGGAGCCCAATGGAAGGCGGGCGTAGGCGCCGTGGTGGTTAGTGCGCATCGGCTGCAGAGTGCTAGCCAATACTAACAACAGGACTGGTCTAGAGGCTTCCCCCAGCATCGGTTGAGCAGCCATCTGACCCTTTATCACACGGCATGGCAATGATTTATCGAATCCTGTTGGCACAGTAGATGACAGCTCTGAAGAGCCACATCGAAGGGGCTTGGTCATTCAATGGGCAACCCCTGATCCTTGCTGGATACCAGTCATAAACATGTATCAAGCTGTATAGGTACTATGGTTAATGCCACCCTCCTGACTCTAGCACAAACTACAGGAACGAGATTCCGGTGAAGTACATTCACCCGGCTGTGCTAGCCAATGTCAGATCCATTCAACAGTGGACCGTCCCATGATATTGCTTGTCCACAGCTCTCATTCAGATGCAATTAACAGACCATCTGAGACCGAGATTCGGTTCCGATGGTACGGAAGGCACCTAGCTAGTTACAGGGAAGTGCTTCACGTGTGACCATCGCTGGCGTCGGTGGTAGCGAGTCGGGAAATGTCCTTCAACAAGAATATGGCTTTATTTGTGGTCGGTAATGGCCTGGACACAACTCATCTTTTTGAAGTAAAGGGTTATAGGACTTGGGTACAGGTGGGGAGAAAAGAGGCTGACTTGTCATAGAATACAGTCAAAAACCAGTAAGATTGGACCGGTGGTATTGAGAAGGCAAAAAAAAAAAAAAAAAACAGAGAGAGAGAGATAGAGATAGCGACATGATAGTGTCTGATCGAGTGTCGAAAAGGCGTCTAGGGGTGAAGGCATGCCGCAAACAAGTAGTCGGGATGTCAGCGTAAGGTAGCTGCTCCCCCCTTCTCAAATACCTTTCCGTTCCCTAATCACGGTGTTCATTATTCAAGTAGGCGTTGGCGCCTTCGCACACTGGCAAAGGCCTTACGTTCTCGTATTTTAAGTACCTGGTCTCATCGCGATGTGATACCCGTTCTGATTTGTTGTGCTGCACATCTTACAATTGGCTTCTCCCATCGCTGGGATGGCCCTGTCGTAATTTCAACCATAATCAATGTCGATAGAATCCACCGAATAATATTACCATAGTTATTGCGGCCTTGGAATCAGACTCAGATGGTGACCCGACCGGACTTAAAAGTGTAACTGTCGGTACAGAAATACCGGGAGGAGAACTACTTTCAATAGCAGCTTGCAATGGCCTTGTCGGCGGAGCAGAGAAGAGAGAGCAATCAGTAACATTGAACGCTTGCGCATATTACTACACCGTAGCTCCCCGTCCCGCCCAACCCCATAATGAGGCCCGTGGGCTGATATTGTTGGTGATAGCTATTGAGGGGGCGAAAAGGTCTCTCGTAGAGGCGTAACCCCGGAACTAGACTGTGGTCCCTGGTTGGGTTCCTGAAGCAAGCACGTTTCCAAACAAAGGTACCTAGACCCTGACCTTGACCGTGTGGCAGTCTTCAGCGTAGCCAGGCGGCCTGGGGTTCCCATACCTGCATGGGTAGGTCCACTCAGCGGCCATCTCCCCTGCCATCGTGCTTTGCCTTGGGTGTATTGCAGTACATGCTGAGGTAGCTTTCCCCTGCTCTGACCTAGTTGCAGAAGAGAAGTATTATTACATGGTTAAAAGTGTCCGTCAATGAGGGGCATACGGAGTACAGTGAGTGAGATACTTTTCACGAAGTACCTCCCTACCTATCTAAGTCGTCCTCTCTCCTCCACCACCCTCACTCACCTCTTTTCAATCCCAGGCGTCGCCAGAGTCCCATCGTCATTCTCGCTCTGCTTTTACGCTCATTCTCTCAGCTTGGTATCTGTTGCACACCGACCGGAAACCAAAACGGAGCGACATCAGGCCGAAATAGGGCGGTGAAGAGCCGTTGTTTCCACCAGTTTCGTGCGCGCGCGTAAGGACCTCACTATTGACGGGGTAAGACTGCTCTTCTTTATTTCAACACCACTTGTGCCTCGTCTCAAGCATCACGGGCTCATAGGACACTTGCGGTTCCTCTGTATTCAGTTGAATGCCTTGCTTATCCCTCCTCACATTTCCTTACTAAAACATCAGCACACCTTACATTGTACCTCTCTACGAATTGGTGGCTATCTGCTTAACATTGAGTTACCTTATCTGCCAAACTTCCGCGTTGCTCAAAGACTCTCGGTACGTACTTGGTTGTGCCTCCTCTGTCTTGTCTTTCCTTCGCTTTCTTGCATTTTTATCCCAGAACGTCAGTCAGCAGCCCACGGCTGTACCGCAACCGCAACCACAACCGCAACCACAAGTCCTCCCCTCAGGCTCCTTACTCCATCCTCCTCCACTTTCGCCACCCCTCCCCGCCCCTTCCCCCTTCTTTCTACCCCTCGATGCCACGAAGATCACACAGGCACGCAAGAGTCCAAGTCGGGCCTCCAAGTAAACCCGCACCCAAGCAGACGCCCACCCAGCTCAGGAGCTTGCCCACCTTCGTCGTGCTTCTCTTCTCTAGCCTCTAGGCCGGGTGCTCGTAATCCTCTTTTCGCATTTTACAACTCTCGTCTGAAGTCTCGTCGTCACAGGGGGTGCTCGGTTCATCACCCGCTCCCATTCCCCTTACCTGGCTTCGTTTCGTTGCCTCACGGCCCGCTTTCGCTTCCTCACCTACTGCTACTGCGCGGTCGCGGTCACCACTTGTTGTAGTCAGTAACACACACACACACAAACACACACACCTTTGCCTCGCTCCCTGGTTCGCGCTTTGCTGCCGCATCCTTTGTTCTGGAAATCTGTCCACCCTGCATTTCGCCTGTCGCTCCAAACTCTCCTTCGTGAGTCGGTTTTCTCTCTTTTTTTTTTTGTTCTTTTCGAGAAACTACTCAGAAGACGGACACATGTTTTTTGCTTGTTCACCAACCCCCTATAACTAAATTTTCGTGCTGGGTTTGGTTGTTCGTCTGCCCAACCTAGCTTTGGCCTGCCTTCCTTACCCGACCTGACCTTATCCTGTCCGACCCAGTTGGTTTGGACCCTCACTTTGCTCAACCTTGCGCATCCCGGGATACCTGCCTTTTCCGTCGCTTGACCCGTTGGAGCTCCTTCCAGCTAACACCAACTCTTCACTTCTAGCCCACTGCACAGATATTCTCCCTCTCTCTCACATTCTCCCTCTCCGAATCAACACCTGAATCCTGCAGTTACCATCCTCTTTTTTCTTCGTCGAACTACCGACAATTCGTCGTGCCTCGCTTCGCAAAAGCCGCGCCGACCAGGGCAGAAAAACTCCTGCTGCGTGCTTTACAACCGAAATCCGAGACGTTGCCTACAATCAAACACCTCCCGGCCTGTGACAAGCGGACCTCACCCAGCACCCCCAAGGCCCGAGCGGACCCAAGAAACACGGCCCTCGCCCACTTTTGAACCTCCAACGACACTCGTCCCCTTCCACCCTCCCGTCCGCTGTGCTGCGTCTCTCTGTCACTTTCCTTCTCCCCCTCTCGAAAAACTTCCAAGCCGAACTGCCTGCGCCTGTTCATTGACTGGACTGACCCGGCTTCCTTCCACTGCCAGAGAACGTCGCCCCCCAACTCTGCGAAACTTTGTGTGTCTGCGACGCCATCCTTTTTGACAGCCGTCGATCCTACCCTACCTTTCGACAAGTCACAACCGGCGTTCCCGCCAATAATTATACCCCCGCAGGCGACGATACCAAAAAACTCCTGGCTCGTTACCGAACCACTCTTCAAAGCAATTGTGGTTCTGCAAGAGCGCCTTATTAGGACCTCTTAATTCACACCCTTCCTTCCCCCCCTTTTTTCTGCTCCGCCTAAGGTAGCGTCTCCTTCGCGAGGACCCGCCTGTGCTATTGCTCCGTCGACACCTGTCAACCGTCTCGATAACTCCCTCTGCCCGAACTTCGATACTATCGTCGCACATCATCAATCATGTCGCGCGCGAATCCCCCTAACCCCTCAGGCTCCCGAAAGATTTCTTTCAATGTGAGCGAGCAGTACGACATCCAAGATGTTGTTGGCGAAGGTGCTTACGGAGTTGTTTGGTACGTTGGGCTTTATCCCATCCGGCCCCTATGGAAGCCATTAAACTAACGATGCATCCTACAGCTCCGCGATACACAAGCCCTCCGGCCAGAAAGTGGCCATCAAGAAGATAACCCCCTTCGACCACTCCATGTTCTGCCTGAGGACTCTGCGTGAGATGAAGCTATTGAGATACTTCAACCACGAGAACATCATCTCTATTCTCGATATCCAGAAACCCCGCAGCTACGAGACCTTCAATGAGGTCTACCTGATTCAAGTAAGTTGTACACAGAACCAGTACTCGATACAAGTTGAATGCTAACCTGTCTTGATATCATAGGAGCTTATGGAGACTGATATGCACCGTGTCATCCGCACCCAAGATCTGTCCGACGACCATTGCCAATACTTCATCTACCAGACCCTGCGCGCTCTTAAGGCCATGCACTCAGCCAATGTTCTTCACCGCGACTTAAAGCCCTCCAACTTGCTTTTGAATGCCAACTGCGATCTGAAAGTCTGCGACTTCGGCCTAGCACGTTCTGCAGCTTCCCAGGAGGACAACTCTGGGTTCATGACGGAATATGTTGCGACGCGATGGTACCGTGCTCCCGAAATCATGTTGACGTTTAAGGAGTATACGAAAGCTATCGATGTGTGGTCAGTTGGTTGCATCTTGGCGGAGATGCTAAGCGGAAAACCCTTATTCCCCGGCAAGGACTGTAAGTCGACGTGTGCTTCCTGGTCTGTGTTCGTAAGCATTGCCATACTGATACAAGACTACTTTAGATCATCATCAGTTGACCCTGATCCTTGACGTTCTTGGAACACCAACGATGGAGGACTATTATGGAATTAAGTCGCGCCGCGCGAGAGAGTATATTCGTTCGCTCCCCTTCAAGAAGAAGGTGCCGTTCCGAACTCTTTTCCCCAAGACGTCTGATCTTGCTCTCGACCTCCTCGAAAAGCTCCTCGCCTTCAACCCTGTTAAGCGCATCACAGTCGAGGATGCCCTCAAGCACCCCTACCTTGAGCCTTACCACGATCCTGATGATGAGCCCACCGCGCCGCCTATTCCGGAGGAATTCTTCGATTTCGACAAGCACAAGGACAACCTGAGCAAAGAGCAACTGAAGCAACTGATTTACCAAGAGATTATGCGGTGAGCGAAGATAGGAAGTGACTTGAGGGAAAGGGCTCACGTGGGGATAAGTGGTTGTTCATGCACGTCACTTGGTCAGATGCGGAAGGTCAGAAATACAGAGAGGAAAGCGCAAGACAACCAGCGAGGTGGGGGAGAAAGGACTCTATAGACAACCGATGTAGGATGGAGAAACAGGCCGTATGATTCGTGGAGGCCAAGAAAAACAAAAGACCATTTGCGAGGCGATGCAGATACGGCTTGGATCAGCTGGTTCAATGGACAGGCAAATATCTCTTCGTCTAATCATTTATACCTTTCTCCCACCATTGTGTCCATCGGTAACATTCCGTTCTGTGCGGACTGCTGTCTAAATCTGCGGTTAGCCACAGTTGCTTTCCCAGGCAGAAACCTATTAAACTGATCGTCCTAAAAAGTAAGAAAATAACGGATTCATTGGGCGAGATAATGCCTGGTTGCCTTTGGGGGAAAAGCGGCTGTAACCTGAGCAGCCCTACCTACAGTTGGACAGTGGATAACTAAGAGACTAGAGGCAAAATACTCCGATAACACGCATACACAGAATAGACAATTAAAAGTATTTAAATGCAAAATCTAATTCGAGGGTATCATCATAACATGTAGCTTCCATCTTGGGCAATGAGACTCCCGGTCTCAGCCCAGGCTATGTCCTTCCACTTTTCTTGAACGAACACGGCCGAGACCACCTTCATAATTATCCCATCCCAAGAACTATGGCGAGAAGCGTGTATGTTTCTGTACACACACGGCCGGCCCCAAGTACGTCGTGCGCAATATACTGTGACAGTTCTTGTGTTACCAAGATGCCTCCTTTGAGAATGCCTGTCATGGTCTCCCTTTGGACGTTGCGACCAAGTTCCATGAAAGCCGAGGCGAATATTCGGACTTAGTTAGCTTCGCTTCTTTACGTTTCAGGAAACGGCAGCAATGTCCCAGTACGAGTGTGGACGCCCATCTAGTTAAACACGCATGCTGTCTCGCCACCTGCTCTCCATTTTGAGAGATTCTCGTGAAACCCGATATAACTATAGGCGTCATGCGCCCAGCACCCACAGCTCAACACCCAGCACGCCAAACTTTTCACCCTCGTCGCTCAGTGGCTCATTGCCAAAGGTCTGGCTGCGTCCACTATGACCGCGGTCGAGGCTATCATCCAGCCATAGGCCGTAGTGTCCGTCACCGGCGCCGACGCTTAGAAAGCCTGTCTCGCAGTTGATATAATAATCATTTACGCCCGAGTAGGGAAACGCCTTGAATCGGATCGACTCACTCGGCGTGGGCGATGGCTGTGGGCGATCATCTTCGGCAAATGTCGGGCGAGTCGGACTCGCTACAGTTGTGGAGCGCGTGAGGTTCGTTGTGTCGGCGGAGGGCGGCGGTGGGAGAGGGGTAAGGGTAGAAGCGCGCCAGAGAAAGCACTCGCCATTCCCAAAGTACTTAGGTGCTGGATGAGGGTATTCCGAGAGATAGGCGCCGAAAGTCTGGCTAGGTCAGTTGCCGCAAATATAACAGGATCCGGCTTGTTTCGTAATGGACGCAAACCCATAACTGGCCCCAGGTTGCCTGTGGCGATTAACTGGTCAGAAAAACAAGAATAAACTTACACCGCCAGCGTCGTCTCTAACGACCAAGACGAACCCAACCCGCCGGCCCTGATACGCGGCTGCCTTCTGGTATAGAGTTGCCAGACTGGCACCGTCCTGTTCCAAACTGTAGACCAACTTCCAATCCTCTATAATCCGTAACCGCTCGGGTAGCATAATACGAATCTCTTCGGCAACACCAATACCCAGCAGCCGTGCGCTCGCCGGCGTGCTATCCTTGAAGCCGTGTAGTACAATAGGATCCAGCGGAGGCGGGCGAAAGGGGCTCACGGTACGCTTGAGATTAGAGGGTACGAAGACACCACTGATGCCGTCCTTGAAGGCATCGCTGCTGACAGGCTCAGTGTATGCGTGGGCTAGGTGTGAAGGCTCGTTGGGATGACCGTGGGTCCCGTTGTAGGATTCGGGTATATCGGAAGAGAATCGACGTATGAGACCTGACCACATCGTCGAAATCATAGAGTTTGAAAGGGATGGGTTGGTGGAGGAGTGTGTCGGCGTGAGGGCTCCCGAGGATGACGGTGTTTCCGGGGGGCTGTGGGAGGTCATCGTGGACCTGATATGTTGACTGGGATTTGAGGGAGCTATTACTTTAGGGTCGGATGAGAGGGTCGAAAAATGTACGGTGTTGGCAAGATGATGTCGGTTGCGGACGAAGCGCCAAAGGTAATCGTAGAACGGAAGTAGAGGCAGGGCCAGAAGCCACGTCAAGGAACTTGGAAGAGCGGCTATGAGAAGAGGGACAAGACGAAAACGACAGTAATTGGCAGAATGGGGTAAGCGGACTTCAAAAAGTTATGGGTGGGTTGCCTGACGACTTGTATGGTAAGTCCAGGTAAAGAAACCGGTAGGTTTAGTTCAAGTAAGGCAGACAAGGCAGGGTGGTCAAATAGGTTTGTCACCAGTGCAACTTTGGCTTTCGGCCAACGGCGGTGAGTTCGGATCAGGTCCCGCAACAGCGAGAAAGAAGGGTAGGCGTGGACTTGGGGGACAACGGACTTGGCGGTGGTGGCACTTTGCGTCTTCACCAATTGCAAGCGGGACATGACAGGATGGGGAGAGGACACTCTTTTTTCTTTTTTTTTTGCCATGATCGGGTCACTTTTGTTTACTGAAATGGCGCTGTTGTTGATGGTTTGCTTTATTTCCTTTATGGTTCACCTGCTGCAGCTTCATGATTCCCCGTCGGCAGTGGTATTTTGGCCATAACGCATCCGCCGATTCCAGACACGAAGCGATCTCGGGACCACAGCTCAAGACCTAGACTTCGCTAGGTCTGACGATGTTCCCAGTTGACTCTTGGTGCTAGGTGGACACATCGATTCGAGAGCATGGTGACCATCTCTATGACTTGCAGGCCCTCCTTTTTAGCATTGGATAAGCGCCGTAGATGTACGCCCTCTGCGTACCTAAAACGTGCTATTCTGCACTGACACACACCGAGGTTGGGCAATACACTGGCACCCGCCAGTTGTTAGTCATGAGTCCATGCTTTCCTAGACAACTACCCCACTTTAGCCCCAACTTCTTCCTTGACCGTCTACCAGTCACCCCATCAGGTGTCTTAGACGCTGGTCTCTTCTGAGGTTACGTACTTGCAAGTCACAATGTTCTGGTGCGCTCTAACCTTACCGCGTTTTATAGCGAGTTAGGTCCCATGGGTGACTATTAGAAAGAGAATGAATCACGACTTGCTAAATTTTCATAATGGTGGCTATATTCATTTTGGTGGAATTGCTCTAATATAACCATTACCTTTTAACAAATTTTGCTGTCCCGCTCCGCGCCAACTACAGCGGGATTCCCCAGGGTGCAGGCGAAATGTAGCATCCGGATTGACTGTTCGTGAGGGGGGGGGGGAAGAATAGAAAGGAAAAAGAAAAGAAAAAAAAGAGAAAAAAAAAGACACGCCGCAGATATGCGCATCCACCACCTCAAAAACACCAAACACCATGCCCGGACCCAGGCCTGGATCCATCTTTTTCGGTATCTTCACATCCATCCTCTCTACGTCAGAAATATAACGAGCGACCACAGTGAAGATTTGACACCAAAATGCTCATTCCACCGTTGCATATCACATAAACTCAAGGAGTCATCTTCCCCAGTCCTACTCCTTCATACTTTGTACATGAAATGATTTCCTTGGTTGTACATGACTTCGGTGTCATTTGTTTGGAGAAAAGGGGGAAATAATTGAGAACATAGAAAGTCATAAAAAAAAAAAAAAATGAAAGACCAACTACAGCGCCTTTCCGACGCTGTTTTGACTTCCTTGACTTGTCTGGCTCGGTCTTCGGGAGGGCTTACGCTGCTCGCCGGGACGATAGCCTACTGTGGGGCTCTCAGTCTCGGGCCGATATGACGATGATCCGCCTGCGGGCCCGACGTCTGGCCCTGGATCGCTCCAGCCGTCCATGCTAACTCCGCTGCTGTACTTGGAGCTGAAGCTGCCGGCTCGTGTGTGGGCCGAACCGGGTATTCGAGGTGCCATCCCACCAACCTGGCTATAGTTGCTGCTTGCCTGGGTTGCGCGGCTGCCGAGGAGTTCCGGCCGTTCTAAATCAAATGGATCAGACCGAAATTTGTTGCGTCGCGTTGAAAAGCTCTCAACGCTCTGCAGAGAATCCCGATACATGGAATCCATGCGGGGCGAGAAGGTAGAGCCGCTAGGCGGTCTAGTTGTGCTGCCCCCGATTGATGTGCCTCTAGACCGTCGAACGTCGGCAACGTATGTCGTCGGTGGCTTGACTGCCGCTGCAGGGGCCGAAATAGCATTCGTATCCGAAAAGGGATTGTTTGTTGTTGGATTGGCTACAGCAAGTGGTGCCGGCTTCGCTGAGTCGTGGGGCAATGCATTGATGTCGGAGAACGGGTTGGCCGAGGCATTATCAAAGTTAAGTCCCAGTCCTCCGAGAAAGTGCTCTGCTGAGCCTGCGCTGTCTTTTCCTCTACTTAGTCGCCTGCGCTGTGCCTCCCGCTCAACCTCTCTCTCATCCATGCCCAGAAGCGTTAAAAAGTCGGGCTGTCCACCCATAGCAGCTTTTCGGTCCATCATATCGCGTGTGGAAGCGAACGGATCTTTTTCGGTGTTCCTGTCTCCACGAAGTCGCCAGTTGAACCTCATATCTGCAGTCAACCTTTCCCACCAGTCCTTTAGTCGATCTGTTGTAGTAACGATATTGCGAGGTCCGGCATGATTTGACATCGACGAACTGTTGCGACTGTGTTGAGATATGTTCATAAACTGTGTGCGGCTACGGGTAGAACTGCTGTCGCGGTTTCGGGACACCAATCCTCCCACTTGTCCCCGGAACCGACTGAAGTTGTATCCAAGAGCTGCCTTAAGTTTAGCAGAGCGCGGCGTCGGTCCCAGAGATTCCCGATCAATGATGTACGGCTTTTCGCCAGTCCTGAAGCTAGGATCCGTCGACAAGGGCGTGAGGAGGGTGCTTCGACGCTTTCTGAGTGATCGTTTCCGCCAAAGCCAGAGAAGAAATCCAAGTAACCCGATCACAGCCACAGCGCCCACAACACTCGACGCAATGACAACAGGAGTGGCCACGCCACCGGACCTACTCCCCCCCGAAGAAGGTTGACTGCTTGATGGCGGATTGCTTCCATTCCCTGCTTCGCCCGCGGCAGTGCCAGGGTTCAACCCGACAGTGGGAGCAGCCGCTTCGGGACTACTGGTAGGTGAGGGACTAGCCTCGCTAACAAACGCGGGTGGCGTCTGAACTGGCTGCGTGGGGACTGTGTTGACATCAGTCTGGCTGGCTCCTGGAGTAGATGGGGGCAAGTCTTGAATGACAGGAAGTGAAGTTGATGAAGATTGAGGGGGGGGTAGTTGTGCAGGGAGAGGAACACTCTGTGAAGGAATGCTAGGAATCTGCTGAAACGTGGGAATGGTAGCCGGCTCCGCATCAACAAGCGGCGGCGTGGTGGAAGATGAGAAAAGCGGAGGAGGAGGAGGAGGAGGGCTAGAGACTACAGGAGCAGGCGGCGCTTGTGTCTGCTGGAGAGGAGGCCCTGGTGCTGGTGAAGGAGTTGTGGCTGCAGGTGGAGGGGGCGGAGGGGGTGCAGGAGGGGGTAGTAATGAGGAGCTCGTCGTACTCGCTGAACTGGTAGTCAAAGCAGGAGGAGGCGGCGGCGGCAGCGGCGTTGTTTGCACAGGTGGAGGGGGCGGCGGAGGGGGGGGAGCGACCGGCGGTGGTGCGCTGGTTTGCGGCGGTGGAGGAGGAGGAGCGACCGGCGGTGGTGCGCTTGTTTGTGGTGGAGGTGTTGATCTCGTCGTCGATGAAGATGTTGACGTCGAGTGAGACGTACTTGTCGACTGTCGTTGCTGGTTATTCGATCTCGTTTTCGCTCCACCCCTCGGCACAGCCGTACACCTCCTTCCATTGAAAATCGTTAAAAAAGCCCCATCCGGGAGGTTTGAACGGTTTGGACTCGACATTGTCGTGATACGTTGCGATTCCAGTCGCAGAGAACCGAAATGTTGAGAATCGAACCAAGGCCCTGTGAGGAGAGCAAGAAAGAAGAAAGAAACTAGTATAAGCCTAGTCGGCCATCTATGTCGATCGGTAGAAGCTCATGAGGAGTTTGGTAAGAACAGAAATGCGGCCAGAGGCCGTTCAAAGCGGGCCTGTCGTTGAAAGGCTAAGGCGCGAAATGCTAAGATGCGAAGGCGGCTTAGACTCTATGGTCAATATGAATCCGCAGACTGGACAGCGATGACCAGCAAGACAAATGGTAGGATGAAGGAACCAAGTCGGGCGTCGACGCCGGATCGTAGGAAGAATCGAAAATGCGAATCGAATATAGTGGACAGAGGAGAAGGAGAGAGTGGGAGTCGGGGTAAAGGGAGAGAGAAGAGCAGGAGGAGGGCGAGGTATGGGAAAGCAGGGTATAGTATGCTAAGGGGGGAAAAGACGTGGTATGGTTTGGTTTGAAGTGGACTGCAGCCGTTGGGTCTGAGTCTCGGGCCTTGACTGAGGCTCGCTGGATGTCTCTCCGGTTGTGCAGGACGGGAACCACCCACACTTCTTTCTGGGCCCCTCACAAACAGATGTCGCTGCGCTACATGCAGACAGGCACTTGCGTGTTACATGGAACAGCATCGGCCACATCCGGGAGAGGATGGTAGAGGATGGGCGATGGCCGTCGGTGGTGTGTCTGGGATGGATTGGGTCAGGCATGCCAAGCCACGGGCATTGGACGGTAGGCGCCGAGCGACAGCGTTACTTGGCGTACATCTCCTTACTTTAATCGAGGATGGCCAAGGTGACAGACCCCAGGCTTACACGGACAGACGAGAAACCAAGCAATATCGAGCTATTCCAGGGCTCGCCAAGGACAGGCATGCAAGTTGAAGCCGCCGCAACGGTGCTACATATGCAAGCAACGTCTTCGAGCAGGGCCTCTTAACCCAGATGCCGTGGTGCCACACCGTGGAGACGGCAAAACGGGTCTGAGGCCGCAGCAAAAGTACCACCATTGTGACTACTGAGGTCGACTCGTGCTCGATCTCTTCTCCTCAATCCGTGGATGTGGTAGTAGGCGCAGCGCCTCAGATGGAGAGGCCGCATCAGCACCAAGTATCCGCACAGTTCGAGCATTGAGTGTGCCTGTCACACCAAGGGAGGATTGATCGATGTCTAATGGATCTCGGGTGCATGACGGGATTGGTTGGCACCCATGCTGGTCATGTCTGAGAAGATCTCTTTAGGAAGACAAGACGAGCGACAAGCGTGGGAAGGCGCATCGGGAAAGCTTGGAAAATGTCAACCGCGCTGCTATAGCTCTACGTAGTAGAGGGGAGAGGGGAGAAAAAGAACAGGGGTGGAAGGACGTCAACGGAAACATGCGACCCAGTAAGAGATGTCGGTGGCCAGTTGAGCCTCTTCTAAAGCGCCCAAAAACGGCGACCCCTGGTCTGTAACACACCTGAAGCACGGGAACCCGCCCCCAAGTGCGTTCCAGGCTGGTGATCCTTGCAGGACTAGTCCCACAACTCTTTTTTGGCCATCGTAGATGTGAGCATCTCCGCCATCTCTGACAGTCTAACCATAAATGCGTGTTGGTGGCCCCCTCCCACGTCAGTGACCCTGCAGTAGCTCCGACACGCAGTCTACGAGAAACCCAGAGAAAAGTCCCTCTGGTTGTCTCATGGCCATTTTCAGACCTTGGCTGGGACTCATCCTAAGAGAAAGGATGGGGATGTCTCACCGAAGGCGCCTTGTCTTGAACGTAGTACCATTTCGTCCCTCTTCTTCACCACCATAAGCATATACCAATTCTTCTGATATCATCATGTCCCGCTTCTGGAGCGGTAAAAAAGGGATAGCTCTAGTTTGTTTGTATATAGCGAAGTACTGTTACTTGAGTTGTTCTGTATCTACCAACCACCCTTTTGATGTTACCAAAAAAGAAATAGAGTGAGGGGGGGGGGGGGGGGGGGGGACATAGAGAAAGAAAGACCACCCCATACTAATCGTATAGGATGGTAATTAGTGTGAGAAAAGGCAGACAGATATCTTCTACTAGTAGACAGATAGATTGATTGGAACCCAAAGAGGTTGCTACCTAACCTTGGCTGCCACCAAAAGAGGGTAGGCGCGCACATCTCCACCCGGCACCAATTTATTTTTCTGGCCTAAGATGTGCCCGTAGTGCCTTCTGTGCTTCTCCAAACAACAATACCCTGCACCTGCACTAGACATGTTGGTCTCAGTCACAGCATTGACACCCATGGCCCACCTCGTCAGGCGTCGGATTGTATGGAAATAGTATCCATTCAACCAGTCTGCACCGTCTCCTTCTTTCTCTCAAACAAGTGTGGGGCCTACGGCTACCTGCAGTATACATAGGAAGCGTGCCACAACGTAGTCCGACCCCGTCCACTTTGCAGATCCGGAGAAGGCCTGTTGTGGTTACCGTTGCTGCTACCGCTCTTCTCGGCTCCATGATACAACGTCTCACATGCGCTGCACGGCGACCTGCAGGAAACAGAAAACAATCACACAAGAACGCCGCACCATGAACCAGCGCCGAGTCGAGCATGACGAGGCCGTCTCATTCTCGCATTTCAGCCGAACTCCGGGCTTGCACTACTAGCAGGCCACATATTACCACCTCGTCATACACGCCTGGTTTTGTCCACCTCAACAGACCCTCAAAGATATTATCTTCGACTCATCCCGCCTTTGGCTGACGCTCGTCGAATATACTTCACCTGATGTTTCTGAGGATGAACGTCTCAGCCAGCAAACGAACGGTGAGGAGCTGTATTCTCGGCATTTGCACAGTCTGCTCATCAGAACTTTGATCAAGTTTTTTCTTTCTTTTTCGATTCTCAATCTTGCTAATCATGAAAACTGCCCTTGAGGCCCTAGACACCCTAAGTTACTTATAATGACCAGAAAATTAAGACTGCTGAGCCACTGGTTACCGGTCGCAGCGCGGTAAGACAAGCCGTAAATGGACTGCATAATCTGCTCGTGTCTAAGCACACGTATATGTGTCGACAGCAGGCAACAGCCCCGTCATAGCGCCTCGTGGCATGGCTCCCCAAAGTGGGCTCTTGGGATGGCAACTCGCAGGCCCTTCCCAGTTCGACCATCCGAGCGAAGGGTCCCCAGCAGTCGTTTGCAACAAAATGGCTGTAGGCTTTCGCCCTTCCCCGAGGTCGGCACGACATCAAACACCCAGGGGTAAACAGGTCGGTCGACTCAAAGCACCCATTATCTGCACGGGTGGACCTTGAAAACATGCGAAAGTGTACTTGCAGGCGTTCTGGCCTTTCGGCCGCTTGTCTACTCACTTTCATGGACGCAGCAGCCAGGAGACCAAAGTGATATCGTAGCATGGTACTGCCAAGTTGGCTTGTCTCAAATGTCGACATGAACTGGTACAATTTCTGAACACACGCAGCAGATAGCCTGAATCACGTCTTCACGTCGAGGCCCACTGGTTCTGGGAGCACCATGTTTCCACAATGGTATGTTGACACCAAAGCCGTCCTGCGAGTGAGGCAAGAGTCCAGCGGCAAGCCGTTGGTCATTTTCAAGTACACGGTCTACGAAGCAGATATGACTTGCGTGAGGAAAAGAAGCCGGGCCCTCTCGTGATCGGGAAGGGACCTAAGGGACTAGCACTCTTACGTGACATAGGTAATTTACTAGGAATACCGTGTATCAAGCCAGCCTCCTAATCAGCCAAGCTGTTACCCTGTCAAAACAGGAATGTGCACCAATAAACCCGCTATGTTTGGTTCGATCCAGTGCCAGATCAGCGGATCATCAAACGGGGCAACAACCATAAGCCGCTGTGTGGAGCTAGAAGACCAGGGGACAATGGGGTGTACCAGTCTGTTTAAGAGACTCAATGTTCTGATGGAATTGTATCAACTACGGTCAATGGCATCGTTGGATGATACTTCGCGGTTTCGATGGTGCACAGGATTCTCATCGGCATGGTAGCCATTGACTCTCCTTGTGATGCAACATTCGAATCTTTGCGAGACAAGTGCCGGGTCCCTCGATCAACTCTGCCGGAGAATGGATGAAGAAAACCACAGACGTGGAGGTCAATCATATTCGGAAAGCGAAGGCGAATTGATGTCAGGAAATGATTTTATATCGATATTAGCTACAGATCGCCGTACCATTGTGCGCCTCTCTTTGCACGGTGCGAGGAGCTAGCTGGCGAGTTGCCCTTAGTCTCGTAACGTAAAGTTTCGCCGCGGGCCGTCATAGAAGCCATTCAAATGGGCATAGTCAATCATTTACAGTTCATCTTTGATATAACGAAAAGAGAAAAACGGTAGAGAGGAGCAGGGACCAGATAGGAGTGTCTATGGTGTGATGGATCATACAGTCTCGTCAATCAGAAACAGGCATTGGGCAGGCATAGACAAAAAAATACTGGCAAGAAACGCAGACAAGGATAGCGGCTCAGCCAGGCGGAGTGACTTCTGCCACTCCGCTGTGTGTCAAGGAGATGGACTGCGTCCTGGGATGAGCTGAACCTCGAGGTTGGAGCTGGAGTTGGCACTTGAGCGCGGAGGGGTGGATAAGTGCGCAAACCGAAGTCTGTACTGGGCTTTCCACGCGAAACTAATTGGAGCGCATGCAACAACATGTATCGTGGAGGAATGGCATTTGCAGGAGCCTCCAGTTCTGTTTGGACCGTTACTCACTTACCGGGAGCCAGTAAAGGGAGCTGCGGCATTCCTTAGAACAATACTACATCAATTCTTCCGGTTGAAACGGATGCATGACGGCGAGTTGGGCAGCAACTGTGAGTAATAGTTTTCTTTCCATCAAGCATTGACCAAACCAACCTCGCAAGGGGGCCGGCTTCAGGTCCGCTGTGTTTTCCCGGTCCGATGAGAGAAGGTGACTGACTGACTGACTGACTTGGCAATCTCAGCAACCGTCTGCTTCTTTTCACGTCAGGTATGGTTGGACCTGGTGTCGGAAGGGGCACCAGCCACCAGCCGGAAGGCAAGCCGCAGTCTCCAGCCCCAGAGCCCCCATGTAGGGTGCCTCGCGCTATTCGCTCTTTGGCAAACCGACCTCGTCATATGGGCCATTCACCCCTGAAAGGAACCAACAAACAAAAGGCAATGGACCTCTTGGAGGGCGTATCGAGGGCTAAAGGACCACAGAGCTGCAGCAACGCTGCATCGCACAGTGGGCCAACAAGTCCAACAACAGCCCGACAACGGTAATTAGCAACCAGAGCAGCAGTTGGTAGCGAACAACAACGGCCGCCAAGTGTTCGCTTCTGCGTCTTCCTCTGCAGCCTCCTCACCTCGTCCTACTTGCTTTCCTACCTGAGTTTAGATAGCCTGACTGGTCGTCCAGTTTGGCTACCGCCTTACGCACGCCGTACGGATAGTGCACAACGTAAGGGGTTCTCGTACCGGTTGCTCCTGCTCTTGAGCTTTGCTACACCCTCTCCCCAATTATCCGTTCTGCATTGGGCTTTTTCCTTTTTTGTTTTTCTTTCTTTTCTTTACTCACCTGTCGTTCTCTCACTTTCGGATTATTGGAGGGAGGGGAAACGACTCGAGCTCAGTCGTTGAGACAACCGAAGGTGAATCAATTCCTCTTCATCTCACCAAACACAATCTTGACCCCGCTCGAGTTTACTTCTCTCCACCGTTACCGCTTCCGCCGCCGAACCCAGAGCCTGCACCCGGAACTCTACCTCAACCTCTCCTTACCATACCTGTGCCCGTCGGTTGCTAAACTATCACACCAGACGACCAGCCTGGGACAATCGCGACACCATGTTTGGCACATATCCCGCCTTGGGTGAGTTAACAGCTTCATTCGAATCCCATGGATGTGCCAGTCATTGATGTATGATGGCCGAGCGAACACTCTCCCGTTTCTGCGCATTGCAAGCTCGCAATTCGTTGTCGGTTTTTTTACATTACCTTTTTTTTTTCTTTTCCGGTTTTTGCCCACCCCTCCCCTCAGTTTATTCCCCCCTCTCGCAGACAGCACGTGTCCAGTTATGTTCTCTCTGCAGCCTTCTGCCTCTTGGACTGGAACCACCGGTGAGACAGTGGTTCCCAGTCCATCTCATGTGTCACCCTTTTCTTTCTTCTACCCTGATTCACCACATCATCATGTTGTCGATCAGCACAGTCAATGCTTTATCATTCCCTGAAGTTGAATTGTACTTGGCCAGTTCTCTTTCTTTGTAGTCTTGCAGCGAGAAACCTGCTCATCTCGTGCCTGATCTCCCTAGGCTTGCTGGCGCCGCTTCCTTGGCGGCCCGTCTACGGAGCCACTTGGTCCCGGCCCGCTGCATCCACCATCACCACCACCTGTTCCATAGTTGGGTTCACTGGCCAATCATACATCCGTTGCCCATACATTCCTACAACTCATCGTCTTGTCCATCCGTTGAGTTGCCATGATCGTCCTCTTGCACCCTTTCCTTTCATAGCCTTCCTCTTCCTCGCTTCTTCTCTAGTTTTCCCTTTCAACTGTGAGCTGTTATCCTAACAAGAGTTGCTAGCAAATCTGCCGACTGCTGTGAAGGTCAACCCTAGAGATGTTCCACCTCCAACGCCAGTGAAACTACCCAACACCCTCCTTCAATCACAGGGAGCCTCGGAGCCAGCGGGTGAAACGAAGCCATTGACCGCTGTCTTGCAAAATATCTACCGCCCGGGAGATGTTACCTCCGCCATTTTTGATGCACTCGGCATCCAAATCATTCCGGATGCCACTTCCGCAGACCTCATCCCCGACCCTGCTTACCTCCCTGACTTTGACGCTTGGGATAAGCTTACTCCAGATGAGGCACGTGAGAAGAATACGGACACACGTAGAACGCTGAACAATGGCGCTCAGTCGCCGGGCTGTCAAACCTACCTTGATCGTAAGCGTGAGCTGTCTCATGCAAATGAGGATGCCTTTCGGACGGTGAGACGTATTCCTGCGCCTAAGGGCCAACAGCAGGCACGCCTAGGCAACTCGTATGAGTTCTTCCGGTGTCTTGAGGCCTTCACAACGTACTGGGACGACACTTCCAAGCCTCACAAATCTTCCGACGAGAACACAGGAGAAGACCAGGTTGTTGATGCAGCTAAATCCGAGCGAGACAACCCACAAACCCCTGAACCTCTCCGTGTTATTCGCACATCGGCCGGCTCATCAATGCCTGGAGAGTACCGCCAAAGCCTCCTTACGGCCTTTCTTAAGCTGGTGGCCTACGACTTCGGTTGTAATGTTTCAGCTCCCCGAACCGAACCTCGTCTGCACGTTACGTCTTCTCTTTCCACTTCTCTACCCAACAAGCGCCAGAAAGGAAATCTTCCCCCAAGGACATCATACTTCGCTTCGGGCTGCACCTTTATCTTCCGCACCCCTAGGACTCGTGACGCTGCCCGGCAAGGCATTATTGAAGGGCCCCTGGCGGCTGTATCGGCTCGTGCATCCACGGCCTTCGACAACGACACCGACGAAACTATCGACTTGGCCCGCGAACTAGTTGCCGCCTTGGTCACTGCTCAGCATCGTGCTCGTGAGGGCAAGACTGAGAAGCGCTTTGGTGAAGGCCAGTGGTGGACATCCAAGCCTCGTTGGGGAGGTGGCTCCGGAGGTCCCATTGGCCGCGAAGTCGAAAGGGATGCTATTCAGGGCGACAAAGATAACGCAGATTCCGAGACCGGCCAGCCTGCAAGCAAGCGTCCGCGCAAGAACATGTCGATCTATGATAACTACCGCATGGTCCGTCCGCCGTCCGCCAGCTGGGATCGTAAGACCCGCTATGAGGCCATTGGCAAGGTCAAGGGAACGGGCTACGATGACATTTTCGTCATTAGTTCTTTGTTTCACCATATCAGCATTTTGCGGGTTCGGGTTCCAGAACGACTGTTAGAGATCCTCGAAGGTGCGAATGAAGACAATGTCCATCGTAGCTGGACCAAGGTTGAGGTGCGCCGTACCCCCTGGTTCGACTTTTTTGTTCTTGAGGACAGAATAAATGCTATGAGGTTGGTCTGGTCCTTGATGAACTGGCTTATGAGAAAGTTGGAGGAAAAGAAAGAGGAGGATGTCAAAATGATGGACGCATGAGCATTCTGGTCATTAGCGGACAGCATTATTGGGTGAACAGGCTCTTCCCTCGGCATTGTACTCTAGAGTAAATGGCAACCGGTCAGCAGCTACATCTTAGAAAACCTTTTCGTTGTGCCTTGAACATGAAAGGGTGAGTCCTCACTGCATTGGCCTGACCTGATACCTGGCAACGCAAGGATAACTCCCGGGAAAACGCCTGTATCATTGCAATACCTCACGATGCCAGACGCCGTCGGTGACCAATTGGGTGTTAGTTTTGCCGGCAGGGATGGGCATCCAATGCCGATACTATAAACGTAGTGACAAGATATACACGACCGCCTCGGAGAATAAAGTTCCATGTTGTGTGCAGGTTAGCGGCTAAGATTGGCCACTTGTAGCAACATCTAGGAAAGCGCCACACCAGATTTGCTCCGGCTTATGTGCCCTGTCCCCTAGTCGTCGCTTATTTAGTGCTCCTGTTTGAACTCATTCCTGGCCTTGGATTCCAGTTCTTTGTGTTTCTTGCCTAGAAGATCGAGTCAAGTCATTGGCCTATACACCTGCCCATGACAGCAGGCTTCACGCAGGCAAAGAAACATTGTACCATAACCAACGTAGTTGAAAGTGAGTAATTTTTGATAAACTGTTCTCAAAATCCCTTCGTCATATTCGGCCCTCTTGATAAATATGGCAATTAGATGCTCTCTCGAGGTATGGTTGGGATACGGGGGATATGCGGTCGTTTCACTGGGTGCGGAGGCTTTCTTGACAATCTAGAGGACCTTTTTTTCCTTTTGTTTTTTTGCTCAATATATCGCACAAGCATAACATGGGTATTAGTCGGCCGGTCTTCCATGCCGGTGTATTTAAGAATCGAAGAACATTCTAACATAAGAATAATCTTCAAGTTGAGCGCACGTATGCACTGATTTACGATGAGTCTTAAATTTGTAGGATAGCATGATAATACCTCGAGCAGTATGGCCAGAGAGATAATCAAGAACTAGAGGCTATCGTCGCACGTGTCGGCTGGGATGGAGGCTACCACCACTGGAATCGAGCTTAGTGCGGCAGTGTCGCGGGCTTCCTGTCTACACGGTTGGAATACGAGCCTGGCATGGATTTCGGAAATGTTCTTGAGCCCAAGGGATAGCAGAATCAACAGACGAAAGCAGACGGTCGGGGTGATGCAGCAAACACTCCATCTCATCATGCCTAGAGTGACGGCTTATCATGACCATTGGAAAGTAGGACATGCTCTAGGCTGACGTTTCACACCTCAGTGCACACTCGAACAGCACCAAGCCCTATACCGAAGCAGCACGCCGCCGGTCATGATCATACTGAAGATTGTCACAGGGAGACATAAGGCACTGCAAGGAAACGTCCCGGGAATTCAGCATTGTCTCATAAAGATTGCTGGGAGCGGCAGCATCGTAAAGTAATAACACGCGATGCCCCCTGCCCTGGGGTTCCGGAAGGCTTAGAATTCACGGATAGATCCTCCCACTCGGGAAGTCATACCGAAGGCTTTCACGGGCAAATATCCACAAATGGCCTTGAGCCGAGATCTGCCAAGTCTTCCCGAATATGTCTCACAGCTGGTTGTTTAAGGGATAGTAGGGACGGTTTGATGACAAGGGCCGAGACACTTTGCCGTGTGGTTGGGACAAGCTTGGGGTCCGGAAAGGGGATACTCGAGGCGACCAGCCCCCGAGAACAGTAAGTAACCATCTTCTTGGAGACAGTTGAAAGGCGAGGGAGGAGCCATCACGCACATTGAAACTGGGCCGACATGTGGAAGGGCTTAATGTTTTCGAACTTTAAAACCAGGGTCTGCCAAGCTAGACTGGCGATACGTGGTAGTTCAGTCGTAGGCTAATGCAACAGCCTCTTAGATGTGTTATTGGCTGTTGTGGAATTCTCCACGGCGGCAACGCATGTTGCGAAGTCGTGAGGCATCTAGTTCACATTCTATAGTCATAAGGTGATGCATGCGGCAGGAGATAGTTTAGTACTCATTTCGCTGGTTTGCGGGGTGAAGACGTCTCCGACGCCAAGTGGTACATTCGGTGCCATGCAGCCAACGAATCCATTGCTCTGGGACAAGACCCAGAGAAGCTTAATGGAAACTGACTGCCATCTGGCGTGAGAAGCCCCCAAGCTTCCCTCGTAAACTAAGAGCTTCATATCCAATCACACATTTCGCGGATCATTGTGGACAACAGCCACCCAATTGGTTAAGGGCGATACTGCATGTCTCATCTCCGCGTTTATTGCACAAAGTAGAGATCGCACCTTGGATTCAGGTGTCTGCACTTAGAAGATGGCCGATTGGAAGTGGCCGCTATGAGATATTGCCGTTACGTTTCCAGATGTTGGGATTTGTGGTTCAAGTCTATTGCGAGAGACTGAGACTTCATGAATGCTAGTCAACTCTTGGTAAATCACCATCGCCGTCGCTGTATATGCCAAGGACATGCATTTGCAGTACATGCTAGATCCACAGACCATGTCTTAGACGGACAATTGGGACTTGTTGAAGGTGCTGCATGCCGCAGTGTCTCTGGACCGCAAATGAGAATAGCGAACCCCTGGAGCAGGGGGTTGATAAGTCCCTAAGGTGCCACAGCTGTTCGTCCCGCCCTCATCAGTCAGGTGCGCCACAGTGATCGGCAATCCCGTGACCTTACCGTTTTGGGATCAAGGAAAACAGAGTGCGTACCTGATTCCTATCAACAATCGGATCTTTATTTCCAATGCATGGAGTGGGGGACTGCAGGTCGGGCACAGTAACGGCTGTAATAATTTGAATAGTGTGAACCCCTGTCATTTGATAGATTGCTCCGCGAGCTTGGGATAGCCGTCTAGAAAGCTGCCTGAAATAGCAGTAAGGCTGGTACGAGCTTGCATGCAGACAGACGTCGGGCTGTGATAGTGTTTAGATGTGTGTGTGTGTATGTGTTTGTGGGCGGGTGGGTTAGTGAGGAGGCTGGTGGCATGGCGCATGGTTCCCAGGTTACGGACTCTCCGTTCGGAAGGTTGATAATGTGATGGTGAATGCAATTCTGTTGACAAGGGTCCTAATCTTGGATTGTGTTGTGGACCACAGCAAGAGGCCACGGAGTTGCCTTTGCGACACTGGGACGCAATGCCGCAGTTTACAAGTAGCTTGCTTAGCTCAGCTCCCAAGGATGTTGGATTTGTGCCTTTTGAGCTTGGGAACGCAGGCAGTGATTATTTGATGAAGTAACCAAACTAGGCGGTGGATTTAGCAAAGGCAGCGGGCGACTAGTTTTAGTTGCCTTCATCTTGTTCCGTTGCCATGCGTGGCTATTCGGTAGTGATGGTGTCATAGTGGTAAGGTTAAGCCCATTCCGACGCGAACCGCGTGGTAGAGAGGCTCTAGTCTGTCACTAAGTGCACAGAGCGTGGCACAGCCATCATAGGCCAGCGTGAAACATTCCGGCGGTGTTAGTATCTGCGTGGAATTCTCAGCTGAGCCGGGGTTCAGCAGTTCCAGGCGGAGAATCGAACAGGAAAAGGGCCAAGACCAGGGTCAGGGCTAACGTGCCGGGAGCTGTGACTTCCAGGATGGAAAGACTAGAGAGGGTGGGTCGAAGGAAAGTCGATGAGACACAGGCGCGCTCAGCGAGTGAGAACTGAGACTTGGCGGAGGGTGTAGCAGATGATGGAACAACTCCAATGGTCTCAGGAAGCGGGAGAGCGAGGCGGCGTTCCGTTGGACTGGGAGTTGGGAGAAGTTTTGATACGATTGCATCTACTTTGACTCTCCGCTGAGACTATGAGGGATGACTTGGAAGTTTCTGGACTGAAGAGTCAACATGTTATTGCGGCTGAAGGCTGAAGACGGAGAAGGCTAGTGGTTGTGACAGTGAGCGGAATGCAGCAATAAGCAATACGCGTCATGCCTTGATTTGTCTGTAATCTCGGCCCAGACGACTGCAATTCTAAAGAGTTTTTTTTTTTTTTTAAAGCAAAATTTTTTTTATTTTTTTTTTTAAAGCAAAAAAAAAAAAAAAGCGCAATCTTTCTCTTTCTGTTGCTCTAGGCAAAGAGATTGACGATGATGCACGCAATGTACGTGTATGTACAGTTTTAAGGTTAGATGCTGCAGCGTGGTCAGAGCATTGTCCCAATTGCACATGGCAGCAGGTCAAAAACAAGAACGAACGTAGAAGAACAGGAACGGTGGAAGACGACGCCACAAAAAAACACCACGAGGGACGCGGCGCTGGACAGCAGTATCCACGCATAGCGACAACGCAGCAAAGCTCAGGGCAGTGAAATGCATACCAGCCTTGAGCGGCGTGGCTTCCGTTCACCACGCCCCCTTCTCGGCTCTCACCGGCATGGGAATAGTCTTGGTGCTATGGCCCGTGCGTGCTGTCTTCCTGGCACCTGCAGTTTGATTTTCTTCCTTTATTTTTTTTTGGGTTCGTCTTGCCAAGGGCTACTGGTGACCACGACGCAGTTCCCCATTCTATCGATGCAGTATTTCTGAACGCACCCCCCAAAACCCTGCGCACTTGGGGTAACTGTCAAGTACCTATACCCATCAACGTTAGCAGAGGCTCTTGGGCTCCAAGCCGTCCCTTCCGTTCAAAGCCAATCGTGTTCCCGAGCAGCATGGCACATGCCGTTGCCATCCTCGGCGCCTACGACGATTGCTCCAGCATTACGTAGCCTTGTTAGTGGCCTGCCAATGTGTACCTCCACTTTTCAGGCCCTGGATTCTGATCTGCCCTGTGTTTTTCGCACGTCAGCAGGAAACCCCCCGCCAAACAATTGATTTAGTCTTAGCTCTAAACCCCTCCACCACCACCAACACCACCTCTACGAAGTGTCTCTCTCTGCCTCTACCTTTTCCTAACCTCAGACTGGTAGGCAGCACGTACCACATTCCTCTGAGCTTGCCGAATACTCCGCCCACTCCATCGTCCTCGTCTACGAGACTGCTTTTGCATACCATTCCTCCGCCATCCCCTTCCTACTCCCACACCAACTCGCACCTTTTCTCTCGTCGACTGACTGTACCCTATTTTTCCACAACCTATGCACATTTGCTTCGACTGAACACAACTTCAACCCGATCCGTCTTGCAAGCCGCATTTCACCACCATCAAATTCAGCTAGTAAGACCCCCCTCCGAACCACCCCTGCTGCATGCCCCAGTTCCCGCTTTAAGGTAGTCTTCCTAGCTAGTCCTCATGCTGGCTCTGCCATGAAGCCGTCCCGTTGACACTGCCTGAACCGTTTTCGCGCTCACGAACCGCTGACACTTGGACCCGTTGTCACTCGACTAGTTCCGATACCCGAGCACGCGCATCTACTTTCCGCACGTAGTAGTACTTTTACCTTTACACCTTCGATTTCCCCTCACCATCTCCCGCTCCGAGGACCTTCACTTGATAGTCTTGTCGCGCATCTATAAGACAAACCAATCCCCCGGTCTGCTAGACGCTCTGCAGTTCCCTGTCCTTGATTACTCCGTCAAACACACCGATATCCCAGACAACGCCGTCCAGGCGCCCGGCTACCCAACTTAAACCCACCGAGTCCGACAACAATACCCTCACCACGGAAGCATGTCAGGATACCCGGGTCACTACGGAGGATATCAAGGTGGACCGCCACCGCAACAACAATATGCTCCTCAAGGCGGTTACTATCCGTACGGTCGAACCTCTCTGGATAACATGCGCGCTTGATGCTGACGTTTCTACGAAGTCCACCGCAGCAAGGCTACAGCGGATACCCATCCCAGGGTCCGGGATACGGCTACCAACAGCCTTCACCCCAACCTTACGGATACAACCAGGTATATCTGTTTACCAATTTCGTTATGAATCATCGCGACTAAACTGCTGCTTAGCCTCCTCCTCAACAGCAATATGGCAGCTATCACCCGCCGCAGCCTAATTACACTAACCGTCCTGGTAAGTCCAACCAAAAATCAGTTCTGATCTAACCATGGTCTCTTACTTTATGCAGGAATGCCGTCGGTGAACTCGAACTCCTACGTCCATGGAAACCACAATGCTCCTCCGCCACCGCCATCAGCGCCTCAGGGATTCGGTCACGGCGCTCCCAATGGCTATAACTTCCAATACTCCAATTGTACCGGCCGAAGAAAGGCTCTGCTAATTGGCATCAATTATTTTGGCCAGAGAGGTCAGCTGCGCGGCTGTATCAATGATGTGAAAAACATGTCAGCATACCTTGTTGAACGATTCGGATACAAGAGAGAAGATATGGTCCTCTTGACAGATGACCAGCAAAATCCCATGAGCCAGCCGACGAAACAGAACCTTTTGAGGGCTATGCACTGGCTAGTGAAAGACGCGAGGCCAAACGACTCTCTATTTTTCCATTACTCAGGTACCTCAGCTGAATGCATATGTATCAGGACCGATAATTAACGTTCGCAGGACATGGTGGTCAAACCAAAGATCTTGATGGCGATGAGGACGACGGATACGATGAGGTTATCTACCCGGTAGACTTCCGCCAAACTGGCCACATCACAGACGACGAGATGCACAGGATTATGGTTAAGCCGCTACAGGCTGGTGTACGGCTCACTGCCATCTTCGACTCGTGTCATTCAGGCACTGCCCTTGATTTGCCTTACATCTATTCGACCCAAGGCATTCTCAAAGAACCCAATCTTGCCAAGGAAGCTGGTCAAGGACTCATTGGTGTTATTTCATCATACAGTCAAGGCGACCTTGGCGGTGTTGCAAGCAACATTATGGGATTCTTCAAAAAGGCCACTACAGGCGAGGATGCACACAACCGTGCGATGGCTACTAAGACATCGCCTGCTGACGTGATCATGTTCTCTGGAAGCAAAGATGACCAAACTTCGTATGCATACCCTTTCTGTTTTGTCTTATGATACCCCGATTTTCTTTTTGTGGTTGCATTAGGGAAATTCCATTCAGATCTGAGCATTAACTTTCTCCTGGTGAGAGAGCAACAAAATGCTTGGGAATCAAAAGCGCGTGCTCGCGGGCATTTGAGAGGCGGGGATTGGGTGGCTATTTCTTGTTAGCGATGATGTACCCGATTTAATAGGTCGCCAATACTTGTTCTCGTACGCTCTAGAGCAAAGCGCAACCCATTTGCGGTTGTTGCTTTGTATCTAGGGCGACGGGTTACGTTGTACCTCATTCGCGCCGCAAGCGTGGCCATGGGGGATCACGCGACGCTGCTCACCTCTTTGACTACCAGATTATAGACAGAACCGAGGAGGCTGACCTGAGTAACAGGGCCGATGCAACAATTGCTGCTCAAGCTACCGGCGCTATGTCGTGGGCCTTTATTACCGCTTTGAAAAAGAACCCCCAACAGAGTTATGTCCAGCTTCTTAACAGCATTCGAGATGAGCTTGCGACTCGCTACACCCAGAAACCACAACTATCGTGTAGTCATCCCCTGAGTACGTAGAATCGGCAAGTAGGACACTGGCGACATCACTAACTTCGCACGACATAGACACCAATCTCCTGTTCGTCATGTAATATACCCCACATAACGGCCGGTCCGCCCTGTACATGTCATTGTTCCCTCTGTCAGCCCGGAAGGCCATCACCAGGCTAGATTTGATGGAGATAGGTAGGCACGGATATTATATTGGGAAGGGAAAGGTTGAGCTGGCGAAAACTAATGATTTGGGCATATTTGAAGGGTTTACCTGTTCGGCAGTCTTGCTGCTCCTGCGTTTTGGTCTAGTTCATAAAGGATGCAGCATACCTTGTTTGGGTGGTTTACCAAAATGGATATACAACACAAACCGTGCACAGTATCCTAGGTTGGAACCGACTATTCAAAGTGATTGTTCGAGTGGTTGCCAGTATTGCACATGAGATCTTAGTATTGGCTTCGTGAGCCTAGATATCGTCACACATCCCGAGGAATCTAGACCCGCCAACGCTGAAGAACATGTGGAAGTGTCAAATTGGCTTAACGACCAATGTGTGAAAATGACCCGCATGATGAACGAGCAAGTTTAAGGCGCCCAAGTCCTATGCAATCTGATGTCTCTAATGGCTTAGTACTAGGGAATAGTGAAAAGGGAAAAAAGAAAAAAAAAAAACAAATTAAGATCAGGAATCCAGACTCCTATTTTTCCCCATTCCATAACCCATCCAGCCAGTAGTCAACCAACAGGAAACCGTTTCTGCTAGCCTTGCCCAAAGAAACAACATGAAGGTACTAGTTACTGGCAGCAGGCCAATCATCATCCAGAGGTGCGTCGCCCATCATGTCCTTTTCCACCATTCCCTGCCCCTTTCAGCTAGCCATACCTTCTTCAAACGGGCATCATGATCAAATAGGGAAAGGGGGTCGCGACCTATATACCCTTTCGTTCGCTCCCTCCCGCTGCAAAGCCAGGGGTATGCAGAAAAACGCAATACACACTAGGAATAAAAAACAGAATAATAAGAGACCAACACCATGCTAATGCGGATGTGTGGAGAGATGCGCGCGATTGTGCTGCAGCATCCTCAGCTCGGTTGCAAATTGGCCCAATGGGAAACCACTTCCATCTCTTCGGGAGCTCCTCTGCTCCCCTCCACCACGCCTATCGGCAGATTAGGCGAGACCGACCTGCTCTCAGGCTTCAACGTGATCCGTCGACACCACCTTGAGCTGTTTCCGTCTCTTAGTCCTGCGCATCTCATCCACGCAATCCGCCAGTCTCCGGCGCGTGGCTTCGTGCTTAGCCCAGTCGCGCGCAGATATGCGCATCCTGGCAATAAAACGCGCCATTGTCGCCACCGTCTTGAGCGTCGGCCGACCGGGCGCGGCACCGCCGGTGGTACCCTGCTTCGCGATCGCCGAGGACGTTGGAGGCAAGGGTCGACGGCTGCCGAGCAGCTCGCAGCGAATCTGTTCCAGTTCGCGCAGCTGAGCCTTGTTGCTATTGGAGATATGTTAGTATAGTGGACTAATACGACAAGTGAGAGTTGTTTTGAAGACACGTACCATGCATTTGCAACATCGAGCTCTAGCTGCAAGAACTTCTTTGCGTATGCCGCGTCCGCACGCAAGCTGACCTCCCGCTTCCACCGCGCCTGCATCCACTCCATTTGAAGAGTCATCCCGCGGAGCTCCTTGGTGTGCTTCGCGTCCGCATTCTCGGCAGCACGAATGACGGTCTCAAGTGCCTCATCCGTCTCTCTCATTCTCTCATCAATGAAGTGGACATTGCGCGGATCTTTAGTTTCGGATGCCGCCTGAGACTTGAGGTCCCGGATATCTTTCTGTAGCTTCTCTGCAGTCACCCGATATGCTGCTCGTTCACTGCGTGCTCTTTCCAGTTTGCGGCGAAGGGAGCCTTCAGCGGCCATGAGAGCATCGATTGTACCCTGCTGCTGAATTACATCGTGCTCCAGCGCGTCCGCCTCCGATTGTGTCCTCCGTAACATGTTTTGAAGGTCTTTCCGCTCAGTGGACGACATGTTGCCGATATCACGACGGCTACTGCTCACAACCTGGCGATCTTGCTCTGCCCTCTCAAGCTTCTGCTTGAGCCGACGAAGGGCTTTTTCGTGCAGAGCCGCGGCTTCTTCAGATTCCCGTTGAGTATCTTCAAGCGCCTGCTCGAGCGAAAGCCTTTGGTCCTCTAGCTCTTCAAGCTGTGTCTGGAAGTCTCGTTCAACCTGTGTTGCTTTACGTTCGGCATCGCGTGTCTTGGTCTTCAGTTCGAGGATCGATTGCTGCGCCGAAGAAAGTTGATGGCGCAATTCTGCAACTTCAGACTTCCTGGCGGAGGGGCTAGATGATGCGGGAGACATTATCAATCGGGACATCTCAGCATCATGAGCTTTCCGCTCGAGCTCTGTGATTTGCCTCTTGAGGCCTTTCACGACGTCTTTGTGTGCTGATTCCCTTTGAAGATATTCGCGCTCCTTCTGGCGTGCAGCTGATAAGTCGCGGCGTATGATGGACACTTCGCTGTTGCCTTCACCGGCGCTGTTGGAGGGAAGCTGCTGCGTCGCCGCCATCTGGTCTTCGTATTCCTTTATACGCCGCTCAAGTTCCCGAATGGTGCGTCGGGTGGCAGATGTTTCATGGTTCTCGGACGAGGACGCCTCTCGAAGCTTAGCTTGAAGCTGACGGATTTCTTGGTTGAGGCGATCCTCCTCTTCGGCAGCCTTTTCAATCTCATCTTCGAGAGATTTCTCCACCAACTGCATCTGCTCCATCAAGACCTTGTTCTCATCTTTGAGTCTCCGAACTTCATTGTCGAGCTTGATCTTTGCTGTTCTCAAGTCTAGTCTTTCCCGGTCGATTCGTAGGGTTTCCTCTCCGTTATGGTGCAAACGTTTCATCTCGCTCTCTACCTCATCTCGCTCTGCCTTTGCCTCAGCCAAAGAATTTCGCAAAGAGTGCATCTCGAGGTTCAAATTTGCAAGCTGATCCTGCAGCGCCTGTTTTTCCCGTGATACTTTATTTGATTGCACAGTCGACTCTGAAATTTTTTGTTGAAGCTGGTCCTGAAGGAAATCTTTCTCTCGGTTAAGTTTAGACACGAGAGATGTTGCCTCATCAAGCTGCGCTCGAAGCCGATCAATAGTCAGGTTTGACTTGCTAGCGGTTTCTTGAGAGGCCGATGCTGAGCCGTATGCCACATCTGCTGAGCGACGAAGCTCGTTAAGCTGCTGTTTCAAGTCATCGCATTCTTTCTTGGCTGCTTCTAACTCTTCCCGAGAATGCTCGGATTCTTCGTCAAGGGTTGTTTGTAGAACCTCGACTTCATCCTCCAGTGCCTCAACTTTCTCTGTCTGCGCTTGGTAGTCTAGCTGAGTTTGACGAAGCTCATCTTGAACTTGTGAGAGTTCATTACGCAAGTTGGTGAGCATGGCTTGCCGAGCTTCAAGGTTTTGCCGAAGGTCCTCGACTTGGCGATTGAGCGATGCTTCTTCATCCTTATGGCGCTGGACCTCACTCTCGAGAGCTTCCTGTAACTTTATTTCTTTGGACGAAAGGTTGCCCTCCGCTTCACGTAGCTTCTCAATCGTCCGTTCTAACCCGGCTGCCTTTTCCTCTGCTCGCTTCCATTCTGACTCCAAGGTGTGCCGGTCCGTCTCCCATTTTTCACTGTCGTTATCGTAAAGGTTGTCTTTCTCGCGAATTTCGGCTTGAAGATCTGATATTTCATCATTAAGCCTGTCGATTTCTCCCCTGTACTGACCGCGTATATCACGCTCAATCTCCAAAGCGTGGTCCCTTTCCTGGGCAAGGGACTCTTCCAGTTGATCAACAGTGCTCTGAAGGCGTTCTACGTCGCGTTGAAGAGAGGTAGACTCATTCGTCAAGGCGTCGTGCCGGGTTTGTAAGATGTTCTTCTCGTCCAAACGGGACTGCAATTCACCCCGGAGGTCCTCCACCTGTTTCAAGAGCGACTGACGCTCTCGATCAGAAAGCTCCCGCTCCTGAAGGCCCTCTTGTGCGGCATATCTCAGGTCGTTCTTTTCCTTAGCCACAGCAGACAGTTGTTTTTCGACCGCCTCTAATTGCAATTGAAAGTCTCTACTGGCAGCTTCGCGTTCACGATAACTTTCTTTGGCGGCTGCTTTGAGACTGTCGTTCTCTTTGACAACTTGGGAAAGCTGCTTCTCCAGATTGGCGAACCTTGTATCTGCCTCCTCAAGCTCTGTTTGTAACCGCAGGAGCTTTTCTTCTTTCTGACGGGAGAGCCCCTTGGTCATGACAGATTTGTTTGCCAGTTCTTCTTGAAGCTCCTCCAAGTCGGTCTTGGCCTGTTCTTTGTCCGCGATAGCCTGATTGAGCTTGTCTTTCATGTCCTCGACCTGCTCCTCTAAACGGCGGGCGTTAGTTTCCAGGTCGTCAATGGTGTCTCTTGCTTCCTCCAAGTCGTCAGTAGATTGCGCTTTCTGCTCTAGCTCGATCATGCGTCGTTGAGAATCCTTCATCTTGTCCTCCATCTCCTCCAGCTTGCTTTTAAGGTCGTCAATTTCGTCTTCGCGGTCGCCAATGACACGATCCTTTTCACGGAGTTCCGCTTCAAGGTCGCCTACTTCGTCCTGTAGCTTGTCCACCTGGCCTTGATCTCTCTGATCTTGGTCAAGTTGGCGCTGCATGTCCTCAATATCGGCCTCTCTGTCTTCTAAAGCTTGTTGCAAGCGTTCAATTTCAGCGAGCTGCTTTTGGTCGGCGTACTTCTTCTTAGCCCTCTCCTGAAGCTCCATCATTTGTTGTCGGTAGCTCTCGAGGTCCTTTTCTGCTGATGTAAGGTGCTTTTTGTATTTGTGAAGCTCCCTCTGCATTGTCACCTTATCGACTTTGAGCTCCGTGTTTTCCTTCAATGCTGCCTCACTGAACCCAGGGCCGGCTTTCCGCAGAGCCTCCTCGAGGAAATGAATCTTCAACTTTAGGCCAAAATTCTCTTTTTCGATCTTATCGATTACGCTCTCCTGTTCTCGGAGCGACAGCTGGTTTCCGTCCTGCAATGGGCCCTTGCCGTCGCCTCGTCGTGGCAACACTACCAGCGGTGTTGACGCGGTGCTTGTACTGTCAACCTCTGGAAGAGGGGTGCGGTCGACGAAGGAGCGGGAATGGTACATGGACGTATCGATGTTCGGAATAGGCGTCATTTCCTCGACACCCTTGTTAAGTGCGGGAGTATTCAGAACAGCGCCATTCTCCTTGCCAAATCCACGGCGCGCATTATTTCTCGTGGCAGACTTCAGCATTGGGGTGAACTCTGCCCCTCCAAGACCTGCAGGCAGATTCTTCCGGTCCATAAACGGTGCGCGGCCGCGTGGTGTGCGAATCTTGATGCCACCAGAACGACCATTGCGCAACTGGTGAAGCAAGTTGTTGTCTTTTGCTGGTGATTGGAAAGAGGCCTCTTGTGATATATCAAAATCGGGTTGTCTGCTAAGATATGTCGCGTCGCCAATGTTTGTTCGCGGCGTGTCGAGGCCGTCGATGCCCGGTTGAACCATCTCGGAAGTGTTCGACCAACAGAAGGTGAATTGGTGCGAAGGTTAAAACTGGTTTCTGGTGGTTATTGTCATGACAGGATGTGCTGGATGCGTGTGTGGATATTGGTGGTGGTGCAAAGCAAGCAAGGCAAAAGTTATCGAGCAACAAGAGCAAAAATTCGGTTGTGATAGTTCACGATCCAGACAGTCGCGATGTTGAAAGTGGAATTCGTGATGCAACCCAAGGACCCAGGATGCGCGGCCACATCCTAGAGCGCGTTGTTTACTCGAAATCCTCTTTTGGAATAGCCTGGTGGGGGTTGAGGAAGGTGCCGTAGACCACTGAACCAATCAATCGGGGCTATGGGTTACCCAATGATACTGCTGGAAACTTGGCTCTCCCCGCAGCTTAGTATTCCTGGGCATTTGTCTCCACTTTTTGGTGACAAACGTCGAGTGCCCTGGGGACTCTGAGCATGCCGCCACAGCTTGAGACACTTGAAGTGGGAAGGAGAATTGAATTTGTGATGCAACCACTCAACCGGGAGCGGTGCATTAAGTCATCTTTTTCTTTTTTTTTTTCTTAACTCATGTTGACACCTTGAGCCGCAGCTGCACACACTTTCAAGATAAGTCACTTGGTATCTAACTCACCAATATCCAAATCACGGCCTTGAAGCTACGATTTTCCATCCCTTGCATTAAAGCGCGGCAGTATAAGGCTTGAAACCCCGCCACATCGACTGTGGACATCGGTACCGACATTGCTTTTCGCACCTTGACAGTGCTGACTCAAGGCTTTTGGCGCCATGCTTTCACTCGATCAGGTTCCTGACGAGATTCTTCTCCAAATACTCTACTACATCTCACCTGAAGACAACCTGCTTTCTTTTCATCCGCTATCAAGACGCTTACATCATCTTGCCAACGAACCCATCCTGTGGCGGTACTACTGCTTACAGTCCTTCAAGTTCTGGCACCCTGATCATAGATTCGGCGAACAATTACAGAAGCCCGTGTCAGAAGTCCTCTGGAAACGCCTTTTCCTTTCTAGGAAGCGACGGAACACGAAGGTTTCCAACCTGTTCAGCGGCATATTGGCTACCAAGCATGGCCGTGTTAAGAAGTTTGAAGAAATATGCTTGCTTGGGCTTGATGCCAAAGACTTTTTGTTGACCCAAGCTCAAACCTCCGAGACGGTGGATGACGTACTATCTAGGAGGTAAGAGATAGGATTCAGTCAAGCAAATGTTGGTATGCGTCTAATCGGCTTCTTGCTTAGGTATTTCAGCAACGCGATTCTCGCCAGCATTCGGCGGGGTATCGCCATTCACATTTGGGACGACCTCCGTAGTTCGGAAGCAGAGGAAGCACGAAGATCAAACCAGGCCCTGAAAATTACACCGCGTAGATTAGAGCGCGCTCTAGCCGCCTTTGATATGTTCGTTATCCAAGATGACGTTGGTGACATAGACGACGTAAAACTCTCGTTATTCAACGTGTACTGTTCCTACTAACAAATTGCAGGTTTCAAATACGCTTGACGGGTTAGCAGCTGGCTTCATCAACGATAATCCAGGTTTTGACAGCTTGTCCATCCGAGATAAGGCCCTTGCTTTAAACAGATGGCTCAGGTCCAAAAACCTGACCGGTATGAGCAACCCAGAAACCAACTATCGTAATCTCAGGAACTGTCTTATCGGATATGCATTGCGCGATGAAACTCACCAATCGCTGCCCATGGTATCTGCCGCAATATTCTGTTGCATTGGAGAAAGAATTGGGCTGAACGCCCACTGCTGCGCTCTGCCAGGGCATGTGCTCGTCATGGTCTTTGCAACCGAAACTATAAAGCTTGATGGATCTATGGTAACTGATGCCCACAAACCCATTGAGAGGATGTATTTGGACCCGTACGGAGGCGACGAAGAATTCAGCAAAGAAACTCTTCGTCATTTCATATCCCAAGTAGGATGGCGCAGCTTAGATGTTGAAACGATGGCACCAGCAGCAGTCTCAACCATGATTGGGCGGCTCGCACACAATATTCGTCATACAAACCTCATCTTGAATTCTCAAGATGTTTCGATCGAGAGACTGGCCGGATTAAGAACCGGAACGGCTCTTCAGAATATGGAGTTGTCAGTTTATGCTGCAGCTTGGGCAACTACACTGCTCGATCCAGGAGCGTTTGTTGACGTTACATCGCATTTCGCACTTCGATTCAATTCACTCCGATTCGATGACGCTTGGTTGGTGGAAAAGATATACATCACGCGCCCCCAACCACACGGAGATGTATTTCTGGCGGCCCCAAATCCCGAATACATACTCCGGCTCATACGGCGGGCAGACGAGCAACAACCTGTTCTTCGAGAAGCGCAAAATGGCATGGAATACAAGATTGGAGACGTCGTCCGACATGGCAGGTACGGATTTGTTGCAGTGGTTATTGACGGAGAAGTGCCAGCTTCGGGGTCCATCCTCTATTACAGGCTATTGTGAGTAGTCTCAACTCCATATCGCTCTATATGTGCTCTTTAGGGCTAATAACAAATCAGGACGCCTCCAAACATGCAGGGAACATTTTCACTTGTAAAAGCCTCAAGCCTTGAGTTGATTCGAGATCCTCACGAAGCATCAGCGGCAATCTTTTCAGATACTGGTCTTTTTTTTAAGCGGTTTGATCGAGAAACCTGCAGATTCATCCCGTCAAACGAAGAGATGGTGTACACACCTCTTTAAGAGGTTGATGCTTGGGATTCAGACGATGGAGTTCTGACTTATGCCGTGGGCTGCATGAAATTCTTTATTTATTTTTAGTGTTCCTCGTTGCCTGTGCTTTCGAAATACAGAACAGGGCTTTTGGTTACCTCCCTACTTTGGATGAACGGGGTTGCGTCTCTGCCATTCGATCAATATGTGCTTCTTCTGGAGCACACTCCTCTCAACTATTCACTAGTCTCAAATCCTGACAAGCCACCGCAAGCACCTTTTACGAATTCGCGGCCCAGTCGGCAAGAACGCCATGGTCCGCAAGCTTCTGTACCCAACAGTGGACAGCCGGCGTGTGGTCTTTCTTTCGTCCCTGTACGCGATCTTCGTCTTCATTCATGAAAGCGACCTCGGCGTTGTAGTCGCTCATCAGCGACTTCTGTTCTGTTACCAGGCTGATGTGAAGTTCGAAAAGTTCCATCATATCCATGGAGGAGTTTGTAACTTTTTTCTCAAAAGTCGGGTCTATCTCCGCTTCTTTTAGATCTGCGTTCCCAATGCGGAATGCAGCAAGGCGCTCCTGTTCGTCACTTTTCAAGGGCTGCTCATTACCAGCAACCAGCGCCTTCCATTCTTCAATGCCTTTTGTACGGTCGTTCAAAAGCTCGAAGGAACGAATGGTTCTAGCAAGACTTTTGGCGATGATAGTGAGAGGACTATTGCAAAGCGCAAGAAGGTTGAATGAAAGAGCGCTCTCTTCAAACTGAAGCATGCGTGCCTGGATATCAGGGCGAACAAGGTTTGTCCAGTGGGTGCCATCTTTCAGAGGGCCGAGACAGACTGGTCGAGTTTTTAAACCATCAAGCTCCCATACCGAGCCATTAGCTGGTACGTAGGCAATGAAATGGTATCCTGACTCGGAGTCGACTTTCTGCTTCTTTGATCTCCTAGCCTTGGATGGGCCACGTCTTTTCTTCTTCTTTGACTCGGCTGCTTCATTTTCCAGAGCAAGATCTGCATTCAGATGATCCATTCTACGAGTGAATGCATTATGGACGGAGCGAATAAAATGATTAGAGCCTAGAGCATGGCCACGGAGTGGGGTGCTGAGATCATTGGTCGCAGCTTTAAATTCTTGAAGTTTTGGACCAAGTTCGACTTCAGTGCTGTTCATCAGGATGTTCGTCAAGGCGACGGTAGCACACGCGTTATCTGTCGTCTTTTAATATAGTCAATATCATAATATAGCAGAGGGGAAGATCTGGGTACAAACCTGGTTGGCAAACCAAAGATCGCGGCCCTCGACGGCTTCGTTGTCCTCATAATCCTCGGCGAAGTACTGGTAGAGGAAGATGAAACCGTAAACAGGCTGGGGAAGAGTTGCGACGTAATCTTCATCAACGGAGAAAACTTCCTGAACTTTCACATCACGTACGCCCATCTCTCCGAGCATGGCGTTAAAGAAGGCCTTTTGTTCATACTTCAGACACGCACAACGCTTTCGAAAGAACAATACATACCGGTTCTGACTCCACCTCACACCATCCTTCCCAATCCCGAAGCTCATCTTTGCTAATCGGCTCCAAGGCTTCTCGCAGAAGAACATTCGGTTGTTTGGCTTCCTTGCTGGCGGTGATGCTCGTCATAGTGGCATCAGCCTCAGTTGCCTTGCGCTTAGGGTTACGCCGGGTGTTGTTCATAGCAGCTTCACCCACTGTCTCAGTGGGTGACTCCTTGTTTTTTCTGCTGCGAGCGCCTCGTGCTGTAACGGCGTGGCTGTTGGCTATAGCAGAGCTGACATCAACCTCTGGACTAATCTCAAGGGCGTGACGATCGCTTTCGGCTTCTGTATTTACTGTTTCATCAGATGTGGGCTGCGTTGTATATTGTGTTGCGATCACACTCCCTGCTACTTTGCGACTTCGCAGTTGTCGTTGGCTCTTGTTGCGACATGACGTTGATAACATCATGCTTTCAGGTATGCCTAAGACAGATCCTCACAAGGATTGTGTTGCAGAAACACGAGGATAGAAAAACGAGTAGGCGGGTGAAGCGTACGAATTCACGCTTGGAGATGCAACGAGAGAAATGTAAAATTTAAAGGTAGTCGCCAGTTCGAGGTTCGAGGGTAAGGGATGAAATCTTCTCAAGTGGCAGGTGTAAGATGAAAAGGAGCTCAGGGCAATTTATGAAGAAAGATAATCGGCAGAGCTTAGGAACAATCAAGATTTTGCCGCTGGATTCGCTGCATGAAGATTTGTCTTTGACTGAAAGACGTGGTTGAAAGAAAAGTGACGCAAGGCTATGGCAGATAAAGATTTGGTTCCAACACGAAATTGCTACCAGCGAGGAATGAGCCGTGACGGTAGTAATTGACCATGTCGGCTCGTTATTGATCTTACATACGAAGTAGAGGAGCTCGAAATAGAAACGGTGATATTGGTACATAAGAACGAACTTTGGAAGACAATGAGTATGTTGCAGTCTGATACAGACATACCTGGAGCTCATCAGCTTTAGGACGCTTAATGGTGCGAGACCATTCCAGCCACCACTGTCCTAATGCTCTCGCCTCAATCGTCAACCGTGTACGAAGCGTCTTGGGGGTGATTTCCTTCCAAGTTATTCAAATTACTTTGGTTAGCACTGGTGCTGCGTTAAGGCAACTTTTGAAACAGCAGAGCGGGTGCTAGATGTAATGCATTGGGCAAGCAATTGTGGAATAAACAGTGAAAGCGATGCCAGCCTGTTGCTTTCAGAAGAACACATCTGGATAAATTTGGCTTGAAATGGCTAGCGCCCTAAAACAGGTAGCTTGTTGGCACAGGCTCTCCTGCCCCTCTGCTAGTTCCCACCCTGTTAGTATTACTGGACAGCCCCATATATTTGATATCGGACCAATAAGGGCACATTTGTCGTAACAAGTGGGTGTTGTTGCCAGGCGCGTTCGGACGTGACGAGCATTCACAGGAAATTTTGAAGCTTTGGGGCTTTGCTGCCAGGCTCTCCAGCTTCACGACGTCAGAAATAGCTTGCAACGCCAGGCCAACGGTTTCGACTCCTCTCGGCCTCCCTCAACCTAGTCGCAAGGCTTCTTTACCATACTTACACGAAACTTCAACGCATGATCATATGAGGAGTTCCTAAATACGGCATGCGATGAGCGCAACTCCGAGACAGCGGACTGGTGGTTTCCCACAAACACCAGCGACCGCAGCACCAGGCAGATCTCGACGACATGATCCCGACCCAAACTCGTCGGTCTCTTCACAACAGTCCATGCGCACGTCGTCTCTTCCATTAGCTCCTGAAAATTCCACCCGAGGTGTCCCCCCGACGGAACCAGTCATTCCATTGACAATTCTCGATGCTCCACAACAACGCTTCTACGCATGTGCAATATACATTGGTCTGTTGGCATGGAGGTTCTACGATTGGATCAAACTAGTTGAGGACAACGATACCTCGGCTTGGCTCTTCCTGAAATGGGTCTTCATTGATTTTGGATTCCTCTTTGGGCTGCCCGAGATGAGAATACCCTGGTTGGAGCTTTCACAACCTGTGGTCATGGCCATTTTTCTCTTCCATGCCTTCTTCAACTTCATGCTCATGTTCAACATTCCTGTACGTCTCCTAGGTCCCAAGCCTACAGGTCTAGTCTCAATCCTCGAGCGTGTCCAGGCTAACTCCGGTATAGCTTCCACTGCAGCCATGGCTAGTAGGCTTCATGAAGGTATTTTATGATCGGGAGGTAGCAGTTTCGGAGCATACCGTCAAGGTCTCGAGTATTCTGCATAATCACTCTCTGATTATGGGAAGACAGATCATTAATATCTTACCTGAAGGGTGAGAACCCTTTCACCCTTAACTGCCGTTTTTAGCGCTAACATGGCCTAGATCTGCAGTGCTCAATTTCGAGCAAACTCCTTTCTGCATTGGCGAGAATCGTGACACGATCCGGTTACCCATTCAGTTTAATGCAACCGTTCCTGCCGAAATGGAACTAATTCGCATAGATCTCGATACTAACCAAGAGGAGATAATCAAGCTGTCCAGTCGAGAGGTTCGGAAGATTGCGAAGCAGATTAAGGACCAAATGGTGGATTCCAAGCCTGTCGCTCATGCCATTGAATACCCGGTCAAGAAAACCGGCGTCTACCGCCTCGGCAAGGTTTTGGATGAGTATAAACTTGAGGTTCAGCGTACCACCAAAGATACCTACGTTGTGCCATGCCCGAAGGCAAGCTTTCGGACCCCCGAAAACGCTGGCCGATGTATTCGGGATTTGTCTGATCTGTTCATCGATGTCGTTGGAACACCGCCATTGAAGATTCAATACAGTCGAAAGATCAATGGCAATGATCGCAGCTTTCACTTTCAAAGCTTGCAGCCGGAAGATTACAACTCACCTTTGCTTGGTTCGCCTTCCTCGCAATTAACTCTTGCCAATGACGATGACACAACTTGGGTGAAACCCCAAGCAGTGGCAGTGCGACTCAACGAAACATTGGATTCGGCAGGAGAATGGCAATATGCTGTTGACGAGGTCCAAGATGGATTCGGCAATGTCCAGAAGTACTCCCAATCTTCTGAGGAGACAGATTTACGACCGCGACCTAAGCACCTAGTTCGTACCTTTTTGGTCAAACAGCGACCAAGGGCTCAGATGCGAGGCTGCGACCTAAGAAACCCAATCAAGGTGGCGAAGAACAACGCGGCAAAGCTGCCAGTTAGCTTCTCGATACCGGAGAGAGCCCCCGAAGATACCTCGCACACTCTGACGTGGGAATTCTCACCTATTGACAGCCTGACAAACGGTGGCGATCATGGCGATAAGGTCTCTGTAGGCTCCTATTCTGCCAAGAACTCTCACGACAAACCATCTGTTAGGGAGCCGGGCCTTTATACGCTGAAAACTATTACCAGTGGGTCATGCGAAGGAGAGGTTCAAGAGCCATCTTCTTGTCTCCTTCTGAATCCTCTGGAACCCCAGCTGTCGCTTCGCGCAGAGGAAATACCCGACAAATGTGCCGGCAACTCAGTTGGACTTCGGGTGGACCTAGATCTTATCGGGACTCCACCATTCAAGGTCCGATACGATGTTGTCGACCAAAACGGCATGGTCAGAAGAGAACGAGTTGATGTTGATGGTCTGAGACAGCAAATTGAGCTTCGTCCCACGGCAGCTGGTCATCACAAGTACATTTTCAAGCAAATTGATGACAGTATCTACAAGGAACAGCCCCTAAGTGGACCTAGTATGGTGCTGGAAACAGATGTCAAGCCCGCTGCTTCTGCAGTTATTCAACATCCTACGGGATCCATGAGTGCCTGCCTTGAGGAGCAAGTGGAGGTTGATGTTTCGCTTCGGGGCGATGCTCCCTTCTCGCTGGAATGGGAGATAGTCCACGACGGCAAGCGCAAATCGGAACGCGTCACGGGTATCGAGGATTCTAATTTCAAGATCAAGACGAAACCCCTTGCCAAAGGTGGCGAGTACACTCTCGCGCTCAATAGCGTTCAAGACAAGTCTGGCTGCCGGACATTCCTGAAGGATGAGCTTAAGATCTCTGTTAGACGGCAACGACCTCGGGCGGCCTTCGGACTGGTTGAGAATAAGCGGAGTATCATGTCAGTCGAGAACACCAAGGTTGATTTGCCACTACGTCTTCAGGGTGTTGGGCCATGGACGGTATCATACCGCAACATCGATAGAAGCGATGTCATTCTTGAGAAAAGAGCGACCAGTGGTAACGATGTCCTTTCCGTCAAGGCCCGTGGTGTCTACGAAATCATCGATGTATCAGATAAGCAGTGTCCTGGAACCGTGGATCCCCAGGCATCACGATTTGAGATCGACTGGTATCCACGCCCAGAAATCACCCTGGTGCAAAGCGATAGTATAACCTCGGAGGCCGCTGTCTACGTAAAGCGTGACGTTTGCGAAGGCGACATTGATTCATTTGAGGTCAATCTTAAGGGTAAAGTATTCAGGCTACCCACATTTCAAATATAGCTAATGTAGTGTTCAGGTTCCGCCCCTTACCACGTTGAGTACGATCTTCAATACAAGTCGTTCCAGGGTTCAGGTTCTGGTTCTTCTGCCTCGAATACTCGAAAAGAATTCGACACAGCTCTTAACAAGGCGCCTATACGTATGGATACTTCCAAGCCTGGAGACTATACATACAAATTCTCTGCGCTGGCAGATAATCTCTACAACAGCGATAGAAATTCCCATCCATTGACCCTGAACCAAAGGGTCAATGCCAAACCATCTGCTGTCTTTGTCAAACCCGGTCAGTCATTCAAGTACTGCAAGACGGAACAAGACAGCGAGGACATCATTCCGATTACACTCAGTGGCGTTGCCCCATTCTACGTTGAAATTGAGATAAAGCACCACAGCGGCACAGTTCCCGAAACCTACAGGATTTCATCTGTCCAATCTAACTCGTATGGTATTCATATCCCCAGGCAGCATTTGCGGCTTGGTGTTCAACACGTCCGCATTCGCGAAGTTAGGGACGCTCGAGGATGCCAAAACAAATACGAGACCAATGCGCCTTCTGTACAAGTGCATCTTTACGATGCCCCGGCGATATATCCCCTAGAAAGTCGAGGAGACTACTGTGTCGGCGAACGCATCGCCTACACGCTTTCTGGAACTCCCCCCTTTGAAATCTGGTACGATTTCCAGGGTCACCAGCGCAAAGCCAAGTCTGGCACAACCAACTTCCGCCGTATTGCTGAATCTCCTGGTGACTTTATTATCACTTCCATCTCCGACAAGGCATCCGAATGTCGCGCTTCTGTCGACATCACCAAGAAAATCCACCCCCTACCAGCTGTCAAGATTAGTAGAGGCCGGCAGACTCGCGTAGATATTCACGAGGGCAATGAGGTTGAGATTTTATTCGAGTTCTGGGGCACACCGCCGTTTGAGTTTACATATACACGAAGTTCCAACGCCAAGAAAGGTCAGAAGAGTGTAGTGCTCGAAACTCGACACGATGTCTCGTACGAGAGTAGTAAGATCATCCGCGCAAGTCAGGAAGGCACGTATGAGGTGGTTGCTATCAAAGACAAGTTCTGCGCCTTTTCCACGCAGCAGGTTGCGGACAGCGGCAAGGACCAGAAGATGTTGCAGTATTAGATGACTGGACGAGCTCGAAATTCACGTCAAATAGCACGTGGACTGGATTCATGAGTGGAGATGGGATGTTTGTGTATATGTGCGTATTGGTGTGGATAGGCATTTTAAATCATGGCATGGCGTTTCGTTAGGGGGACCAGGTTGAATAGGGCAGTAATCAGCATGACCAAAGACATTTTCTTAAGTAACCAGGTTTGCTATTTATCGCCGTGCTTGAGCGGCATAATCTATGATTAATAGTAGCTCTAACACCACTAGCGTTGTATCGTTTCTTCAGCTCGTTAAGTGAACTTCAAAAACACTCCTTTCGAATTTCATTCTTCCAACTATGATATCTCTTCGATCCTCTTGATCAGATCACCCCCGATTCTTGCGATCTCTAGCAAGACAGCCGGTTTGTTTACCTCTACTACATCACTATCATCCTCTCCCGCCTGGCGGAAGTTGTAAGGCAAACCAACGCGGAAATTCTGTTTACGCAACTTAGGCTGCCATATGGCGCCGATGACGGTATCTTCAGGCACGCCATGGAAGAAAATAAGCGTATCTTCATAAGCCGTTTCCAATTCTTGCAACAAAACCGGAGCCGGAAGTCTGCTCAATGGCAGGGGCACTTTGCCAGTACGCTCATCGAGGTTCTTGAAGAGCGAATGGCGTGTACCTGCCTCAGATGCTGCATCACGCACAACGCGTTTAAGAGCGGAGGTCGACAAGTGGATAAGGACGTCATAATCTTCGAGTGACGGCTCAAAAAGTAGCGCGACATCGAGGGCAATCCCTTGTTCTCTGACGAGCTTGCTTGCCGCCTTTGTGAGGCGCGTCATTCGGGTTGCTATCAACTTGGAAGGGCTGTGACGGGTGTAAGCTAACCCAGTATGGTCGTGGGGAGTGGCGACAAATAGCACAGCGTGGTTCATGTTGGGGTCACGGGCACGCCAGGCCTCAAGGTGTTTTTGAACAACGGAACGATCATCAGCAGACATGTCGTCCGACGAGTCGACGACAATAGGTTCGTCACGCCAGTCCCACCTGGAAAGGAAAAGAATGGTCCGCAAGAAGCCAGACATGGCGCTGGAAGGTGTCTTCCAAGGATACGGTTGGAGGAAAACATGCAGGACGAGGAGTTCGATGAGTTCCTCGCTCATATGACCGGTGAGTTTATGGGCGTTGAACCAGTGTTTGACGAGTCGGATTGTGGTGGACAGCATTGAGAAACGGGTGCAATAAGTCGTGATTGTCTGCGTATGCAGAGGCAGATGCTTGTACCGCCAGTTGAGGTCGAAGAGAGCTTCCTCAGCCTCTGCTCTGATTTGCGGCTCAAGAGTCTTGTTCTTAGCTTGTCTGTCCAGAAGCGTCTCTTCCAACTCGGCGAAAATTCTCAGTCGGAAAGCAGCACCAGTTTCGTAGATAATATCTAGGTATGCGAGGTTGTCAATGTCTCGCACTGCGTTTTCACGGCCCAAGCTAGTTGTGATATTGTCGTTGACAGCCTTTAGTCTTCTGTCGATGTCAAGCAAAAACTCAATCTTCGTTTTCTGTATCGCGACGAGGTTCTCTGGCCATTTACTGGACGCCTCAAAGTACAAGTTAACATCCATAGGCGGAGGGGTTTTCTGGGAAGCGGTGAACGGCGGTGTGATTGATGAGGATCGAAGTTCAGGGACAACAGGCGACAATTGCCTAACTGAAAGTGGCATGTCTTCAAGGCCACGAATATCCGACTCCAGAGTCCGAAAAGCTTTTCTAGCTGCCTCAAAAGCGTCCTTATCGAGAGGTGAGATATCCAAAGACGAGGGAAGTTCAGCGTCATGGAATCGGAGATCCCCAGGGCCCAGACTCAAATGACGCTGAAGTGTGTATCGAACGATCTCTTCGCAAATACCTGCCGCGGTCTTATTCGTCCACTGCACACATTCGAGAATGCTGCCGTCTTGAAAGCGTCGCAACTCAGCCTTGTCACCCCAGAACTTGCGGAATTTAGCTGCCTCCTTCTCGAGCTCAGCCGAGGGACCATACTCCATTAGCCGACCCATATTCGCGGGGTCGAAGATAATGCCAACCTGAATGTTCGCAAGATTTCGAGGTTGGTTTTCGGAGACAGCCCATGGTGCCGGGTCTTGACTTTGGAAATGTATTAATTGCGACCTATCCTTGAGAGCCTTCTTAAGCACTGTGTTCGCCTTGAAGCTAAGGTCCCACACAGCCCCACGTCGGTCTAGGCTGTTGCTCTTTGAGTGACTGTCGACGTTGCGAATCTCAAAAATGGCGTCGAACAGCTGTAGAGGCATGTCGGCTTTAGTAATGAAGGTCGGTTCAAACTGACTGGCTAAAGGATCGTTGAGCAATTCCATGGTTGTGCAAGCATGGAAGTGGAGCATGCTCGCAGACCAAGGGCTCATCTTGTACAAAATGTTGAGCTCACGGTCGGGGTCAAACATGACGGGTCCGCTCTCACGAATGACATCGCTTCCCAGCTTGTAGGTTCCAAATACAAAAGGGCGCTTCGAGAACTCGGTAGAGGCGAGGAACTGTACGGTGGCCTTGAATAACTCTGTACTGCTTAACGCCGAAGACAGAGCCGGCTGGCCATTCCGCCCGCCTGTTTGTAACAAGAGTGCCATCATGACTGCCCATTCAAAGTGGCCAAAACCACCTCGAGCCAGGGAACTGCCCAAACCTCGCTGCTGGAGCCAAATTCTTCCCAGTATGCATGCATCTGTGAAGGCAGAGCATTCTGTCTTAGCCCGCGTGAGGAGACGAAGATAAGTTATGAATGTATCTTCAGCTTTGAGAGTCGAGTTGTAAAAGGGTGTAGCAGCGCTCACGTCTTTTGCATTCTCCGGCGATCCGTTTCGGTTGCTGTTTGCAGCTGGGTGCAATTTCGTCTTGGGGAAAACGCCCTCCGGCGCACACGGAATGATTCGAACCACGTAACCTCCATGAGGTTGCTTCTTCCCTTCGCTATCCTTTTCAGGAGCCTTGGTAGCTTTGATAGAGAGAATGGGCAAAAGGGCGTTTCCGTTCAGGTATTCAAACTCCAGCTCAGCAGACGTACCCAATCCTTTGCGCAGATTGGCCGCGATGTTAGCAATGTAGTACGCTCTCCGGTAGAAGTACCGCATGTTTTGGTGATCTTTTTCTTGGAAGAGCGAAGCGGGCATTTGGACGACCATGTCTATACCCTTGTCAGTTTGGGCCTTGACCATGCTCTTCGAAACATAGCTGCCAACGACATTGTAGGCCGAGGGCTTTTCGTAAGACAGCTTGTATGGCGCATCATCGGCGGGCCTCGGATCGGGGTAGGGAATCTTGATGCGATGTGTTTTTTGGAACTTGCGCGTGGCTTCGTTGATCTAGTAGATGTCAACATCTGAGTCGCGCCGCAGGAAATAAGGGTTCAACGCACCGGAACAGGACCATGAGACTCAATACCGTCAATCAGGGTCTTCAGCTTATGCAGAAGGCTGTCCGCACCGTCCAAGGCCTTTGTGTAGTCAACCTTGACTTCCTTCAGAAGTTCGTCGGTCTGTAGGACAAAAGGGCTTGCCGTCGCAATATGAACAGAACTTCTGGAGCCGCCCAGATGAGAGACTTTGCGTCTTTTAGGGCTCTGTTCCATTTTGGACTTCTTGATGCAAGATCCAGGTAAATTTGTACAAGGGGACTGTTCAATTTGTCGCTGACATGCGCACAGCTCAGAATTCAAGCAGCAGCACGACAATCTCGCACTCGTCTGCGCCAGGCCGCGATACTGGGAAATTTTTTGAACCGTGGGGCACCGATAAGAGGTGGGAGAAAATTTATCCCTGACCGACCGACCGATAAGACACTTGGTCATGTCTGGTCCCACTTTTGACGCCAATGTTTGCAACTGAATTGGCCAATTCACCTGGCTACGAGGATTGAATTCGAACGACTGTATCCTACATCCGTGTTGATTGGGATAAACAATCAACTGGACCATTGCTCTGCATCACGACAAAGAATCCTATTAGCAATTCGCGGCTTGTCATGGTAGCTCGCACATGTCTTGCTACGACAACAGCGCTGAACATTTCAAGCTGCGATTGCCTCGACAAGCGGAACGCTTCGGAAAATCTCCACAGCACCGGATGGCAGCTAGCAGCTCGAATACTGGAGCCGGAATGCGCACCGGAACCAAGGTATGCAGGGTATATACGTAAGATGATACATTTAAGAGCCGACAAAGCTCCAAACCACGCCCAGATATGCCCAGAGACGACCGCCGGTATCGCTTTGCCTGTGCGTATACTTATTGTGATTGAACAGCATCGCGATTTAATTATCGGAGCGGACTCGCAGAGTACCCTGTTTTCGGCAGAGTCTTCGGCAAACGGCGCCGCTTGCCGAGCCATACGGTTCGCTGTAAAATAATAGGAGCCTTTCCAACCCTGTAATGGCGGGTAGACAAAGACAGCAACAGTGATAAACCAGACCTAAGGCAGTCTAGGATCAAGGCTGCATCCCACCGCCTGAAGCAGAATTACCTTTGCGGGGTTTGGACGGGGCGATTTCAGGGGCCAGTTGGAGCCAGACGCTTCCCCAATTTGGCACAGGCGCCAAAACGTTTAGCCCCGCCACTTTCCGAGTCGCGGAACTTGAGGGGGAGAACCGCTGAAAGGCACTCCAAGGTAGGGATGCCGAGAGTTCTCTGGTCAGCTCTCAAGCCCAAGCCTCTTGCCGAGCTCAATCCCGAAGGAGCGGAGCAGCAAACACCCCCGACCCCAGGATTGCCGCAGCGACGTGCGGCAACCCACGGCCTTGGAAGCTAAGGGCAGGCAGTTGTAATAAATTGACCCGTAGTCCCTCGCGGAAGCCCTTGAGAAGAAGTGCTTTCTCCCTCCTCTGCAATCGTTTTCCGGCTTACCTGCTGGCTTTGTTGATGTTTCTCTGCTGCCGTCATACCTCGTAAAAGAAGTGCTCCGGCCCCTCCACTTTCAACGCGCACTCCCGCCTCGTACTTCGTAATTCCGGGACTAACCAGGCCACATTCTTCGCGATGCCTTCAGCAGCTCTCTGCGCACGCTCATTGAGGGCCTACGCCCGTCATGGCTCCAACGTAGGTCGAACTGAATCATGAAACCTGGGCCATGAGCTTCCGCTCATACTGACTATCCTTCCCTAACAGCACACTGCCATACTTGCTCGCGCATTTTCTGCGACAGCACGGAGACCGGAGATCAACAAAGTCTATCCCTCAGCGACCGAGGCTCTCAAAGACATGAAGCCCAACTCCACGCTGCTCTGCGGCGGCTTTGGCCTCTGTGGCGTGCCCGATACCCTAATTGATGAGGTTCTGAAGAAGCCAGAGATTACCGGCATCACAGCCGTATCTAACAACGCCGGTACCGACGCCTCTGGTCTTGGCAAGCTGTTGAAGACAAAGCAAATCAAGAAGATGATTGCTAGCTATATCGGCGAGAACAAGACCTTTGAGAAGATGTACCTGACTGGTGAGGTTGAGCTCGAGCTCACCCCTCAGGGCACCCTGGCTGAACGTTGTGCCGCTGGCGGCAAGGGCATTCCGGCCTTCTATACCCCCGCAGCTTTCGGAACCGTCGTTCAGACCGGTGAGCTTCCCCTGAGAAACAAGCCAGATGGCTCTCCGGACCAATTCTCCTACCCTAAGGATGTCAAGGTCTTCAATGGCAAGTCTTACCTGCTCGAGGAGAGTATTGCTGGTGACTACGCTTTCGTCAAGGCCTACAAGGCCGACAAACTTGGAAACTGCCAGTTCCGTTTGGCTGCCAACAACTTCAACGGCGCCATGGGCCGAAACGCCAAAATGACCATTGTCGAGGCAGAGCACATTGTCGAGCCTGGTGAGATCTCCCCAGAGGCCGTCCACCTGCCCGGCATTTACGTCAAGCGTGTCATCCAGAGCACAAGCGAAAAGAACATTGAGAAGTACACCTGGACTAAGGACGAGAGCGACCCCGATGCCAAGAAGGCGCTCGGAACCGGTGATACAGCTGCCAAGCGTGAGCTCATCGTCAGACGTGCGGCCAAGGAGTTTAAGAACGGCATGTACGCCAATCTGGGTATCGGTATGCCCATGCTTGCTCCCGGCTTCGTTGGCCCCGAAGTTGAAGTTCAGTTGCAGTCCGAGAATGGCATCTTGGGTCTCGGCCCGTACCCCCGCAAGGGTGAGGAGGACGCTGACCTCATTAACGCTGGCAAGGAGACCGTCACCCTCAAGCCCGGTGCCGCCGTCTTCGGTAGCGAGGAGAGTTTCGGTATGATCCGCAGTGGCCGTATTAACCTGACCATCCTGGGTGCTATGCAGGTCAGTGCGACCGGTGATCTCGCCAACTGGATGCTGCCGGGTAAGGTCAAGGGCTTTGGTGGTGCCATGGACCTTGTCAGCAACCCTAGTGCAACCAAGGTTGTTGTGACCATGGAGCACACAGACAAGAAGGGCAACCCCAAGATTGTCAAACAATGCGCTTTCCCTCTGACTGGTCGCGCCTGTGTCTCTAGAATTATTACCGAACTGGTAAGTATCCCCTCCCCCCATGGAATAATTCCAGATTTGCTGCTTTAGGACTAACGAATGGTCTACAGGGTGTATTCGACGTTGACTTTGCTCACGGCCTGACCCTGATCGAAATTGCGGACGGTGTTACAGTGGACGAAATCAAGAGCAAGACTGAGGCGCCGTTCACGGTGGCTGAGGACTTGAAGCCTATGTTGTAAAGAGACCGGTATAGGATATGTGAATAGCGAGTGAGATGAATGCCTATTTGGGAGGATACATTGTGTCAACATCTAGAATGCGGCGTCAAGCTGTGGGACCAAAATGAAGCCATGATTTTACTTTAAAAAAGAAAATTAATTCAGACATGCTACTCGTGTCCCTTTTGAACCGATCGTAACTGGCTAACCCAGCAGATACCTTTGCTAAGAAACATGGACAAACATTAGGTAATTCCGCGCATTGAACACACAAACTATCTTGCTGTGGCCGTCTTTTCTGCAACCTTTCGCTGGGAATTGAGGGGGAACAGTAATGCTGGCCTTTGTTTCCTTTGGGTTTTGTTGTTATTTTTTGTTCTTGCTCGTGCTTTTCTTGGCAGAACTAATACAGTCCACCTTCCCTTCATCATATGCCGGGCTCTGAACCTGGCATGGAACTTTGCGTTGTCTTACATATCGATACGGCACTCTTCGCTGCAGAAGACGGCAGATCTCGGTATGATAACACTCATGAACCCAAAAAAGACTGCAAAATATCATCAAGCCGTCGTCTCTTTTTCCGATTGGGATTTAGCCCTGTCTCAACGTTTCCAAGTTGTACGGTAGGTTTCATCAGCTCCATATTTTTACGCACAGCTTCCTGCCTGCTGCTGGCTGAGGATGTCCTGAAGAATGTATATCTCGCTGTGGAAAACAGCCCTCGTCGAACGTAGGACACGGCTGGTGTGATCCCCGGTCTCCCTCCATAGTGGCCCAACTGTAGACAAGCGAAAGGCTTGGAGGGGAGAATCAATTTCTCGGAAACTGTCTTTCTCTCTGATTTTAGTTGGGCTCTTTTCAAGTCCTCGTCCTTGATGAGCTGGCCTATGAAGGAGTACAGCCAAAAGGCCCACGTCTCGAATGGAAAACCTTTGCACGTCTGAGCTTCGTATCCGGGGACGTCAACATATAGCGAGAGATTCCTTTTAGCGGCATCCCCAATATGATCGAGGAAAGAGGGTACCTCTTGAGCAGAAACGAACTTAATGGGTTGACTGCTGCTTTGGCAAAAGTTTATCAATCCTTCATCGATATTTCGGGCCAGACCTTGCAGTTGTCTTGGTTTGCTTTCCTCCACCGAGTCAAACAGCATTAGATACCATAGAAGAGAATCATGGGGACCATGTAATGGCTCTGCCATCTCCCAGCCCTCGTCTAATGCTGAGTCGGCAGCACCTTTCCAGTCACTCCTTGCTGCGTTGATATCGTAGACAATTAGAGACGGGAACTTTGATACGTATTTGAGTGAATGCATGCTTGTCGACTCGTCACTCCATAGTCTTAGAATCCTGAGAAGAGGAAACGGATCGTTCATCTCTGACCAGCTTCTGATGAGACGGTCGTCAACAATGGGAAACACGGCGCGGAGATCATCAGGTGGCTGGATGATTTCGAGAATCGCAAGGTTCTTCAAATTTGCAAGTGCCAGTAGCTCATTTTCTGAAAAGGAACAGCCACCGGCAATGACGAGATGCGCAACAAAGTCAAAAGAATGAGATTCGAGTGGTCTGAGGTAATGACGGAGCGACTCAGTTGGCTGACAAATGTGTTGGCGGTACCGGTAGAGACTTAATGTCTTTTCATCGTCCTCAGTAAGAAGAAACTTGGAAAAAATCTTCCACGCCTGGAAGCATATGCCTCTATAAGAGTATGTTAGGTGTTTGCATTCCGCCCTTTGTGAATAGATGTGACGAACCTGTTCTCCAGTAAGCGCCATATCCTCCACAAATATCGTCTTGGCAAATCATCGCGACTGAGATGTTGCTCCGTCAAATCGCCGACATTCTCTGCTATTAAGTGCATGGCCATGTCGGCCAGAGACCTGGGCCCTTTTCTACCCTGTCCGCTGCGACCTTTGCGTGGCGGTAAACCCGTCCGCCTGGACCAGTCTCGGCCATGCTGGTAAGCATCTGGAGGCCGTGGAGCAACGACTTCTTTGAAAACTTGACCCGTCGATTGATCAAACATATTACCGTATGATTACTGAGACTTGAATGTATATAAAAAGTTGACAGTATGCCGCTCTGTATGTGAGACGATGAGAGTCTGTCGTGCTCACATCGAAGGGTGAGTGAGATGATGCTCACAGAGGTGGACTTGAGTAATTACAATTGCGCACTGTGTGTGTAGACTGTGCAAGGCAAGTCATGCACGGTTTGCGATCTACCATGTATGCCAACCACGAAAATGTCGCGCAAGCTAGATGCACCAAAATTTGACATGGGAGGAGGTAAATCAAGTTGAATACATGGCTACTGGTTACGCGTCACAATAAATCACCTTGAAAACCGGTGCCACTTGTTTTAGCCCTACTGCAACTTACACGAAGCAGTCCGCCAGGGGCAGAGAGGGAGAAGAAGATGTATCGCCACGAAAATTTCTCTGATCACCAACGCAACAGAAGCTGCAAACAGGTCAAAGGGTAAGTGGGCGAAATAGTGCGTCAGTCTCTCCTCCTGTTTCCCCTCCAGGCACCTTCATTGATAACGTGAAAGCCAGAGTGAATAAGGAGGATTGTTTTATGATTAGGTGAAGAGAAAAGGAGAGAAATTTCGAAAGCCGGAGAGAAATCTCAGCCATGATATTGATTTTCAGCGCCGGTGGGCCCGGCAATTCTGTTCTGCCGGTTACCGATGATGGGTGCTTGTCAGTCGCTGGACGAGCCACTACCGGCGGGTCTCAATCACCCCTGGTCCTTCGACACGTTCATTTAATCGTGTGTGAATACTTCGATGGCCTTTCCTGACTGAGGAGAGGCTTCATGTGATATTCAAATGGCTCAACGTTTACTATTGAACGGAATCGGTTACCAATATAAACCAAGCTGAAAACTACGAAGCATTGGCATTCCCAGTGACTTGATTCTGCAGCCCTTTTTCTCAACCACGTCGTGTCAAACGATTGATAATACGATTCATGTAGCGAGGGATGCTTGAACGCCATGCAGAAATCACCAACGAGCCGTGTATTGCTAACAACCAAACCTCATATTGTGCAGATTTTTACTTGTCTGATGAGCCTTTTCAATCACGTAAAGGAGAGGGGCGCCATCTGAAAATCACGGAGACAAGCATGCATATGGCTGCTAAAATGGGTTGACTCAATTCAGGGAACGAATAGAAATACACCTAATGTCCACCAAAATTGGCCTCAACTTTATCAGCTTCCCTGTTCGAGTTAAATTTTGGGTATGTACGCAACTCCCGCCTTGCTCAGCAATTCGCGGCCTAATAATCAAATGCGGTTGGCAGGGTAGATTCCTACCTATTAGTATTGTCTGCCTCACAGGTACTAGGCAGAACAAAGGTGCGGCGTTTCGAAAATAAAACATCTGCCCTCTTTGGCGCGGGGCAAAAATGCTGGCGGTGAAAAGGCCCCAAGAGGGTCCCTCGAGATGGGTTGGCAGCACTAGCCAATTGGGACGAAGGTGTTTGTGGCTGCGTACTCCGCTAAATCATGTACAGGGCAGCTTAAGGGATTCGCATTTGCATTATCGTATCCCGCCCACTACTGCCAGCGCTGCTTGTACCTTTGGTCGACTGAAAGTGCTGTTAAAGATGACTGCCCCTCCTGCAATATGCCGTAAGGCACCTTGGCCTATGATTCTTTCTGGGGGTTAATTCGCTACTTGTGTGTTCGATGATAATATATCTGCCATTCACTTCCCCGACACATTTGAACTGTCATTTAGTTGCTGATAGTTCATCCGTCCCGCAACAAACCAGCCCACTGCACCTTGTCTCCTTCGCTTTGTACCACATATATTTTAGTCCTCCCACCGCCCGACCGCACACCATTTACCCCGCCATTCAAGCTCTTACGTCTGCAGTCCTCGACAAATATCCAACCTCCACCCCGCCCCCCCTCGACAACCTTTACTAGACGCCCTAACAATATCAACAAATCAGTCAAGATGGCCGGCGGACAACCTGGCTCTAACTCTCGTGGCCGCGGCGGCAAATTCAGGAAATTTACTCGAGGAGGTTTGCTCAACGAACACTCCCGTGAGGTTGTCACACTCAAGCTAACTGTCTTATCTTCTAAGGTGGCAAGCATTTCTCCCGCGATTTGCGTCCTCTCGACTCCGATGGCAACGAGATTGGCATGTGGAATGATGCTAAGAAGGAAGAGAGCGGAAGCGATGAGGAAGACTCTGAGGAAGACTCCGAAGAGGAGTCCGGCTCTGACGACGGCAAGCCCCAGGCTGAACAGTCTCGAACCGAGCGCAAGGCCGCTGCAAAGGCCCGCAAGGAGGCTGCTATAGCCAAGAAGAAGGCACAGGCAGTTGAAGTTGGTGACCTGCCTCCTTCCGACTCGGAAGAGGAAAGCGACGACGACATGCCCGCCAACCCGAACCACTCCAAGGCCGCCCGCAATCAAACCAAGGCGCCCGTCTCCAAAGATGTCGAAGAGGCTACCGAGGGCGTTAAGAAGCTTGCTGTCGGCAACAATCGCAAGGAACGTGAGAGTATCGAGGCTGCGCAGGCCAAGGAGAGATACCGCAAGCTGCATGAGGCTGGCAAGACAGACGAGGCCAAGGCTGACTTGGCGAGATTAAGACTCATTCGCGAGCAGAGAGCGGCTGATGCTGCCCGCAGAGAAGTGCGCTTTTCCCCTATAACTGTCTTCTGTCATTTATCACTACGGACAAACTAACTATAAGACACCCAGGCTGAGAAGGAGGAGCGCGAGGCTCAGGAGGCTGCCAAGAGAGCTGAGATTGAGAAGAAGGAGGCCAAGAAGAGAGAGGCTGCTCTGGGCCCAGTCAAGAAGGGCAAGAAGTCTAGCAAATGAGCTATTCCCTCAAGCTGTTGGGGTTCTTGGCCTGCCAAAGCAGGCCCGAAACCTTTCCCCACCATATACCATCATCCTTCCTGGTCCATATTCGTCCGCAGTACAGCGTACGTTGGCCACTGACGCTGAAGCCACCATTTGAAAGGGGAAAAAAAAAAAAAAAACCTATGCTCATAACCATGCTTGCGAAAGTTCTCCAAACCCCTCCAGCTGGTGCTTCTAAGAAACTCATTACAACTAGATATGCCTCTATGCATGGACAGCCTCTTATAAGTATACAACAGGGCATGTTTTCACATGCCTGCAAGCTCATCTGTGCCAACACTATCGTGCCACAATTTGTCGAAGTCCACGCCTTGTTCCTGGAAGAGATCTCGAATCTTTTTGGCTACCTCGATCTGTTTCTCAGGTCCGAAACCACCAGGCTGCGAGGACTCAAGCTGAACAATTTCGATCCAGCGGAAGAAGAGATCTTCCTTGCCAATCGCAGACAGCGCATCCCTGAACGCGAACACCTGTCTCCGCCTGTCGTCTTCTTTGACATTCCCACCCGCTTGATCAAGACACATCCAGCCGTAATCCTCGTGGTGCACCAAGACAAGGCATTTGAAGGCGTCCAAGGCAATGTCCTTCTTGTCCACCAAGGCATGGGCGAGAACCATGCAATCCCAATCGAGATCCCACTGCCCTGTCATGGTGAGATACCCCGTCTTCTCTTGCAAGAATAGCGGTGAAGTAGCCTGTCGCACGAGTGATTGCAGAGCCTGATTCTTCTCCTTCTCCTTGAAGATGTCGCCTAGTTGTTGGTCCCATTCTCGGCTGCGTCGGACGTAAATCTCCTTGTCGCGAAAGCCGACACTCCATCGCCAACTAACTGGGTTTCCGTATGTCTGCCCGAAAACAAACTCCACAGGCCATGGCCAAACAAAAATGAAGAGCATGAGATCTAGCATGAGCGAGAAACCTCGTTTGCCTATCTCCCAAAGAAGTGCAGACCAGGTCGAATCGGGAATAGAAAAGGTCGTCTCATTTGGGTAGCCAAAAGCAGACTGAACGAACTTAAAGTAATAAGGCAGAATGTAGTACATGCGCAAAAAGAACAGCGCGGCGACAACGATGTTCATACCAACCGGCACGAGGAAAATCTTCCTTTTGAAATCCTTCGGCTTGGAGTCAATGTGGGTGATATAAATGTGATTCTGGGAGAGATTTTCGATGAAGGGCCGGAGAACAGCTGCTGGTTTCTTGAACGGCGCTGGCGGTGTACCCAAGGCCGCCGCCGGCGTTGATTTTGTCTTCACAGCTTTCGCTTTTGGCGCCATTGTAACCGTTGCGACACTAATATGGCAGAAAGAGCTATGAGAATGAATCTTGACCAGGATACTTGAGAGTTGGCCATTTTCTAGCCACAGCCAATTAAGATATGTGCCTATGCCCCTGTACCAACCCGACTTGTGCATGGTGGATACTGTACTGCCCAATCAAAATGCACTGATTTTCGAGAGCAATCGGATGCACATGTCGATGTGCAGCTAGGAGCTTAAGAATTTCGAGTGGGCAGCGACAGCTTAGAGTAAGTTAGCTTCTTCAGAATCGCAGCTTCCATGTTGCGCCCAACGACAGATCATGCTTAGATGCAGAATATGGAATGCAAGTATCTCTTTGTTCCTGTTTGATTTTCGCTTTTACTGACTTGAAGCCTCTTGTTCAGGAGCGAAGCAGCGCCTACGTCTTCGCCGGTTGTCGCCACCCTGCCCTCCTACGACAGCGCAACTCTGACCGCCGTAACTACTCAGACACATCATCACCTCCCAAAAATGGTGGCAATTTTGCCAGGGCTTGGGGAAACGATAATGGTGTGAACGTGGCAGGATCCTCGGTAACCCCTCCACGGCCCATGGGCCCGGTGCGCAGCTCAGGATGGGGAAAGCCAGCCTTCGGCGGAGGTGTCTCGTCAGGAACCGCGTCCGGTTCGACCCCCTCAAACCTCGACAGCCGGAAAGTGAACAGTAGTCAGAGCCATGCATCCGCTGGAGACGGACTTCTCCCTCACGAGCGTGCTGCGCGAAAAAGATTACAGAAGCCGGTGCCCTCGGAGCCTCCTCTGACTTCTCGAACCACATCTCAGCGCGGGCTTGGACTTGGGCAAAGGAGTTCTCGCGAGTCTCCTCGAGGGCCTATGGATAATGCTTCGATTAAGCCACGTAATGCATTGGGTGGTCTGGAAGAAAAGACGTTGCGCACGAACCGTTCCAAAGAACAACCTGAAAAGAGGTGGGGGAACTATGCAAATGGTGCAGCAAAAAAGGACTGGAGGCATCGAGAATCGGACAGAACCCCTCTTCCTGGCAGCGACAGGAAACTCCCGAGCACCCCTGTACCTCATCACCGCCATGCTGTTAGAGAGGAGCTTGGACGGCCACCAGTACAGAAAGGACTCCGACGACATGAGAGCGGCGGTCTTGGACAGTCAAATACAGGCGATGCTGATGCATGGGGTTTGCTTACAAGGAAGGCGACCAGTAGCTCTTTTTCCAGCCCGGTCGATGTCTCATCCGATGGCACTCCAATGACAAAAGAGAGCTTTTTCAACAAGTTCCAGGAACGAATGGGTGAAAAACGCAATGGCAATCACAAATCAAGCCAACCTGCACGCGCGGAGCCAAGTGCGGTTGTTGAAGAGGTTATCGAGGTGTCAGAGCAGGCAGAGGAGAAAATCGAGCGCCGAACAAGAGAATTCGACGAATCCTACGAAATTGATCGTGATTCCAAAAGACGCGACAAAGCTGGAAGCCGGCGCGGAGATGTTTCTAGCTCATCTCGTGGGATGAAAAAGTCTGCGTCACAGAAGAGATGGGAGGACGAGAATGAGGAATGGGATGCGAGGGGTGCTCGACGAGCTGCTGAACGTCGCCAACAAAAAGCCAAGGACAAGGCGCAAAGAAAAGCGTTGGCGAGTGCTGCTGCAACCCAGACCATCTTTTTGCCCGAGTTTATCAGTATCTCTAATTTAGGCATGGCGCTCAAGATGAAGCCGCAGGCTTTTCTCACATCTTTGGCAGAGATGGGATTTGAGGACATCACCGAAGACAGCATCATGACTGGAGAAACAGCATCTTTGGTTGCGATGGAATTTGGTTTCGAGCCAACGGTCGACAGTGGTGGTGTTCGGGATTTGAGACCTAGGCCACCTCCCGATGACGTATCAAGCGTGCCATCTCGACCTCCTGTTGTTACAATCATGGGCCACGTCGACCATGGCAAGACGACCTTGCTTGATTATCTGAGGAAGTCCTCCGTTGCAGCTCAGGAACACGGCGGCATCACACAACACATTGGTGCTTTCATGGTCAAGATGTCTTCTGGGAAACTCATCACCTTCCTTGATACGCCTGGCCACGCTGCATTTTTGACTATGCGACAACGTGGTGCAAATGTCACTGACATTGTGGTCTTGGTCGTGGCAGCTGATGACAGTGTCAAGCCGCAGACTTTGGAGGCTTTGAAGCATGCTAGGGCAGCGAAGGTGCCAATTATTGTGGCCATCAACAAGGTCGACAAGGAAGATGCCCGACCTGATCAGGTGAAAGCCGATCTTGCTCGTCATGGTGTTGAAATCGAGGACTTTGGTGGCGACGTTCAAGTCGTTTGTGTAAGCGGTAAAACTGGTCAAGGCATGGATGAACTCGAAGAGAACATTGGCGCCCTTGCAGAGATCCAGGATGTGCGTGCTGAAGATGACGGTATGGCCGAAGCTTGGGTGCTCGAGGCTAGTGTGAAGCCATACGGCAAGTCTGCCAATATCCTCGTTAAACGCGGCACTTTACGCCCCGGCGACCACATCGTCGCCGGAACCACATGGGCCAGAATCCGAATTTTGCGGAATGAGGCAGGTCAGGAGCTGACTGAGGCACCCCCTGGCACACCTGTTGAAGTTCTCGGGTGGAGAGAAGAACTTCCAGCTGCCGGAGACGAAATTCTTCAGGCCCCGGACGAGGACCGGGCGAGAACTGCCGTTGATTATCGTGAAGAAATGCGCGAACGGGAGATATCTTCCAAGCAGTTGGCGGAGCAGGAGCAAAGGGAACGTGAAGCCAAGGCGGCCGTTGAGACGAATGAGGACGAAGGCGAGGAAGGCCCTAGCATGAAAACTGTTAACTTTACCGTCCGAGGTGACGTCGTGGGGTCGGTGGAAGCAGTTTGTACGACGATCAACGAAATCGGAAACAACGAAGTCAAGTCCCGTATCCTTTGGTCCTCGGCCGGTCAAGTTTCTGAGACGGATGTTGAACATGCAGCGGCGTCAAATAGCGTCATTGTCAACTTCAACAGCACGGTCCCCGGTCATATCAAATCTTTGGCTGAAGAGAAGGGCGTCAGGCTCATTGATCACACAGTAATCTATCATCTAGCAGATGAAGTCAAGCAGGTGATGTCAGAAAGCTTAGCACCCAAAATTTCTCAAAAGGTGATGGGCGAGGCTGAGATTCTCCAAATCTTCCCTATCAACATTAAGGGACGGTCATACAAGAACATTGCTGGATGTAGAGTCAGAAACGGTTTGGTATCTCGGTCGACCAACGTGCGTGTTATTCGAAAGGGAGAGAAAGTCTTTGATGGTAAACCAAATCCTAACATTCCGAATCTCAACCCTTAAGACTAACGTTACCTTTAGGCAAAATTGAGACTCTCAAGCACGGAAAGAAGGACGTAGCCGAGATCAGAAAAGGTTCCGAATGCGGTATTTCCTTTGATGGGTTCACTGATTTCATGGTTGGTGACCAAATTCAAACCTATGAAGAGGTTAGGGAAAAGAGAAACTTGTAAAATTAAGGGAAATTTGAGACTCTGTGTAAGATAAATATGTGCAAATAGGAGATAGAATTAGGCGGAGATAATGAGCCTCCAATGGCTTGTTAGCTGGCGGATAGACAAGAGCACGTTTGCATAGAAACAGCTCGTCACATTGTCACCATAAAATACTAGTTAATAATAGCAATTGCACCTCTTCTATTCATGTGCCGCTAAAACTTTTCCTAATCATTACCACCGTTTCGGCGCAGAAACTATATTTGAGGAAAATGTCTTGTTGGTAACAGTTGACTGAGACCGCTCCTTTTCGAGCCTGTCCAAGCCAATCTTGTCCGTGACTGGAGTTGCATTGATAATGTTGTCAAATTCATCGTCGTCCTCACCGTTGTCTGAATCTGGTTCGATATCTGAGTCCGGCTTCAGGGTCTGGGGTCGTGGTATCGACTCGGGTTTCTTTTTGTCTGCGGTCGTGGGATTTGCGAAAGTCTTTGATGCGAGTACTTTGCGACGGATCTCCTCCATGGCTGCGTCTTCATCGCTATCGTCTGATATCGCATAAGGGTCTTTGTCTTCTTCAGCATCCTCATGCTGATTTTTCGCAGGTTTCTTGCCAAGATAGATGCCGTCGATGCTATTATCATCTCCCGAATGTTCCCCGCCCTCTTCATCGTCATCCTCATCATCCTCGTCTTCATCTTCGTCTTCGTCAGAATCGGCCATAACTCTGCGGTTTGTGTTGCCTCCCTTCCACATGTCATTCGCGTCACCCTCTTCTCTGCTCTCTGCGTATTCTTTGTCCAACCTGTCCATCCACTCCTCCTGTACCTTCTTGATGCCCTTCTCATCCTCACAAGCGGCGTACTTCTTCAGAAGAGTTCCATTGATCTCCAAGAAAGCCTCTCCATATGAGAATGAAGAGAGAACCTGCTCTGCCCACTCAGGATGCCCGCATATATAGAACGCCGCAGCAAGCGCCTCGGCACAGTTCAAACGCCACGGCTTGCCGTAGTTGACTGTATTAGCCGCGACAAGATATGGCAACAAACGCTCGCACTTGCCGCCAACCTTCCCCCACTGGATCTCCTGCATGCGTGCCCAACTGCATTCAACAACGGCGGCGCCGTATTGTTCCATGAGTTCGCGATCGGCTGGTGATACGGTATGTTTTCCGTTAGGGGTAATGATTACGCCGTTATGGCGTTGGCCGACGTGGAGGTCACGCATCATGCCCAAGCGAATGAGCTTCTTGCCGGAGCATCGCTTGGGGTCGCAGTGGCCGAGATCCCAGCAGGCGGCCTTGAACGAAGGGCGGGAGGCGGGGCGGCCGCCCTCGGGGTCGTCGCCTTGAGGCTGCCGCTGGCGTGGCGGGCCTGAGTGATGGTTCTTGCGACCGCGCGAGCCAAAATTGTCTTTCTTGTGTCGGACCATATTTGGACTGTTGAGAGGGTAGTATGTATAGTAGGAACCAAATATTTTCGTGTAGTTCACAGTCCCCTGCGAAGGCAGTTTGGCGGGGTAGTGGGGGGCAAAACGAAGGCCTAAGCCGTAAAATTCGATAAAGAACTGATGGAATTTTGGTTATGCAATTAGACGCCACCGTCTCCAATTAAGGCTAGGAAATCCACAGCAAAGCACAGGCCACTTTCTTGGAGTCGAAGTGGCTCCAGTGTCCTGGCGGTTGTCACCCCGTATGTAGCCCCTCGTCATTCGGCCACAGATGCCTTCGCTGTTTACCCAAGGGTTTGAGAGGGATGCCTGCGCCGACCTAATCCAATCTGTCCAATTTGAAGGTGCTTGCTCGGCTAGCTCTTGATTCCAACGGCCAATCCTCTCCAATGCTCTTTGCGCCTTGAGTATCTTGAGGACGACGACGAGAAAACCCTCCATCCAACATAGCTCCCTTACCACATCGCCCGAGGCCGCACCCGAACTCGACGATGGAGGCCGCATCAGCTCGAGCTGCCACCCGGGATCGCTGGGGCGAGATGGGACATCCGACGCCATCGCAGCTCCAGCGCTTCATCCAGGCCGCTTGTAGTCCCGAGAATTACGAGCCGAATCTTGCCCTGAACCTGGAGATTTCCGATTTAATCAATTCCAAGAAAGGCACCGCCCCGCGCGAGGCTGCTGTCGCCATCGTTAGCTACATCAACCACCGCAATCCCAACGTGGCCCTTTTGGCTCTCAACCTACTCGACATCTGCGTCAAGAACTGCGGCTATCCTTTCCACTTGCAGATCAGCACCAAGGAATTTCTAAATGAGCTTGTCAGAAGGTTCCCCGAGCGACCGCCGATACGGGCGACGAGGGTGCAGATGAAGATCCTGGAGGCCATAGAGGAGTGGAGGAGTACGATATGCGAGACAAGCAGATACAAGGAAGACCTGGGTTTTATCAGAGACATGCATCGTCTCTTGAGCTATAAGGGGTATACTTTCCCTGAAGTCAGGCGCGACGACGCTGCGGTGTTGAACCCCAGCGATGTAAGTATCTTTCGTGTCAATAGACACTCGGCTTGTGCTGACTGATGTAGAACCTAAAATCCGCTGAGGAAATGGAGGAAGAGGAACGCGAGGCGCAATCAGCCAAGCTACAGGAGCTTATTCGACGAGGCACACCTGAGGACTTGCAGGAAGCTAACAGGCTGATGAAAATCATGGCTGGCTTTGACACTCGCTCCAAGACCGACTACCGCGCTAAAGCCGCCCAAGAAGTCTCAAAGATCCAGGCCAAGGCACGTCTTCTGGAAGAGAGACTTGAGGCTTTCCAACAAGGGGACACGATGAAGGATGGAGATGTCTTCTCAGAGCTCGCCGCCGCTCTTCAGAGTGCACAGCCTAAGATCCAGAAGATGTGCGAGGAAGAATCAGACGATCATGAAGCCGTTGCAAAGCTGTTGGAGATCAACGACAGCATACACCGAACTGTCGAGCGTTATAAGCTTATGAAGAAGGGCGACCTGGAAGCAGCGAAGAAGGTGGCTAGTGGCGCACCGCTACCATCAACTTCGAACACTTCCTCCTCCAAGAGCGCAGCACAAGAGCTGTCATTGATTGACTTTGACGGTGAAGTGGATGCTACGAATGGTTCTGCCTCGGCGCAACCAGCCTCACAGTCTACTAGCATTGAGAATGACCTGCTCGGGCTGTCTATGGAGGACTCTACCAGCTACGGCCAAGGGGGGGCGTTAACGCTTGGTTTTGGAGCGAATACGAGTAAGTTGATTAGAAATTGCAGGTTATGTACCATGCTGACAAGGCATAGGCGTCCCAGGTCCTGCTTTACTCTCCTCCATGACGGAGAACAACAGCGCAAAAGGCCCGATGAGCAACTCTACGACGCCTCAGCCACCATCCTTTTCTCAGTTTGCTTCCTTTACGTCCCCTTCTGCATCCCAGACTGGCACACCTCAACCGTCTGTAATGTCTGCATTCAAGCCGCCTCAGCAAGCCACGGCCCCATCAGCTGATCCTTTTGCTGCTCTCGGATCCCCTGCCTTTTCTTCCAAACCTTCAACTCCAGCCCCTCAGCCGGCTTCGACCATGCCGGCTGCGAATGATGATGATGAATGGTCATTCTCATCGGCACTGCCCCCTGACCAACCCAGTCTCCCCAAGGAACATAGGGCAACTGTCAGCGAGTCGACTGTGAAGATCGAGATGATGGCTGGAAGAACTGGAGCTGGTAACTCCCTTAATTTTAGCTTTGCCTTTTCCAACAACTCTGCTCAACCTGTGACCGAGCTTCACTTCCAGCTCGCTGCTACAAAGGTTAGTTATTCCCAAGCACGAGACCAACGTGAGTACTAATACAATGCAGGGCTACGATCTTCAGCTTAAGCCCCAGACCGGGCGTGCCTTAGAACCTAAGCAGAGCAGAGGTGTGACTCAAGCTGCAGAGGTGTGGCATGCCGGAGACAAGAACCGCAAGGTGCAGTCCATCAAGCTGCGGTGGAGAGTATCGTACAAAGTAGGAGCGGAACAGAAGAATGAGATGGGCGAGATCCAAGAGTTCAGTATCGCATGATAGGATGAGGCTCTCGATGGCCGAGAAGAGGTGTTTTTTTTTCTTTTTCGGAAGAAGCAGATCTGACGTTGGGCGACACAGTTGGAGCTGTGAAAAGGTGACATAGAATTTAGTGTATTCAAAGAAACTGGGGATACGGCAGTACGCCTCTTCGTCAGTCATTTCAATGCAGTTTGCGCCATTTTACATGTGCATCTTCTCTGAGGCATAGGTTATGTCACGAGCAGGATGTAGCGAGACGCTCAACAAGTAGCAGTACCGAAAACAATTCCCTAGTTAAGGTATCATACATCTAAGGTGTGGTAGGCTTCTCCTTTATCAAACACTTCCCTATAAATTGCTACTATGAACTTTGGACAATCAACACGACACTAACAATCATTAGATGTTACAGCCAATGGGAAGATTGATGTACAACTACCGAGTCGTGGTCTCTTTTCGTGGGCGATGGTCCTGCGTATCTATAGGTGCTATTGTGAAAGGGGGTGAAAAAAACCGAGTCTGGCTGTGACTGCCGTTATGCATAAAATTAAAACCTGTACTTTTATGCCATTCTTAAAGGCTTTAGTTATTGAAATTGGACGGAGAAAATGAATTGAGAAGTGTTTCCATTGTTTTCAGCTAGCGACAAAGTGTAAAACCACGTCTTAGTCGCAGCAAACTCAGTGTTGTTTATAGTTGCTATAACGGTAAACTGTGACGGCGACGGAAGGAGAGACCGAACCGAGTATAGAGGCTTAGAATGGCCTGTGCAGCGATCCGGTCCACGGGGCGGGCGTGGGTCCTCGTCGAGCGTTGAAGTACCCTATGCCGCGTCCGGTACGGAATGAACTAGGAGCTTCAGGCAATCTTTTCCCCATTTCCGCAATCTGGTGTTGTGATCAGGCCAAGACTCTTCAACGAGGTATTGAACCCTGTGGCATAAACCAGTACAACATTGGGGCATTCGAAACTGATTTGAAGCTTCAGCTCAAGCAGTTTGCTTCAGGTGTGCGGCACGAGAAGCCCATCAACCTAAACCGGACCAAACTACCTCCGCTTACCCAGGCCACCGAAAACGTCGCGATGGGGTCCGACGACGAGCACCGCAGCCATAAGCCACGGCGCAGTCGCTATGACGACGACGATGACGAGAGGCTTCGCAGAGACACAAAGGACATGGAGAGCCATCGGCGCAGACGCAGTGGAGACAGGGACGGAGGCCGCGACTCGGACAGACGCAGGGAAAGACGGAGGTCACGATCACGAGACAGGCACGAAAGGCGACGCTCACGCACACCAGAATCATCAGCGCGCAGACGCTCCCGCTCACGAGACCGCGATCGCGAAAGACGCAGACGAAGATCCCCCCACAACGACGACCGAGGCCGCAGCAGCGGGAAAGAGCTCTCCCGCCGGCGCCACCATGACCATCCCGACCCTGAATCGGGCACAGAAAGCTCCAACAAGCGCAGAACTGCCAGCCCTCTACGTCGCTTAGGGCCGCTACCTTCCCAAGGCGACTCCTTTGCTGTTTCCAAGGGCGAAGAGCCCGAGAAACCCAAAGAGAAGCCAAATCTGCGTAACTCTGGCGCCCTGGCGGCGGCATCGAACTCGGTGCAGCAGGCAGACGGCACATCGATCGTTCTGAAATATCACGAGCCTGCTGAGGCGCGGAAGCCACCTGCTAAGGACCAATGGAAGCTCTTTGTGTTCAAGGGAGCTGATATCGTCGATACGATTGATCTGGGGTTGCGGAGCTGCTGGCTCATCGGTCGTGAGGCCGCGGTCGTGGATCTTATGGCGGAACATCCCAGCATAAGCAAGCAGCACGCCGTCATCCAGTTTCGGCACGTGGAAAAGCGCAACGAGTTTGGAGATCGCATCGGAAAGGTCAAGCCTTACCTGATTGACCTCGAGAGCGCCAACGGAACGATACTCAACGGGGATAAGGTTGCAGACAGTCGATACTATGAGCTACGGGATAAGGATATGATCAAGCTGGGACATAGCACGAGGGAGTACGTGCTCATGCTGGCGCCCAAGGATTGAGGGGCGTCTCCGGGTTAATGGGCGAAATGGCGATGCTACTATATGCTAACGGGCTACCTCGCGAGCCTTGTTGACCATCTATGGCAGGACACATGAGGAAGTTAGCGAGCGTCTGCGCACATGAATGGGGGGCCTTCCACGTGGATCAGAGGGAAAGAGACCATTTGGACAGGATGAACCGAGCGGCCCAAGAGGTCTGGCGTGGTTGTATTACCCCGGAATGATTAGAGGCTGCATGCAGTAGCGATGAGGACAACTGTCATGAAGATGGCTGCTAGACTGAGACGGTATCGATTTTTGTGCATTGACATGAATAAATGCATTACCAGTATTCTATAAGAAAGAAATGGAACAACAAATAATCTTGCACCGCTTTTCCAAACCATGACAATGCTGTATCCCTATCAAACCAACAACAAAGGCGTATGTAAGTCATTGCTCCCAACATGGGCACCTGGAACGCAGTACTACTCTATCCCGACATAATTCCCAGACCGACAGGCTCCGTACTAGGAGGGGATTCCGCTCCATCACCGCCAGCTCTCATCACTCGCGAAGAGTTGACCGCTTCAACAGCCCTTCGCTCCAGTCGATTCCAATCGTCCTGCACTCGACGACCGGCTTCGTCAATGTCAACGGGCACATCGCCAAACGCGATGATCCTACCATCTCCGACGCGTATTCCTCCCGAGCCAGATCGGGCCATGTTCTCACCGCCAGCGCTGATCTGAGAGCTGGTTCCGTAGTTTGCCAAGTCCGGGCTTCCTTCGGGTGCTTCAAAGCTTGGGATTTGCGCAGTGGGCAACCAGCGAGCAGCTGACATGCTGCTGCTTCCAAAGAGGGAGTCGCCACGGCGCCGGCTGTTTCGCGGTGACCATGCTTGGTATGAAGTTTGATGTATATCGAAAGGCTGAAGCCGGGGTGAGGGCTCTGTCTCGACAAGAGAGGGTGCTCGTGGGCGAGTAAGACCTGCTCTGAGTTGGCCGCTGTTACTGCTACGCGGAGTGCCCGATGACCCCGTCATGCTTGCAACAGGCGGGTTTGAGCTCGGGTTTCTTGACATCGGTTGTGATGTGTATCCATCTGGAGGCCGGGAGAAAACCGGACTTATAGGGGCGGTAGTTGCAGGCGACAAGACATTCACGGCCGGATGCCGGGGGTTTGTTTCCGACCATGAAAGCACATCATCATAGCTTCCATTCGGACAGTACCCATAGCTCGACTGAGAAGGTACGTTTTGCTGCTCGGTAAGTTCTTGCCGCAAGCTACTTTTAGTGTTGGTGACAGTTTGTAGGCCAGGAGGGTAAAAAGGAGAGTATTGCACCCCAGGGCTTGAGTTGGCAGTCCTCGCAACCCCTTGATATGTTGTTGGTGGGAATTCAGCTGGCTGTGACACGGGTGATTGCGACTTCAATGACTCCATTGATTGCTTGGTCATTGTCTTTCCAGTGTCACTTGCCTCAAGACGCTTTGGTTCACTAGCAGGCCGCCTAAGACGCTGCAGGAGTGAAGCGACATAAGACGGCGGCGGGGTTGCTTGGATTGTCTGATTATGCTGGTTGGGTAATGGTTCATTGGCTTTCATGTCGTTCGGGCCGCTGATCGTCGTATGTGGTTGGTTTTCTCTTATTCTTTGCCAAAAGGAAGGAGCCTTTGTGTCTATCGTCCGTAAACTGTTGACTGACAAGGCATCACAGGTAGCTTTCCGATCAATGGTTCCCGCCCTGGATGGAGGGCTCGAAAATGTTGGGCTAGCAAGCATCTCATCTTCAATTGCGGTTCCTGACAAAACGTCGGCGTAACTTGACCTCCCTAGTGTTGGCCACGGCCGTGCGGCTGTGGCAGTACCTGCGCTAGAGCTCCTGCCCTTGTCTTGTATATATCCACCACCTCGTGGTGGAGGAGGCGACACCTGTTTGATGTGGAGGAGCTCGAGCTCGGCATCACTTCTGGCGGAGATCCTCGAGCGACTTGGGGATCGTCCTCCTCTAGAATATCTAGGCAAAGACATCAGGCCGCGAGCAGACTCACGACTGATGCTAACGCGTGGGTCGTTGGCTCCATTCGCTGTTTGCCTCCAGGCTCCACCATGGTCATGGTAACGCCTTTGTTCCATCTTCTTTATAGACCGATGTTTAGAAACAACAGTCCAACCTGGGTCCTCAGCTTCCGAGTATGTTCCAACGACTGTATCTGGAGGATACGGGGTGACTGTGCGGTCATCAGAGGGTTCTCCAACGTGAGACCACTGACTTTCAGAAATGGGCGGGTACGGAACATGGAAATGATGCGGGTTTTCGTAACTGATGGGTGATTCGTACTGAACATAGTTTTCTTCGAGCCCAAGCCCACGATATGGACGATTGGCTTTGCTCGATGTATTAGTGGATTGTGACGACATGCTGTTGGTGCGCTCGAATACCGAAGAGTGTTGCCTCATCTCCCTACCGTCAACTATGCTTGTCGATATGGCCCTTTGTAATTCGTCAATTTCTCTAGAAAGTCTCGACAGACGGGCTTCTAGATCTTCCCTTGCTGCGGTGAGTTCTGCAACGTTGCCTCTGGAGGTTTCCTTCGGCTTGTAATAACGGTCCAGATGCTCAATTAGTTTCCTTCCATGGATTGTGTATCTCCTATAGTCATCAGGCAGCCCGGTTGATGGGTCCTTCTTCATCCTTGAGTCCGCTTCGTCAAACGAAAGGCAAAAGACGCGGATTGCCCTTTCTAGCCAGAATATCAATTGTTTCTCTTCGGCCAGAAGCTCGATGAAGAAGGCCTGAACAATGCTGTGGATCCGGAGGATGTCTAATGGCTCTGCATTAACATCGATGCTTTTGTCGGAGCTTCGAGAGCTAGAAGACGGTATATCGTCCATCTCATTCCTCTCAATAAGCGCAAACTTGATGAGGATAACGAAAGTCTTGTTCAGGCTTCTCTTTTTCCCGTTAACCTCTGTCTTGACAGGAGTGCGCTTGTCCAGAGCCTTCATACCAAGTGCCAACATCTCCACAGGCACCAATTGGCTAAAAAAAGAGAGAATATAAATGAGATTTAGTGCAGAAGTGTCGCCACGATCTTGGAGCTGGTCGCGGATTTTCTTATAAGCAGGCAGCATGCCGACCCTTGGCTTATCTTGAAAGGACTTGAGATATTTCGCGAGTGGCTCTCTGGTAGCGTTCATTTGCTGCGCGGCGGCATGGATCATCAATGGAAGACGGTCCATCAACTGTACCAGTTCCAAGGCCCGTCTCAAGTCATCTGTCGTGTATGGCTTCTTCTTTCCCATTTCCTCGAGAAGCAGTTCCTGCGCGTCTTGAGCTGGAAGCATGCCGAGCTCCATGACGCTCGGGTTGTCTAGGAGGTAGCTCCCTGCAACAGCTCGCTCCGTTGACGTAAAAATAAGGCTGCTGTTCTTGCTATCAGGGATGAAGTCCCCCACATCTGGGCTATCGAAACGAATGCCGTCAAGGACCAGCAGCCAACCTTCAAAATCATTAAACCAGTTGCGCACTATTTCCACCATCTTTCGTGGATTAGACAGATCATTATTTTTCTCCTGGCCAACCATCTCTCTGATGGCTTCGGTCTTAGCAATCTGCCAAAAGCCGTTCTCCATGTCTTGTAGGGTTGTAGATCTGATCCAGTAAATGCCCCCAGGGTAGTGTTGTTTGTGACTGAAGACATACTGCCGGGCCAGATGTGTTTTCCCTGCTCCAGGGATTCCCTGGATTAAAACCGCAGATGTACCTTCTAGTCGCCTATTTCTGTCTACGAGCATCCGATGTAGGTCCTCCAATTCTTCCTCGCGTCCCTTGAAAAACGAGTTAGGACGAAAGCGTTCAGGATGAACAAACGGAGGTTCCCGCTGCGAGGTTGAACCCTGGAGAGTCCCGGATTGAGAAGGGGATATAGTAGTACTGGCAGCGCCTGAGGGCAAAGTCTGATAGAGGCCAGTTGTGCCGAAATCTCCAATCAAGTTAGACATATGTTTAAACATAAGATCTTTGAGCATAATCTTACCAGAAGAAAACGCCTCCACTGGATTATTCTGATCGTTAGGTTAGCATCAGAACGGAAAACTGTTTACAAGGAAACGAACAACCTCTGTTCCTGTGACTGTGGGAGGAGGAAAAATAACAGAAAGTAGGGCCAGAAGAAGATAGCCAACTTACAGATTCACGTGCTCTTTCTGCAGATTCATAGTGAGCTCTGGCTTTTCTCTCCTCTAATTCGATTTCCCACCGAGTTTGAATAACTGATGGGGCCTCCTCGACCCATTGGCGGATGGCAAATGACACATTTCTGTATCCAGGTGCATTGATGCCGTCAAATTTGCACATGCCGGAATGAGTGGCTTCGATACCGTAGGATATTACACCAGGCAACTGTGGGCTAGCCGAAGTTGCATCGACTACTATCACTCTGCAATATTTCTGTCAACACTGCGCTGTGAAGACCACTACTAGAATGACTGAAGCTGTACTTGCCTTGTACCCCTGATATCAGTTTTGTGACTTTCGTGAGCCATATGAATTTTAAATCGTTGATAAACATCGAGAAAATTGCTATTTATGCTTTGCAAGATTTCGTTGTCTCTTCTCAAAGCCCTGAGGAGAATAGATTCGCCCTCAAACATCCTCCGAGGTATGATGGCGTCAGACATGTTTTGCAAGACGAGGCTCCATGTTGCCGCGCCGGATCCGGTATGAGGAGTCCCTAAAAATATGACGCCGTAGGTGGAAATGAAGATGGACCTCGCATCCTCAAAGCTCCTGTCTTTGATGTCGTTGGAATACAGGAGAGAGCGTTTAATGAGAAGGCCACCCAGACCATGTGCTACCCATATGATTGGGTTATAGAACGTGCCCTCACTTTTGCGGTAGAGAGTCAAATTGGTGACAAGAGTTTGAGCATGTTGGTATATGAAGTTATCGCTGGCGCTTCGATCATTCCTGCTAGAGTAGACATCTGCGTTGTAGCCGTAAACTAGAATATTTGCGCGGACGCTCCTCAGTGACAGCGGAAGGAGATCCGTAGGCCAAAAGACATTATTTTGGGCAGTCCATGTCGATTTAGGCGTACCATTGAGCCCGTGAACTAAGACGATATCGACTTTGGCGTCAGGATGGGTGAAGACGGCAGTGATTTCGTAGCGCGATACTTGATTATTGATAGACCCCTACATAGCGCATTAGATATCAAGGGAGTAGAGATCTTGATAATGGGATTGGCGCTGCAGAAGATGAGAGTTCGACTTATACAAGCCATGACAGATCAGGAGGAATGTATGCGCGGGCCGTTCCGGTGGACATCCGTAAGCAGCATCAGTGGCAGCGGGGGTGGGCATTGATAAGAAATGTCGACTCACCATGCTTGCTTGCTCGGGCCCCGAGTAGCGGCAGGGGACTTTGGGGGCTGGATAATCTTTTATTGCCACTACTGCAGCTTATGCCTCGTTTAAACCGGAGCTTTTATCCGATATTTGTGTCGAACAAGAGTAAAACATGAAGGAGGCAGAGGGCCTTGCATGAGCGTCCTTATAACGACCAGGTGCTTTCCCACCAGCTCAGATACTAGTCTTGAAAGAAAGTTCTCAGAAGAATCCGCGACTCGGGAGCCAAGATGAGGCGGCTCGATTATGCGCGTCAGGAAGGGCCAATAGGGCTTGCTGCCTAGCGTTTGCTGTCTCGTGGCCCTTTCGTCTTTAGCCCTTTTTCGCCCAGCTCGTTCGTTTTCCGCCTTGAGTCGAGGGGTGTGAGAGCAAAGAGACAGTATGTATGGTGTACGTGTGTGGATGTATATTTGGATGATGAATTGTGGCACACCGGGCGTCCTGCCCATGTAGAAGCGGAGCCGAAAATGCCAGCTTCGCCGTTTAAAGCTGAAAGTGAAGAGAGCATCACGAGTCTCAGCACCGAACTGAAGCGGCGACTGGAAGAGCCAGATCAGGCTGGGGATGCTCCAGGGGGCTACGCGCAGTATCATCCAATGAAGAATGAGACTTTTGAGCGAGGAGGTGCAAAGATTTGTGGCGCTTACGGGCTTTGCAATGCAGGTGAGGAGTGACTTGGGGGTTCCCCTAATGGGAGCCACAACGGGAAACCTGCTTGAGTTGCAGCGCATCTGCACGGCACATCAGCTGCAAGTGCGAGAGACCACTATCCTCCACTAACGATGCAACAATGCCTCAAATGCCTTCCATTCTTAGATGCAACTCTCTGCGGCATTCTGGCTTTTTCCTCTGCGTTGGTTGTATCGAGAGACATTCGGCAAAGCGAGAGAGAGTGTGTATATATGTGTCAGATGTCTTACACCCCTCCTTTCTCCCAGAGAGTGGGCTGGACAAGAAATACAAAGCTACTTGAGGAGGAGAGAGAGAGAGAGAAAAAAAAAAAAAAAAAAAAAAAAAAAAAAAAAAAAACCCGCTAACGGCCTGCCGTGTCAAATCATTAAACGACGACGCCACCGGGCTGTCTTGTATCCGTCTTTCTCAGTAGTCTCACAGCTGGCTCCCCAACCCTTGACCAGCTTTGATGTCGCTTCTTCTGCGTTCTCTCACGTACATACTTTCGTCATGAGATGACAGCTCAAGGATGAGACTTGATGAACACGTAAACTTCTGCAGTCCCTCAGTGCTCCCTTTACGGCCGGTGAGCAGGTATTAAAGTGACAGCAATACAAAAATACCCTGCCAGCAGGGCGAGCAACTTTTCTCATGAGCACCGCCTGGTTGCTTCGGTCAAGAATCGGGGAGTGGAAGACAGATGACGCACGTGGGTGAAATGCGACATTAAAACGCCCCAGGCTACGACGTGAGAACATATTGTTGACTCATCCAAATTGATTGAACATTTGCGCAGCTAGAATATGAGATGTAGAAAACCAGAAGAAAAGGAGGGGGGAAGAGACCTGGTGTCGCCTCTATGCGAGGTTAGGATGAAGAGATGCATGCCTAGTAAGCACATCAAGTGGCAGAAATGCTGAAGTGGCCAGCTCTGACAAGATGGCGCCGTGCTTCAGACGCAGGCCATCTTTCTACAATGTCTTCCGATCAGCAGTGTACAAGATTAAATGTGGAAGAGGCGCAAGCTTTAGAACCCCGGAGTAGGCGGGGAATCCCGGCACATGCAACGCTGGCGCGCACTAAGGCGGGAGGGAGCTCAACTGAAGCGCCTCTTGGCAACAATACGTTCAACAAGGATGCGCCTCTTTATTTGACATCTTGACGACATCTATCGACCTTGTCTTTTTTTTTTCCTCCATCAAGACACCAAAATGCTAAATTTCTTGCTCGCCACAAGCTCTGCCTGGACCCGATCCTTATGGTGGCTGTCAGGGCACCCGAAATCACGGCGAGAGATATCCCAGGTGACCTTGACGGCCAATATTTCCCCCCCTCTTCATTGCTCTGTCACACCGCATTCACTTTAAAGGTCTGCAAAATCAAGCTGTAGTGCTTTAAGCCGACTCGTCGGGCAAAGTGCTGTCGAGGCTGAGATTTTTCTTCAGCATACATTTGGAGACGAGGGGAGGGTGTGCATTCGCACAAGGCGCAGCATAGCCTCAGTTCAAGGTAAGGCAAACTTATAATAGGCAACATTGTACACAGTTATAGCTCCTATGCTAGCACCTAGCTATCCGTCAATTGTGCCTTCCTTTTCGTTTCTATACTAGTTGGCTAGCCCAGGATTGATAAAATGGTCTTGTAAAACAGAAGGTCCATATAAAACCAAGGTAGCTGTGACCAGTGCACATGCGTGTTCAGACTTGTTACGTCCGAGCTGAGTGAAGCAAGTAACGATGGCGTTCTGATTCATCATCGTTCAGTACCTCTTTAGTCAGCTCGGCTAGTGCGCTCCCATCTTGTCAAAGTGTCACTTCGTTGGACAATGAAGTTAGAGGCGGAGCCTCAAACGTACAACACTGAGAGATATCGTTATTCGGTCATGGTTGAAATTTTCCGTTTTTACATTTGTTTCTACCTCTTTTAAATTATTGGGAGCTTCGAACTCAAAGGTCTCTCGTACAAACCGTATCTTTTGCAGCTCTGTCCTATGCAATTATGCGAACATATCAACACGTGGACATCAACACGATATTTTCACGTTCCACGGAGGCTGCAAACTTTCATGTACCACCCCTAGTAACCTCATAGGCGACCTTACCTGTTACTAGTCTTTTTTCCCCGGGCCAGGCTCCAAGGATAACCACTTTAAACGCGCGAGTGTGCAGCGGTAGTGCAGTCCCAAGCCTCTTTCCGGGACCTTTGGTTTGTTTGCCATCTTACCACTAATACCTTTTTCAACTTTACAAACTCCATCCTGCAAAGTACAACAACTTTTGAATCATCTTCATGAGGGCTAGATAAGCACTTCGTCTGGTCCTTTTAATGATTCTTTTCATGGGGCTTGCTTTTGTGGTAACTCAACGCAACTCTATTTCTTACTGGCCGACCCGCCTTCTCTTGCATGTCCTCCCACTTGTGCTGTTTGGCTTACCAAAACTCACCGGGATAAGACTGAGCAACAGGTGATACAAGGGCAGATCAGCAGTCTTCTCGTGCAAAATGGTTAGAATAAGTGTTGCCAGAGGCTAGGTTCCGCACGCCTCCAATCAATACCAGGGCGGACACCGAAGTTGCAGATGCCCTTTTTGTGAGAGAGTTATTGTACGGCCCAGGTGACACTGGCTTTCAGCCTCTTGGACGAGCTGGCAGCAGCCAGTTATCGGCTAGGACTGGAGGCAGTCAAGGTGTTGTTGATGTGAGAAGGGAGGCCACAAAAGCGGCTAGACTTGGTTCAAGCGCCAACGTATACAAAAGTACAGCCGCCATTGTGACAGCTATTTTAATATGAAATTGCACTTGTTAGTTACGCCCAATGCGGAAGTAAGCCTACAGATAATCGGTGCTTTGGTAATAAATATACATGAACGACTTGAGTATTGATGCGATACTCTTCTTCAGATGGAAAAAGACAGTAATCCATCCGGCACATGAAACAGCCCATGAAGTTAACCATCATTTCTTAGGCAAAATTTGACGCAGGTATTGTGTTTGTGTAACAAAATTGAAGTATAAAGATGTACGTAGGCAAGAGTATATGGCATCACAAACAACACATACGGACAATGCCTTGTAGTCGAATAGGCATGGCGATAACAAAGCAGCTGTGCAAGCGAGACTCAATCATTGGTGCGCCTACTATGGAAGTGACATTCCCCAATACATTTGTCACAGTGTCACATTTTTGTTTCCTTGAAGAGGCAAGGAAACTTAAACTTGGTGAAGCGAACAGTCTGGTGAGCTGTACGTCCACATGTTGCATTTCATATACTCGGCCACACTGCACAAGAGGAACAATAAGAACGAGACTTGAAGTCAATGAAGTGATGCCATTGATCTGTCGACCGCGTTGAAGCAGTCTTAACCCTAAAAGTGTCGAGGTCGAGAACGCCACCCCAACTCCCGCCCCTCCAAAGATTTTTATTTTACCCTCCCGGTACTTTGTTTTCCGCTTTAAAGATTGAAACGCCTGAAGAAAATGCATGCAGTGTTGAAAACACCTTCCCTTTCATGAGCCATGTTAAATGTCATGCGTGGGTTGCCCCGCGCTTATCCCTAGTGAACCATTTTGTTGAACTGGGCATGTAAGCCCAATGTGGTATCAATCCAATCCTCCCTTATTCCATCATACCGCCCCCTTACATGAGCGGTGAAAGCCTACAATTTGCTGAACATCGTTTAGATGCCAGCATCGACACGCCAGCCCTCAACAGGGAGGGGGAAGCCGGAGCTCCAAGCGGCGATCTCCTTACGGAGGTCGTTGATCTTGGCAACCTGGCCGCTAGCGACCTGGGCCTTGAAGTCCTTAAGCTTGTTGGCCTCCTTGGGCAAGCTAGCCTGGACCTCCTTGCAAATCTTGATGCTCTCGTCGATGTAGGTACCGACGCGCTCGAAGTCCTGCTCGCCGAAGCCACGAGAAGTCATGGCAGGGGTACCGATACGGATACCGCAGGGGGTAAGAGCGCTCTTGTCGCCGGGAATAGAGTTCTTGTTGCAGGCAATGTTGATCTGCTCAAGGACGGCCTCAACGCGGGCACCGTCCAGGTTGTGCTGGCGGAGGTCAAGGAGAACCATGTGAGAGTCAGTGCCGTTGGCAACGAGCTTGTGTCCGAGAGCCTTGAACTTGTTCTCAAGGGCCTTGGCGTTGTCAACAACCTTCTGCTGATACGCCTTGAAGTCGGGGCTGGCGGCCTGCTTCAGAGCAACAGCGAGGGCAGTGATGGTATGGTTGTGGGGACCACCCTGGTGACCAGGGAAGACGGAGAAGTTGATGGGGTTTTCGAGGTCGTAGAGAGTCTCCTTGCCAGTCTTGGCATCGACAGAGCGAACGCCCTTGCGGAAGAAGATCATGGCACCACGGGGGCCACGGAGGGACTTGTGAGTGGTGGTGGTAACAATGTCGGCGTGCTCGAAGGGGGAGGGGATAACGCCGGCAGCAATAAGACCAGAGATGTGGGCCATGTCGACAACAAGGTAGGCACCGACAGAGTCAGCGATCTTGCGCATGCGGGCGTAGTCGATCAGACGGCAGTAGGCAGAGGTGCCAGCAACGAGGACCTTGGGGCGGAAGAGAATGGCGTTCTTCTCAAGGGTGTCGTAGTCGATGATGCCAGTCTCAAGGTCGACACGGTAGGGCATGGTCTCGAAGTAGGTAGAGACGGCAGAAATCCTGCAAGCGACTAGTCAGTACAGAGGGTTCACCAGGGATACAACCCGTAGATACAAACTACTCACTTGCGCTGGGGAGTCTGGTAGCCGTGGGACAAGTGACCACCGTGGGGAAGGTCAAGACCCATGAGGCGGCCGTGGACAGGCATGATAGCCTGGTAGACCTGGAGGTTGGCGGGACTGCCGGACAAGCACTGAACGTTGACACCCCACTTGGCAGGGTCGAGGTTGAAGGCATGAAGAGCACGCTTCTGGCACAGGTTCTCAATCTGGTCGATGTGCTGGTTACCGCCATAGTATCTAGCGCCAGGGTAACCCTCGGAGTACTTGTTGGACATGGGAGAGCCAAGGGCATCGAAGACGGCACGAGAGGTGACGTTCTCAGAGGCAATGAGAATGATAGACTCGCGCTGGCGCTGAATCTCCTCCTTCATGATCTCAGCGACCTCAGGGTCGGAGTCAATCAGAGACTTCTCCAACATCTGTCGATGAGTCAGAATCAACGTTCTTTAAACATGGTGGGGTAGCAGAGCAGACTGACCTCCTTGTGGGAGACGGGGAGGGAGTATGTAGAGTCATTGGCAGCCATTGTGACTTGTGTTGTTGCGAGAGGTGCTTGGAAAAGGTGACGAAGAGAAAATTCACGCAAGCAATGGCAGTGAGGAGGTTGATGTAGAAGAGAAAGGAGAAGAAGAAGGCCAACAAGGTTGGGAAGGGAGGGTTAAAGCTAGAGAAAAAATTTGGGAAAATATCGGAGGGAGCAAAAAGTGAATGGCCGCATCCTCACCAGGCGGTGGGGTATGGCGGGGTGTGATTGGCGGGGTCGAGCTGGCGACGAGGTGCAAGTGAAAAAAAGGTGGCGTGCCCCTCAGCGGTCAGGGTCACTCAGCAGTGAGTCCCAGTAGCGGCTTGTGGGCTGGAAGAAACGCTAATGTTGTCCATCCCTCAACTCGCTCTAGTGGCGGGGTCTCCCTGCTCCGATTCTGGAACGGCGCCACGAGTCAACGAGAAACGGCCTCATTGGGAGGATGGGTTTGGGTTGTTTTGCGTCGCTCCCTCACCTAAGCTCACATCACCAGCCAGCCAATGACGAGACTTTTACCCAGTCGAAAGCAAGCACTACACAAGGTGACGTTGGCGACTACCTCAGTCTCTGCAATCAAAGTAAGTCGAGTAGGTGCTGTGTCTCCTTTCAAAATATCAGCTCACACATCAACAACGATCATGTGCCAATGGAGGGGATATGCCTATTAGGTATTCCTAAACATTACACATTTAGGGAATATAATTGCAGTCAATAAACGCGGACAGGATTCAAGCGAGACTTTTATTGCCATTATGAGGGCGGAAGAAACACCAGTCTTAACGTCGTCGTGGCGTACATCAGACCAACCATATTCTAATATGACCTGAGACGTTATGTGCGATGTCGGCGTGCGTGCAAGTCAGACGTTGCAAAGTCTGAGAGCTCATTTCATAGAGCGCCCTGATAGGTCACACGCAAAAAGAACCTAGGGATATGGATGCTGCGCAGCTATTGACAATAAAAGTCGACCATCTAGCCTGAAAAATGAGTTTTCCCTGTGGCATATCCTGTGGAAGGCGAAGGCGAAAGCAGTCGGGTTGACGACCTTCCACACAATGCGAAGCGCCCTTGGCTCCCTGAACCTGCCCGAGTTGCTGAAGGACGACGCTGAAGAAACCGCATTTTGGAAGGAACCAGATCCCCCGTCCAGCTTCTGCTGACTCATCTTCCTGCAACCCATCCACTCTGTCACCGTTGCACCAAGCTCCGACACTACCCAGTTTGACGGCCTCAGGTACCAAGGCGCCAAGGCCGTTCCCATTGCCAGGCCAGGCCAGGCACCCAGGCGCCTTAGCTCCCAGTCTCATCCGGATGTTCCAGCATTAAGGTATGGTCAGGCACTTTACGTGCTTACCTCAAGCTGTAAACAATGCCCACGACCTTGGGCAGAACATCGGACCCTCCTGACCTCATCAATCCACCCTGTTGCGTGATGTCAGCCAAACAATCGCAGTAGGCATTATACAGTAACCTCTAAATCCAAAGGATTATTGACAGACGATGTAAAACGGCGTCAGGTTGAGAGATGCAGGGACACGCGATCAGACACGCAAGCTCCGTCCTGGCTGCTTCATAGGCCCTGTGAGGACGAGTGTGAGTGTCACTGAGTGTGTGAGAGCTGTTAGGAGCTCCGCCTCGGGGTTTGTGCCTTGGGCAGCTCCGTCACTATCCTCGTTGCTCCCCCAGCCAGTTAAGTGGGTCTACCCAGGCGCCCCAGCTTTTGATAGGCAGATAAGATACTCGCGCCTATCGGGTGCTGCGTCATGGTGTGTGCGTGCCTTGCGGAGGCGAGTGGGCAGGTTGTCACGGGGGCGTACCCGAGGCGAGGTACCTACTTAATAGGTACTTAGGTGCCACCCCAGCTTCTGCTTCCTCCCCCCGTCTACACATCATCCCCATTCTCCCAATCCATCATCTCCCTACACCATCCGTACGAAGACGGAGGCACCGAAACATTGCACACTGGGAAAACGAGGTTGTGAATTACGATGAAGAGCACTCTCCTCACCGCGGCCGTGCTCTTGGGCGCGGCCCAGGCCGAAGTTCACAAGCTGAAGCTCAAGAAGGTCCCGCTCGCTGAGCAGCTGGTACGTTTGCCTCTCGCAACCATCTCGTCGAATTCATTCTAACCAGTTTCCACGCAGAACTCTGTTCCTATCGAGCACCAGGTCAGGTCTCTGGGCCAGAAGTACATGGGCGCTCGCCCTGACAACCATGCCGATGCCATGTTCAATCAGAAGCCCATCCAGAGCAATGGCGAGCACCCAGTGCCTGTCAGCAACTTCATGAACGCTCAGTGTACGTCTTCCAAGCTTGAATCTGCCAAACACACACATCAAACTGACCACTACTCATACAGACTTCTCCGAGATTACCATCGGCAATCCTCCCCAGAACTTCAAGGTTGTCCTGGACACTGGTAGCTCCAACCTGTGGGTTCCCTCCCAACAGTGTGGCAGCATTGCCTGCTACTTGCACTCCAAGTACGATTCTTCGGCTTCTTCAACCTACAAGGCCAACGGTTCTTCTTTCGAGATCCACTACGGCTCTGGTAGCTTGACCGGCTTCGTGTCGCAGGATGATGTAACCATCGGCGACATCAAGATTAAGAAGCAGGATTTCGCCGAAGCCACCAGTGAGCCTGGTCTGGCCTTCGCCTTCGGCCGCTTCGACGGCATTCTTGGTCTTGGCTACGATACCATCTCTGTCAACAAGATCGTTCCCCCCTTCTACCAGATGGTTAACCAGAAGGCTATTGACGAGCCCGTCTTTGCCTTCTACCTTGGAGACACCAACGATGAGGGAGATGAGAGTGAGGCCGTCTTTGGCGGTGTTGATGATTCTCACTACGAGGGCAAGATCACTTATATCCCTCTTCGCCGTAAGGCCTACTGGGAGGTTGACCTCGACTCCATCTCTCTCGGTGATGAGACTGCTGATCTCGAGGGCCACGGCGCCATCCTCGACACCGGCACTTCCCTCAACGTCCTCCCCTCTTCTCTTGCTGAGCTTCTCAACAAGGAGATTGGCGCTAAGAAGGGCTACAACGGCCAGTACTCGGTTGACTGCTCCAAGCGTGACGAGCTTCCCGATATCACCTTCACACTTGCCGGCTACCCCTTCAGCATTTCTGCTTACGATTACATCCTGGAGGTTTCTGGCAGCTGCATCTCCACCTTCCAGGGTATGGACTTCCCCGAGCCGGTTGGCCCTCTCGTCATTCTTGGAGATGCCTTCCTCCGCCGCTGGTACTCTGTTTACGACCTCGGCAAGAACGCCGTCGGTCTGGCCAAGGCCAAGAAATAAACGCCTGCATACAATCCCTTTTCCTTAGAAATCATGTTGACTACGCGGAGGTTTGAGTGTGGCTGTAATTTATCTACCTTAGGTAGCTAGTCTGGACACCATTGTGCGAATACCAATAGTGGCATTTAACCCAATTGTGCACCTGCATGCTACACAACGCCACTACGTGACCATGACAACTCCATGCCACATGAAAAGTGTGAGCATTCAATGTCCCAAATATCCTGAATGTCCCATGTGAGTGTTTCCATGGAATCTTTGTACACAATAGGTCGGATGTAAGCTTGCAGTAGGTGGAGCCTGAGTATGTTTTGCGTCAAGAAAGAGGAGACAATCCAGTGACAAGGTACCAACCATACTTAGTTGATATCTTGATTTTTTAAACGCCCAGTATGCAGTGGATGCTCTACAGTGACTACTAATAGTGCGTCAACCATCCAAGGTACAACCAAGGGACGCGCAGGCCACCATCCACTCTCGCCCGCCTTCCCTGCAACTGGCCGTGGAGTCACGTGAAGAGACCCACTAAACTGGACAGATACGTCCTAGCGTCAATCTTAGTCTTTTCGCAGCAGTGGCCGATCAAGACACTTCGCAGCCTCCTAACATTCATGTAGGGAATTGCTCCATGAGCACCTGCAAGGCCAAAAAAAAAAATCGAGAAACAGCGACGTCGATGGGCTCCTGTTACTTACTGTGTCTATTTGCTTATATTTGAGTGTGTTTTTGGATGGAAAGGCTCTTCCCAACGCCTGGCCTCGCGACGCTTGACGAAAAAGGTTTTGGAGTTCCACCAACCGACCGACCGACGAACCTCGCGCGTCGCGACAATTCCGCCCTCCACTGGGCGACCTGCCACCCCCGTCGTCCTGCGCAACATCGACCGCACGAACATCCGACCTGTCCTAACATCGCAAAAAACCCTAACCGGACCTCCACGTTTACAACCCATCACGCTTCATAATGGCGCAGCCGGATTCGGTCCAGGCGAACGGCATCCCTGGACCGGACCATGCTGAGTCCCCCCAACCCCAGGCGGTTGTCCCCGTCAAGAGAAAACGCGACAGTGAGGACGAAGTGAACGGCAATGGACCTGAAAAGATGGATGTTGATGATGAACCGCTCCGTGTTCCACAGGAAAACCAAAAGGCGGCCATTCGGAACTATTTCACGGTCCTAAGCAGGTACGGGAGCCCCCACTATCCTGCGCCCTTTGCAGCGCAATCATTCCCCTCCGTCGCCTCAAGAAACGCGTCATACTGACTTACACCCTTAAGTTTTGATGCCAATCCGTCCATCTTGAAGCGCCCGCTCCCCGATTTCGACGCAGAGCAGCCTGACGCGAAGCGCCAAAAGTCGGCAGACAAACTGGTATCTATTGCCGACAAAGTCACCCATGATTCTTACGCGCATTTGGAAGAGCTCGCATCCGACCTCGTCGACGCGGTTAGGGACCAACTCAGGGAACTGCAATCGTCCGATTCTGGAGAGGACAAAGAGAAGGCCGATGGCAATGCTCTGGTACAAACCAAGAAGTTCCGCGAGAAGGCCATGGATCTTCTTCGGCGCGAGATAGCATACCCACGCAGCGCTGCGAATATGCCCGAAATCAAGCCCGACGTTGACGCTGCCTCGAGTGAAGCGGTTTTGACGGTCTTTGGCCTTGCTCCTCACGGCAAACAGCTCTTTTCAAGCTTGCCCAAGAAAACGCCCGGAAAAGAGGTATCTAAGGCCAAACCATCGCCTTTCAACCTCCCTCCGACCGTCTCGACCACTTATATCGTGCCGTCACGATCCAATGAACGTTCTGCCACGCTCGGAGAACTCTTCTCCTCCAGCAGACCTTTGCCACCGTTACAGCCACCAAAGCAACCCAAGCAAATGGTCAAGGGCAATGCCCTCGGCTTTTACCATCCTGAACCCGCTGGCAAGTCTAAGTACTTCAACGATTCGTACTCGAGCAAGAAGGTGGCTGTTGGCTACTATTTGGACTATACCAACGCGACGCCATCATCAAAGAACAAGACTAAACAACGCGAACGCGCACAGAGCTTAGCAGGCCGTAGACCATCAACGGTTGAACTTGAAGTAAACGAAATGGAGTCCCTGTTTCGAAGTGCTTTTTCTAGCTTTGCTCCTTGCAGAGACGACTCTGCCTCCGTTATCCCATCTAGCCATGCCGGTCGGCTTCATTGGCGACTGACTGGTCAGCGAAACTTTAACAAACTCATCGAGTCCGAACTGCGAGAGTTCGAACTTGAGGATTCTGTCGATCAGGCTGTCGAGCAAGCGTCTGAAAAAGAAGTCGATGAACAGTTTGTGAACGAAGCGATCGAGAAATGGGATGAATGGCTTGTGGACCCAGCACTGCAAGACATGAATGAAATTGTGGCCAAACCCAAGGAGAAGGAGGCTGCTGATAAAGAGGTCGACGACCTTCTTGATGATGTGACTGATATGATCGAAACCCTGCTCTCGTACCAACGCATTCGCAACCTCACTCTGCCCTCTTCGCAGAACCGATACGCGGGTGACCCTGTCAATGGCGATATGCTTTCTCACGGAGCCATCTCAGTACCCACGGAAGAGGAGACCACAACATACGAGGCACTAAAGGCTCAGCTAAGCCTTATCATCAATAGTTTGCCCCCTTACGCGGTGGCGAAGCTTAACGGCGATCAATTGGAGCAGCTTCTCATAAGCACCAAGCTTGAGGTTCGCACAGACCAGTACAAGGGCGTGATGGAGGACGATGCAGCAACCCAGGCCCGCCTACGGCAACAGCAAAGCGTTGCCGCTGCCGCTCCTCAAAACCGGCCCGCTCCGCATCGCACGCCAAGCTCCTCAACGCCGTACGGCAATCAATACGGAGCGAACCAATATGGCACTCCCTCCCGTACTCCTTCGATCGCACCATCCGGCTACTATCGGACCGGCCAGCAGCCTCCGATGCCCCCCCAGCAAGGCTCTATACCCCGTCCCGGTGGCACTCCCCATCACATGCCTCCGCATCAGACGCCGCGCCCTGGTCAACCAGGTGGTTATCGTCCGTCTAATGGATACACTAACTACGCGCAACACGTTGGAAAGGCACAGACACCTTTTGGTCACCAGGGTGCTCAGTACGGATCACAGCAACGGCCTCAACAATATTCTGGATATGCAGCGACACCATCGCATAGTACGCCGAACACCCGTTTTCAGCAACCTTATCAACAGCCTTTCCAGCAGCACCATCAGCCGCCTAGCACTCCCCAACCTAACTACGGGGGTTACTATCCTAACGGCACCAACAATATGCAGTCGCGCATGTCCCCACAAGTCCCAACAGGCCAGTACCAGTCACCAACTCCCCACCAGCCACAGAGGCATTACGGGTCGACTCCTCAGCAAAACATGCCTGGTACCCCTATCAACCGCCAGCAGTATCCGAACGGTAATCATCAACCCCCAACATACACCGAACCTTGGACTCAACGCTATGACAGGATATAACTTAGCTGCCTATGAAGCAGATCGAAAGCGCATGGCAGCTGAACAGGCGAGGTTTAGAGCTGCAGCACAACAGACCAGCAATGCGCTCGGGAACAAGATGATGCAAGGCAGCCATGAAACGCGCTTGACCACAATTCCAGCTGACGATGCCTCGGAAGGGTCGCCAAACGTGAGAGCGCGTATGGCCGCGGGCGCTGCGCCAAAACCGCAGAGTCCGGTTGGTAGTGCGGGCAGGTCAAATGGCACGCCGCCTATTCCCCACAAGGTCACACCTGTGCCCATACCAGTCATACCCCAACAGCAGCAAAGAAAACCGGCGTAGCATGTCTGTCCGGTAGGATCAATGGGGCTACTCTGCCACCTCTCAAGGCCTTGGGCTTCTGTTGGAGGAGATTTGCTATCCAGAGCCTCGGCTTCATCTGTTTCAATACCTTCAATCGATCCAGGATGCAGTAAACCAGGACAGCACTTGCAGGTTCAGCATTCCACGTCTGCGGAACTGGCTACAAATCGTCAGCTTTAATCCCCCTGGCTGTCTGATGATAAGAGGAATGGTGTTCTTTCAGCTTTGTTGAGACCTTGTTTCTGTTCCTTTCGTGTGGCATCTTGCGACTCGGCCAACGGAGGCGTGGCATCAAGTGTTCAAGAAGGCCGTCTTGTTGATGACGAATGCGCAGGCAAGGAATGCTGGCATAGGAATAGCTAAAACACTGGTTAGTTCCAATGTTATTAGTCCTTTTCTTCGACGTTCCGGCCTTGTGTTACTAGATTTTTCTTTTCCTTTTTTTTCTTTTTCGGCGGAGAGTTGCGACACCTAGATGATAGCTGGAAGGGCGTCTTTTTGTTGGGATAACCAGTGCAGCCGGCGTCGTACTCGCTGGCAGTGGCTCCAGTTTTTTTCTCTCTCGTTTTGTTTTTTTAAGCTGTTTACTGGGGCGGGGGAATGGCTCATGGGTCACGGAAGGAGGCGAGTCTTGGCTCAAGTGTATAGAGAGTTTGTGGAGTACCTGAGTACTTGCATCCTAATCAAAAAGAATGGCAACAACGTCATTTATTCATGTTCACATATACCGTTGAACGACTAGTTTGGGGTTTTTGGTCTTGTTGATTGGCGAACCATGTTTCATTGAGCAACAGAGACCCCGCTTATGTGGTCGGTCGATACCTGATGAGGTAGGGACTCGTTCATGTTTCAACTGCCTTTGGTGTTATCCGAATCTTAACGATCAATCGAAGTCGTTTGGGCGCAGATCGAAGCCATTAAACTAGGGTAGGCTAAAATAAGCTTAATTGCCCGTTGTAGAACGCGTCGAAATGATGGGGATTGACTTCCGAAAGGGACTGCGCTAAGACGGAGGCGGAAGTAGCCCCGAGGTTGTAATCTGCAACTGGGGCATGATGTTATTCGTCTGGAGTTGTTTCTTGTACCTTTCTTCCAATTAATAATGAAATTACCTCTAAGCCTACGATGCTGCTCGAACCAATATCCGTGTATTCTTCTTTCTTGGGTATAACGATAGCTTCAACTCGCCAATTTATCACAATGACAGGCTTCCTCCAACTCAGTTGTCCCAGAGCGAAGTAGTGGCTCAAGATTGAGACGTCAATATGTTTTGTCCAAAACCTGCGGGCCACATCTCTACTAGATGAGGCGGGCACCAAAATGTCAGTTCCATTACATTCTTCATCGCAATTCAAAAATTAGATTGTACAACTTGATTACATTGCAACAGCGACATATATCAAGAGTCATTGATACTGTACAACAACCAAGTAGTATCAGTGTAAGTAGGGCATATACCAGTATCCGGAGCCAAGACAACCGTCTTGTGAACAGAACATCTCATGCAGACACTGCAAAAGCCAAAATGAAGCAGTTGATAGAACCATGAAGGCCGAGCCATCAGATCTACTCCTCTGGCTGTTTTGGTTCTAGGCTTTGTACACTTCTAGAAGGAAGGAACGACCTCATTGAAGTTACACACCCTTTCCTTTTCACCACTCCTTCCTGGAGCACCTGAGAATTTGAAAACTTCTGTAGCCGAGCCCTAAACAATTCCCCTGAAGAGGGCACCGCAAATTCTCAATTCCCAGCAGAGCGTTGCTTTTTCTTTCTCTCTTTTTCTCTTCCATACTTTCCTTGCCCAAACTCTTCCATTATTACGTTCTCTATCAACTCTTATTTTCCCAATACACTTACAATTATCGTCTCCGTCCCCTCTTCAAGACAAGGTTGCTGGCAACCATACATTGTATACCATTCTTACATATCGCCGTCTCTTTATACCGAAACCCAAGCTGAATCCTCCACAATGGGCCGTCTCGACCTTTCGTTCCTTCTCGACTCCGGGCTTTACTCTGACGTTCACCTTGCCTGCACAGACGAATATGGTAATGAGACAATTCTAAAAGTTCATCGTGCTGTGGTTTTTACACAATGCCACGAGCTTCACGAGCTAATGTTCTACTCCCCTCGGGTAAGTCTCACCCAACAATCTCCTGGTCACGGTACCCAGACTAACATTGAATGTTCCAGCACCATGATGAAGACCATGGCGTTGATGTGTATGAGTTGAGCCTGGATCCTGTAATCTTTAGGGGATTGTTGATGTTCCTTTACTCGGGGGAGTACCGGGCTGTCTACCAGGAACCTGAGACACAGCTAGGCATGGATGAACAGGGCATGTGGGACGATTACCACCATTCTGTCTTCTACTCTCTCAGGCTCTGTTCCATGGCAGACCGTTTCGGCCTCCACAAGCTGTTTTCTGAGTCCGCTGCTGCTTTCTGCACCGCCGCCAGGAACTTCTCATTCCATGTCGATTACCCTGCTTTCATAAGTGAGCTCTACGACACTTTCGGCAACCACCCTCAGTTTGATCATCATATGATCAGCATCCCTCGTATGATTTCAAGGGATATTGTGCGTTCTCGATGTTTTACGCAGCGCATGGATGATCTTCTGTTTGAGTACCCTAAGCTGGCCATAGATGTGCTCAAAGCTACAATGGGAAATCTTGCAGAGTGCGAAGGAAGACTACAAGAAGCTGAGGACAGAATTTACGACATGGAGAGATCTTTGGTTGTTCATGAGGACGGCAACCGGGATGAAGTACCTCAGCGCGGTGGTCAGCGCGAGAGTCGACGCAGGCATCGTCACGAGGAAGATTTGAACGTCGAGGAGAGGGGGGAGATAGGGGATGGTGAGGAGGACATCGATACGCAGCCTACAAAGAGGCGTCGTGTAATGTGAAATGCTGGACATTTCAGGTGGTTTAGAGTGGTTTGTATAGGCACGCAATAGGCAAGCCCTGATGACTATGGAAGATACTGGTATCTTGCAGCTAATATTATAAGCCTATATCATTGGCTATTCTGCAAGCGCGGGTAATAGCAGCCATGATATCATGTTACGTTGACCAGGTCAAATAAATGAACCAGTCCCAAACTCAGAACACTCTGTGGTTATTATCGTTTGGTTCTTGTCAACTTTTGCCCTGGAACTATCACCAAACCTTGTGATAAGATAACCCGTGTTTATTTTAGTACAGTAAGTCTTCGCATGAGTTCTGCTAGGGTTTCTATAACGAGAGGTAAGAGAAACAAGCTTGGACAGCTTCTTCCAACCCACCATGACCGTCCTTACAGAGTCTTCACCTACCTACATATACGTGTCATCTTCTGGAAATCGCTCCTCCGCAAGGGAGGGAAATAATAAGAAGCTCAAGACCACAAAGATGATAAAGACGGGGGACGATAAGCTTGATACAAGTCCGTTTCCAAGGTCTTTATAAACCATAACGGTTCAGAAGATATCGTCTTCAAGGGCGTTCATGTTTGCACCGTGTCTACTAAGAACCCCCCCCCCTTCAGAGCATTTCTTATAAATCCTACCGCACCGAACACACCTTTAGTTACCAAGCAGATTCCTGGCGGGACCGAGGAATCAAGGGAACAGACAATGAAAGGTATACAGTCATCCATGAGTACTCACCCTGCTGTCAAGACTTAAGCTTGCTCTTCTCGATGATCAAACAATTTCAAAATGGCACAAAGCATTTGTGAGGAATTGCCCTCTTCCGATTGTCCAAGAGCCTCGATGCCATATTGAGCTTGTCATATATTTGTATCGCCTATGCTGTTAGGATAAGCAATTCCACACTGTTAGCGTGTGGATGTAAATCGTATCTTCCAAGTATCTCACAAGTCCAGCATGTCCAGCATATTTACTTGATATGACTTTCAAAACATGCTCCGCTTGTAAACAGATTTCTAACCATTTGCTATATCATGTTATAGTCCTCTTCCTGATTTTGCCTCTGTTGCTGTATCGCCCCGTACAACAACCGTCGCGTAGAGCGCGAAAACTCGTATGGAAGGGTTCCTTTGATTGAATTCAGCAAGGCATTATGGTGTCGCTTGAGGCTGGCAGCGGCGGGAAATGGCCGCCCATAATGCCGGTTGGAGACAGACGGTCGCATTCTCAGAGAACTATTTTTCAACGTAAGCCGCGCGTCCTCTCAAATGTGGCACGTGTTTGCTACGCTTTCAAAAGATATGAGTGAACTTTTTCTACATGTATTCCACTGGGTATCTATCAAGTCATATGAGACCACTGTCTATCTCCTCTGGTGACGCCTAGTCCAAGACCCGGCTCGGGGTCACCCTAGCTCACAAAGGCTTGCAATTTTATTGTACATCATCAGCGCCTCGACTTCCGTTCGAGTTCTGATGCTCTCCGGACATCTTTACCAACTTCAAAATCTCATGCAGATTCTGATGGTTGCCCCACTCATCATCCCGAATATGTTCCTCAACCTCTTCCAGTTCAGGCCAGTACACTGGACATTTGCTTTCTTTGCGACTATATTTCAATATTTCTTCGCGCAGTAACGCCACAGCTTCTTCCCTTAGCATGGGCTCTGCGTAGGCTCGAAACGTCCGCACCGCCCTCGCCAGACGCTTCGCATCGGTAAGTGACAGATCCATCCCCATTTTAGGTGACCACTCTCGAACGACCCACAAAAGAAGCAGCATCATTTCCTCATAATCGCCTGTGAAGGCTAATGTGCGCATATAGGTGTTGATATCGGACGCTTTCACGAGGAGATTCACTTTGGGCCCGTGAGCAGGGCCGGTCGTTGATAACACCCTCCAAGCACTCTTGAGTCTATTCGACGCTTCCCGGAGCAAGGTGTACACTGTCTGAGGCTTGGTTGAAATGTTGCATTGGAAGACGGGGCTGAGAAGTCGCCGCCATGACTGGGCACCAGTGGCCTCATTGCGGAAGACAGGAGAGTCCGGGACCATGAGTGTTGTGCTTTGTGTCCCGTACAGAGACATTAAGTCCTTAGTTTCGGATCCAGTTGAGGAGCTGTTTAGTGATGTAGATAGCCTAAAGTAGACCGTCTTTTGGATAACTTGAGCGAAAGATCCAAACATGGCTAGGTTCAGCCCACAGTGAGCCTCGGCTCTCTCCAAGACCTCAGTAGCCATATTGAGAACTTGAACATCGTTATCCGCAGGCTTGCTGTTGCTGAGCATGATGTTTGGTCGAGCCAAAGCAATCAATATGGACTCCCAGGGTGCCCTTCCAGACTTGTTGGGCGTTATCCATCCCATTTGAGCGAGCTTGAAGGCATACTGAATGCGGTACAGACTCCTATATGCATGGCGAGCAGGTGTGTTTGCTGTCCGGTTCGGCTGCAGACGGCAGAGTAAGTCGATGCAGGCATGCAGGATGTCTCGAGGAGGCCGAGTCAGCAAAGAAGATGGGAGGACTGCATAGCTCTCCATGCATCTTCTGATGTTGCTTTTGAGTCCGCCATCAATGCTACTATGATCGATATAGTCAAGAGCATGACCAATCGTAGGCGCCTGCCTAATAAGCCAAGCTAGCGAAGGCCCTCGAATGACAATGCCAGCTTCGAACATTTCTTCTATCAGGCGATGGATGCTGGGTGGTTTCACGCGGGCCTTCTCGAATTCGCTGAGGTTCATGTCGTCATATGTAAAGACTTCTCTTCCATCGCCAGGGAGATTATTGTGATCAGGATTTGCTGGCTTGGCCGCTAATTTGGTAATCAGTTGCCAATATACCTCGAACGTTGGTTTCATGCCCGGTTCAGGGGGGTTCTTGAAGATAGCCCAGGCTTCTTGACCATTGCGAGTTGTCCTTATAAGTGCTGCCCAGGCAGCTTGATCGCTACGATTGTGACGAGAGAAGTTGGTCCTCGTTTGGATAGTGGGCGAGCCATCAGGGGCCATGCCGCCAAGGATGTCCATCGTTAAATCGATGTCCTCTTTGCCGTAGCCAGCCTCTTGCATCATTATACCGGCTTTCACGGTCCGGCTCAAATAATCTTCCATATTGGCTTTCTCTTCCATGCCATCCCGAAGAATTCGATAAGGTGGCCATGAGGCGCTAAGGGTCGTGGCCGTGTCGCGTTCAGAGTCTGTTTTCGGTAGTGCGAGCAAGACTTGTCGAATTGCTCGGTAACTCTCCTGCTCAATGACCAAAGGTCGCTCCAAAGAAGATGATAATGATAGGAGGGTAGTAAGCGCCTTCCAATTGTAGGGCATGCTATCATATGGCGCCTTTTTCGCAGGAATAGATACAGCTTGTAGGGCGGCATTGAAGACCTGACATTGCATCTTATAAGCTTTGCCCTCATGCAGCTTTCTAAGAGGAATGCCTTGGACATATGAGACCGCTAGATCAGCTATGTCTGGCAATGCATGAGGCTGAAGCCTACTTGCATGATAGCTTAATTTTTGAAGGACCTTGCCGAACAATTCAGGAGTCACTCCTAGCTTGGATCCCGATGCCTCAGCAGCACCATCGGCTGTCTCTTTTGAGCTCAAACACCAGGTTGTGCAATATTCCAAGAGCGCCGAGAGTGATTCGGGGTTCGAGAAATGCGGGGTGTTGTTGAGGAGGTAGAAAAGTACGAAAAGAGGCTTGTGCTGTGATCTGCTCAGGAACCTATCGACTCTCTTGTCCGGCTCGTTCGGAATAAGAATCCAGGCCCAGTGAGATACATCTTCCGGACTGTATCCTTTATCTTCCAAACCCTTCAATGTTGCTGCCCATTTTGATTGATCACACAGCCAATTTTGTATACTTGGGGATAGTTGAGGGGTCTGGCGGAGAACTAGCTGGGCAGTAACAATACTGAGCTCAGTGCTTCTCAGCCAGGCGACAAACTGGAGATTCTCGAGCTTCAAATCGGAAAACTCCTGGTCTGGGGAACGATAGAGGTCTAGAACATCGGCGAGGAGTAGGTCGGAGTAAATCGAACGTTGACCGCGGAGTATTGGTTTTGGAGAGGTTGTTGACCTATTAGTATGAAAGGGCAGTGAAGAAGAGTAACGATCAACCACTTCAACTGTTGGCCAAGAAGAAGAGTTCTGAGCGACGGCTACCATCTGACTGGACCGGAATTCATGGCGTCGGGGAAGGTACTGGAAGTACCAATTGTTAGCTCTAGCAAGAAAAGGCGTCCAGGGGACAATACTGACTGCTCGCCAAAGGGGAGTTGACGGCCACCGGCCCTTGGTCAGGACAGTAGAGTGTGTTCGGGGAATGGGAGGTAGCCGCATCGCCCCATCTTAGCTAGCAGAATTCTAAGATTCCACAACTGAGATGCAATGAGCCCGGGATGTATGTAGTTTGATACCGCTTCTCAGAAAAAGGTTGAGCATGTCGCTGGTCGCGACGCGGGAAGTTTCCGCCACATCACGTGCTGATAACGGAGAGATTTCCTCTCGATAAGCGTTCCTCAGCGTCCGATTAGAGGAGCACTGACAGCTAAGATTTCGATAGCACCCTACTTTCAGCCCACGAGACTTTACCGTGTCGCCTGTACCTGAAAGACCTATTCAATGGCGCCAAAAGTCTCAATATGCGGCTCTGCCATATCACGATAGCGTCCCCCCTCAACCGCAGCTTCCACACAGCGAGGTTTACGCCCCGGCCGCAGCGATACTTTCACTTGACGACTCAAGCCAGACTACCTCGGAAACGCAACTTCTTCACATCCAATGTCTACCTGTCTCAGAACACCGGCGAGCCCTCTGCCAGGCAACCTAGGTCGGAGAATGAAGAGTCATTATTTCCCCCATCGCCGAAACGAAAAGCTGCCCGTGCCACTGGCGCAAAGAATTCCCTGCGCCGCGTAGCTATTATCGCCCAGCGGCCAGCGCAACGCGGTGCTGGGTTTTCGGCTGGGGAGCTGGTAGATGCTACGACCTCGACTTTAATCAGTGCTGTGTGTATTGCCGAATCTTTCAATATGGCAATGGTTATGGACATACTGCGCGCGCATGGATTTGATATTGACCCGGACCAGAGTGGTTTCGAGGCGAGCGAGGTCGTTCATGCGCGTGGTGTGAATGGTGGGGACATTTTTGTCTTCCCTTCCGGGACCATTGTCACTTGGGCACTGCCTCCTGATGTCGTTACAAAGCAGCTGTTGGGTGCGGCAGAAACGCCTTTAAAACCGGCCTTGCGGGAAGTTGAGGACTTAGAATACGTCGCCGACTCATCAAAGGAAACAAGTAGTATGAAGGGAGACATTGTGATGCTGGGCACGAAGCTCGAAGAGAGACAGGGGGACAGGCTCGACACGACATTAGCGAAGATCGCGTTCTCTTCTGGACTGGCTAGGAGTACGAAGCTTGCTGTGTTGGAGACTGCCTTAACGGCATACTTTGAAAGTACCAGAGAGATACCGTCGGTTCTGTCGAAGGGTTCCGGGTTGCCCATTGGCAGGAAATTCATCCTTCAGAAGACAGGTGAATTGTTGAGTCTACGTGCTAGGCTCAATCACTATTCAGAACTTACGGACTCCCTCCCTGACATCTTCTGGGATAGCCGAGCTGAACTGGGTTTAGAGGGGTACTATGAGCAGGTTGGCCGCGCGCTGGATGTAAATGTGCGAATTCGTACGCTCAACCAAAAGATGGATTACGCGCAGGAGATTGCTAGCGTGTTAAGAGAGATGTCAAGCGAGCAGCACAGCACGAGGCTGGAGTGGATTATAATCATCCTCATTGCTGTGGAGGTTGTTTTTGAACTACGAAGAATTGTTCTTGAATGGAAGGAAGGCGAAAAAGAAGAAGAAACTGGCAAGACAGCTGCATAAGTCTTGAGACACCACGGCTGCCATTGGACAGCGGCGTGGCTGTGGACTTAAAAAAGAAAGATACCCAACTCATTGATTAATAACGATGTGCGAATTCACAAAGCAGCTGAAACTGGGCTGCCATCACCAACGGTATAGTATGATGACTTCTGGAGTTTGACACTGTTATGAGGGCAGTGATCGTCTCTTGCTTCTCGTAGTAAGGCTCAAATGCAGGACTAAGCTTGCAAACATTGACTGAGTTTCACTGTTCCTGCCTATACATTATTCATACCTACGGAAAGTAATAAATCGGCGCAAGCTGATTGGGCAATCCCACTACAGGAGCTGTTCACCTTAGCGTGTGGGCCTGCACGCACCAGCTCGAACCCACCAATGATCGCGTCGCATTGGCACGCAGCCCGCAAACCTACTACTAACAGCTAACAAGCCAGCTGGAAGACGTTACAATACGCAGACATATACACAAGTTGATTCTTCCGATTCCGGTGCTTGGGTCAGGCGCGTGCAACTATAGATCTTTCTTCTTTAATTTACAAAGAGTACTAGGTTATCTATGCTTTTACTCTTATATGCCTCGTTGAAAAACGGGAGTCTCCCTCACACGTGGTTTCGAAGACACGGAACTAGAAGAAGGAGGATGTCAGACGGTGGATCCGGACATTGGCCATTGCATACATCGAGGCATGCATTCAACTGTTAGATAAACGATATTAGTTTGATGCAATACACCTGGGGTTCATTGAGCAAAGAGTGATTCATGTTGTTGATTGAGTGATTCTACCCATTCCGGTTGAAGCGGGGTTCTGTTTTGTATCTACCCGTTCTTCCCGGTTTCAGCATATTGCAAGAATGCAACTAAGCTAGATTTCCTAGCATTTTATCCGGACGCAGGCGTCAATCTAACACACCCCCCCAGTTGAGGCCGCTTAGGCAGAGACTGATCCGCTGGGTTACTTAGTTTTCCAGTTTTTCCATTTCACCTAGAAGTTCCATTTCTCCCAGTGTGGGCAGCTTTCTCTTCTCTAGGTGGTTGGAGATGTCCACTAGGCCGATTTGTTTGATAAACGTCTTGAATGGCGTATGGCTCATCGGTTTAGTCAGTCCGTCTGCAACCATATCTGCAGTAGGTCTGTATTCCACTTTGATTCTATTCAATTGAGCTTCCTGTCTCAACCAGTGGTTGTGTATATCAACGTGTCGGAGTTTTGTCTGCAACTTGGTGATGTCCTTGTTGATCAGTTGTATTGTCTGGATGTTATCGCATTGTATTCGTATCCGTGATTCATCCAATTGAAGTCCAAGTTCCTTAAGTAGTCGCGATACGAATATAGCTTCTTTGGCTGCCTGAGCAAGAGCAAGTAGCTCAGCTTCTGTTGTTGAAGTAGTAACGGTTGCTTGCTTATTAGCTCTCCAACCGATAGTGCCTCCAAACAATCGCATTACATAGGCTTGGGAACTCTTGCGGTCCTCTGTATTGTCTGCAAACGAGGCATCGCTTGCTACGAAGAACTCATCGTCTCCGCCGAATTGCAAGGCAAGCGATTTGGTTTTCTTCAGATAAAGCAGAACCTGGTCTGCTGCTTTGTGGTGTTCTGGACCTGGGTTTGCGTTGAACCTGGCTAGTTTTGATGCTGCGAAAGCTATGTCAGGTCTAGTAATAACGGCAGCATATAGAATTGATCCAATCTTGCGTTGGTATCGCCTTATGGACGCTATGCTAGCTTGTTTTTCATACGGTCTTAGCTCTTCGCGTCTCATGGGAATGTCATGTCGCTGATCTCTATCTTCAGATAGGTTAGCAATCTTGTCAATATAGTCTGACTGTGATAGCCAGATAAGTTTCTTGTCTCGGTCTCGAATGATTTCGATTCCAAGGAACCACTGTAGTGGTTTTCCCCCCGTTAATTTATATCGTCTCTGTAACTTTCCTGTTACTTCTTTGATTTCATTCTCTTTCTTCTTTTCATATGCCAGGACTATATCATCCACATAGAAGAAGATAATGATAGCTCCTTTGATCATGCAGCAGGGCTCATGTGGAACGGTTTCAAACCCGAGGTCTTTCAGCGTAGCCATAAGGTCCTTTTGCCACAGGAGTGGTGACTCTCTTAGGCCATACAACGCTTTCTGGAGCATCAGGATGATTCCTGGTTTCCGATAGCCTGGAGGCATGCGCATGAATATGTCCTTGTCTAGCTTTGCGTTTACAAACGCGTTAACGGCATCATACTGGATTAGTTCGAGGTCGAAACGTGCAGCAACCGCCATCAGTGTCCGGAAAGACCGTCCTGCTAGTGTTGCGGCATAGGTTTCTTCATGTATTGACTTGATTTGCTGGTCTCCTCTGACCACGAGGCGTGCTTTGCCCTTTTGAAACCGTCCATGCTTGTCGAATTTATATACGTATACCCACATGCAGTCTAGGACCTGACAGTCCTTCGCACGGGTGTCTTTTCGACTTATTTCAATCCAAGATTTCATCTCGGCGTGACTGCGTAGATGTTGTTGTTCCGCCGTCTCGAATAGCGTACCCATGGGGTGGTTTCTAAGATCAGCATGGCTTCGCGGTAACGGAGGCATCTGCCGCCTGTGTAGGCAACTTGGATTCTTTAACAGTCGTTGAAGCTTTGCTTTGTCGATCTGCTTTCCTTCAAAGATGCCCACCGGCGTGGCCTGTCGTCCAGCCGCAAACGCTGCCTTCCATGCTTCAAAGACATCATATAAACTTTCACCTTTCTGAGCATTTGCTTGTAGGAATTCCGAATCATCCCGAATCGTCATAGCTAGAAGTGCTGTCGGTGGAAGAGACACAGGGGATGGGTACGGACGACTCTGGGCATCAGAATTCTTGGCTTGGTCATCGGTGCCGGCTTCTGCCTGGTCTCCCGTGCCGCCTTCTGGTTTCCCCAGGTCGACTTCCGCGTCCCCGGTTTGTCCAGAGCCTTCGTCGGTACCAGCTGGTTGATCAGACTCAGCCTCCAACTGTTCAGCTCCTGTATCTCTTTCTACTTCATGGAGAACGGCATCTTCCCAACTGAGCTGGGTTCCGACGTCCTCGTCTTCTCCATAAAGGCCCTCCCAATTTGTTTGGGGTATAAAGGCACCGGTGTGGTCTTCTTCTGCTATCATATTTCGGTCTGTTTCTGGTTCCTCAACCTGGTCAAGTAAATTGATTAGCTCTTGCTGTCCGACGTGAAGGAGGTCATCTCTTAATTGGTTCAAGTTTCCGTTAAATAATTCGTCTTCGTTAAAAATAACGTCTCTTGCTCCGACGACTCTTCCAGTCTGAGGGTTCCATATTCGATAAATGTTTGTTGACTGGTACCCCACAAGAAAACCGATCCATGCTCTTGGGTTCAACTTTTGCCTTTTCTTCCGTTGTAATTGAGCATCCGTCGTCATAGCATATGCCTTGCATCCATAGACACGTAGGTGTGCTTGGTATGGCTTTCGGTCTTGGACCGCAACCCCGTCTCTGTGCGCTAGGGCGGTGTAAAATCTATCGTACGGTGTTCGCCAGCTATACATATGCTTTGGCGTCCGGTTGTACAGATATACAGCTGCACGGTAAATCTCGACCCACAGATGCTCTGGCAGCCGAGCTCCTATCCTCATAGCCCGCGCTTTCGCCTTGATAATTCTCCCTGACACCTCAGCTCCTCCGTTCTGTGCTGGGGTGTTCGGAGCTGATGCTTCGACTCTGATATGTTGGGAGTGAAGTAATACAGATACAACTCCTCCCGTCACGATTTCATTATCGCATTCGATAATCTTTGGTTTGATTTGGTATTGTCGTTCGAGTATGCCGGTTATGTTTTTCAATACGGTACTGATCGTTCCTATTCTTCTTTCCGCAAGGTAGTAGTCCCAAATCATTCCCGACCAGCGGTCCGTGATTAGCATTACGCTACTTCTGCCTATAGGGTCTTTTGGAAGGTCATGAAAGTCGATTGCTAATCGCTTACCCGGGCCGTAGCCTACGTTCCGTGGTTGACGGCTTATTTGACGCTTCATCTTGGAAAGTGCGTATCCATCACATTCCACCGTGGTTAGTCCTTTTATCCGGACCCCTTGTGAGGTATTAACTAGATGTTCCAGAGCCTGAGGTCCTGGGTGTCCAAGTCGAAGATGCCACCTCCTTGCGTCTGCTTTCATAGCACCTTTCTTTGTCCAGGAGTTCAATTTGTGTCTTCGAGTAACGAATGCAGTATTCGGCGTGTTAGGAGGTATATCTTCGATGACGAATTGGTCATATCGGTCCATAACCTTGCATACGATTGAGTTATCGAATGACCTTATGTAGTTAGAACGAAGACGATTGTCCCACCAATATCCGCGTTTTCTTAATTGTCTAAGGGATACCAGATTGCAAGGGAAATTTCCACATAGTGCGACATCGTTCAGTTGGATTATTCTTGGTCCTCTCGGTCCCTGGGTTTGTATGTTCACATTCCCGTATCCTTGGATAGGAATTCTGCTTTCTCCAGCAAGGATGAAATCCCCAGCCTCCGATCGACGGAAGTTGTTAAACCGGTTGAAGTTATTAAAGATATGTATTGTTGACCCTGAGTCAAGAAGAGCCGAATTCTTCAATGGGTAGTATGTAGTGCAGGACATCGAATTAAACGCAGAGACAACGAAGCTGGCTGTGCACTCTCCAATACTTCGTCCTAGTCAATCGGTAGCTTCAACGTGTTTGACTTTCTTGATGCGGTTGATTTCATCCTTGAGAGATGCGTCGTTCTTAAGTCGATGTTCAACCGCATCACGGATTAATTTCCTGCCCTTGAAGTAGTCCGGTGCATCGTTGGAAAACACATAGTAGCAGTTTTCTAGAGCGTGATTGCCATCACAGGCTTTACACACTATATTAGTGCTCCGTGTGGTGACTGTGCGTTTTCGCTTTCGGCTGTTGACTTGGTCTTGACTAGGTTGGCTCCCTTCTTCGTTATGCGTTTCAGCCTCCGTCCAAGATGTATTGTCGCGGTCTGCGGCAA